GTTTTTACATGGCCGAAATTGTGATGGCGATTGAGGCGGTCCACAAGTTGGGCTTCCTTCACCGGTAAGAAAGGCCAAGCCAGGCTTTCATCTGGCGCACAGCATGCTAATATACTCATTTACAGTGATATTAAACCTGATAACATTCTTCTCGATCGCGGCGGTCATGTCAAGTTGACCGACTTCGGTCTCTCCACTGGAGGCAAGAAGACTCATGACAACTCTTACTACCAGAACCTATTGAAGAACTCAACATCAAAGGACAAGAACCGAAACTCAGGATATTTCAACGATGCGATCAACTTGACAGTATCAAACCGTGGGCAAATAAACACTTGGAGAAAGTCTCGCCGAGCCATGGCGTACTCCACTGTCGGAACTCCTGACTACATCGCTCCTGAAATCTTCAACGGCCAAGGTTACACCTACCTTTGCGATTGGTGGTCTGTCGGCGCCATCATGTTCGAATGTCTCGTAGGCTGGCCTCCATTCTGCGCCGAGGATACGACCGATACCTACCGCAAGATTGTAAACTGGAGGGATTGCCTTTACTTCCCAGAAGAATTGACACTGTCCCGTGAATCTGAGGGTCTGATTCGAAGGTACGATACGTTTTCGCCCTTTTAAGAAGTGAATAATCTAACCATATATCAGCTTCCTATGCGATGCGGAGCACCGTGTTGGTAACGACGGTGGGCAGTATGGAGGTGCCAGCCAGATTAAGAACCACCCATTCTTCCGTGGAGTAGTATGGGAACAACTGCGCAAGATCCGCGCACCATTTGAGCCGCGACTAAGCTCGAACATCGATGTGTCATATTTCCCAATTGACGAAATTCCTCAAGAGGATACCAGCGCCATTCACCGCGCTCAGGCACGTGCTATGCCAGACGAACAAGAGGCCGAAATGAGTCTGCCTTTCATCGGTTATACATACAAAGCGTTCAACGCCTTCCAGGCAAGTTGAATGTAGAAACAATGTCCGAAGTTTTAAACGAGCCGACGATGATAGTCTTTGGAAAGTTTTGAAAGCGGGCGGGCTTGCGTTGATCGCTTTTCAATGGCTCATCCCACGCTCTTGCGTCGGTGGGGATAGACCATGGTCCTTGGTTTCTTTTTTATCAAGCATATAGCGCATACATCATGTTACTGGGCTCAAGAGCATCGTCTTTTTATTTATTGTCTTCCTCTATTTCGATCTCCTTAGATGTTTCTTTTCTTTTCTCTTCTTTTTCTTTTGCATTGGGTCGCGAGTCGACACTCGCTAGTTGTACTTTGTATCTCTTTGGACATGTTCACGAGTGCTTTTACTGGAGCCCGAGGTTTTAAAAACGCTGTCCACGGTCGTACCACATACACACTACATGCATCTCATGACTGACTGGCTATCTTTTCCCATTACGAATATGGTATGAAAATTTATGGACACATGAATTGACAATGACTAAAAGACTTACCGTCAACTAGTAGTAGGCGAAGAAGTCCCGGTGTATATTATGATGTCGCAGTAAAGGAATCCCAGGTAGAAGCCCGAATTTTGCTTTCAATAATAAAGACCCAAGTAACGCCCACCGAAGCCCCAAGGATATGAATACAGAACAGAACTCCCTGCACAGTAGGCTAGCTCAAGCAGCCCCCATAGGCGCCAACCCAGGCACACCACTAAACCTCTCCTCACGCTCCGTCTTGAACATAATCTGAACCCAAAACTCCTTACTGTCCTCGTCAAACCAATTCCAATACCTCCCCTCACGCCGGTCAATTTCCCTCGCCTGCAACTTAAACCCACAAGTCTGATACGGCTCTGCCGCAACAACAAGATACTGGAAATTCTTATCCGGCGGCTCCTCAACCTTTTGCTCAAACGCACTCATAAACCGCACCCGCGGCTTCACCCCCGGCGTAATCTCCTGATATTGCAACTGAAACAACAACCCCAACTGCCTCGTCAAAGGGTCCTGGATCTTCGTAATCTTGTACCCGGGCCGCCCAATCTTGATCATCTGCTTGCGCACCTGCACGCCCATGGCGCCGGGGATAGAATTCGGGTCCGCATTTTTCCCCTCGCGCGCTTCGCGCGCTGCGCGCCGCGCAAGATTCGTTTGGTGCTTGCGTCCTTGGGTGTGTGCGAGATACGACCCGTCGTTTTGGTGGACTGTCAGGCACAGTCTGCATTCGAAGCTGCCGACATGGTTCTTGAAGAAGTACGGGTCTTTGTCCAGGTCGATTGTTTCGAGAGCGAGCTTGCGGAGTCGTTCGCGTCTGTCGGCGTTTGTGGCGGATTGGGAGGCGACGCCGCCGCCGCCGAATTTGGACCCTGCGCGGTTCTGGGAGGGTGTTAGTGTAAGTTTTTCCGAGTAGAGTGGATGTTGGATGGGATATTTGTAGTAAATATACATACCTGATAATCCATTTTGAATGGATGGAGGGGTTGTTCTCTTTGTTGAGAGAAGCGGAGTGTTGAAGGTGTTTGATATGAAGCTTTGCGGAAATTCGAGTTGGAGATTACATAAGCGGCTGCACTGGGCTGCGATTGGAAGGACGGGCTTCAACCATCGAGCCAATGTTTATGGAAATTACGTCTTGTCTTTAAGATGATGGTGTATTTTATTTCCTAGAAATGAGTCTTTCAGCTACAGCCGAGACCCATTACTGGGTGAACCAGCGGCGATCCTACGATGGGAATTTGTGCACCATCCGCTATGTGGGCAAAGTCGAGGGCACCACTGGAGAATGGCTCGGAGTCGAATGGGATGATCCAACGCGGGGGAAACACTCAGGGCAGCATCAAGGAGTGAATTATTTTACATGTATTGACCCTATACAATAACATCCCCAAGGCAGCTTCAATATCGCCTATCCTGGTGCTTTAGGGTGGACACATGCTAACTTTCCGGCAGGCCAAAGAAACCACCCCACAACCGGGTCCTTTGTGCGGCCGTCGCGCCCAGCGGATAGTCCACGCGGCTTCCTGGATGCGCTCCGGGAAAAGTACGCATCTGAATTCCTTGCGAGACAAACTCGTGGGGATGCGGGCGAGGGTGAGCAAGAGCCAGAGAGGCCCATCGAGTTCAACGGCAAGGTCGCTGAGGAAGTTGGTTTCGATAAGATCCGGAAACAGCTTGCAGAGCTTGAAGAGCTAAAGATTGTACTCGTTGATGCATTGCGTGTGGCGGGTGTGCTTGCGCAAGAGGCCAGCCGTGCGCAGATTGAAGAAGCCTGCAGCGAGATTGAGCGGACTTGCCCTAAGATCGTGGAGCTTGATCTCAGTTGGAATCTTTTGACATCTTGGAGAGATGTTGCTGATATTTGTGGACCGCTTAAGCGGTTGAAGCTGTTGAGATTGAAGTGAGTATCTGTGTGTTGGCTTAGGAGATGAGGTGTGCTGACTGGGTTGCCTAGTGGGAATCGATTTAAACCTGTGGAAGAGGGCCTGAAGTTTGAAGGAGTTGAAGAGCTTCACTTAAATGACACTCTACTTCCCTGGGAACAGGTGCGAGGGATCTAACCGTCGAAAGTACTTCGCTAACTTGCGTAGATATCAGGAGTGGCAGCTCGGTTTCCATCACTTACATGGCTTTCGGCCGCAGGAAACCAGATCTCTATGGCCGCAACTCCAATATCCAACACCATAACTACTCTGGTTCTTGAGAATAACGAGATTACTTCACTTTCTTCTATTAAAGCGTTGACATCACTCTGCAACCTGAAGCATCTCTCACTACGCGGCAACTCCATTGATGAGATTTCGATATCTGATTCTGAAGGCCATTCTTTCAAATTCTCAAATACTCTTCGCTCTCTTGATCTCTCACGAAACAATATTAATTCATGGCTATCTATCAACAAACTCCCCGACCTCTTCCCAGGGCTACAAAACCTCCGCGTATCCGGGAACCCTCTATTCAACCAACCCGTGGGACCATCATCTATCACCGGCATGCCCGAGAAGGCCATGACAGTGGACGAAGCATACATGTTAACCCTATCTCGTATCGCAAATCTACAAATGCTCAACTACAGCACAATATCTGCAAAAGACCGCAACAACGCCGAGCTGTACTACCTGTCTCTAATTGGAAAGGAGTTGTCAGCGTCTCCCGAGACTGCGGAGGCAGATATTATCAAACCACACCCGCGATACAGCGAACTCTGCCAAATCCACGGTGAACCGCTCATCAAACGAGCCTCGAAGACAGCCGGGACAGACGCGGTTGTTAACCCACGCTCTGTTGCTGCTCGACTAGTGCGGATGGCATTCCGCCTACGCCGGGAAGACTCCGACACGGCCAGCAATGATACGGTCAAAGTAAAGGAGATCCCCCGATCATACGATACATACCAGGTGAAAGCAATCGTCTCTCGCTTGTTCGGGATCACTCCTTTCGCGTTCCGGCTCATCTGGGAAACAGACGAACTAGACCCGGTAAGCAAGGAGAATATGGATATAGAAGACGAATGGGATAGCGAAGAGGAGGATGGAGCCAACGATAACGACATGCTGGGCGTCGGGGGAGATGCCAAATTTGCGAAGCGTGAAGTTGAACTCGTGGACACGACGAAGGACATTGGCTTCTGGTTTCAGCCGGATCTTGCAGAGGCTAGGATTCGAGTCGAGGTTACATCTAGTCAGTGATAGGGGCGATGTATATAGGGGTATTGGTAAATACTAATGAATAATGATCTATGAAACCTATCTAGTGATATCTGATAACATTTTGATGATTTACTAAAATTGCTTTGGGTGGCCATGGTAAGAGGTATAGATATATATTGCTCCTCTTGCCTTTTCCCTACAACCGTGTTTAAAAGGCATGAACTGTTTCAGGAACAATATATAATTTAGTAGCTAAACATTATACTAGCTTTAAATTCAGCCAAATTATTAATACGCAACAAAGAGGCCTATCGTATAGTCATAGTTCTGTAGGGTTGAGACTGGCGGTCCAAAGCGGCAAAAGATCTGGGACGGAATGGGAACCAACGCCGCCAGAGCTCCGTAACACCTGAAACCTACACGCCCTCAACCACCTTCAAATCAAAAGCCCTTTGTTGTCCGCGGGGATTCCGTTTAATTTTTCATTTTAGTAACTCATACAAGGAAAGCGCTGCAACCGATGGCAGAATACTGGAAATCAGCAGTAAGTCTCACCCCCCCGATAAGCTCGCATTTAAGCCACCGCACTGTTTTAAATTCAAGCCCTCTGACACCAACACAGCCAAAATTCTGGTGCAAACAATGCAAGATATATATTCGCGACACGGCCTTCGAAAAGACGCAACATGAAGCGACAGGAAAACATCAGAGCAACCTGAAGCGGTTCCTACGAGAAATCCATCGCGACAACGAGCGGCAGCAACGAGACTCACAGCGCGCAAAGGACGAAGTCGAGCGGTTACGGAATTCGGTCGCTGGCGGTGGGAAGGCGGGAAATGATAATTCGTCATGGAAGAAGGGATCATCTGCTGCAGCTGCGCCGACTCCGCAGCGACCTGTTTCGGTGGAAGAGCGGAAAAAGCAGATGGCGCAGCTTGCGGAGATGGGGGTTGCGATCCCAGATGACTACAGGAGTGAGATGGCATTGGCGGGGGATTGGCAGACGGTTTCTGAGAAGGTTATACAGCCGGAGGAGCAGGAGGGGGAAGAGAAACAGCCTACCCTTGGGGTACGGAAGCGGAAGCACGATTTGGATATAGATGAGGAGGAAGAGGAGGCGAAGCAGGAGGCTGAGCGGTTTGTTAGTAAGGGCTGGGGATCAAGGACGCGGCAATATCCTGGTGCGAAGGATGAAGAGGATGACGATTTGGATGCGCTTCTGGCTTCTACAAAGGAAGTGAAGAAGACCAAGGATTTGGGGACGGGGGAAGGCGAAGGCACGCCAGCCGAAGAAAAGTCCCAGACGGAGGACCGCCCGAGCGATGGGACACCAGCTAAGGAAGAGGAACCTTCAACAGCCAACACGGGCGTGGTATTCAAGAAACGCAAGCCCAAGGCCATGAAAAAATAGACAAATGGACCGTGGTCGAGTCTGGATCCAATGCTGGATATGGGCTGACAATGCCAAGCAGGAACCAATGTAGATGCGTAGATGCGTAGAAGTGAGTGACTACGTGGGTGCCAATGCGTAAATACGTAGAATACGACCAGAACTGCAAAGAGGTTGCTGGGGCGAGTATACTGTTGTGAAGATATAGTGTTGTTGCCACCGTTGGCCTTTCCCGGGGAGCAGGCCGTTGTCCGTCCTTCAATCGGCGGGCCCGAACAAGCTCCAATCTTTTAATCTTCACGTTCTCTCCTCTTTTCCCTCGCATCGCGCTACGTCTGCCGTCGCAACAACCCCCGTTTGTCTTCTCTGTCCGAAGCGGAGCTTGCTCGGCGCCGAATACTAAGTTCTGGTGGAATAGTTATTCGGCTTTCGCTTCTTTTCGCTTATCTGACCAGTCCTTGGTGAGTAAAAGAGCCTCGAACGGGCCTCGTTCTTCCCCCCCGACCCTTCCCCGACTTCGAGATGCACCTCCCTCCCCACGCTCTGGATTTTACTTGGGCGGAGTCAGATGGCCAGCTTTATGAGGACGGCAGAAATTGAATATTTCGTCTTACGGTTTCCGAAACTGCCGCGAATGGAGTGGAATGATCCCGCGCAAAGAATGTCCGGTGCTGCGCGGCGTCGAAGAGGTTCCCTGCGGTCGCGTTCTGAGCTAAATCTACCTCAAACATTTTATTTATCAAGCCCATAGGCCGACGAATAAGTGTTTGAGTACAAGAGTACTTAGACCTGGGTGTCGGTGGGGCTATGGTTGATGCGCCTGTGCCTGACTTGAAACCGAGCTCTCGAGCAATTCTCCGACCTGGACATGGATGACGGCGGCCATTTGGACTCTGTTTGAAATCTTTTCTATGACTTGCCAGTTTCCAGAATTCTTATTTTACTCACGATCATTTGGGCTTGCACATACATGACACTGGAATCATGCCACTAATTGTTTTATTGAGACTAGGGACTTCATCGTCAATCTCTGAGTGAAGCCTTGTCGGACACAAACGGTTTTTTGACTACGAATCGAGCGTTCTGCCTGTTGGTTGGTTTACACGGTCACCAAGCATTGAGCCGAAGAACCCGCCTTTTCGTTCTCGTGATATCGGGTGGCATTGGAAAAGTTGATGGCCGATACAACAGAGCACACTCAGCCTCCGGGCGAGCAGCCCCAGCCAGCTGCAGAGGCCACTACTGATCCGGGAGACAATGTTTCTACGGAGCCGTTGCACACGCATACAGACGAACAGTCACATCCGCCCATTGATGTTTCGCTGCCCCCGATTGACAAAACCTTACCAGATCACGACACATCCCTCACAGCCATAGATACATCACTACCGTCAATGGATTCAACGATACCAGCGTTACCTCCAATTGATACGTCATTACCGCCGTTGGATACCACGATGCCCGCTATGGATGATCTACATGGCACTGAGCACTTCTCGTTTGACAGATTCGACGAAGAAACTTCGGGCCACGACTTTGAAAATGGGACAACGGAACATATCCATCAGACCACAGAACACCATGGAGATTCATCCACACCCGTTCCTCAAAACCCAGCTTCGTCAAACGGCGTACATCCACCTGGCCAACACCAATATTATGAGCAACAGCCCCCGCAACATCATTACTCGCCCCAGCAAAATACGCCGCAGCACCATCAGCAATCACCGGCACAAATGCACCAGCAATCGCATCAGCAGTCACAACCCCCTCCTGACATGTACCACAGCCACAATAGCGCTTCCCCTCCTCTGACGAACCCTTCCATGCAGGGACAGCCGTCGCACATTCCGCAGGCGCCCATTGGATCGCCGATGCCTCCGATGGCATCGGTTAGCCAGTATATGGCAGGGTATCCATCGCAGATGGGGATGAATTCAGGGGGGCAAATGCATTATCAGCTCCAGGGAGATGCGAACAAGATGCTATCGGCTAGCAGGCACAAGAAAGAAGTGAAGCGTCGGACGAAAACTGGATGCTTAACATGTCGCAAGCGACGAATTAAGGTACGTGAACAATTTCTATTCCACAGGAAAATTGCAAAACGCGGAGAAGGCGAGTTTGGCGCCTGAGAATTGCGCGAGGGGGTGGGAGGTTGCGTGGTGTTGCTTTCGCTTGCGTTGCCAAAAATCTTTCGGCTCGCGTCCAGCCCACCACCAGGAAACCCCGCCATTTCTTGTCGCTTGTTGACGCTCCCGCCCGCGACTTCCCTCGCGCACTTATTCCCTCGTTCGCCCATTATTGATTTATTTTTACGGCACTCTGTTCATTGAGCTGTTGTTTTACCCCATTACCGTTGCTGACGAGGTAATGCTCCCCGCTAGTGTGACGAAGGCCACCCCGTTTGCCGCAACTGCGTCAAGAGCAAGCGTGAATGCTTAGGCTACGACCCCGTCTTCAAACAGCCCACTCCCTCTGCGATACAGCCAGCTCCTAATCCCCAGCCGTCGCTCGTGGTCAACCCGCAGGACCCCTCCACCAACTCAACAACTGCTCAATCTCAATCATCCTACCCTACTGCCCCTCCTGGCTACGTACCGGCCTCGTCTCAACCCTTCGCTCCCTCGCAGTCTCCATCGACTTCTACAGAACGCTACGAGTACAACTCGTCCATCGACCCTTCACTCAACCAAAACAATTCGCCTAATATGGCCAGCGTCCAGAATGTTGCTGATGGAGGTTTGCAACCAACTGTCAACCCCGCGACAACCACAACTGGGAACTCCGAGCCGACAAGCTTCAGGTGTAAGTTTTGATCTGGGTTTTGCGAATTCTTTTACTGACATTTGCTCTCAGTGAAACAAGTCCAGATTAGCGATCTTCTGGCTTTGCGAGGCATCCCACCCCCACCTCCTCATCCCATCACCGCTCTTCCACCCAACCGCCTTGAGGAAATCCAGGCCGTGTTCCTTGCGACATACGCTCCTGCAATTGATCGATTTTTCGAGACTCGCTGGTTCTCGGAGAAGGCACTGAGTCACCTATTGGCGAACGCTCAATTGATGGCAGAATATTCCGCGTTGATCGAAGCATTCAACGACCGAAACCTGAGCGATCCTAACGTTCTCGCGCGGTTGGAGAGTTTTGAAGCGTCGGTTGTTTGGAGTACCATGACCTTATGCCGCCATGTGATGAATGTATCGAATGGGAGTCAGCAGGATTATGATCTCCTAGCTACTTCCAAACGGCTCGATGTGATTGAAGCGATGATCACTGGCGACCACTTCGACTCAAATCCTCTTGCTCAATTCCCGACCCGGGAACCTGCCGCCAATCCGCCGTCATTACCAGACCAATTGACCCAACGTCAGTTAGACTTCTGGAGTGCGATTGGCTACTTTCTCACCCTCCACGACAATGAAGCTAGCGCTGCGAAGGAGATCGATGATACGCTGGGTCGTTGCCGTACGCTTCTAGATACGTACGAGAACCGAGATGTCATATACTCAATTGCAATTGCTCGCCACCTTGGCCAACGATGGGCCGATTTCCCACACAGCTTCCCTCAGCCGATTACCACGAACGAGAAAGATGCCGGAGCCAAGCTTTATGTTGCGCAGAAATTCCTTGAACAGGAAGCCGGCGGAAAAGGCACCACACAGGTCATTAAACGTCTATGTGGCATGGTCGTCCGATCCTGGTTTGTTTCGCGAGAATAAAGGTGGCTAGCAACCACTTTCCGTTTCTCATCCCATTGCGACGAATTTCTTACCTGTAATATGAGAAAAAATTGTGTTACGATCGTTTCAGCTTAACTAGACCCTGTTTATATTCTCTCTGGATGTTCATGTTGGTGCTCTTTGCCTGTGGAGTTTGTTGTTCATATATCCCATTCTCGATATTATACTTTTTCTCTTATTTGGCCTGTTTTATCTGGGGGATGCCCGCCCATGGCCCGGAGTTATCCTTTTCATGTTTATTCGGATGGGAGATGGCAGCACAATGGCGTTCCGGCTGCGTCTTCGAATATAACTTTCAATTATTCATATACAATGATCATGCATTCCACGGTGGCTTGGATTTTCAATTATCCAATTCTATATACATCTAAATCACATGTTATACGAAAGGATATGCATGTTTCTAAGTGTATCTTCAATCTAAATAACCCCATCTATAGATCCGCCTGCTCCGGCACTGGACTCTTCAACTTCCCCGTCTCCAGCGCCAACCGCACGTTCCCAATCGCCCACTCCTCCATTCCGGTTTGTGTCTTTTATAAAAGGTCAGCCTTTCGAATTGGATCATTGATAAGAAAGGGCAGAGTCACATACCTCAACAGTCCACGTCCCCATATGCGGAACAAGAAGGACATTAGGATTCGAGACAAGACCCGGGTGGACCTTGGGCTCTTCCTCGAAGACGTCCAGGCCTGCGGAGTAGACTTTCCCGCTGTCGAGAGCCTTGACGAGGGCGTCTTCGTCCATGACTGCCCCACGCGCGGTGTTGACGACCACAACGCCGTCCTTCATCTTGGCGAATTCGGCTGTGCTGATTATGTGGCGGGTATTTTTCTAGAAATCTCCTGTTAGCACACAAAATACCAGACCCATATATCAAAATAAAGGAACATACATTCAACGGCAAGTTCAAACTAATCACATCACTCTGCGCCAACAGCTCATCAAACGTCACATACTTCGCGCCATCTGACAGCTCCGCACTCAACTCCCGACGGTTATGGTAGATAACCTTCATCCCGAACGACTCGGCCTTCTTCTTCAGGTTGCGACCTATCCCGCCCATACCCAGGATACCGAGGACCTTGTTTTCTGGATCGTGGCCGAGGCGGGGGAGTGGGCTACCGCGCCACTTGCCTTCGCGGAGAGCGTGCATGCCGGCGTTAAAATTGCGCAGGGCGCCGATGATTAGGAACATGTTTACGTCTGCGGTTGCGTCGTCGACGGCTGTGGGGGTGTTGGAGACGCGGAGCGGGGGAGAGCGAGCGCTGCAGGCGTGCACGTCCACTTGGTCATAGCCGGCTCCTTTTGAGGATAAGTTAATGCTTGTTTAGAGGTTGTACTGTATAAAGAGATGAGAGTAGAGAATTTACCGCAGTGCGCTAAGAATGTCAAGGAGGTAGGTAGGGCATTGACGAGCTCCTCATCGAAGTTGCCTGTGATCGAGGCGGAGTCGAAGGTGCGGTATGCGACGACGACGCCGTCCAGCTTGCCGGCTTTACATTCTGCAAGGAAGTCTGCGCGGTTTGTAGCGGTGGGTGTTACGAGTTCGGCGATATCTCCGAGGGAGTTCCAGGTCGAGTGTGCGCTTGATTCAAGGTACGTTAGCATTGGATACGGTATTGGCTCTCGTAGGTAGCGTGGCGGACATACTGCACGATGCTCCCGAGGAGCAGAACCTTTGGCTTGCCGGGCATTATAAAAGGGCAGATTTTGGATAGCCTATCAGTAACCTTTAGAATGGGGTTTGATAGGGCCGGGTGAGTCATTGGCTGATTGAAGGTATAGAGGTACCTTGGAGAGCGATGACGGAGGGGCAATGCGGGGTCAATTTGCACAGTAGACAGGCTTTGACCAGGGTTGCTAGAGAGGAGACAATGAAGAGGGGCTCGGTAGATAAAGAGGAACTCAGCGAGAGAAAGGGAAAAGAACGCAGAAAGGAGGGATTGAAGGGAAAAGAGAACGAGGCGAGAGTGAGAGAAAGTTGGAGACGAGCCTCCCCCACGTGCCCCACTCGCTCCTCCATTATCGTTCGCGATAATTCATCCCGAAGAGACCATCTGCTCTCTATCAGGCAAGTAGCGCCTCCGAGATGGGCTCGTCGATGTCATTGGTCTGCTAATAAGGCGGATTATAATCCGGGAGGCAGAAGACCAGCACTGCATACCCTCGGATGGCAGCCCGTCCCTGCATGCAGTGGTCACGTCCTGGCTCAGCATCACTTGGTGGTATCTACACCGTGGGGAGACCGAGAGCAGAGCAATTATCTAACTGCTAGAGAATATAGAGGCCCAACAGGAACTCTGAAGAAAGAACAATACTTATCCCCCTTCGTCGACTCTTTGATAGTCTTATCGAGGCTGGAATAGCTACACACCAAGATAGCATCCCGGTGAATTAATGACTGAGCGGAATAAATCCATCCGAGCGTGTGGAATTATCTTCAATAAATAGACTGTTATTGATGACATGTGCTATTTTTCCGGAGGCATATCCGGTTCAATTACTATACAAAGATCACTGATAGGGCTGCACCATCACCCCTCAACAAGCACCCTAGTCCAATCGAACTTCCTCCACCGATTCTGGAACGCGCCAACTCGCCGGTCCCCTCCCCGGGTCCAGCGTCCTTGCCGCTTGATAACCTCTGGCCCCACGTCCAGCATCCCCCCAATGACTTCCCGCGCGAAGAGATCGCCCTTCGGCCACCGATTTGAGTCCTCGACCACATGGCCCAGACCACCGTCGAGCTGGAACCAGACGTGGAAATAGGGCATTTCCTTGGCGAGGGTACGCCGGAAGGCGTTCCGGCCTAGGCCCTGTTTGGATTTTGCTAGTGTATCGATAAGTTTGCGGTGCTGAGTCCACTCCTCGTCCGCGGAGAGGATTGCTTCTTTGAAGAATGCCGGGGATGTTTCCCCAAGACTGTACGGAAGAGGGACGACCTCCATAGATGCGTGTCGCTTGCGGTGGGGCTGCGCGGCGTTTTCGTAGAATATCACGTCACGGCCTTGGTCGTGGTACATACGGGTGAGGCTCTTCATGAAGTTGCGGATCTCCTCCCATTCGTCGTCGTCGCATTCTAGGAGATTGGTTCGGTGCTGGATCGGCACGATCGTAGCGCCTCCCGGGCTGATTTCGGGCTCTGTGGGGAGTGTCATGTAAACTCGCGTGGCGAGGGATACCACCGGGGCAATCGGCGGAGTGTTTGTATCCTCGTGGTGGCATAGAGGGCAGTTATCTAGGATCCGGTTCATCTTCTGCAGTTCGCCGATTGTGGTGCTCTTTAGGTCAATCTCCGATCGATGCACCCGGCGGGCCAGTTTGGAGGCATTGTCATCCATATACTCCAAATCATTCTGTTCGGTGTTAGAGCATAATTCACTATTCAGTATCGACTCGAGAACTTACTTCAAACTTGCCGTCCTTTGCGATCCTCTCCGCTAGACGTCGACCCTCCCCGCCGAACTGGCCGCGACTCCTGCGCTCCTCTTGGACCATATCCTCAATTGTCATGTCCTCATTTTCTTCCACCTTCCCTCGTTCCAAGCCTCGCTTTGTTTCCACATTTTTGACTTCGTTTCTCTTTCCAGCCAGCATTCTGTTGTCCATCACTCCAAGCACCATGACATCGGGCTCCTTTTTATTAGCCATTGATGCTGCAGCCGCATTGTACTGTTCTTCAAGTTCAGCGGCATCTGGGGCTCCCTTCAGCTTCGCTCTCATCATTTGCGCTTTCAATTTGTTTAGCGCCGTCAGGTCGAGGTGTTGCGTAGTTTGCGCTGGGGGTTCTGTCTCCAAGGGTTTTCCTTGCCCGCTAGCGCTGAACTCCTTTTCAGGGTTACGGAGGTGCTCATGAGGGTCACGATGGACGTTTTCTTCTTGCTTTCGCTCCCGGAATAGTTCGCCCGTGGGCTTCTCCTTCCCAACGTAGCCTTCACCATATGTTTCACGTCGATCCAATTCAGCTTCCTCCTCACGAGCATCGTCGAAGGAACGTAGATCGCCAAAGCGTTCAACGGCAATCTCTTCCGCAGATCGTCCGCTTTCTTCCGCCTCCCTGTATACGCCTTTGAGCTTGGTCATTCTCCAGCCGGAACCTGCGTCGCCAATTGTGTAATTCACTTCATGCTCGGCCGGTTCCTGCTCAATATCTTCAAGAGCCTTCCCTTCCTTAAGGTCTTGCAAGTGGGTGTTTAACTCCCTGTTGTGGATTTTAAGTTCGAAGTCGGCTTGCAGCATTCGCGGTTTGGGTTCCTCCTCAAGACGTGTCTTATCGCGCCGCTGTACGTAGTCAATGTCTAAGGAGGACGGCGCTTCCATCCATGCATCTCTCTTCATTCGTGTAGGCTCTTCCTGCGTAACTTCTGCGGCGGGAGCGGATGGTTCCTCTTCGCGACTCTCGCGATGTCGACGCTTGTGGTGATCCCGGTCGTCTCCATGATCTGAGGAACGTCGCGATCGCTTATGCCGATGACTGTCATCATCTCTGCGCGACCCACTGGTTCCATCTGAGCCTCTCTCTCGGGATCGCGATCGGTGACGGTGCGAGCGATGTCGATGCCGATGCTCTCTGCTGCGGTCTCGGTCTCTGTCGCGGTCGTGATGCCGGTGACGATGCTTCTCCTTGTCGCCTCTCTCTCGCCGACTTTCGCGCTCTTGCTCCTCCGCAAGGGATTTCTCGAAATCCTCCAGCGTCATTTTAAAGCGGGTTTGTGGTAGTTGAGGGATGAGAGAAGCAGAAACAATGACGTCGAAAGAAATGGTCGAGACCTTTCTGCCCACCGCCTTCCGGCAATTTCCCCTCACTTTTTGTCGAGACATTTTTTTGTCGAGCAGACATCTGCAGTCAGATTATCCTAAGGGCTTTCCCTTCAGCTTCAGAGCTTCATTGTTTATTTTCTTTGGCTGAAGCTTGAGATTGGATATTTTCACCATGGCGGAATCATCCCCAGTGACCGTCGTCTGCGTCGGCATGGCAGGTTCGTCAGTCTATCTCGATTCCAGAAACTGCGATTCTAACGTTTAATGTGAATCAGGCTCCGGAAAGACGACATTCATGCAGAGGATTAACTCCCATTTACATTCAAAGAAGCAGCCGCCATACGTGCTGAACCTTGACCCGGCCGTCCACTCCGTTCCGTTTGAAAGCAACATTGACATCCGTGACGCCATCAACTATAAAGAAGTTATGAAGCAGTATAACTTGGGTCCTAACGGAGGTATCTTAACTTCCTTGAATCTGTACGCAACAAAGGTCGACCAGATCATCTCCCTGCTCGAGAAGCGCGCAGCGCCGAACCCCGAGAACCCCGCCGCAAAGCCAATCAAACATTTTCTAGTCGATACCCCGGGACAAATTGAAGTTTTCGTATGGAGTGCATCAGGTAGCATTCTACTTGAGACATTGGCTTCCTCGTTCCCTACCGTGATTGCCTACATTATTGATACACCCCGCACGAGCTCGACGAGTACCTTTATGAGCAACATGCTCTACGCATGCAGTATTCTATACAAGACCAAGCTTCCGATGATTTTGGTATTCAACAAGACGGATGTTCAGGATGCAGAGTTTGCAAAGGAATGGATGACCGATTTTGATGCGTTCCAGCAGGCGCTCCGCGAGGAAGAGGAGTCCGGCCAATTTGGAACTGAAGGCGGGGTTGGCGGATTTGGTTCTGGAAGCGGATACATGGGGTCTCTTCTCAACAGCATGAGTCTCATGCTGGAGGAGTTCTACCGACATCTCAATGTCGTAGGTGTAAGTGCCATGACTGGTGATGGAATTGACGAGTTTTTCGAAGCGGTCGAAGAAAAGCGCAAGGAATTCGAGAAGGACTATAAGCCGGAGCTTGAGCGACTGAAGAAAGAGCGCGAGGAAGCACAGGCGAATCAGCGTGAAGTCGAGCTTGGAAAGTTGATGAAGGACATGAATATGGGTGGCTCTCGTCGGGGCAAAGATGAGCCCGAGACTGTCAGTGAAGCGGAGGAAGAGGAAGAAGAAAAGGCTGCAGCAGTAGGTCGGGCCTACGACCCAGAGTCGGATGACAGTGACGACGAGAATGCGCCTCCGGCTGGAGATGATGAAGGACTTAGCGAGCGGTATCAAAGCGCACTGTCGGACTCCAATGCTGGGCCGTCTGATCAAGACTTTAGCTTTGCGCGATACCTGCATAAAAGCAACCTCAACCGGTAGCACTACTGCATGCCCGGTATAGTCATTTTCTGGTGTCCGGCGTTGGTGTCGAAGTCATATACACTACATATTATGCGAAATGAAGTTAAATATTATTTACTTGTACAATGTTTCTCGTATAGTCACTCACGTGCGCTACATCAGATCAGTGACGGTTGTGCGCACAGCCAGTGACATCATACTGACTGAGCTTCACGAAGAGCTTATTTATCCGCAAACTCCCACGTTCTTCCCATCCATTACCAACAATTCGAAGCTATTACAATTTTAGAATTAAACCATGGATGTACGCAAACCAATGTCTCCAACTTTCGCCCAAGCTAACAACCTAGGTCTTCTACGCCTACACCTACTCCACATCAGCATGGCTGGCCCTGCAAAGCGCCGCCCTGATCTCAGTCCCGCAAGGAATCTCAGCAATGCTGCTTGACGAAACCCGTCCTGCAACCCGTAAGGCCCACTATCAGCTATACCTGGTAATCATATCCACTGACACACCACAGCAATCGAGATCTACTTTGCCCGCTGTCTAGGCTTTAGCCTCCTCACAATCTCAGTCCTCACTGCAATGCTCACGGGCTCAATCCCCTTAACGTCAGGCCTCTCAGACCCAATTTCAACCGAAGACCCGGCATCCGAGTCCGACCCCAAAGCACCATACGCTGTGCCCACGCTGATTGTGACATCGGCGTACCATGCCGCGTCGGCTTTCTATGCATACACGCGCTATGTAAGCGATGCCAAGGGAGTCTTTTTAATTGCGATTGTGGCCTACTCGACTATCGCTGCGGTGGGGCTGTGGTGTGTGCTGTTTGCGAGCAGCCATGGAAGGATTAGTCGGCGGACGGGGGTGGATAAGCGCACGTCCGGGTTTCCGTTCAAGAATAAGGAAGCGAAGAAGAAGCATGAGAAGGGTCTTTAAATGTTTACGAATGTACGTACGGATACGGACTACGGAGGATGCCGATGCTAAGCTTCGGGGAAATGAGCATGGCGCGATTGGGGTGTTATCTATGCAAATCTTGACTGTGGGTCTGCAGCTGCAGATCGGCAGCAGGAGATAACCAAAGAATAAATGGTCTGAAGATTTAAAGGCGCAACTTTCCCCTTGCTAGATTCTAATTCAGTAGATGCAGCCATGCAGTTCCTCAAATCCATTTTCGCCGGGTTGCTGTTCTCCCTCTCGATGCCTTCGGGCACGGGGGCGTCAGATCTATACAGACAGCACAATAAGATCTCCCCCAAAGTCTTCATCGTCTCGATGGTGCGTCCACAAACAATAAAAAGAAAATCACCCAGCTAATAATTTTGCTAGTTCACCCCCGAAGCCCAAATCTGGCACAACATCCCCGAATTCAACCTCCTGGCCCACAACATCACCCTCCCCGGCCTCTCCCCCCTCTTCCCTTCAGTCCACTGCACTTCATCCTATGAAGTCTGCCAACTCATCACCGGCGAAGGCGAAATCAACGCCGCATCAACCCTTTCAGCCGTAACCCTCTCGCCCACCTTCAACCTAACGCAAACCTACTTCCTCATCGCCGGAATCGCCGGAATAAGCCCGGAAATCGGACCTACAGCATCCGTCACCTTCGCGCGCTTCGCCGTCCAAGTCGCATTACAGTATGAGTTCGACGCGCGCGAGATCCCCGCAAACATGTCCACGGGATACCTACCCCAAGGCTCAACCAGTACAGCAACGACGGCGCAGTTCCCGGGCAGCATCTACGGGACGGAAGTCTTCGAGCTGAACGCGGCTTTGCGCGGAATCGCACTGCAATTCGCCAAGAACGCGACGCTGGCGGATTCGAAGGCGGCGGCTGAATACCGTGCCCTGTATGCTGGTGCTCCTGGTGGGCTTTATGATAATGCGACGGGTGCCCCGCGGGTGATTGCTTGCGATACCTCGACGAGTGATGTGTATTTCAGTGGGAGATTGTTGGGGGAGGCGTTTGCGAATACGACGCGGGCGTGGACGGGTGGGAAGGGGGTTTACTGTACCTCGCAGCAGGAGGATAATGCGTCGTTGGAGACGTTGCTGCGCGGGGCGCTGGGTGGGTTGGTTGATTTTGGGAGGATTATTGTGATGCGGACGGCGTCGGACTTTGAGAGGCCGCATTTGGGGGAGACGGCGCAGGAGAATCTGTTTGAGGCGGAGGAGCAGGGGGCGTTTGAGCCTGCGGTGGAGAATCTTTACCGGGCGGGCATCAAGGTGGTTGAGGGGATTCTGGGGGATTGGGAGGGGAGGTTTAAGAGGGGCGTTAAGGCTGGGAATTATATTGGAGATGTGCTGGGGACTCTTGGTGGGAAGCCGGACTTTGTACCGCAGTCTGGTGTGGCCAAGAGGGCTACCAAGGGGGGACGATCCAGGAGGTGAAGTATATCGGGTGAAAGGTTATGGGACTGTACTCGACAGAGACCGTATATAGCATATACATCATAGTAGATATACTATACATAGACAAATCGGAAGTGCTTGCAGGCTGACCCACGGCAGTCGTATACTTAAGGCCTCCCATCCCAGGATCTTGCGATAAGGTTGACAATGGATTGTAATTCTTATCTATTTTATACTTCGCTGCTGACGGGTTGAAATAATTTTAATTTTACTTTGCATTTGTAGTATAGGCAATTCCAGCTAATGAGCTGGCTGTCAATATCATTCACACGAAACTCTAGACCAGGTATCTAAAACGAAAAAAAAGAACAAACCCCAACGCCATGCAGAACCATCTATCATGAAAGCCCATTCCTAGAATCATCACTATCACTCGTAGGCTTAGCCCTAATCGCAGCCACCTTCTGCTCCTCGTCCACTTCCTTTTTCTTCGCCCGCCATCTCATCCAAAAGACCACTGCAAGCCCTATAATCCCAAGTCCCGCTACAGCAATACCAACCCCTATCCCTGCTTTGGTACCGGTGCTTAGACCATCGAAACTACTGGAACTAGGGGCATCACAGTAGAAAATGACATCGTGTTTCACGCCGACGACGATGCTTTTTTGGAGTTTGTCGCAGTCGTAGGCTTCGTCGGTGCGCACGGAGACCGCGGAGTAGTTGGTTAGATTCGGGAATTCGAGACTGTTGATGTTAGATATTGAAGATACTAGAAAGTGGAAAGTGGCATACCTTGCAATACTGGGCACGTCGATGTAGATGTATTGTGCTGTTTCAGCGGGCAGACTCAGCGTGAGCGGCTCGTCTGTATAGCACTGGAACATGTCGAGTTTCTGTATCGAGGGCATTTCGATTCTGATCGGTTAGAATACGGTAAATAAAAAAAAAAGGATAGGAGACGTACGTAGAGATATTACCCTGGAAGTCAATATTCTCCACCGTGTCCAGTTTTGGAAGGCTTGGATTGAGGTTCGGGCCCTGGTGGTAGATATTCATATGAGAAGCCGTAGTGACAAGCTCAGGGAGAGACAGACTATATAATTAGTATGAGTGTTTAGAATTAAGCCAGGATATAATTACTTAGCGATATTCCCGCCAAACTCAGCTCGCCCGTTTATCTGCTTCAAAGCAGGGAAAGAAATGTTCATTGATCTCTCTGGAGCTTCATCCGGATCACAATGCCCATCTTGACAAACAAAGAGGGTATTATTAACCGTATGCAAGGCATCAAATGCCATACTGGACACGTCAGTACCAAGTCATTTCATCACAGCCGGGATAATACCTAGACCAGTTTCCATAAAGCAACAGCGCATCCACACGCTCAAGCAACGGAAAGTCCAGAACCGGCTCGGCAGCAGATGTATTGAGATAAACGTTCTTGATATGTCGCACTTTCGGAAGGGATATCCGGGCTAGGTCCAGCGCATCGCTAATCCATAGACCGGATAGGTATTCGGCATCGGGTATTTCAACAGACGCCAGTCTGTCGCTGGCGGTGATAATGACATCGCCTGTTACATTGGTGATATTGGGGAGGACGAAGGAGTCTGTATAGTTGGTGCCGAAGCGAACCGTGCTGTTGACTGTTGTGCAGTTGCTGGTGAAAGAGTCGAGACTTTCCTGAGTTGATATATTGAAGAATGCTCCTTCGGGTGTACAGATCCGGGCGCTGGCGTCTGTGACAGTTAGTATAAGCAATTATAGAGTGGATGAAGACCAACAGGGTAACGCCGCCGCCAGCAGCAGCAAGGGTGAAAACATGGCCGGTGCATGAATCGCAGCCGGAATAAAGCGGCCTGACGAGGCATCTTAAATAAATAATTTAATGAACGACTTCTTATCTTGTAGCCTGAGAGGGGCAGAGCAGTGGCTGGCGTTAAATCCGAGGCCCCGGATCTAACCCAACTCGCTCGAACTGTTGGGAGTATAACTGCGCTGATTCGTCAATTAACAAAAAAGAAATCCTGCGCCAGCGGAGACTAAGTCGCATTCAATTAATCCACGCTAGTCGCGAGGCTTGTCGGGTCTCTGGGGCATGGCTGAGGATCGGCTCTATACGTTGCAGCCTTGTTCTACACCAAAAACGGTCAGGAGTTCGTCAACGATATTCCACTTACCAGACGAACCTGCTATTAATATAATAGCTTGTAGAATAAAAATCTGCCGGGTCCCGAGTACGTGCGTGGTCGGCTCCACTGAGGCGTCCCCAGCATCTTGCGCAATCAACCAGTCCCAGGTTGGAATAACGTCGTCGTCACCAATGGTCTAACGTCTAACTCTTATATCGCAAGTAAAGAGTTGCCACCCGTTAGTCTCGGGAACTTGCCGCATTGAGTACTTTAATCCTTGCATAGCCTTACGTTTACCTATCTTGATGTAGTAGGGCTAAATCCGACATCCATAGTAAGCATGAATACTGAGAGCCCACCACAATCTGTATAGCAAACAAAGCTGACATGCTAGAATAATTGAACAATCTGTTTCAGGATGTGTGATTCAACTCTCCCTCAATCCACTCCTCCACACTCGTCGGCTCCCTCCCAAGCAACCACCTGAGAACATTCGGACTCCCCTTCAACCCCCGCCGACTATAAAACAAGACCAGCCTCTCCGCCTCGTCCCTCGTAATATCCGGCCTCAAGTCCCCCTGCGCCGCAGGCCATCTCAAATCCCCCTCCACCTGTTCCCCGACATACACCCCGTTCTGCTTCCCGCCATACAACAACTCCAGCGCCTTCTCAACACCCTCTTCAATCGAGGGCGTCGGGACAGTAATCTTCTTCCCCAGCCGCTCGGCAATGATCTTTATAACATCGACATTTGCCACTGGCAATGTCGAGCAGAGCGGATACTGCGCGAGATAATGCGCTTCCCGCTCAATGAGCACGCGCGCCGCAGCCTCAGCCAGATCTTTCAGCGCGACGAGACTATTCGGGATATGCGGATTGAATAGGTTCCACTGATACACAATTTCAGAATCCTGCATCGCCGCAATGGTCGATATAGGGAAAGCGTCCATGAAATTCGTTGGCTGGAGGATGGTGTAGTTGAGCGGACTGAGGAGTAGGCGTTCCTCGACTTTACTCTTGAGGTCGTGCTGCATGAGGTTTCTGTGCTGGGTGCCGAGAACGCTGGAGTAGACGAAGTGTTTGAATGAGGAGTCTGGCTTTTGGGACTCGTATACGGCGGCGTCGATCATGTTGAGGCCGATTTCGGCTTCGTGGGAGTGCAGCGAGGGGCCGACGTGGTAGACTGCTGTTGCGTCGGTGAGGAGGCGGAGGCAGTCGTTTAACGAGGTGGTGTCGCATACTTGGACTTGGGCGTTTGGGTATGCTGCTTGCAGGGTTGAGGCGGATGAGGGGGTGTGTGCTGCGAGGCGGAGTGTGACGGGCTTGTTGTAGAGGAGGGGGATCAGTTGGGAGGTTTGTCTGCCGCCTGGGCAGGTTATCACGATGATTTCGCCCATTCTGATGGATATTGATGGGTTGGTGTTGATGGAATGTAAGCTATTGGGATGGGGATGTAAGATGTAAGATGTAAGAGGGACTGAGGGAATAATATGAGATCATCACTCGACTGGAGGTCCGTGACAGGAATACAACAAAATAAGGCGTGCCGAACTATTCTTGCATTTGGCTGTACAGTGTACATCTTCTGACTGCTAGTGCTGACCGATAATAATGCTGCCTGATGCACTGCCTAACATGGAGCTATGTAGTGACCTGCATCTTCACGTTCCCTTTGCATTCTTTGAAATGTACAGCGATGAGTATAATGACCTTGGCTGACCTTCCCCAAGAGCTAATCCTCTCCATCGCCGACTTCGCACGCATCAGAGACACCAACACCCTATCCCAAACATGCCATCTTCTACACAACATCCTCGACCCATATCTCTGGCGCGGCAACCAAAACAACGCCTTACTATGGGCGGCCTCACACGCAAACAAGTCGACAGCACGTAAAGCCCTGCAACAAGGCGCCGACATCAACACCCAAGCCCCTCCGACCGATAAGATCCTCTTCAAATATAACTGGGGCAGAACTGTCGAAAAGATATACACCCAGACCGGAGCCACCCCGCTCACCCTAGCAATTGCCGCAGGGAACGAGGACACAGTCCGCTTCCTGCTGAAGGTCGATGGCATCGACGTCAACCGGCGCAGCGAGAACAAAGAGCAGCCGCCGCCGCTGACTCTGGCAATTCTAGCTGGGCATGAAGAGATGGTTCGAATGCTGCTTGGCGTCTCAGACATCGATACTGAAATCATGGAATGGTATTCATGCGGACGCCCGTTGATGGTCGCCTCGATGCTGGGGCTGGTGGGGATGGTGAAATTATTCCTAATGCACGGGGTGGACCCTGATAAGGGGAATTGCTTTGCGCAGTCGCCGTTATGGCTTGCGGTATATCGGGGCCATGCTGAGGTTGTGACGATGCTGATTCAAGCCGGTGCCTCGCCGCATCCTATCGACAGGACACTATCCGGTCCTTATGGCTGGTATGCAGAGCCGGTGCAAAGCGCAGTCAGTGGGGGGAGGCCAGAGATCCTGCGGGAACTGATCAAATCGCCGCGCTTTGATGCAGCGAAGCTGAGTCGGCCGGTTGAGCAGTTGCAGCACGATTGTATCCGCGACAACGGGGTTGAGTGCTGGCGGATACTCTTTGCGCTGGGCTGTCAGGATCCAAACTGGAGTGAGGATGGGCGGACGGCGCTGTGGTGGGCGGCTGCGTATGGCCATGAGGATATTGTGCGGTCGTTGCTGGCTGTTGATGGGGTTGATGTGAACACTGCTGGTCGTGGGGATACCTTTACGCATGAGTATATTGAGCGGATGAGAAGGCTGGGGCCCCCTGGGTATGGCGAGGGCGTTACGCCGTTGATTGTGGCGGCGAGAGAGGGGCATGTTGGTGTAGTCAAATTATTGCTTCAAGCTGATATTGATGTCCATGCCAGGGACGAAGAGGGCGAGACTGCGTTGATGGCAGCGCAGTCGAGAGAACATGAAGATGTTGTGAAATTAATACAAATAAAATTGACAGAATAATTAATCTAGCATAATAATCCTGACTTAGGGATATCTCAACCAAGTTAGGGCTCAATATCAAAGAACTGGTTTTCGACTAACCCAGTTCAAGTTGCTTCATAATTAAGAGAAGAACTGGTTCTCTGGCCGCGGCAGTCCCAGATGCTCTCTCAGCGTCGAGCCCGTATAGTCCTGTCTGAAGATGTCTCTGCGCTGCAGCTCCGGGACCAAACGCGTCGTCACATCGTCCAGACCCTGCGGCAGGAAGGGAAAGACGACCGTGAAGCCATCCGCGCCCTCTTCGCGCAGCCAGACTTCCATCTCGTCCGCAATCGTCTGGGGTGTCCCCACAAACGCAAGCCCCGAATACCCTCCCAGTCTCTGTGCCAGCTGCCGCACCGTCAACTTCTCCTCCGCCGCCAGCTTCACCACCCCAGCACGAGCTGTATGACTCGCATTCGTCTCCGGCAGCTCCGTTGGAAGAGGCCCGTCCGGGTCGAATCCAGAGGCGTCAGTCCCCAGAGCAATGGACAAGGTTGCAATCCCACTCTCATAATGCGCCAGAGCATCCAACTCCAACCGCTTCGCCTGCGCCTCCTCCACCGTATCCCCAACAATAACCAGCGCCGCCGGCAACAGCTTCAAATGCTCCTTATTCCTCCCCGCAGCCTCCGCCCGCCCCTTGATATCCCTATACAACTCCTTCCCCCCCTCCAGATTCTTCGGCGAACAAAACACCACCTCCGCCGTCTCCGCCGCCAACTGCCTCCCCGGCTCACTCTGCCCAGCCTGCACAATGACCGGCCACCCCTGCACAGGCCTGGCAACATTCAACGGCCCTCTAACCTTCAACTCATCCCCCTCATGATCCAGCACATGCATCTTCCCCGGATCAAAAAAGATCCCACTCTCCCGATCCCGCACAAACGCATCGTCCGCAAAACTATCCCACAGCCCCGTCACAACATCATAGAACTCCCGCGCCCGCTTATACCGATCCCCATGCTGGAGATGCTCGTCCTGTCCGAAATTCTTCGCCGTCTCCGGGTTCCCGGTTGTAACGATATTCCACGCCGCTCGCCCGTTACTCAGGTGGTCTAGCGACGCGAATCGGCGCGCGATATGGAACGGCTCATCGTACGTCGTTGATGCAGTCGCCGCGAGACCGATCTTCTCTGTTACTACGGACAGCGCCGAGAGCAGCGTGAAGGGCTCGAAGGAGGTGACTGTGTGGCTGCGGCGGAGGGCTTCGATGGGCATGTTCAGCACGGCGAGGTGGTCGGCCATGAAGAAGGCGTCGAATTTGGCGGACTCGAGCTTTTGGATGAACGACTTGAGGTGCGTGAGGTTGAAGTTGGCGTCCGGGTAGGAGCCGGGGTAGCGCCAGGCGCCTGAGTGCAGGCTTACGGGGCGCATGAAGGCTGTTAGGTGGAGGTGTTTGTCTGGCATGATGGATTAATTGAATTGGTATTAGATGGTTTGTTGATGCTTGTTTGGTTATTGGAGCTGGTCATTCGTTTAAATGTAGATGTATGACGGATTACAAATGGATGGCGTAATATGCGCTGCGATCGCGACATGAGGGGTGATCATTAATCAATGCTTATCTTGCTCGGAGTTTGCGGATGAACATCGTCATAGTTATTATATATCATTGGTAAGCAAGGATTCGAGAAGATACAGTGTAGTATACAGTGGGAGGGTCCAGTAGGTGAACTATAGAAGTTATAGAACCATCACGACATTAGTTACTTTAATAGAGGCCGGCTCTTAAATGATGAAACAATAAAAGAAGTGCCTAGCAATTATTGAGATTGATTCATACAGTAAAACACCCCCATGCGATGCAGATGCACTATCGTATATACATTACAGGTCGTCCTTCTCACCCCCCAAATTCTCCGCAAGCTTCGACCTCGCCCGAATCTTCGGCCCCCACTTCATGAACGCAAACGGAATCATAGCAAGCACCGTCGCGGCAATCGCCAGAATCAGCCCGGCATACTGACTACCCACATTATGGAAGAACTGCGATGCAAAGAGCGGCGAGACCGCGCCCAGTGTATTCCTCATCAAACCTTGTCCTGCAATCGCAGACGAGGAGCTCTCGCCGTAGCAGTCAGACGTGAAGGAGTATGTCGACTCGAAGATGTAGAAGATTCCAATGGCGATCGGGGCAAGTGCGATAGCAGGCCCGGACCAGTGCAGGTATCCGTACTGGGTGAAGGAGTAAATGAACAGGCCGACGGGGAGCCAGACGGCGCCGAACATTGCACCATAAAGCCGGGACTCGGGAGGGACGGGCCGCCCCTGTTGCGCTGCGGATAAGGCCTTGTATTTGCGGATTTGGATAAAGTTCGTAGCGAAGCCGATGGTTGTGCCGATGCACAGGGAGATGTAGGGCAGGCCTGCGACGCCTTCACCCCAGCCGCGCTTTTCGGAGAAGGTGATTGGGATGACGGAGAGGAAGAGGAAGGTTACGAACCAGGCGAAGCCGATCCAGAGACCGAAGGCGAAGACGGCCGGTTCGGTGGCGAGCATGTGCACGGCTTTGATGGAGGAGTTGTGCAGGGCGTGTTTGAGGGTTGGGGCTTCGAGCTCGGATTTGCTCTTGTAGCGCGCGTCGGAGGTTTGGTCGCGGAGGAGCTTTGCACGCTTTTGCATGATTGCGCCGCCGCGGGTTTCTTGGAGGAAAAGGGCGACGCAGAGGATGAGGGGGATGTTGGCTAGACCCTGGATTCCTTCGATCCAGCGCCAGCCGATGGCTTGGTCGATGAAGCCGGCGTAGATCGGGGCGCCGACGGTGCCGAGGATGGCGACGTACGTGAAGGCGGCCATGGGGACGGCACGCGTATCGGGTGTGTACATGTCGCTGAAGGTGCCGCCGACGAGGATGGTGCCGACAGATCCGAAGAGACCGAGGAGGGCGCGGCAGACGAGGATTGTCCCGATGTTCTTGCCTAGGGCGAGGCCGACGAACATGATCGAGAACAGGATGAAGGCGCCGACATAGATGACCCGTCGTCCAACCAACTCACAGAACGGAGCGAGGAAGAGTGGAGCCAGAGCACAGACAAAGTTGAAGAAGAACAAACCCAGCTGGCCCATTGTGTTGGAGACGCCAAATTCCGCCGTCATGCTGTCGATACCGGAACTGTAGGCCGTTGTAGCGAGCCCAACAAACAGGGTCATCATACAGAGAAGGACCGAGATGAACGCCTTCTTAGCCAGAGGCCAATTGAATGGGTTCTCAGGGTCGCCCTCGAGGAAGGTCAATTCAAGAACATCCTCGCCGGTCTTCTCCATATGCCGAGGCTCGATGGCAGTCGGGGGGAAGTCAAAGTCGACTTCTTCAGCCTCTCCCCGACCAGAGGTATGCGTGGCCAGCTTCTCTGTTTCCTCTCGGTACTTGCCTCCTACAATCCACGACTTGGTCTTCTCATCTTGGGTAGCGTCTCTACCGTCGTGAAAGTCGTTCAGACCCTTGCCGGTCAATTGTTGGGAGGGTTTTGACATGTTTGGGGAAGCCGTTCTGGGTTGACGGTTGGGGAAGCATATCTGGAGGTGGGAAGCCGGGGGCTCTTATAAACACTAACTCACGTTACTGCGTCAGAAAATTTCTTATCCCAGGGCAAGAATCGCGAGGCAATGTGACGACAGCGAAGCCAAAGTATGTCACCGGTGGAGATCCCGGGGTGAGACCGAGAGACTGAGCGCGAGCATCGGGATGCCGAGTCGGCCCACATCCTTGGATAAGCCGATTTTATACGGCCTCAACCACGGCATAACCGGTCCCCTCCGTCATTTCTCCGACCGAGAGGGGCCGCGGGTTTCCTTGATTGGACACAACCACGACACGTTCTGCGAACCAAACGGGTAAACATCGGTGAAGAACGGGTCCGGAAACTGATCGGAGGATCCACTACTTGAAAATTGGTTCAACGAAACATGGAACTGTTGTTGGAAGGTCAGACGACGGCGAGAGCTCCAGCTGCGAGCATGGTTGAAGGTCGTGAATGGTCAGCTATCATGCTGTTCCTGGCGCCGAGGCTTGCCACATTATTGGCAGCTTTGCCTTGCCTCTGATCTTTATCCTTTCGTGCTCTTTACTGAACCCGGAAACAAGCCGGTGAGATGGAATGGTAAGGTATCGGCAGTCTTTGTTCACTCAGACGCCCATCTGGGGACCAACACGCGGGGAAATAATCCAACCAGAACTAAGAATATCCTGTTAGGTGGGAAAATGACAAATCTGCACTTGTTTCGCAGCGAGGCAATCAACCAACGAGTCATCCACCCGGCTTCTGATGGCGATGGCGGGGCTCGGACTTGAAGGGCAGCCGGAACGATACGGAGATGGATGGACCATGTCACACGAGCAGGGTAATATCGTGAGCCGCGTGACCGACAGGATAGCTATGGAGCATAGTCAATTATGGAGCGGAGTACAAGAAACATGGTAGTGCTGGATGGCCAGCAGACTCATCTGGATATCTGTGCTATGATCCGGTGGCGTGTTGCAAAACCATATTCCACGCTCATAGTCGGGCGCGACGCATTATCCGAATGGGACGCGAAGTGGGACGGCTTTCTGTTCCCTTTTATATCCCATGGCCTCAATTAGCACTTGGGCAGGGAGAACCTCAATGTGAACCGACCGTGGAACAAATGATTGGGCAGACGCGAGCAACAATCCAGGATGTAAAATATGTCCGCGCTGCGTGTAAATTGATTTTCGGATCGATGAGGGTAGCAGTATTTTGGCCAGGGTCTCCAATCGTTATGATTGTTAGCAAGCGTCCTTGAGTAGGTAAAGAGTTCTGACCCCAGATACCGGCATCCTGACGAGAAGGTGTGGAGTCCCTGTCTCTGAAATATTCAAACATTGGTGTTCCAATTGGCTACCTCAGTTTTGTAGTGTCCATCATTGAAGCTCGAAAACTAAGCTGTAAGTGGATGGAGAAGGCCTAAGGAAAAGTTATGTGATGGAAAGTTATCAGGGAGAAAGAGACAAAGTGAAGCCAAAGTAACACACCAAGATCACTCAAATCCTGGGTTTCACTCCCCCAAAAAGATACAATTCTACTAGAGAATTTACTTCTGCAAGATATTCATTCCTCATATTAAATGTATGCCTGGATCTAGTTATATAACTAGAAACGCATATCCATATTACCATATCCACCTCAGCCTGAGAGACAAATCCACAATCCCATTACAAGAACCATTCCACCACATCATGGAAATATCTTCACGAAAACAAATGAATAAGAGTAAAATTCGCATCACCCTCAGGCATCATCATCCAAACGGCATACGGCATCGCCACAAGAAGCAGACTGCCCGCCGAGGCCGGCTTAAACATGGTAGTGAGACGGATCTCGTTGTTCGAGACAGCCCTCGCAACCCACTGGTCCCAGATCTCCATATCGGGCTGGTCATCCATGATGTTGATGTTGACGAGCGCCTGGCTGAACTGAGTTCCCGGTGCGGTCTGAGTCTGGCTCTGAGTGGCCGGAGTCAGAGCATGATACTGAGGTGCGTTGGTCTGAGTTTGGCGAGTCAGAGGTAGGATCAGGCCCGGGGTACGGGGACGGGGCAGGGATTCTCTGTAGGTCTTGTAGGCGGCATCGAGGAGGTCGACGAGGTCTTGGATGGTCTTGTCCGGGGTGTTCTGGGGGGCTTGAGGCGCGGCCGGTGTGACTTGAAGCTCAGGATTGGTCATTTTGTCTAGACTCAGGTCAGAAGAGTTGAGGATAAGCTGAAGATACTTGCCTTCTGTTCACGTGGGATTGTTGGTTGAGAAAGGATTGGAGTTTGACAGAGTAAGAGAGTTGTGTTTTTCTGTAGTGTTATTCACTTGGTCGTTCACGGTACGACGTCGCAGACAGCATCTTCATCTACACTGCTTACAGGTGTAATGGGATGTCAGTGCATTCACCAGTCACATATTCACTACCAAACAGGTGTTAACAGTATTTAATCGCTGACTCGCACATGAGAACAAACAGAAAACTACATTCACATGAGAAAATGGCACACCCTTCACAACTCCCACAACTTCCTCACCTCCCACAAAATCTCATCCTCCTCATCGCCGAAAAGCTCAACTTCAGAGACACCAACGCCCTAGCACGAACATGCAGCACCCTATACGAGCTCCTAAACCGCTACCTCTACCACCGCAGCACCAAATTCCGAGGCCAAAGATCCGCAGTCCTCTTGTGGGCATGCAAGAACATCCAGCCCCAAACCGCCCGCCATGCTCTCCGGGCCGGGGCAGACATCAACGCGTTCGATACATCGTACTCTCCTGCGAGTGCAGCCCTGACCCGAGCACTAGAATGGATCGGTCCAGCATCAAAAGCCCTGGTTAACCGCACATCATGGAAATCCATACCCGAGGCAGAAAAGGAACGAATTATGGAAGACCTGAAAGTGCGATGGCATCTTCTACTAACGGTCTTGCTGTCCCACGGCGCAAACACAAACACCAGAGGAACGGACGGGTTAAGGCCATTGCATAAGACGATTGCGTTACCAAATGCGGTAAATATTATCAAGGGTTTGGTAACCCATGGTGCATCTGTTAATGATCCCGGCGATGATATCACCCCGTTGCAAATGGCTGCCTGGGCAGGGAAGATCGATATAATGGAGTTTCTCATAAAAGATGGAGCCAGCATCAAAACGCGCAGGAAGCAAACTGGCGAGACGGCACTGCATGCGGCTGCGAGGGCGGGGAGGGTCGAAGCAATGAAGCTGCTTCTTGAGCATGGGGCTGAGGTTGATGCGGGGGATTTTGGCAAGAGTACGCCTCTGGACTATGCCCTCAAGTATGCAACTGGGTTGCCGAAACGGCCGATTATTGAGTTTCTAGCTGCGAAGGGGGCTGATGTTTTGGCGGTGAATATCTCGGCGTTGAAGAGGGTTATCTTGGATGAGTATTTTATGGAGGCTGTGGAGTGTTGGACTAGCTGTGGGAGTGAGATCTCAGTTGAAGAGGACAAGATTTTGATAGACTTGGAGCAATGGTGTGAGAGACCTCATACGATCAAGTGTGTTCTGGCCACGACCAGGAGTACGGCTACTGGTGATAGTAATTGAAGTAATTCTCGATACTTGATAAATGTAATAATCTAGACAAGTAATCATGGGAATATTAAACACTATCAAATCAATAAGTACGCCAATTGCAACCCGCATTCTGCTTCTTCTTCTTCTTCGGAACCTTCGCCAACGCATTCGTCTGGATATGCCAAATCTTCCTCCCAAACTGACCAACTTCGGCCCAAAATCCTGCAGTATCTCCTCACCCGGACAGCCCTCATTAACAGCCTCATGATATTCCTCATCCTCCATCTCCATCTCGAACATAGTAAGCCTCCACACCCACTTCCACCTTTCAATCACCAAACAAGCTTCATCACTCTCGGAGCTTACATCCGTCGCAACCATATAAAACGACGAGCGCTTCGCATAGAACACAACCAGCTTGAATAATTTCACCGTAGCAATCTTATCAAACGAGTACAATAGTGTCTTGCATATCTTGGCAGTGTAAAGATGTGTTACTAAACTAACTGATGGTGAACAGTGCTGGAGGGAAAACAACACACCACAAATATATCAAAGTTTCGAAACAATTCTATTAGACATACCTACGATCTAGCAATCTCAAGCTCCGCCGTATACCAATTCTGAATCGCCTTCGTATCCCCCGTAATCGCCACAGTATCGTATTTCTCCCTCTCCGCCCTCGCAACAGTCCCATTATTCACCATCCTGCCCGCCCACTTCCCATGTCTCCTCGCAGCCTTGACGACTTTCTCAACAGCATCCACAAACACCGGCTCATCTCCCCGCGCAGGGACATACCCCAACAGACTCATCGCCAGATCATTCGGCCCAATAAACACCAAATCCACCCCCTCCACCGCACAAATCTCCTCAACATTCTCCACCCCACCCCTCGTCTCAATCTGAACCATCGTGATAATCGTCTCATTCGCAGAAAGCATATACTCCGGCGTCGTAAGTCCATGTCCAATCGCAGGAAACGCAGAGCCCTGCCCACGCACGCCCTGGGGTGGGAATTTCGCCGACGCAACAACCTGCCTCACCTCCTCGGCGTTGTTTATCTGGGGTACCATAATCCCGTGTGCACCTGTGTCTAGGGCCCGCTTGATTATGTCGTGCGTTGGGCCCCGGATGCGGATTATAGGGGACACGCCAAGGGCAGAGATCGCGGCGACGGAGTTGTGCATGGAGTCGTCGCTGATGTGGCCGTGTTCGCAGTCGATGATGATCCCGTCGAGGCCTGTCAGGGCGATTATCTGGGCGATCCGCACGGAGGGGAGGGCCATGAATGTCATCAGGGGGAAGGCATTTTGGCGTAGTTTGTTGAGCAAGCGCAGGCGGGGGTTTTGGAGGGGGGTTGTTAGGGGGGTTGGATAAGACATTTTCAGTTTATTCGTTTAATTTAGTATCTATCTTGAATATAAATAGTGAGTCGGCGTTTGCCTTCGTGGAGGAGCTCTTTGGAGGAGCTCCTCCACGCCCTAACGACACTAACGACACTAACAGGCCAACACGAACAAGACTAGCAGGACAGATGAATTGGAGTAACATGCACTCCGATTGTAACATGCATCTGATTGGCCGTGTTGTCTGGGGTAATCCGGGACAACTGCATATAGTCACGTCCTCCTACCCCCACTGTCCTCTACCAGAGTATTGACCATGGACGACGACAAAACCTCTATCGCAGGCCAGGTCATCGACCGCATGCCCGACTGCCTTCGCGCCCTGAGCGAGGACGAAATGAAAGCCCTCAACCGCAAGATCGTGCGCAAGGTCGACCTTGTCGTCCTGCCCACCATCGGCATCCTGTACATTCTCAACTATATCGACCGCCAGAACCTCGCTGCCGCAAAGCTGCAAGGCATCATGGAAGACCTCAACATGACGACCCAGCAGTTCGCAACAGCCGTCTCCATCCTCTTCGTCGGCTATCTACCCTTCCAGATCCCCTCCAACCTGCTCATCACCAAAATCCCCCGCCCAGGCCTGTACATCTGCCTGGCCGTCGTCGTCTGGGGCGCCATCTCCGCCGCCACCGCCGCCGTCAAGAGCTACAAGCAACTGCTCGTCGTCCGCGCCATCCTCGGCGCCGCAGAAGCCGTCTTCTTCCCCGGTGCAATCTACTACCTCTCCGCGTGGTACACCAAAGCCGAGCTCGGAAAACGCATCGCAGGCCTCTACATCGCACAGCAAATCGGCAACGCCTTTGGCGGGCTCTTCGCCGCCGCAATCCTCCAGCTCGACGGCGCCCACGGCATCGCGGGCTGGCAATGGCTGTTCATAATCGAGGGCTCAGCCACCGTCGGCATCGGCGCTCTCTGCTCCCTCATCATGCCCGAATTCCCACACAACTCGCGCCTGCTCAGCCCCCTCGAACGCGCCCTCGCCGTCTTCCGCATCGAAGCCGAAGCCGGCGCCGCAGAGGGCACAGAACACGAGCCCCTTCTCGCAGGGTTCCTCAAGGCCCTCCGCGACCCGAAACTCCTCCTGCTAACCTTTGCAAACATGCTCTCCCAGACCCAGGGCAGCATCGCAAACTACTTCCCAACGCTCGTCTCGTCACTCGATTTCTCCGAAACGGTTTCCCTCCTCTTAACCGCCCCGCCTTATATCCTTGCCGGCGCGGTCTACTACGGGATCATGTACTACTCCGACGCCCGCAACACCGTCTACCCACTCATTCTCGCCTGCGTAGGCATTACAGTCATCATGTACATAATCCCCATGACCACACCCAACGTCGGCGCACGGTACTTCGCAATGATGATCCTCCCCTTCGCCTCCGTCGGCCCGCAACTGCTCCTGTTCAAGACGATAAACCTCCACCTCGCGCGGCCCGTGAGCAAACGCGCGGCGGCATCCGCACTGGTCAATGCAGTCGGGGGCACGGCGAATATCTGGGCGAGTTATTTGTATTTTGCCCCGCCGCGGTTTTTGGCGGCGTTTGGGACGCTGATGGCGGCTGGTTTGCTGCTGGGGTTGACTGTTACGGTGTATCGGTGGGTTGTCAGGAGGGAGAATCGGAGACTGGATACTGGGGATTTAAGAGAGGTTGAGAAGGTGATGAAGGGCGGTGTTACGGGTGAGATGGTGGCTTTGGGGTGGAGGTATGAGATGTATTAAGTAAAGGATATAGTATATATGTAGTCATACATACATATTGAATGGAGACGGTGTTTGGCTTACACTGGTATTTGCCGGAGATGTTAACGCATTCGCTACTTCAACAACCACTTGTCAATCACTTGTCAACGACAAGATTAGTACTGTTAAGAAAGTCTGTCTAAACACTCCCCAATCAACCGTCCAAGCACCAACCCCCGTCTACGGGCAAACACCCTCCTCGCCCACTCCACAGCCCCAACGCCGTCCCCATCCCCAACACCAACAACCCCCATCGCCCCAGAAACACCACCCCTGACAAGCAACCACGCAATCAGAAACGCCTTGTACGCATACAGCGCCACCCAGGGCGCCTCGCCTTGACCCCTAGGATCTAAAGTCTCTTCTAGGTACCGCAGGAACCAGTCGATGTGTGGCTGAATCGCTTTGGCCGTGAGGTCCTCACATAAAATACTAGGCGAGGGGCTGAGGTAGGTAGACTGCGAGAGGACGGCGTCGATGGAGGCCTCGACTATGCCGGAGGTGTGTGAGGGGGACCAGATTTGGAGTTCTATCATGGCTGTTTGCCAGCTCGCTGTGCTGAGGGTGCTGTTTTCTGTCGAGGTTGGAGGTGATGTTGGAGAGACGAATGGGCTTAATGCGACGAGGGAGGAGCGGAGTGCGCCGAATCGGTCAATGCTTAGCATGCCCGTCATCGTGGACCAGCCGGAGATTTCGCGCGCCGAGGAGATGAGGAACTGCGTGATGTTGATCGCGCCGTAGGGGTCGAATGGCGGGAGGGAGGTGGAGAGGTCTGAATCCTGGGAGAGAAAGGCTCGGACGGCGTCGGCGTATTGCATTGCGGGGCCCTGGCCCTGTTTCTGGATGAGTTGGCGATGGGCCCATTCGGCCGGCGACGAGGCAGTCCAGTGGTCGCGTGGACAAGGGAGGTCGTGTTTGATTTCGAGGTGGGAGATGGAGCGCGGGATGGAGAGGAACTGGTACCAGAGAGCGTCGATCTGGTGGACGGCGAAGAGGGTGCGTTTGTGCGATTCGGCTTGGATGAAGCTGTGCCAGAGCGTGTCGAGGTCTTGGGTTGTGGATGGTTCGATGGTGGTTGGGTGCATGAGGCCGGTGGAGCGGGCGAGCGAGATCATTGCCGAGTGCATTTTCAAGCCATGGGATGAGTCTTGTCCGCAGAGATACATCATGGCGCAGATCTGGAGGAGGAGGTACGATTGCACGGCGGAGATGTCCTCATCGTTGGTGAGGGCGCGGGCTCGATGGAAGCAGCGTTTTGATAGATCTGCACCGCTCTCATCCGGATTCTCTGGGTCATCTCCGTACTGGTACGCCAGTGACAGCATGCTCAGGAGCAGATACAACGGAGCCTGATTAGAGTCGAAAGTAGGCTGGTGCAGAAACGGAACAAAGTGCGAGACATGGGCGAAGAAGAGCTCGCAGCCTCTTGCAATCTGAGCAGTCGACGGACTCCAGTCATCATCATTATCGCAAAGGCTGAAACTCGTAAAACCAGGCGAAGGATGGCCAGGCTTCAGCAGAGCCTGCAGGTCCATCACGTCTTGTCCAATGCGGTCGACACGGGGCTCGCTCATCGCTTGCTGCATCAACGCTGAAATGCTCTCGTCAGGATGCAGGCCGTGGGTTTTCGACACAGACTCATCGCTGCATTCTGTCACCGAATCGACTTCAACTCTTTTTCTATGCCTATCGTGATTGTCTGGATGCTTCCTCTTCATGTGTCGATTTCGCAGGTCAGGACGAGAGAACGTCGCCTGGCAGAGCTCACACGGCAGCAGTGCTTCACCCTCGGAGCGGGAGTGCAGGAGGGCATGTCGCTTGAGGTTCTCGTGCCGGGTGAAGCGACTCTGGCAGACGAGACATTGGAAGGGCTGGAAGGGGCCTCTAGCAGACATTTCATCACAGTCTGAGATGCGAGATGGAGGAGAGGTTGTCCCCGCACGAAGATCGCCGGCTATTGATCGGCTTATCTCAAGAAGTCTTTCAAAATATTGTACTTATCTGTACCCCGCATTATCTGCAACGGGAAACCTTTTCTGGTTTACGAGATTAGTTCTTTATCAGTTGGAGACGGCTAGCTAACCCCGAGCTGTGACTGCGGGCTTCGAAGGAACAGGAATGGACTTCCACTGTCTCTCCAGTAAATCTCAAGAGGACCTGCCGGAAGGATATTCTGCGAGGAAGAATTTACAGACAAGATGGCTCGAAGTGGTTGATATAATGACCTCAATATTTGGCCACGGATCGAGTACTCTGGTGAAGGCAGAATTAGTATTGTCACGACACAACAAATTTCAGTAATTCATCACTCTGAATGATATTATCTAACTAAGCCTGCGCAATACATTCAATCTCAATAACCGTCCCATCACCAGGCGGAACAGCCTGCAGACACGAGCGTGACGGCATCGGCTTGGGCAGGAAGTCAATATAGGCCTCGTTCATAGCAGCAAAGTCCTTCATATCTGCCAGGTACACATTGTACTTGACTACCTGGTCTAAGGAAGATCCAGACAGCTCGAGCACTTCTTTGAGGTTTTGCAGAGCGGTGCGCTGGGCTGTTAGCTGTGATGAGATGACTAGGGCTAGGCTTACTGTGGCTTGTTTGATCTCGCCAGTGGCTGTCTGGCCGGCGAGGAAGACGAGGCCGGGGACTTTAGTCGCGGGGCCTACATTGTTAGCCTAAGAATTACTATGTATAAAAGTACATACAGTTGTGAGGCTTGGGAGGGAATTTGTCGCTGGAGATGAGTTGGCGGGACATGTTGAAAGCTTGGTGAGCAAGTGATTGATGAGCAAGTTAAGATTGAATGAGTACAATGTTTCCAATCACTCCTACTCCCTTCTTAAATTAGTCTCATTTCTTCTTTGCAGTTTGGAGTCTGCGGGGACTGTTACGGTACGGCGACTGGGAGGAGCTCCTCCGCCTGCACCCTTCTCCATAATCAGATGCAGCTAAGGTATGGCGGCAATACAGAGGAGCTCCTGCACTCAGCTGCAGTCTGCAGTCCACGAGTCTGGAGGGATTATTGGAATGGCGTGGAAGCTAGGGCTAGTCTGCATGGCGAGCCTGAGGAGCTCGCCTGTACGATCGTATACTGAGGCTTCATACGTCGCCCTATATAATTGCATTCATGATATGTCCATTCATTATCAGTAGATAACAGTCAACACCTGAGTCAGTAAGTAAGTCAGCAATGGCAGCAGCATTCAACCCGCCCTCACCCACCCTCCCCGGCAAACCCTTCGTGCCAGAATGGAACCCTCCCCCAGTCACCAAGCAAACAGAAGGCTTCGCAACACTCAAGTCCATCGATCTCTCTCTCCTTGACTCTGAGGACCCCGCCGTCGTCGACAACCTCATCCAGCAAGTCAAAATCGCCATCCGCGACGACGGCTTCCTCTTCCTCGAGAACTACGGCGTCTCGCTGGAGCAGCTGCACCGCCAGTTTGCCCTCGCGCAGTACCTGTACAACAACATCAGCGAGGAAGATAAAGAGCGTCTCCTCTTTGACCCTGATACCGGCCGATGGTCAGGTTACAAGCATCCCTACGGCTTCAAGGTACCCCACCTAACCTGCCCAAAGTATTTATGTATATAAGATGCTATCAATGAACAGAACTAACGGTACAGCGCCACCGCGGTCCTATCGACGGAATCGAACAATTCAACTGGTACAACCGCGAATGGAACGACATAACACGCATCCCAAGCTGCCTGCACCCCTTCATGGATGAAATCCGGTCCTTCTGCAGCTATCTCACGGACTCGGTAAACCGACGGCTCCTGACCCTCTTCTCACGCGTCCTCGAACTCCCAGACGCCCACCTCTGGGAAAACGTGCAATCCCACGGCTCCCCAACAGGCGAAGGCTACTTCCGCCACGCCCTCTTCCGACCAGTCCAGAAACAAACCGAGCAGGCGTCCAAGGGCCTGCGCATGCACGGGCATACCGATTTCGGACTCACAACACTCCTCTTCTCCGTGCCGATTAGCTGTCTCCAGATCTGGGGGAGGGATGAGAAGTGGTACTATGTGCCGTATAAGCCCGGGGCGTTGGTGGTGAATATCGGGGATACGCTGGAGATTGTCTCCGGGGGCCATTTCAAGGCCACCAGGCATAGGGTTTATAAACCGCCGGCGGATCAGGTGGAGTTTGAACGGCTCTCGCTTGTGCTGTTTAATAGTTCGCTTGGGGAGTTGAGGATGCAGCCTGCTTATGGTATTTCCCTCCTTTCCTTGTTTACGGACCTGGGGTAGATGGCAGGCTAACTGGGTAGAATCCCCCCTCATCCAGCGGGAAGGATGCGTCGAAGAGCAAGGCGTGTACAAGGAGTTCAAGCGCCTCACTGAGCAAGGCCAGCTCGTCCCCTCGAATCGCGAGTGGCGTGAGATCCAGATTGCCACGGCGACGGACCCTACAGATACCGTGCAGAACCGGGTTGGGGCGCACCAGGTTGTCATTGATGGGAAGGTGATGCATCAGAGGGAGTACATGGGGGTGAAGGTTGTTTTGCCTGTTTAACTTGACTATTCTATTCCCCGCTGTCTCTGCTGGGTTTACCACCGTCGGTCTAAGTCGTCAATACAGTAATTAATGACAAGAGGCGCTAGACCGCTACACCAAAATCCCTGCAAGGCTGGTGGCTAGCCAGCTATCCTCAACAATTAACTATGAAAGAGTGGTTCGTCCCACATGGCTGACCATGGTACAAGTATCACCAAGTCGCTCATTGATTCGTAACGAGTTGGAAATTTGTCAGCGTCATAGATATCTCAATCGTTATACATGTTTGTTATTGCGGACTTACAAATCTTTTCTACTTCCTGACTGCGATATATAAAGGAGCTAGGACGAAGAACATGCATCAACCATCGATTGTTTCCTGCTTTACTATTGCAACCACTTAAACCCCATTTCACTATGAACGTCCACGATAAGCTCTCGTTCCTCTCAACCTTGCACCATGCACCTTACCCTGCCATCGACCCCCGGAACCCAACTAGCTCTGCAGCAGGGAAAACGGTCCTGATCACCGGCGGCGCAACCGGCATCGGATTCGCCACAGCCCGGAGCTTCGCCATCGCTGGAGCATCAACCATCGTACTCGTTGCGCGCCGCAAGGAGACACTTCAAAAGGCATCGTCCGAGCTCTCGGCTGCATTCCCAGACACCCAGTTCCTCACATACGCAGCGAGCATCACTGACGACGCGGAAATCCAACATGTCTTCTCCTCTGTTCGACAAACTGCTCGAAACAAGGATGTGGACGTGCTCGTCACTAGCGCTACCTATGCAAAGGCCGATAAGCCGCTGTCCAAGACATCACTGTCAGAGGTGAAGACGACATTTGAGACAAACGTCTACGGCAACTTGAATGTCGTCAATTCCTTTCTCGATACCACAAGGGAAGAAGGGAAGGTCATTGTGGATATTACGAGCCTTGCGTCTTATATGCTGTTTCCCCAGGCTGGTCCGTATGGTGCTAGTAAGGCGGCCTTTTCTTTCTTGATGCGTCATGTGCAGAGTGAGCACCCGGGGCTGCGTGTCTATACTTTACATCCTGGTGCTATCTGGACAGAGGCGAGTGCTGCAGCGGGCTTGACTAGGGATATGCTTGAGTGGGACGAGGTAGACCTTCCAGCGCAGTTTATTGTTTGGTTGGCGGGCCAGGAGGCAGAGTTCTTGAAGGGCAAGTTCTTGACAAGTCATTGGGATGTGACTGAGTTGATGGCAAGGAAGGACACGCTTCAGTCGGATGCGGATCTCAGTACTGTTGGGCTGAGGCGTTGATAGCAGTACTCGGATACTCGCTCTGCAACTGGCGTCAAACTATTGTCATTCATTATCACGTCAGTTTTCAGTCTAGCTCCGTATATTGGAGTTGTCAATACAGTTGTTGATTATCTCCTCGTCAGAGTCTCCCTCTAGAACTTCGACCGAGCTGGCTTGGGCTGCCGTCGTCTCCTCGATCCACGCTCCCTCGGAAGATTCAAAAGGAGGATTTATAAGAGTGTCAACATCCATAGCCTCACGCAAAAAACCTATCTGTTCCAGCTTTTCAAGAATATCTCGTAGATGCTGCTTCATCGTCTTATATTCTTCTTCGCCTTCAGCATCATTCCCAGCGGGAATCCCAGGCCAGCCAACCCTCCTGGAGCAATCCTGAAGACTTTGCCGGTCTATATCCGTGTGCCAAGCACGGCAAGCCCAGCTTACAGCCTTTAGGATATTCATCGTAGTGAGTGGGTTTCTGTGAGCATTGAGCTGGTCGTAGACATATTGTAACCAGTATATGCGATAGAAGGTCTTCCATGTCCCCACTACTTCTGTTCTTAGCTTATTATATGCGTCCATCCAAGATGGCGAGGGATATATAATGGTGATGTTTTTGAGCCCAAAGCTTCGAAGGTCGGGCGGTTGAGAATCGAAAAACACAAATCGTTGCACAGGAGGTGCATTCAGCAGAAGAACAATCTTTCTACCCCCCAGGATATTGTCAAACCAACGCAGGAACTCTCTGAAGATGCTTCCTGTTACTTTGGCCGGGGGATTGTGTCTCCAAACCATGCCAAGTGATTGAATATGGCCTTCGGCAGAACGGAAGGCATGAGGGTTAGGATTTCTGCCAATATACCAAGGCGCCAGACGATGAGAGCCATCGATATTTGTACAGAGAAGAGCCGAAATTCGTGTTCGGAACTCTTCCAGTCGGCTGGCGGGCACTTTGGTAAGAGCAGATTCTGGGAGCATCTTCCAAAAAAGTGTCGTCTCAACGAGTAGATACTGGTCTTGAGGCTTATACGCAGATAACACATTTTCTATATGCTGGGAGTGTTCGACGCGAGGTGCAGCACATCGAGCTCTGAATCCCAGAAGCCAACTGTTGCTGAATTTCGGTACGGTCATCCCTCTGTACTCTGGAATCTGCAGGAAAACCTCTTGAGCCTTTTGTCGTATCGATTCAGCGGTTATTATTGTTTGATCACTTTCAGCCTCAAGCCAATCCTGTACGGTGGCTTCAACGAGAGGCCAACGTTCTACACGGCGTCTTTTTGCGCTATGGAGGCACCTCGTGTCCCTCGGGTGGTCAAGACCTTTATATCGTGCTGACAGGATTTCCGAGACACTCGACTGGGAGATGTTTCGCTGATATTGTTGATGGAACCACTGGCGGAGCGCTTTGTGGTCGAGGGAAGGGTTTGATTCGTGATACGCCCGGAGAGAGGCTTTCTGAGAGACGGTAATCGCTTGACGAGGCATCTTGACAGCAATCTCAAGGGGGTGTTAATGGAATACGCTGATATCGTTAAGACGGCGTTGTATTTGATTAGCAATATGGATATCGTTATATGAAATATCGTTGACGACAATTGGAACCCGATTTGTGCTCAAAGTGGTCGGGCATCTGATTGGTGAACATTCGTTGATGAACCGTGGATTGACTAATATGACAAATCTGCTCCATATCGTTATATGCATTAACTCCATAGTAACTAACTACAGAGTGGCGAGAGAAGTGTTAGTCCGATCAAAAGACGGTCGAGATGGTAACCTAGAGATCGTGCTGAGACTGAGTGAAAAAGAAAGCCGTCTACAAAAAGAGAAACAAAAGAGAGTATCTATCCATATCTATCCACTATTATTGTTATATTGACAAGTGCTGAATAGAAACAGATGTCTAACCAAAGTTAAGGTTGTAGTTACGGTTGACTGAGTAGTTAACTTGCTTCAAAAGTGTAACATTTATTCTATATTTATATATTTATGCTTATTACTTAAGGAAGAACATACCCCCCGTCAATAAGCACATCACTCCCAGTCATATAACTACTCGCCTCACTCGCCAGGTAAAGATACAGCCCCTTAATCTCCTTCGTATGGCCCTGTCTCCCCAAGACAGCCATCCGATAGGCCTCGTTAACCGCCAACGGACTGGCGCCCATCTTGGTATCAAAGAACCCGGGAGAGACAATATTGACGCGCGCAAACTCGCGCCACTCCCGGGCCAGGGACTTGCCAAAGTGCGTCACAAAGGCCTTGGTCCCGTTGTAGATGGGCTGGTCGGTGGGCACGTTGACGATATGCGCGCTCATGCTGGAGGTGATGATGAGGTTTCCGCTGTTCTGGCGCGCAAAGACCTCGCCGGCGTATTTGGCGCAGTAGACGATGCCGTCGACGTTGACCGAGAGCTGTTTCTTGTATTCGGGGAGGGTTTGCTCGAGGATTGGTTTGGAGATGGCCATTCCTGGACTGTTAGCAAGAGTTTGTAGAATGAATAACGGTTACGTACCAGCGTTGGCAATGAATACGTCGATGCGTCCAAAGTCCTTCACCACGTCGGCGATTGTCTTTTGCACGGCCTCGGGGTCGGAGACTGTTACTGTCAGTATTCTTGTTGCTCTCCTTGCAGCCTCAGTCTTGGTACGCACCATCGACCTTATACGCAACAGCCTTAATGCCGTGCTCTTTCGCCAGGGCCTCTGCTTTTGCAACAGCAGCATCGTTTCTAGCCCATTAGCATCGATCACTTTCAAAGACCGGTTGTCCCTTACGAGTTGTACCACAGCGCAACCGCCGCCCCAGCCTCCGCCATGGCCTCAGCAACCGCATACCCAATCCCGTCAGCCGCGCCTGTCACGGTCACGACCTTGCCGGCCATCTTGAACTGATCGAGGACGTTGGAGGGCGTATCGGGGAATGGGCGCGGGAAGCCGTCGCGCACGACGGCGCAGTTCTCTTGTGTCATAGACATGGTGAAGGTGGTGTATGTCAGTATGTACAGGGTCGTGAAGAATTGTTGTTGGGTTTGGGTGTGAGGGGTATTTAACCGGTTGATTCTGTCTGGATTTCATCGGCGGAGTATAGACCGGGGGAGGAGAAGAGGGGGTCGGGGAGCTGTCGTCCGACTTGAGTGGATATCTGGTCCACTGGGAGTATACGGAGTTTAAACTTGTTAATTATCCGGAGCAGGTCGGGTAATTCAGCTTCACGTAGGCTATCTCTAGGTATTGTCTAAGAATATCTAAAAAACAATCCCACCCCCATCAACAACAATATCCGCCCCGTTAATATACCCCCCAGCCTCGCTCGACAACAACACAACCGCCCCCGTCAACTCCCCCGGCACCCCCATCCTCCCAAACGGATTCCTCTCCGCCCAGATCTTCCGATGCCCCTGCAGCCCATCCCCCTCATTCAGAATCGTATCCATATACCCCGGACTAATCGTATTCGTCCGAATCCCATACCTCGCCCACTCCGCCGCAAGGCAATTCTTCATCATCAGCAGCCCATTCTTCGACACGTTATACGCAATCTGCGGCTGCGGGAAATTCACCCGGTGCGCAGAGATCGACGCAATAAACGTTATGGCCCCGCCCGTCCCCTGCTCCACCATGCGCTTTGCCGCTGCCTGTGCGCATATAAACGCCCCCGTGGTATTCACATCGAGCACCTTCCGGAATTGAGACGGCGGCATGCTCAGTGCGTCAGCACACCCTACTATCCCCGCAAAGCAGCAGAGGATATCCACCGACCCGAGATCCCGGGCTGCATGGCCAAAGGCCGCATCGACGGCGTCTTCGTCTGTGATATCGGCTTGGGCGGTTAGGATCTTGGCCTCTGGGAATCTACTTCTGAGATCGTTGATTTCTTTCTCCGAAGTGCTGGGGTTCATGTCTAGGATTAGGAGGCCGCGGAGGCCGTGTTCCAGGAGGGCCGTGCAGGCTGTTAGACCCAGTGTGCCGGCGCCGCCGGTGACGACTGCGTTGCCGGTTATGGCGAAGCGCTGGGCGGCGCTGGTTGCGTGTGGTGTTGGGCCTGTTTTGGAGGTGGGTGTGCCGGTGCTGAGTGTCATTGATGGCACCTGGCGGCTGGTCAGGGCGTCGCGTTCTGTGGTCATTTTGATCGTACTGTACTTGTTGACTTGGATTGATTTAGATGGAGTGAGGTAAAGACGTGAGTATAAGAGCGGGGTTTATAAGATGGAGATGGAGTAGGTGCTGTCCCCGCATCTACATGTCGGAGCACTCTCGCCGATACTCAGTGCATCGGTTGGATCTACTCCGATAGGACTGTATACTGTATTGGCCAGTGAATGCTTTAGAGTACGCTTAATGTCTGACTACTTGGGCCCCTCAATAACAGTCTTAACGCCCTTTCCCGTCTTCGCCAGCTCCCACGCCTCAGTCGCCCTCTCAAACGGGAAGACTGCAGTCACAAACTCTCCCAACTTCGCTCCCAATCTCCCTTGACCTGCCAGTTGGATCCCCAGCTTAAAATCCCCAGGTCCATACCGGAAGCACCCCCTTGCTGTAATCTCCTTCTCGCACATCTCCGAGATCGGGAACTCGATCTTGCGCTTGCCCATGCCAGCCTGCACATATGTCCCTCCCATCCGCAGCGCATAGATGGCAGTCTGCACAGACGGTTCAGCACCAGAGGCGTCAATAGCAACATCCAGCCCACCATCACCGTCAAGACCATTCGCCTGTAGAATACGCCGCGCATTCCCCTCCGCATCCAGATCCTTATCAGGGATATACACCCGTCCCAGATCCTCACCAACAACCCTCCTCGCAAACTGCACTCTCTCCTCCAAAAGATCAACCGAAACAACAACCCGCGCTCCAAACTCCCGCGCCACCGCAGCCGCAAACACACCCACAGTCCCCGCCCCAAACACAACCACACTATCCCCAGGCTTGACACCCGCAAGCCGCACCGCATGAACCGCAACAGCCAGCGGCTCAATAAGAACCGCCTCGCGAACTCCAATCCCAGAGCCCTCAGGGATACGATAACAGAATTCCGCAGGGAGGAGGAAGTACCTCGCCAGCGTCCCGTGTAATCCAGACCCCGGGTCCGCGGCGAATTTCATGCGCGGACACAAGTTGTAGCGCCCGGCTTTGCATCTCTCGCAGTGCCGGCATGGGTAACCGGGCTCTATTGCGACGGTGTCGCCGGGCGAGAGGGTTGTTACGGCGGACCCCACGGCGTGGATTGTGCCTGAGGCTTCGTGGCCCATTGTTAGTGGGCTTGACTCGGAGACGAATGTGCGGATCCCGCCGTCGAACCAGAAGTGGACCTACAGGGTATTTAGTTGTATAGATCATTCAAAGGGGTTGAGGTGTACATCGCTGCCGCAGACGCCAGTATAGGCGATTTTGACGATGACATCGTGAGGGTTGTTGATGATGGGGACGGGACGGTTCTCGAAACGGGCGTCGAGAGGCCCGTAGAGTAGGCAGGAGAGGTTTTCTGGATCAGTCGCCATGTCTGGGATGGCTTGGGTAGTTGGAGGAAGTTCCAAGACCAAGGTTTGGAATTTGAATGTATGCTTGTCGGCCGACTGTTGGCCGACTACCCCTCGTCTTTGCGGGCTCGTTGGAGACACCATCTTGGCTATGTAACGATGTCTGGTATTTGGTTGTCTGATCACGGCATAGCATGGCCTGTATTCCCAACATAATCAAACAAATCAACCTCATCCGTGCTAGGGAATCCATTAAGCCCTTCAAACAAATCATTCTCCCACGATGTATCTTCAAAGAACACCTGCAACGTGGGATCAACAGCCAACGGCGCCAGTGACGTATCCGCCATTTCACCACCAGGCTCCTGTGTCTGGTAAGCCGAGTCATATTCTCGGATCTGCGCTGATTGTCCTGGCGGAGAACGATCCCGTATCCTGTCAAGGACGGCGAGACACCGCATCGCAGCGTTATTTGTTGGGCCTAGCGAGGCCAAACAGTCGCGGGCCCGGGATATCGACGAGAACCAGAGCTCTTGATTAACGGCCGCCAAGCTGCTGTCTAGCGGTGGGAGCGGTCGAAGGTGATGGATGCTCAGGACAACACTGGCCTGGAATAAGAAATAGGTTGCGTACCAGCTAAGGCCTGTGTGGAGGGTGTCGAAGAAGTCGCGGCAGAATGTTGTGACGTCTTGGATCGTCTCGACTGCGGCGAAATGGCACATGTTCTGTGCTTCTTCGCGCTCTGAAGGCACGCTGCATAGACGCTGACTCCCCCACCACAGTAGCATGCGCAGGTTTTGTTCTTTCCATCCGACTATTGCGCGTGGGCCACGGAACCAGGTTGGTACATCTTGTGCTGTGAAGTAAGAGGGAAGTGACAGTCTCCAAGCTTTGAGCTGGTGGTCGATGGATCGGGGCGCTTTCAGGTCAAACGATTGCCTGTACGGGCAGGATATTATTTCGCTGAATATTCGGTTTGCAATTGACACTAGTCGTGCCTGTGCGATTATAGCAGAGTATGTGGTCGGTCTATCCACCGGTGCAGTCAAGGGAGAGTCCAAAGCACAATTCTATATCCGTCAGAGATGCTAAATAACCTGGCCGAGATACCTACCGAGTCATCTACATTAAGCGGAAGACGGGTCTCGATAAAAGAGTCTGATGCCATGACCGGCCTCCCCGTTGTCAGGCTGAAGCCACTGTCGAAGCAATACACCACCCACCAAACGGCTCGCCGACGTTCGTTCAACAAGGTATCGTGTGTTCCTGACGGCGGCTCCCGATGTAGACCCAGACCCAGCGCCATTCGATACGCGATGCCAATGTAGTTGTATCCTGTATTCGGCCGGTCTCGCTTTTGCAGATAGTTACCCTGTTCTCGTCAGAAATAGTTCCATATAGTCCGACAAACATACCATGAGCAAGAACGCTTGAACAGCCACAAGGCTTCCCGACTCCAACATTCGCATCGACATACGTGACCGCGCAGCCATGTAATAACTACACTGGCTCAACGGTGACCCCCCAGTAGAAACCCAATGTCCAATAGCCAGAACAAGGTAGAATATCAAATGCCAGCTCGAGCGCGGGTGGATCTGCTGTCGACTGCGATACTTTTCCCGAAACGTAGTCTCATGTAGAATCGGGTATGAGCAGTTATACCACAGAAAATACGCATCAACGAGGTTATCCAGCACAGCTGTATTCGCAAAATGCATTAACAGAGACGGACTCCCCGCCTGACTCGCCCGCGCCGGTGACTCCCCTTGGTGTTCCTGCAGGTTTTCTGGGAGCAGGTCCGAGATGGTCTGTAGGAGCCTGGTTCCTGAGCTATTCCCTACATGTCTACATTAGCCAACATTGACATTAAATGGTTTATGCCGTACCGAGATATCCCTCCGCTCTTGCTGTAGGAAGAGACACCATTCCATCCGCCGGGTCCCGGGCCATAGAAGCCTCATTCCATTCGAAGCCATGCGAGGAGCCAGGGCTCTCAGACCCAGGCTCTAACTCTTGCGGTATCTCAACAGACTCAGGGTACTCAGAGTCCGGCGCGATCGTTCGCAGCGCATCTTCGATATCGACATCTGGGTTCAATCTGCGCAGTAGTGATAGCAAACCTGTACAGCGGACCTCTGCAGCATCCAAGTTTCTATCTACATCAGCTCTTGAACTCGCGGTATTCATATATAATTACCGTCTAGTCAAAGGCGTCCGAGACGGACGGGGCCCGAAAACGCAGGCCTTGTTTGCCTTTGCGCAGTACGAGCAGGGATTCGTCCCGGAGCACTGTTGCGTGGGCATCAGCATTTAATTCGGCCGTAGATCAATAGTCCGGGGTAAACTGATAGGGTACGTACCTTGCTTTTCCGTTTCTAGCACCCGGCCCTTGCATCAATTAGCCGCTCGTGGAGGTGGTCGGTGGTCTCTTACCCGGCATTCTGTGCACTGCGTCGGAATTGATCAGAAGCGATCGATCGCGTGGTTCCTGACTCGGGTACTTACAGCTCTTAGTTCTGCGAGTCCGGACTTCCGGCTGACGGATTTGGGCATTTTTCCAGAAATAAATGCAGACTTGATGCAAGTCGGAGCAGTCAATGGCGAAGACGAGTGCGGAGGAAGATGTTGTGGTCGTCGGATGACCTCATCGGAACACAGACGGCCGATTACTCCCGATTTTGCAGGCACTAATATTCTAGAGAATGTCCATATTATATTTACTTGCGGGATAAATATTGACCGTGAGATACTATTTCAGCCCCCCAGCTAACAGGAGGCTCTGTCCCGTCATGTATCCTGTCTTCACCAGCATCGTCACAACATTTGCCGTCTCTTCTGGCGTCCCCAGTCGACCTAGCGGGATAGTGGATGCAATGCCCGGAACTGCCGTAGTAGATGGCACCATGCCTGTATCGCCAATCATCGCAGGTGCAACATCGTTGACACTGATACTATACTCGGCCAGGCGCGTAGAGAGGTTTTTCATCATCCCGGTAAGTCCACCTTTGGAAGCAGCATAGTCTGGGCATGCCGGTTAATATTCGGTCTCACAGTTGAGATAGACTTACGACATCCATTAATCCCTCCTCCCGATGCAGCGATCGACGACATGAATACAATGCGCCCCCAACGTTGAGCTTTCATATGTTCTACCACTCCTTTCACCAGGACAAATGACGCGCGCAGATTGATGTTCAACATGTTATCAAACTCCTCGAGGGTGATGTCCCACACATTAGGCACTCGTTTGCCGTGTCCAGCATTCGATATTAAAATATCTGGTCGGTGGCCATGCTGGGCGTCAATTTCGCGAAACATGGCAGCTATTTCATCGGGACGGCCGACATCGACCTGGTGGGTAGAAATTTGGAGATTCTTCTCGGCATATCGCGAGTTCAGGTCTTCGACGAGCTCGTTGACAGATTTGACATTGGTTGAGTAGGTGAGGGCGAGATGGACGCCCTCTTCTGCGAGCTGGTGGGCGCATGTTGCTCCAATCCTAGCTTGAAATCAGCATGCCTGGTCATTATTCAATATAATCAGCCCTACCCTCCTGATGCACCCGTTATTAGGGCCAGTCGGCCGTGGATCTCGTTCAGTGACATTTCAGTAGTATCTGACAACTGCTCAAAACGGCATACCTGTCGTTGATTGAAGATAAGGTGTGCGTGATCGGCATTTGCAGGGTATAGAGGCCAATTGCCGATATGCCGACGGTAGTTACAGAATAACCAGTATCAACCATGTAGCAGGATGCCGGAGGAGCTCCTCTTGAGTGGGCCGGCCAGTTACCGGTATGTGGAGCACTGAGAGCTTGGCCAGCAATGCATACTTGACGATTCTAACCTCTCCTTGGCCTGGGAGATTTGATTTGGAAGGTCGGTCGTATCCTCCACTAAGGATCCGATCTTCGATAACAGAAAGGAACGCTTCGGGGATCACCGAGGGACCACGTGCCCCGGCGTCTCTCCTCACTTGCGATGAATCAAGTCCAGGCAGTCACTTTCTGCCACTTGGCAGGGGCCAAGCTTTGATAAGCTCATTGTGTATTCTTGGCCAGGAAGCAGTCAACAAGGAGAAATCAATCAGTCATGCGACGCTTCAACGGCCAATGGTTTACAGACGGCCAGGCATGTGCGAGCAGGAGAAACACTGTTGTTGATTCCAGCTCGCCTTTATCAAGAGGCCTCGGTCTGAGCCTAATTCCACCGGCTTCCATAATGACTTTTTAGTCGCATGCAAAGCTTTGCCTGATCCAGAGTCGCGTGCCCGCTTCTCGTGGTCCTTCACTTCTTTTCACTTCTTTTTCCCCTTTCTCTCATTTCTCTTATTTCTGCCTTTCATTGCTTTCCCCGCTTTTCTTCTCCCTCTCTACATTGCATTTCTCACAACCCGTTATGACCAAAGACGAGGAAAAGGTCGTAGGCGAGGATGTCTCTCCTTCCACTGAAAATGCACCTCTCGAAAATACGGCCAAAAGCCGCTGGGAGCGCAGCTGGCCGACCATTGCGTGCGGCGCGGGTCTCTTCTCCGACGGCTATCTCAACGGGGTACGCAATTCTCTCCCATTCTTCGTCCGCGCAACTAACTTCCCAGGTCATTGGCTCCGTCAATACCATGCTCAGCATGATCTACGCCGATGCCTACACCAAATCCTCCGCCAGCAAGAACGTCTCGTCCATCGCATTCGCCGGTACCGTCGTTGGAATGCTCTTTTTCGGGGTTCTGAGTGACCACTGGTCCAGGAAGGGCTCGCTTTTGGCTTCCACGCTCATCCTCATCCTATTTGCCATTCTCTCTACTGGATCATACGGTTACCACGGAAGTGTCTATGGTCTCTTCTCCGCCCTCGCCGCCTACCGTTTCTTCTTGGGTATTGGAATCGGCGGCGAGTATCCTGCAGGGTCGGTTGCTTGCGCAGAGAGCAGCGGCGAATTGAAAAACGGCCACCGCAATCGCTGGTTTATCATGTTCACCAATCTCCAGATTGATTTTGGATTCGTCGTCTCGGCCTTTACGCCTATGATTCTCGTTCTCATTTTCACGGAAAACCACCTACGAGCCGCATGGCGTGTGGCTCTGGGACTGGGCATCATTCCGCCGCTCAGTTTGCTGTACCTCCGACTCAAACTGAACGAGCCCGAGGAGTTCAATCGCGAGCGCATGCACAAATTTCCTATTTGGCTAATCATAAAGTGAGTACCGCGGCCACCATTTTGATTAGCACGCTAATGCGATCTAGATTCTATTGGAAGCGCTTGGTAAGATTCGTCTAAACCAAAAAGCCCAAGCGCTAACAGTCTAGGCCATTGTTTCTCTTATCTGGTTCGTCTACGACTTTTCTGCGTACTCTTTCAACCTCTACTCCTCTGCCTGGATTGCCCTCATCCTCGGCGACTCCTATCCCCTGTGGAAGAGCTTCGGATGGAACACGGTTGTCAATCTATTCTATATCCCTGGATCAGTTTCTGGTGCTTTCGCAAGCGACTGGCTAGGACCGCGCAAAACCCTAGCCATTGGCGTCGGTCTTCAAGGTGTCATCGGCTTCATCATGTCCGGCTGCTACGAGTACCTAAACACTCCGAAGAACGTCGCAGCGTTCGTCGTCGTTTACGGGTATGTTACTGCAGTATCAACCATCAATTCCAACTAACACAGCGCAGAATTTTCCTTGCTCTCGGCGAATTCGGTCCAGGCGATAACATCGGCCTGGTAGCCGCCAAAACCAGCGCAACCGCCATCCGCGGACAATACTACGGTATTGCAGCCGCAGCGGGCAAAATCGGTGCGTTCGTAGGGACTTATGTCTTCCCAGTGATCCAGGACAATGCGCCCAATGAGATCCGGGCCGGTCAGGACCCGTTCTTTGTGTCGAGCGCGCTGTGTCTTTTCAGTGCGGCGCTGGCGATCTTCTGTCTGCCGCATATTGGACAAGATACTATTACTGAGGAGGATAGCAAGTTCCGTCGGTATCTCGAGGAGCATGGGTATGACACTTCGTCCATGGGGCAGAAGAGTGAGAACGGTAGTGGCAGTGGACAGTAATTGGTATATCTGGTACACAGGCGGGTATTATGTACCGATATAAATAGCCTCGCGCGGTTCAACCGTGTTTAATCTATGTAAATAAGATCAATAATTCTTCTCGGTAGACGCTGTGTGAGAGAGGGTGGATTTGACTTTCCAGGTATTGGCAGGAGTTCTCGTTCAAATCTGACGACCTCGACACTCGTCCCCCAGTTTAACGAGCAACCCAGAGCCCTAAAGGACTATCGAAATTATTTTTGAAGGATCCGAAGAACACTGACCCGGATAACGTGCTTAGGGCAGTATATCATATTTGTGAAGTCGTATCTCTTACCTTGGACATCTAGACTGATATCTAGATTCGCTCCGACACTAATTATGATGAAATGTCAGTTCCTGTTCGTGAATTCTATGCTGTCAACGGACCATCGCCAGAACTCGGATTTTCCAAGTCTAATTCTGACCACGGATAAACACTCCGCTGTATAAAAGTGGGAGATGCGCCGCTCTTTAGGTAAAGAATACCAGCTGGTTGGCGTAGAAAGAGCGGCCAGTGTGGCAAACGCGGTCCTCTTTCCTACAATCCAGCAGACTCCAATCTTAACTTGAGCTGCAGGGACCTCACTGAGTGATAGAATACTTTCCACGCACAGACATCTCCATAACCCTAATTACAGACTTCCCCGGGCCAAGACCCGCACATCGTCTCGGCAGTCACTGTACAGGAGCCAAGCCGCGGACCAAGACCCGTCCACGCATAGACCAAGCCAACCCAAGTCTGTGGAGACTCGCTCGTCTTTTACACTGGCAGCGATATATCCCGGGGATTGCGGGGTAGGTGTATCGTCTGTGGAGCTGGTGGACCTGCTGCATCCGGGGATAAAACCATAGCACAGCCTCCTCCACGAGGCTGTCAATCAATCCACTTGGGCTGTGAGGGATATTCGTTCGATTCGTGTATGCCTTGTACGCCTTGCATGTCTTGCGTGTCTTGCGTGTGATAATCTCATTCTCGATTGGGATCTTACGGTGCAGGCCCACGGTGTCATCATGGGCTTCAGTCTGCATGCCAACAACAGCAATGACCCGCCTGAGGTGCGGAACTGGCGGATTCACCTTATCACGGTTATTGTGAGTATGGGTGCTATTGCGAGTAAGCACTTTAAATATCATGAATGGCCAATTGGATGTCTTTTAACTGGTTGTGGCAGTGGGATACGACACCAGTGTGATTGGCGGGACGATGGCCTTGGATTCGTTCCGGCGTGATTTTGGCCTGGTGTCTGCTTCGGAGACTGAGACTGATACTCTTGAGGGAAACATTGTGTCGACGTTCCAGGCCGGATGTTTCTTCGGCTCGCTTCTTACGTTCCCGCTTGGGGAGAGATTTGGGCGACGGAATGCAATCGTCATGGCTATTTGTGTCTTTTGTGTGGGTGGAAGTCTGATGGTAAGTCGTCTTGCGTTTGATGCTTTCGTAGACTAATATATATATGATAGACTGCATCGTCGGGCTATCTTGGTTTGATATATGCTGGCCGGGCCGTTGCAGGGTTCGGCATTGGGGCTGTATCACTCCAAGTCCCGGTTTACATAGCTGAGATGGTGAGCACTTACCTTAGATCTCCTCGCAAGTGCTAACAAACCCAGTCACCAGCTTCTATTCGTGGTCGACTTGTTGGGATCTTTGAAATCTGCTCCCAGGGTGGTGGCATGCTTGGTTTCTGGATCAACTACGCCATTAACCGTACTGTATCCTCCGCGCGTATGGCTCAGTGGCAGATTCCTCTCGGTATACAGCTTCTCCCAGGGGGCTTGCTACTAGCGGGAGTCTTCTTTTGCCCTGAGTCCCCGCGGTGGTATGCAAAGAAAGACCGCTGGGCTGAGGCAGAGAAAAGTCTGGTCTGGGCTCGTGCCCTTCCTGCGGGGCATCCGTTTATCCAAGGAGAATTGCAGCAAATCCGCGAACAGCTCCAATATGACATTGTACCACAGGGAAACAAGTACGACCCGTGGTATTATATAAACCGAATGTGGCAACGAGGAACTCGAAACAGGATTGGCATTGGCCTCTTACTCATGGCATTTCAGAACCTCACTGGGGTGAATATCATTACATAGTATGACACCTGCTAAACATAATAGCAATATGGCTAACAATTAGGGCTAGTTACTCACCCCGAATATTTGAAACCCTCGGAATCAACTCAACAGACACCAAGCTCTTTGCAACTGGGTTCTACGGGATCGCAAAGACCCTCGGCATGATCATCTTCAGCGTCTGGCTCGTTGAAAAGGTCGGCCGCCGTAGCGGTCTCATCTGGGGTGCTTTCATAGGCAGTCTTCCCATGTGGTACATCGGGGGTTACGTCTTCGAGCGTGATCCTACAGGGTCTTCACAGCGCGGTGACACAGTTCAGGACGCCTGGGGGTACATAGCCATGGTTTGTGTCTATCTATACGGTCTGATATACTGCGCTACTTGGCAGGTAAGAAATTACCCGAACCATATAGTCAGGCCCAACTAATAAGTCCATAGGGTATAACCTGGGTCGTATGCTCCGAGATCTTCCCCATCGACATCCGCATGCTCTGCGTCGCAATTACAACAGCAGACCAGTGGCTCTGGTCCTTCATTATCAGCCGCACAACACCATATATGATCACATCTCTTGGATACGGCACGTACTTCTTTTTCGCGTCCTTGATGATCGCCATGGGGTTCTGGGCGTGGTTCTTTATTCCTGAGACGAAGGGCAAGACACTCGAAGAGATGGATGCGCTGTTTGGGGCGCCGAGCTCTGTCAGACCGGGAATTGGCGAGAATGGGGACGACGTGAAGAAGGAGACTGTTCATGCTGAGAAGGTTTGACTGGTTGGTTGTTGCTGGTCTTTGGTGGATGCAAGCGATACGGCCGTTCGTTGGGTATTTAGTACAATTTTATTGATCTGTATAGTTGCACTATACATCGCTACTTCTTTCTGGCTGGTTATAGTGTCGAAGGCTGGGTCTTCAAATATTTCTTTTGACCATGTATTCTCTTGGTAACCTGCCAATCCTTGTTAATATACCAGAATAAGCCTCTCCAGCATCGACACCGTACTTGGTGGAGACTATACCCAAACATCGACCCACCGCGGGTCGCATCTAGGTGGATCCATTCAGCCTTGCATACTTTGTAAACATAAGAAAAGGAACAAGTTATACTACAATATACTACAAGTAGTACACCTATATATCAATATATACTATCAAAATCCCCCAGTCCCTCTCACCCGATGCACAACCCCCACAGCCCCCTTCGCCCAGCTAAACCTCCCCGGATCAAGACCTATAGAGCCCTCCGGAATCTCGCCGGTCTGGGGATCATGCCAGCACCCATCTTCGGGACTCACGAGGCCGTATTTAGCCGTGTTTTGGTTGCGGTCTATCCCATCCAGCCACGCGCGGCAGATTTGGGGCGAGTCGATAAGCACGTTGACTTCTTGGCTGTGATAGTAGGATTGTGTGTCCAGGTTGCCGTTTCCTGGTGACGTTAGCTGGTTAAACTTTTGAAGGGGTTTTGGTTTATTCATACCTTGTATAGCTACCGCCTCATCGATAATCATTAGTTTTATATGACAGCTCCGCTTCTTAAACTTGTTATGTATAGGTCCTGTCTGGTCTTTCCCGACGTAGTTGAATATCCTCAGTCGGGACTTCTCCTCATCCGTCTCGAGGGACTCATATAGCCGGTTCGAAATCATTTCGTTCGTTCCATTCTGGAACGGTAGGAGCTGCCCGGCATCGTTGTACCCCAGACAGAGGTATGCTGTGACCGTCACCCCGCGACGGACGGCATCAAGAAGCGGGTCGAGCAGTGGCTCGGCGTTCATATTTGGTGTCTGTATAAAGATGGAGTGTTTGGCGTTGTTGATTGCGGCAAGGAATGCGGCGTTTTGGGGGACGGCGGTGCTGGAGTGGTCGGGGGCTGTAAAGGCTTGTTAGTAGGGCTTGAAATGGATGGCGGGTCATGGACGGGCTTGCCTCCGTATGGCTCTCTGTTTACTAATGCCATTGGGAAAAGTTTGTGTGGTGGGTGCACAATGTATGGCTCCATCCGGTTTTCTTGGTCTTCGTCTGGTGCGTCTCCGGTTGTCGATGACTGGATTGTGTGGTCTAAACTGGTTAGTTACATGAAGTTTCATGTATATTATGAACTTACTGAGAAGGCGGGTGACTGGTTTCGTTCGAGACTCTCCCTCCCGTGGCTTAAGTAGTTCGTTCACTCTTTTCGCCTCGGACTTGACGTCCACATCGTAATGTTCATTGTCAATTGTATGTTGTGGAAGATCACCATCACTCTCTTGCGGGCGGTCGTACTCATACGCTGAGAAGCAAGATACCGGCGCAGCTAATGCAGGAGAGTTCATCATAGGCAATGGTGGATCTAACTCTTTACCCCATGATATCAGCGCAGTATCATAAAAGGAATCCACAATCGGCCCCTCGACGTGAACCATCATCTCCAAGTTATCATTATCCTGGATATTGCTGCTCTGCAGCAACGCAATGCGTCGATCTACAATCATGAACTTGGCATGGAACGTGCCAAATATCGGCCGATGGTAGTTGATCACCTGCATATCGAGATGCGGAATCTCATCGGAAGTTGGTAGGTTGACTTTCCCTCCCACGTACTTCTTCTCATCAACGTTCAGGTGGTTCTCCCAGACCTATACATACAGTCAGATGTACAAATATTGAACTCCTAGGCTCGACCTGCACGTACCTGCTTTGGGTCACCACGGTCATAAAGAAACTTGACAACGACCTTCTCCCCGCGCTTCCCTGCTCGCCTCGACAGTTCTTTCAAGGCATTAGTGATCAACGTCGACGCATTCGAGAAAATCCAGTAGTTCGTCGCAAGAAATACTTCCTTCTCCGCACGAACAATGCAATTGGCCAAATGCCGGCAGAGATCCGGCAGCGGCGCAACTATTGTCAGCGGGAGAACGCCGTGGCTTCCCATTAGCGGCGGAGAGACAACTCCACCAAGCGGATTCCTGCCCAGCGCGGCGAGCGCGTCATGGTAAATCTACAAACAGTAAACTAACCGATCTTCGAGGTTCTGGTGAGTGTGCCTACTCGAAGAAACAATGTGCTCGGTTCAGAATCTCCCCAATTTCCGCACTCTTTCGCCTTCTTCAATTCATCGCTTTCGGCATCTTCTTCATCACTTGCTAGGTCTGGGCTTTTGTCGGCGTCTTTGCTCTCGTATAGCTCTTTGAAAAGCTTATACGGAGCCAGTGTCGGATCGCCGGCGAGCTCCGAGCTAACTGTGCGATCACCATGGCATAGGTTGTAGACGTTCCATGAGACCATTTTCGGGATCATTTGCATGCGACGTCTGTAGCGTTTGGACTTGGTGGAGGAGCGCTTCAGTATGATTAGAGAGACGGCCAGGATAATGCAGAAGACGGCATGGTAAGGTTTTAGGGATGGCATAATAAGATAAACTGGATGGGGTTCTGGTGGAGCAGGGAGACAGCCTTACAAGGTTCACGGTATAAATTGTTTGGAAACACATGACGCTTATGTTCACGATGACATCACCCTCGTTAGGCACCAGTATACCACAGCTGCTTAATTTTGGAGCGTCTCCGGTTTTCTGGAATAGTATTCTTATTTATTGTTTCGGGTCCATTGGGGATGCGTTAATTGTCAAGAACTGCTGCTGGGGGGTAGACGCAGTAGTGGTTGTGCAACTGCCAGCGCTGGTGACAATATCAGGTGGCTGCTATGCAATGTTCAACAAGACCATGGTATACCATTTCCACAGTATAATTCAAGTAGAATATGGAAGATAAATAATGTAATATATACAACGAAACCCAGATCACATGCGCGGGGCGATTCGACCCCTCCGGTAGGTCGGCTCGGCCTTGCAAGCGTTCTGCAGAGCTTGGCCTAGGGTGGCGACTCTTTCCTTTGCTGTACATACCCTTCTGGAGTTTTGTAAGTGGCTTCTATATCAGCTTCCTTTGGCCCTGTTGATCCTCCACCCAGCATTCCAGACGCATCGGTGTTGCCAAAGTCGCGCAGCCGGACACCGTTCTTAAATAGCCAGTCAACCTGTTCCAGTGTCTTGCCCTTGCATTCAGGTACGCAAAAGTAAGTGAATATGAGTGACAGGAACGCAACAGCCCCGAATATAAACCCCACTTTACTACCCAAGCCTACTTCATCGGGGAAGACAAGGTATGGGACAGAGAAGTTAACGGCAAAACTGTAATAGGAAATGGCTGTTAGCAGTTAAAGCGCCAGTTGCTGAATCGGCTTGTACATACTTGAAACAGACGTTTATGGCAAACCCAAGACGAGATGTATGGTCTCGCAGTTGCTGCGACGTGACTTCCGTCACCACCACATAGGTCAATGGCCCCCATCCGCTGGCAAATCCGACACCAAATATAACCATCAGAGAGATCACTCCCTTCATTCTTGGTGTTGTCACCGGTTCTTGGACGCCGAGGCCAGCCATGGTCATGAGGCCGGCTATCATTATAACAGATGATAGCATAAGTAGCTTTCTAGAAGCGGTTAGTATTATAAAAAAAGGCAGTATAGGAAAAGAGCAACTGGAAACATACCGTCTTCCCACTTTATCAGCGATGAATAGTATACATATCATGACAGCGGACATGATGCAACTGCTCATGAGTGTATATAACATTGGGTCGAAGATCTTCAGGGAACGGACATAAACCCCACCATATTGGGAGGTAAAGGCCTGGCCAGTTGCCTGTTGGAAGAAGTTGATGACCACCACAATAAGCGTGCGCTTGAGATTCTTTCCCTTGAACAGTTCAATGAACTTTCCCTGCTCTACCTCGTTTTCGAGAGCAAACTCCAACTCTCTAAACTCTGTCTCAACCTGCTCCTCTGTGAATGCCCCTTCACGGAGCTTCTTTAGGCTAAACTTAGCTTCCTCCGCTCGGCCCCGTTGAAGTAACCACCTTGGGGACTCAGGGAGAAAAAATATTGATGCGGCGATGAGAGTAGGAACTATATAAAACAAGCCGAGTGGGATACGCCATGCTCGGTCGTCCTGGAGGCGGCTCGTCCCGTAACAAACCGCATTAATTACCACACCACCTAGAGTGAGGCTGAGCTGATATGTCCCAACGATGAAGCCGCGAATTGGCGCAGGAACTGTCCAACTTGGTGAGCAACCATATCTTTTGGGCAAAAAATGTTTTTGGCATACCTATTTCCGACTGGAAGACGGGAACCACTGACAGTTCCATCCCAACATATACGTAGTTGAGAACACGGCCGGCCATTATTTGTTCATTCGAGTTGGATGTGACGTTTATGGTAGCCGTGATAAGGGCGTAGACACTCATGACGAACATACACCAACGCCGTCCAAAGCGTGCTGAGATGAAACTACCGATGATAACACCTGGAGGCAAAATCGCGTTATAAGGCACACCAGTAGGCGTATAGATAAATGACAACGTACCTGCCGCAAAGCCAATATAATTCAAACTATTGAAGAGGGCCAGCCACTGGGAGTTAATTGCGTAGCTCCCAGTACTCTCATCATACTCCCCAAAACGCCTAGTGAAGGCCTCCATGGCCTGGGTCGTGGCAAAGGCTTGGTTGTCAAAGCCATAATTGAACGTAGAGACGGCAATAACAAAGATAGAAAACGCAAGCCTCCGGTTGAAGTACCGGGCCTTGTCGAAGACGACGCCCATGACCAGGGATATAATAACACAGGCTATTTAGCTATCGTATTGACCCGCAGAAACCGTTGCGTCCGTATTTTGTGAGACTGAGATGGATAGTAGAAAGGTCTGACCGAGACAGGCCTACATCCGCCGAGACCAGAAACATTTGGATGGGGGCTGTTAAGACTCTTTTAAGTACGTATTGTTGCGATTCAGTTCTTGTGAGGCAATTTTCTCCACCTGAAACGCAAGAGTGCAAGTAAAGATATTACTGGGTCAAAAACCTGGGGAAGCTAAAGTGGATGACCCTCCGCAGGCACTCGCAAGGAGGTGCATAGCGATACCCGGTACATGTCGGTACTTCCCGGTGCGCTGTCCGGCTCGGTATACACCTGGTGGGCCCGACATTCCATGATCTGGGCGATAGTCGGCCGCATCCTTTTGTCTAATAAAGGCTGGACCTCCTCGGAAATAATTCCAACTCGATTATCGACTCGATTCACAATTAAATATCGAGATGGCGTCATATTCTGTTCCTCCTAAGCCTCTCCCGTTGAAGGTCTCGTCCCCCAACGGCGGAGACAGACCCAACTATGTTATCTTCATGCCAGACCAGTTGAGATACGATTCGTTAAGCTGCACTGCAGAAGATAAAGCGGAAGTCCGGACGCCAAACATCGACGCCTTTCGTCGTCGTGGTACCCTTTTCACCAATTGCTTCACCCAGGCCTCCGTCTGCTCGCAGTCAAGATGTAGCATGTTCACCGGATGCTATCCGCATGTGAGTGGCCATCGCAGTCTGGAAAACCTCATAAAGCCCTGGGAGCCCAATATCTTCCGCAGCATGAAAGAAAACGGTTATCATATTGCCTGCCTGGCACCGAGGGGGGACACCTTCGCCCCGACTGTCACTGAACTGAGCGTGACGGAATACGGATTCCTAGAAACTCCAGAGTTTATGCCGAAATTTGGACGAGGCAGTAAGGAAAAAGTGGACGAGGAGAATGTCTGGGGTCGGCTATTTTACAGAGGCCTTCGCAACGCTAATGAAGCTCTCGACTACGACGAGGCAGTGGTACGGTCGGCCTTAAGGTGGCTCGACTGCCCGCCAAAGGACAAGCCGTGGGTGTTGTTCATGCCACTCATCTTCCCTCATTGTCCTTTCCAGGTGGAGGAGCCCTATTTTTCAATGTATAACCGCTCTCAAATGAACGACATTGTCTCAAAGCCCGAAAAGAAGACTGGTTATGAGCCCCGTTATATGAAGGCCATCCGTGAAAGGTATGGGACAGCCCGGGCAACTGGCGATATGTGGAAAGAGATCAAGGCCACCTATTACGGCATGATCTCCCGTCTAGACGATCAGTTTGGCCGTGTGATTAAGAAAGTGGAAAATTTGGGTCTCTGGAAGGACACGGTGACTATGTTCTTCACCGACCACGGCGAGTATCTGGGAGACCACGGTCTGATTGAGAAGTGGCCATCCGGGTTATCAGAGACGCTCGTACGAGAGCCTCTAATTATAGGAGGTGCTGGGATTCCTGAAGGCAAAACCGTCAACCCGATGACAGAGATGGTAGACCTTGTACCCACAATGCTTGAACTCTCAGGAATCGGAGAACACTTTCCTCACAGTGGAAAGTCGTGGGTCCCAATCCTCATTCACGATTCGAAAGAGCACAAAAAGTACGCGTTCTCTGAAGGCGGCTTCCTAACAACTGAAGAACCCTTGCTTGAGCAGGCGCCATACCCGTACGACATCAAGGCGGGTCTTCAGCACGAGGATACCACTCTCGTTGGGAAGGCAATCTCGCTGAGGGACGAACGATACGCCTACATATATCGGCTGTACGAGCCCGCGGAGTTGTACGACCGGGTTGCTGATCCGCATGAAATGCACAACCTCGCCGCTGAGTCTGAACACCGCGATCTCGTAGCCAAATATGAGAAGGAAGTCCTCCGCTGGCTTGTGGAGGGTAGCGATTTCTTGCCGTGGGAGAAGGATAATCGGTTCCCACAAGTGGCCTTGAAGAGCCCCAAAGAACAGATGGAGGAGCGCCTTCGCAACATCAGCTAAACGTTCCAAAGGCTATACTTGGTTTTTGCATCAATATTATCAAGAGTCGCAAGGAACTCTAGGAGTTTGCGTCAACTAGATAATCTGTAACTACCCAGAGATACCAATGTAGTAATAATCTCGCCAGCGCACCTGAATCCTTAAAGCTTCAGCTGTTCAGATCCTAGTCCGCATCCAGCGCCAGCAGGGTTATATTCGGTCGTTGTCATTGGGGCATTGCTTATCTCATGAAACACAGAGGTTTGTGCCACGAGGACAGACCAGTATATTGAAGAATAGTGCCACTTACTACTGATGTTTCCGGCTATTTCGCATCATCCGATTCTATTTTGCCCATGGTCTCATATAGCAACACCCAATTAGCGTGCTGTCGCCATCAGGAGGGTCTCGCACGCAAACCCCCGGCCCGCTAGCGCGCACCCTCCGAGCCGGAACAGTGGAACGGCTATATCCGCCGACAGCCGGCAGCACCTCCTTACTCCCTGTCATACCACATCCATGGCCATGTCCCCAGGGAATACTACGGATGGCGTAGTTATGTCCCATAAGACATCAACAACTGATGATAATAGTCTCCATGTCGTGATTGCGTCGTCCACTTGCAATCGATGCCGTTCACGGAAGGTCAAGTGTGATCGTGCTCAACCCGTCTGTACTGCTTGTGTGCGACTACAACTCCATTGTTCTTATGATAGAAGGTCAATAAGCCCTATTGCTAACCTTGGGGATCGACCAAGCTATACCGAAGCCGGGACAAGGAGGAAAAGAGCTCGCCAGGCGTGCGGGGCTTGTCGGAATGGAAAAGCAAGATGTTCTGGATGGGGTCCTTGTGAAAGATGCGTTTCCAAAAGTTTGGTTTGCGATCTTCCAGCAAGGGAAGCCGATTATGGTGGCGACGACGGAGTAATGAGCATACCAACCCCTACAACGATACCAAGTATCACATCCGGGACAATACCCTGGTGGTCGGAAAAGGCAACAGCAAGGCATTATCTGGATATTTACTTCGAGTCGGCGAGCAGGGCCGCGCCAGTCTTTCTCCACAAGCCAAGTATCCTAGTTGAGTGGAGTAAGGGCGACCTCGATATCAATCTACTGAAATGTATCGTGGCATTCGGTATGTTCATGAACGACTCTCGGCCGGATGGGCGCTTAACGGCTCGGGCTTTGATGCAGGAAGTGCAAGATGACACTCTAAGGAAAATAGGAAGGCAGACACTCGCACACTTGAGGGTTCTAGTGATGCTGTTGCGATTTCGTTTCCAAGCTGGCCAATTCCCTGATGCCTGGAGTCTCCTCGCCCTAGCCGCCCGCTCGGCTTTCACAATGCGATTGAACCATGAGCCTAGCAATCCGGACCCTCTTGTCCAGGAGTCGAATAGGCGGCTTGTGTGGGCAATATATCAGCTAGATCGGCTATACTCTGGTGGAATGGAAGACTTGGCCGTCTTCCCTGTGGAGAAAATGCACATACGCTTGCCGTGCGATGAGCGTAGCTTCGAGATGGGAATTGGGTCGAATGCTGGTTTCCTCGACGAGACTGGCATGGAACCTAATGCGAATGTAGACGCACACGCCTTCAAGTTCAGGCTTCTCGCGATCCGAGACAGGATATTGAGGTTCGATCTTTAAGATGGAATTTGAAAAGAGTTGCTAATCAGCGACAGGTATACCAAAAGCGTCCGGAGAAAAGGTGATAGCCCAGCCGATAGCCGACCCTCAATGGAGGCTCTCCAGGTTGAACTAAACACGTTTGAACGGACCCTTCCAGCGGAGCTCAAACTCACTTCACAGAGACTAGTGTTCATCGGTCACTCTCGCGAGGCTGGCATATATGTAGGGCTTCATACGCTATGGATGATGTGTCACTGCGATCTCTACCGCTTTTGTGTTCCTGGGATTCGTGAGTCCGTATCCAAAGATGCGTTGGCTCAGACGCCACGGGATTTCATTGAATACTGCCAGCATGCATGCTTCAGCACGGCAGTCCGGCTTTGTGGGTTGTGGTCCGATTTATATCACCTCGAGTCCAGCGAGTACTTCGGTGACGAGCTTCTCGCAGTCTCGATTTATCAAGTTGCCCAGATTCTGCATCATCTTCCTCATTTAATCCTAGAGGATGGCGAGGACAGCGTGATGTCTCTAAAGAAAAAACTCATCGAAGCATTGCAGCTTGCCGCGCCGTTGGGACGGGTATACACCAATGTGATTAACTGTCTGAAGGACTCTGAACGCCTGATAAATGCACTAGGACGTGCATCTGTTACTCAATCTTCACCGGACTCCAGCGTAGCGGCAGCCATTGAAACCGCCGAGCGAGAGCACCTCGCTTCGAAGCACTCCGTGTTACCACATTTGTACAGGGATCAAAATATCGTTGACAGAGACACGGAATGTCCAGAAGCAAAAGGCCAGCGGTCGAATGTGCTTCTGTCTAGCGAAGGGAGGATCATGTCGTCGAATTCTAACGCAACTTTAAGCCAGTTAGATCATGAAAGGAGGGAATATCAGGAAATGGAACCTGGATTCTCGGACATGTTCCTCTTCGATCCGTTCAATATGCAGCTGAACGGTTATTACGATCCGGAACTCGATTTCCTGTTCATGTAGTTGTCGGTGGAGCGTGGATGGCGGAGTGTTCCTGAAGGACAAATGTGGAAAAGACAACATGTGACTCAATCCTCCATGCTCTCTTTCCCTGCGCAATTAATTCGTCGTTAGACTACAGGAACAATACACTATGTTATCTGGGTCTCAATCTGGCATTTGCCGCAACTTGGAACTCAGTCTTTTCTTGTCTCAATACATAGGCCAGTCGCCAATGAACACAGTTTCACGGTCATGACCACTTCTCAGTGCTTCTTCGCAGCCTTGTCATATGGTTCCCCATAAGCAGAATACCACTTCTTCACAAAGTTCGCACTTGGTCCAGCCCCGATCATTTCCCCCCCACTCTCTAGCTGCCGCGACACGTCGCTCATAAACTCTTCTATGCTCAAGGAATTCGGATTGTTATGTTTCTTGTTATCGTCTGGGTTTTCTCTCTCGCGGTGCAGATTCGTCTCCACGCTCGGTGGTGCAATCTCAATCACCTTGATCTTATCCCCCAATCCAGCCCACTCGAGCTGCGTCCGCAAATTCACCGACCAAGAATGCAACCACGCCTTGGTCCCGTTATAGACTGGATTGATCACTGAGAACGGGATAAATCCTAGCACAGAGGATATGTTGATAACCGCCGCTGATGGCTTTGTCTTGAAATGGTCGAGCAGTGCCAGAGTCAGATGCATCGGACCCCGGATATTGATGTCAATCTCCTGGTCTGCTTTCTGAAGGAACTCTTGAGTCGGGGTCTTGTACACCTCGAGCGGTCGTTGCACGCCCGCATTATTTATCAGGCAGTCCAGTTCGGGATGCTCCTTTGTCACCCGCGAAGTGAATTCGGGGATGTCAACTGTTTTGCCTGTGTCTAAAACATAAAAATCCGCTGCTCCAATTTCGTGGGCTGTCGACCTGAGGTTTGATTCCGTGCGGCCGGCGATAAGTACCTTGACGCCTTTGGAAATCAGGTACGCTGATAATGCTTTACCTATGCCTCCTCCGCCACCGGTGACGAGAGCACAAGTAAATGGAAAACTAGAGGTTGACATTTTGGATACACAGTATTGAGTCAGAAGAAGAATGGAAAATATTGAACCTCCCTCTCAGCAGGCCCCTTTCTCAGTATTTCATGTGGAATAATAATCCGGATTGCATGATGTCACACGGTTAAAACAAGCTCTACAGGCCACCTCCAGCAAACCATAATCAATTGGAAACTACCTCCAATAAGGAGCCACCTAGGTACTCTCCATGGTAGGGTTATTGTGTTAATCGGGTGCATGCTTCCAAAAAAAAAAAAGCTTACCCGTCCATGGCCACTCTGGGTTAGCTACGTGACGAGTAACATTTTGTTAGGGATTAAGGGCCTAGACCGAATAACAGAGAAATATATATATGTAATAGACAAAACCATCAACCAGTATACATAGCGTTTAGGAATTGGAAGAGGGTCAAGATCATGATTTGCATTATTATTCAAAATTATACAAGTTTCTATTATCCATAAATTCTGCCCATAGCTTACACCTCCACATCGCAAACTCCGTTATTTCCGCACCCCCGCACTACAAATGCCTGCCTCAACTCCTCAAACCACAATTTCAACCCCAATCACTCAGCCTACATCAAAATGGCCGCTGTTTTACAGAATCAGAAGACCGCTCTCATCACCGGCGCTGCATCCGGCATCGGGTTCGCAGTAGCCAAGCTCTGTCGCAACCGGGGCATGCATCTTGCGCTTCTCGATGTTGATGCCGTCAATCTCCCGAAAGCCAGGGATGTGTTGGCATCAGCGGACGCGTCTCTCAAAACAGAATCATACACTATCGACGTCGGAGACAAATCACAATGGGATAGCGTCGCCGCTAAAATACAGTCAACTTTCCCAACAATTGATCTTGTCCTATTGAATGCAGCAAGAGGGACGAAGCCCAAGGATTCAAGCCCTTGGATTAATAACACAGATTATTGGCGACAGGTGAGACAAAATCCACGCAATATCTCGGAATGGACCCTACCACGGCACTTTTAATATATACCGGCATATTAACCGCATATTGGTTTTATTGACATGCGCTTTACCCGGCCATCTAGATCTTCGACACAAATGTCTTCGGGCCGATCAACGGCATCAGCGCGCTCCTACCGCTGTTAAAGAAAGACACAGCACCGAAATCCATCGTTATCACCGGCTCGAAGCAGGGCATCACAAACCCCCCAGGAGGCGGTAACCCGGCCTACAACTCAACTAAGGGCGCGATCAAGATCCTGACTGAACATCTTGCGCATGATCTCCGGTCCGATACCACGACGGCACACATCTCGGCTCACCTGCTTGTACCTGGGTGGACATGGACCGGTTTGATGGGCAACGTCGGCCCTACGGATGAGGGCCAAGTGACAAAGATGAAGGGATCCTGGGCGCCGAGCCAGGTAGCTGAGGAGTTGGAACGGGGCTTGCAGAAGGGGTCGTTTTACATTATTTGTCCAGATGACGACGTTGATCAGGCGCTGGACAAGGCTCGGATGCAGTGGGGGTGTGACGATATTCTTGAGGACCGGCCGGCATTGTCGCGGTGGGAGAAAGAGTGGAAGGGCAAGGCAGAAAACGCGATTCAGAAGGATGCTGCGAGACGAAGGAACGAGTAACGGTGTTGACTGTTTACTTGGGAATACACACGGGCGCTCTCTCTTAGGGCTTCGGTTTACTGCGGGTAGTCTATGGGAGAGTTACATCCAGTTGCAGTGGGGTAGATGAAGTACCGAAGGAGGCAGTAGCTAGTTCTAATCTTCTAGCAGGCTGACGAAATATGATACAAAAATACAGCCCAGTTGTGAGATACGCCCACGGCTTTCATATGCCAGCGCTATCAGATCTTCTCTCGCTGCCGACGTTAAGCGATAACCTTTACCTGAATTGTTCCAAAGGCCGTCTTGGGTCACCTCGAGAGCAATTTAATAACGATGGGATCTGAAGCTAAATAAAAAGTCTAACACTTCGCCTTTGTCATTGGACGGGCGCTATCAGCTCATTGATACTCAAAATCACGCTTACACCACCTTAGGCATGTTGGTGGATGGCGGCTTGTCCCTCCAGGGCCGTAGACCATCGCCAAGCAGAGGGGGATCAAACGATCTGCAGAGCCAGAAGGATAGGATCCTCCTTCTCCAACCCCCGACCTCAAGCCTTCACCTGTTTTCCATCATCACCAGACCAGCTTCTCATCCGCTCATCTATTTTCCGAGATCATCCACTACTCGAGGATCGAGACCCGGTTTTCGCGGATCGCGGCCCCCTAGAATCTAGATCTTGCCTGGTACTCACGACGTACAATCTTACGCCATCCCCCGCCGAATGAGACCAGTACCCCTCTTCATATCAAGTCGCCCTCCGTTGTTTATTGCAATAGACGCCAAGCTTTAATCCTCGCCGGAGTTCCCCGTGGTGGATACAAGGTTGCAGTACAAGAGATCGATATCACTTGGCTTTGAAGCCCAGGAAGGCCAACGCCATCCCCGTCAGGCTCTTGGTCAGTGTGATTGGTTTCTTCCCCTCCTCGGCTGGATATCGTTATATGTTGGTTGTTCTTGGTGTGCAAAGGACGGGCGCTATCCCGACCCCTGCTCATCGGCCACACGACCAGTCACGATGCGTCTCGCACTTCTTCCCTGGGAAGGGGCGATACCGCCAATCCAAGTCAACGATAAGAGTCATGCTCTGGCTTTGAGAAGAGCGAGTGCCCTGCCACTGGCTTAAGAACGTATTTTATTTTATTTTTATTTTATTTTCCCCCCTCTACTCAGGGGTATCTGGAGATGTTTTCCAGGCACATGCGAGACCTGCGTCGTACCAGAGCCCTCATTCAGTCACAGCGGCTCAGGAGGACTTATCACAAGCATCCAACCCATGTACAGTCCCGCCCCATCGCCAAGGACTCAAGAGTCTCACTGTTAGGGTCTGCTGCTTTAGCTTTAACGCTATCAAAGTGATCGGCACCATTTTTCCTGGGGCTACGACTCGACGGCGAGAAAGGCTCCGGTCATACTATCTGTTCTAGAAAGATCCCGGCTACCCGTTGTGGTCTAGGGTCTAGTACCGCCCCTGACGGACAAAATGTGGGCGTCAGCGCATCGCGCGCGAATTTGCCAAGCATTTAAAGAGTCACAATGGAGCTTCAGGACGAATCATGGGCCCTTCCCACTCAGTCAGGGCTCTTTCGCACGACACTAGCTCAGGCTGCAGAACGCCTGTGTGCTACCTTCCTGATGGGGATGCAGGGAAGGACAAGCGGCACCAGGGGTGAATCGCCCAAACGCATGTGAGGGGACATACTGTCAACAGTTTGGTCAATTCCATCGTGATAGCCATACAGCGGCTCGGCCTTGCCTGGTGACCATCTAGCTTTAGAAGCATCCCGGAGACAAGTGGACTCTGGGGTGATCACCATGCTCATTTGCGTGCTAGCACTCACACTGGTATTCATGATACTGATAACGATGTCTCCGATGGAGCACAGTAGTGCAGTCGTCTGGAGATGCAATGTTACCCTGTGAGTTTCAACTGTTCATGAATCCTTGTCCATTCGCGATGGAGGGGATTAATGACGCAGACCGAGATATATTGGAGTGCTCACAAAAGGTATAAGAAGAGAGCGTGTGCCCTTCGCTCTTTCCCTCGCAAGCAGCAAAGCAAACCCTCTCTCTCCCTGAACGATCTCTTCCAGACTCTGTTTCTCGAAATTTCTTCAGGATTCCCATCATGTATTCATTCAAGCGCACGATCCTCCTTCTTGGAACCCTTCTTCCTGCCGTCTTTGGCGCTCCTATTCTTCAAGCTCGCCGGCCGACAGAAAAGGTCCCCGGAAAGTACATCGTGACGTTCAAATCTGGCCTGCAGGCCGAGCAGATCGACGCTCACACAACTTGGGCCTCGAATGTCCACAAGCGCAACTTAGAGCGCCGTGATCTGACTGACCGTGATTTGTACTCCGGTATTGAGAAGAACTTCAAGATCCACAAATTCGCGGCGTACGTCGGTTCCTTTGATGATGCCACCATCGAGGAAATTCGAAACAACAAGGATGTTTGTGCCCGTCTTGAATCCCCAGTTGAGCTATAATTGTTGACAATCCGCCAGGTGGCTCACGTGGAGGAGGACCAAGTCTGGTACATTGATGCCCTGACCACTCAGAGCGACGCTCCCTGGGGTCTTGGAGCCATCTCTCACAAAGGAGATGCGAGCACCGACTATATCTACGACACAAGCGCGGGAGCTGACACTTACGCATACGTGGTGGACACCGGCATCAACGTTGATCACGAGGAATTTGACGGACGCGCCAGTCTTGCCTACAACGCTGCTGGTGGCGAGCACGTTGACAGCGTCGGTCACGGTACCCATGTTGCTGGCACTATCGGCGGCAAAACCTACGGTATTTCTAAGAAGGCCAATCTTCTCTCTGTCAAGGTCTTCGAGGGCGAATCTAGCAGCACCTCCATCATCCTCGATGGCTACAACTGGGCTGCTAACGACATCGTAAGCAAGAACCGCGCCGCCAAGTCGGCAATCAACCTGAGCTTGGGTAAGTATTCGCTACTGACTTTCCGAGGGAGTAAACATTGCTGACTGGACATTGTAGGTGGTGGATACTCTTATGCCTTCAACAACGCAGTCGAAAGCGCTTTTGATGAGGGAGTTCTTTCCGTTGTAGCAGCCGGCAACGAGAACGTGAGTCTATTCTATATTATCTACTCAAAAACGGATGTCTAACAAGCATGCAACCTCAGGTTGATGCATCGGACACCAGCCCCGCTTCTGCACCTAACGCTCTTACTGTTGCGGCTAGCACAGAAAGCAATGCGCGCGCATCGTTCTCCAACTATGGTGATGTGGTCGACATCTTTGGCCCTGGTGAAGACATCCTCTCGGCCTGGATTGGCGGAAGTGATGCCACTAACACCATTTCTGGCACATCTATGGCCACTCCCCATATTGTTGGATTGTCGCTCTACCTGATCGCTCTCGAGGGGCTCTCCTCTCCCGGCGATGTGACTGCCCGAATCAAGGAGCTGGCTACCCAGGATGTTCTCTCAGACGTGTCTGGCAGCCCCAATGCGCTTGCCTACAACGGCGCTGAATAAACAGCTCGAACTTGAGTGCAAACAAGTCCCCTAGTACTGGTGAAGCCAATGGGAACTATCATGATATAAATGCAACTCAGAATAGCATGGATCCTGACGGCTTAATAAGTCGTTACGAATGCACATATTTTTATTGCCAATACATGGTCCATATTCCGTAGATCTGCGGACGATCAAGCACGAAAATCCTGAAGAAAGTAAATTTGATCTGCGTCCATTCCTCAGTCCTGGGTATCCTCGGGCCTGTCGGGCTAACATGATGTTCTTCCCTGACCTGGTGCCCGTGAAGAATGTTCGCTGAAGCTACGTACTAGCTGGGCCCGTGACGACAACCCTGTCATCATCCTTGGAAGCAGCGCCCACTCGCCCATCCCTTCTCACCACCCTGGTCACTGCATTTCTCCTCTTCCCCTAATGGACCCTTTGCGTCTCATTCGGAGAGTTATAGTTTTGTTTTGGTCCGTGATACCCGTCCTTTCAAAACAGACGTCTAGCCGTCCGCGGCAACGTTTCATGGCCCACTGTTACCCTCTCGTATATCACGGGGATTTTCTTCCACTCATCTTCTTTCCAGTTATCAAGCTCCCTGCATTGACTGACAACAAGCATTCGTGGGTCCTGTGAGCCAGCTCTGCGAATGTCCCGCTGGGTTTCATCAACAGGAATGCAAGAACCCAAAAGGGCCCATCCAGAATTCTCACTGGAAGCCAATGCCATTGATTGACGAGCTGGGGTTTACACAAAGGCTTCGGGTGCTACACAAAATCAGCAGATGCATGATGCATCACATCGCATCCCTTGCGTTGATTCATTATTCGATTATCTTTCTTGCACTCTTCCTGCAACCCCTTGTCTTGCGGATGCTAACTTTGCTGGAGTACTTTTAGGAACTATGGGGAACCTGCTGTGGAGACAATGCATACCTATACACTTCCTCCCCCCTTACCCTGGATTTGAGGCCACGGCCGCCTATAAAGCAACGCGGCCCACCTCCGAATTCCTGGCACCGTGGGAGAATATAGATACATGAAATGTCTAATCCAGAGACCGACAAGGATGTCCTACGACAGACTCTAGCCCAGTACGGGCTCAGGATTGCTGCCGACGGATATCACATCCAATGGGCTGCTGGAAACCCGAGGCATCCTCGCAACTGGCCCATTTCTCGAAAGATATACGATATCTCGCTCTTGATCTTCCTCGAGTTCTTCACGTACGTATCTGCCTCCGGCTTGTTTTTATTTGATGCTGGTTCAATAAGCTAACGGCTCCATTATGGATGTGAAGTACGGCTGTCAGCACTGCTGGTGTATGTCATTTCCCCTTGGCTCTTGCTTCTGCCAATCCCCCACACTTGTCAGACTTGCTGACCACATCAGTCAAGTGCTGCTAATTATGCAGCGCAGGAGTTCGATTTATCCGAGGGTTTGTCTATATTTCTTTTCGTTTCACTGTACGTTCAGCCTATCTTGATCCCGGCGGATGCGGTTGACGAGAGGGGCTATGTGCTAAATTAGCTCTGCAGGTATTTGCTAGGTCAGGCCATTGGCGGGATCGTTCTACCACCATATTCAGAATGTTTTGGACGAAAGAAGCTGTATATAGCTAGCTCGGCAACGTACAGTATTGCCTGCATTATCATTGCCGCCGTCCCGTCAATCAAAGGCGTTATCTTCGGTCGACTCCTCAGTGGGTTCCTCTCCGCAATCCCCAGCACCATAGTCGTGGGTAGCATCGAGGATATGTTCAATTCTCGAGACCGCGTTTGGATGATATGGATTTGGGCTTTGGTGGCCAATCTTGGCCTTGTCGTCGGGCCCATAATGGGTACCTTCACAACTGCTGATCTCAGTTGGTATGTCAGGCCAGTGCAAAAACTACCCCAACCCAATAGTTTTAGCCCATCCACGATTCTTGTGTCCTTTAGCTGATTTGAGACATCCAGGAGGTGGCTCTTCTACATTGCGGCCATTGTCACCGGAATAGTGTCACTTCTTTTGCTGGGGATTCGTGAATCCCGACCCTCCCTTTTACTAGAACGAGAAGTGGCAAAAGTTCGGAAAATAGCCAACCTTAACTACCTTGCGAGTCTGAATCCAGATAGCGCACCTAACTTTCAGACATTCGTGCGCGTAGCACTAGGCCGCCCGATTCGACTCTTCTTCACGGAACTCATCGTCTTCACTGTCTCGGTTATGAGTGCTGTAGCAATTGCCCTGGTCTACCTCTTCACCCAAGCTCTACCCCCAATATACAAAAGCGCCGGGTTCACCTCAAAACAAGCATGTCTCCCATTCATCGCCATCGGTGTCGGTCTAAGTCTAGGGTTGTTAACACGATATTTGGACATGTATATCATCGAGCGGCGCCGAAAACACGGCCATGTTCTCCTGCCGGAGCACAAGCTCGCCGGTTTCTGGATAGGATCCGGTGTTCTCACTGCGGCCCTTTGGGTCTTTGCCTGGACAATACCTCCGGCGGTCCAGAATTTGCACTGGATAATATCAGTATTAGCACTAGTACTCATTGGGTTTGCTTTGAATGAGATCGATTATGTGCTGGGTGGATATCTTACGGACAGCTATCTCAGCTATGCCGCCAGCGGATTGGCAGCTCTTAGCTTCATCCGGGCGCTCCTTTCAGCCATTCTGCCTCTCATATCGAGCCCCATGTTCAGTAACCTTGGGGCCAATGTAGCTGTCTCACTTCTGGCTACGGTGGCCACGTTATTCTGCCTGGTACCCCCGTTGTTTTCACGTTTTGGAGAAACAATCCGTGCGCGGAGCAAGTTCGCCAAATACAGCTTGGACATGTACCATGAGCATAGTGTCGACGAAGACGGATATTAGATTCCGACTATCAATAGGGCAGGTTTCCAATGGAGAGGGACTCTGCTTTTGCTTTTAAATCTTCTTTTTCTTTTCTTTTGGGGGGATGTTCTTCCAACAAAGCAATTGTTTTGGGTCATTTGGAGTTCGTGCGTTGTATGTCGTACAGGAGCTGCAGGCGACCTGGAAACATGACGGGTTCTCGCTTTTCTTATTTTATCTCGATAAATGACTTCCAAAGACATAGACCTAGGAGAAAACACTCCATATCACTAGCTATTCACTTGCTAGGCCATCATTGTCGATCTTGAACAAGGCGCTACAGGACCCTTTCCTTAATAAGCCGTCACGCCGCTTCAAACCCCCACCTAAGCTTCACCTTAAAAGCAGCGTCCGGTCTCTCAAGGAGCTTACGGTCCAAGCTACTGGAGCCCCGGACAAAGCCAAAGCTCGCGTTTAATTTCCTTGCAATGGACGATTTAGGACTGCGCTCCTCGGACTCTCTTCGTCCTTTACAACCGTTGCTCTCCTCGGTCGCCGAAAACGCGTCGAACCTGGCAGCAGCCGTGAAGCAACAGCACGAAGATGAAGACGATCAACACCATCTCGATGTCGATGTAGACGCTCGATCTCTACAGCCTTTGCAGTCTGCTGTGGCTGAATTCGACCACTATAGCCTCCATCAGCACCAGCACCACCCAGACGCGCAATCGCTTCGCCAGGAGGACCCTTACAGTACATTAATTGTAAGTGAAAGGATTTTGAATGCACTGCCTAATTAGCTCTACAATTATTTGCGGTGGTAGCTTACGAAGAGCAAATCAGGCACAGAATGAATCTCCCTCCCTCCGCACCGAACACTCCCAATCGAATAATCCGAACGAGTCTATCTTCTCCTCCAAGGGAAATGGATATCTACGAGATGTCGCATCCGTTATCGACCCGCCAGATCTGGAAGCTTGGCGCGAACGCCTATTCCATATAGACGATATGATTGTAATGAGTGAAGAAGAGTATGGCTTTCTCTCCTTGTTCCGCGATTCTGAATCTCTATACCAGCTATGTTGGGCTACAATGGCTACGAGTTGACACCCGTTCTCATCCAGGTTCAGAACCTACTTCCCGCACGTCGACAACATCTACTCGCACCGCTCTACACAGCAATACAAGCGCAAGCCTCTCGTCTCCCACTACTGGGACTGCCGCCTAAAGGGTCGACCGCCGGGCACCCCGAAATCCGACGACCCAAACAAGAAGAAGCGCAAGCGCACAGCCCGGCAACGAGACCTCTGCGACGTCAAGATCAAAATCACCGAGTATTTCCCGGGATACGCGGCAGGCGCAATGTCTGGCGCCGAGTCAGAACACCAACAACTCTCCCTATCCTTTTCGCCAGGTGTCAATGGTATGGACACATCGCTTTCGTCGGCCGAGTCATCATTGCCAGGTGTGAATGCGCTGCTTCAGTTCCCTTCTGGTTCTGTAGCTGGGACGAGAGAAAGCCAGCCTTTCGGGGTACTCACTCCGAATCCGCCGCTACCGGAGGGCCACCCTGGTGCTGATGGACAACGGTTCTTCACGATTCAGCGTGTGAATGGGAATGGGGCGAATGGGAAGAACGATGGGGTTGGTGGTGGGCACCGGCATACTCTGGAGGAGAGCGATCGAGTAAAGAAGAACAGCGTCCAGCGGTATATTCTGAAGGAGGCGAGGGAGAGGAAGAAATCATTAGCCCCTGTAAGTTGATCTCTATTGTTTCTATTAGTGCACGTCCGGTGGAGAGAGCTTGCGGACTAGATTGCCTTTATAATGTTTTCCTCCCCACGGGTTACGTCACACAATGACCTTCACCCCTTCCTCCCCCGCTTTTTGCAGAGCTTCATCTCCTCTCAACTGTTTATTTCTTGCACTTCGTCGTTTCTCATCATCGGGTCTATCTCATATTTTATTCTAATAGAGCGCGAAAAGACTAGAACAATGTCCGCCCCAAAAAGCTACCACACCGAAGCCACCGGCTTAGCCGCGGAAACGGTAGCAAACCACTCCAAGGAGTCTGAACTGAAGTTGTACGGAAGCTGCTTTTGGTGGGTTTCAGACCGTACCCCGAATTTATAGAATAGCCCTTGTCTAATTCAGTTTATTTTTTTAGCCCATTTGTGCAGCGCGTCTGGATAGCCTTGGAGCTGAAGGGTATTCCTTATCAGTATATCGAAATCGACCCGTATCAAAAACCGCAATCTTTGCTCGAGGTGAATCCAAGAGGACTAGTTCCAGCTTTGCGACATGGCGATTGGGGCTCATATGAAAGCTCTGTCTTGCTTGAATATGTAATTGTCTTCTTTCCCTTGTCCTGTCAAGCCAGACTAACACTAGCGGGTAGCTCGAGGATCTGAACTTCGATCCTCCTCTCCTTCCTCCTGGTGACGCGAAGTCGAGAGCTCACTGTCGGTTGTGGACAGATTTTGTAAGTATCCCAACTACCGAAGTCTGATCGACATGTATCTAACCAACACAGGTGAACCGTCATATCGTGCCCAGTTTCTACCGCGTTCTTCAAGAGCAGGATCAGCAGAAGCAGATTCAGAATGCGCAAGAACTCCACGACTCGTTTAACACGCTGATTAATGCCGCGGACCCTGAAGGACCGTTCTTCCTCGGGCCGAATATCTCATTTGTAGACATACAAATTGCCCCCTGGGTAGTTCGGCTGAACCGCGTTTTGAAGCCGTACCGTGGCTGGCCGGACCCCGAGCCCGGCAGCCGTTGGGGAGCTTGGGTAGACGCCATCGAAGCCAATGAAGCGATCAAGGCGACGACGAGCATGCCTGACCTATATCTCGATAGCTATGAGCGCTATGCCGGTAGGTATATCTTATCATGCCGATTGATCAAAACTGACGCTCGACCAGAGAACCGTCCCAATACTTCCCAGCTTGCGAATGCGATCAATTCTGGAAGAGGCCTGCCGTGAGGCCCAAGTCATGTATCCGTAGTACTACCTCCTGTTCGTTCATCTTAGTCGAACCTGCAAATAATACCACTCGGCGACTGGGGTAGCGATTGAGACTGTAAATCAATGCGCACCGTGTATATCACAATGCTTTGGGCGTAGTCTAGCTTGTTTTCGCTCCTCTGTGTGCTCTGAATCCGCCCCTTCCACTACTGTCCGGACCTCGAGGGTTGCGGATTGGCTGTCGAGGGGACTGCGGCTGGTCAATTTGGCTCCTTTCACCACTCTGTTGCCAATCTTTTCGGCCATAAGACGAGTTGGGTCTAGACGTTGGAGAATCCGGATCGTAGAGTTGCTTTGGCTTCCCTGAAGCGGCAGACTGGTCTCTCCCTCGATTATTATTGTCTCTCCCATTTCCTCTGGCTCTGCCCTTCCCTCGGCCTTCGGCTTTCGGAGGGGTTGCGCTTCGAGGTGAAGATGCCCCGGAAGTTGGTGCGGATGGCGTACCAAAGAGCCTTTCGCGCACTTCTTCGTACTTGCGTTGTTTTTGCTCCCGGTTCTTCAAGGCCATCGCCTGGCGCTCCTCGGGTGTCGGCTCCGGCGGCTTTTCCTCGTCCGAGTCGTCGGCATTCAAATCCAAGCGCCCAATACCTGCAGCGGTAGCCCCCGCAGCCGAAGAGGATTGTCGCGTCGCAATATGCGGGTTGCGACTAAGGACGGTGACAGCCGGTTTGAACTCTTGCTTTAGCGGCACATCGGAAGAGGCTTCGTAGAAGTGGAATGTTTCCGGGGATTCACTGGATTTTCAAAAAAGGGAATTGTTAGATTGAGAATAGTATCGCATCGCCCAGGTGTAAAACGTACGCTTCTTCCCATAGCTTTTTATTAAATTCCATCTGCTGGGCCCGGCGTTGGGCCTTGGTCACCTTGGACGATACTTTCTTTTCGGGCTGCGGCGGGGTGGGTACGCCGTCCAGTTTCTGAGGGGAAAATCACACAGGTTAGATGCACAGGTCGCAAGAAAATGGCGAATGGGGACTTGTAGCAGGACGAGTAAAACTAACATCAGCTTGCGACTCCCAATCTTCTTCCCAAGCATCGGCCATTGATAGTTTTGCGCTCATCGCGAAGTGTAAAAAGAAAAAACAACTCGGGGTCGGTAGGGCAGAAAAATCGTCAGACGGGATGTATAAACGAATGTGATGGTGGAGAGAAAGCCACAAAATTGGAAGGGCAGGGGTGATATATAGGCTAAAAATGAGGACTCCAAAGTCCAGGCGCTCTTCAATAATCACAAGTTGTAGTGAGTGGTGTCTCTGGACAGAGAAGCAAAAGTAAGGAGAATCCATCCGAACTGCGAGACGCCGAGTTTGGCGGAGAATCTGAGGCTGCTTAGTTAAGACCAACATCCTCCAACAGCAAGTTACCTGTCAACACCCCCGTCTCCATCGTCACCAACAGCTTGAATCCGCACGCCTTGACGTCCGTTTATACTGCGCACTGTCTCTCATTCATACCCCCACTTCTGGTACTCAATAGTTATCATGGCCACAGGTTTGCACCCCGATTGCATACATAACCTCCCGCCGATCGTCCCCCGCATTTGACACCACCCCTCATACCCGACATCCAGAACCAAGCCAGAAGTCCAAGACTTGCCCAGCTAACATGGCTTACAGACCCAGACGGTGACTCTCAAATGGCGTCCTCGCCCGAATCAAACCGTTCCCTCTCCGACGTCGACGCCGGCTCCCGCACGCCGACTCATCACACCCAAACCGCCAATGCGCAGTTTGCAGGCGCTTCAGAACTCTCACCGCCAGGTTCCCAAACCCAGGCGACCAGCGGCATGGCGAATGATTTTCCTGGTGCTGATGGAGGGTCGGCAGATTCAACACAGCAGCCGGGGGCGTCTTGGATGAATAGACGGGCGGAGGAGGAGTATCAAAGAGCGATGGAGTATGTGATTGATCTGGACTTCAATCTCGGTTAGCTCCCTTCGACGCCTTTCTTCTTGCTCCTTGCTAATTATATGGTGTAGATGAGTTTGGAGACCCCTTTGATGAGAGCGATATGAACGAGAAGTTGGTTTAGACTGCGATGCATCGTATGGCGTTTGGTGTTCTACTCTGTCGTTTCTCTGCTTTGAGATACGCACCGTGGTCGATACCTGATTGTTTATGAGATACGACCATTTACTGGCATTATAGCTTCTGATGAATTAATTATGAACAGGTGAACAGCCTTTCCTTTATCGTAGCTTGTTTCAAGTCTCTGAGGTGAGTCCAGCTAAGTTGTGGCTGCCTGATGACAAGGACCAAGACAAGGCACGACAGCACGAGGCATGTAAATTAAATCTACCCCAGAATCAGTCAAATAAGCTCTCAGAAATCAGCCAATAAATTTTCAGCTTGCTTTTATCCTCTTCAAGCGGCAGATCAGAGGCTCTTCACAACGTTCTCACTAGTGTTGGCACGGCAACCAACCGTCTCCACGCCCGTCAAACAACATCCAAACTCCAAATATTCACTTCGACTCTTCAACGCGCCACTGAACTCTGCGAGTCCGCACTTCCATCCTTCTTACGCTGTATCCTGCTCTCTCTATCACATAGGAATCTTTATATCTTATCGGAACCTCATCTTTTCCTGGATCCCTGATTGCTTCGTCCTTCCGCCATCACGCGACGAGCATTCCGCGCGTCCACAAGATGGAGTCGGCCAATTCTCTCCCCCCACAGTTGCAGTCATGGTGAGTGTCAAATCTCTTCTTTATTTGTTCATCCAGCATTCTCGCGAGATTATCAGGGACAGATGGTGGAAAACTGTCACCGTCAGGGCCCACGGGAGAAGCGCCCGCCCCTTTTCCTCCTATTCATGCCAAAACATACCCTCCGAACGTGACCGTCCAAAATGCGACGTGCTTCTAGTTTTCGAGCCAACGCATCTCTATGAGGTCATCGCTGACAAGGTCTCAACTTCTGCAGTCACCTCGACGAAAGCCAGATTCATTTTACGCCGGTTAAATCTATCAACGCTCCCCGTATATGGGATCGCAAACCTTCGACCTCGTTCCTGGCCCGCTCCAAGCCGCGTAAGGTGTGGAAGCGCTTTCGTTCGTCTTTCAACAGCATGAAGGCGTTGCAGCAGTTGATCACTCCCGACGCTGGATCTCTGATGGAGAGCGATCTCCTGCTCGAAATCAACACGGGGCGAAACACTGAAAACTGTCGTGGTGTCAAGCGACAATGCCTTGCCACTCGAAAATCATCTGTGGAAAATGAGGACAGCGAAGCATCCAATGCGCGAGGCAGGTCTTTTCTTGAAACCAAATGGGAGTCGGAGGTCTCGCGGAAACGACGTATGTACTAAACTACTGGAATTTGTTGTGTTTACCGCGTATTGCGACGGATCCACTGACTACCGCATTAGGCAAACTTCCTGCAACTACGAACGACTTGGGCGAACATATGATTGTTGATGGGGCGCGAACTGTGGAGGATGATGAAATGACCGAGATCGGGGACGCTCCGGGTGGGACCACGTCAAACACCGATAGTGCTGTGCAGGAACTTGAGGAAACCGACGAATCCCCGACACTTACCCCGGACCGCTCTGATATCGGGGCAGCCTATCCCGATGTGCTACCTGGTGAGCCTGGGCGCCTACCAAACCACGAACGTGGGGTGGTTGTGAACATAAAATCCCTCAACGCCAGCGACCAAGAGGAAGTTGGTGCCCTTGTCTCTCAAGATGCTGCAGACGGCGCAGCCGCGACCGATGATGCACCAGATGTAGAGACTGCAGCCGATAAACAGCTGGCATCGGATGTAGCTACTATTGCTTCAAGCGCGGACAACCAGGATAACATGGCAGTACCGGTAGAATTAACAGCCGAGCAAGAATCGACTCTTGTTCGATCGGCCCTACGCAGCTCCCTAGACGGCGATGACACCGCTTTGCTGAACAGCTTCCTATCTAAAGCCAAAGCGAAACGCGAAGCGAAAGCGGCCGCAGAAGCCGAAACAGCAACAGTCATCGCTTCCGATCCCGAAGAGAAAGAAGAGGAGCAGGTGCAAGAACAAAAGCAAGAGCCAGAGTCACCCCGGCCGCAACAGCAAGTTTTCGTTGAAATTCCGACTCCAGAGCGCCGTGTGTTGGAAGCTCTAGATGCAAACGCAAGCTCGCCGTCGCCCCGGAAGTCACCATCCAAAACGAATGAAAGAGACGGTGGTACAGACGAGAATGGCTCTGCTAGTCCAGTTGCCCGTCGAAGCACGCGAGTCAGGTCGCTCCAGCGAGCAGCGGCCCCAAGCAGTCATCGGCCAACTCTTTCACTCCGTCGCGCAAAGGGAAATGAATTTGTCTTCCTTCAGCGGACGGAAGCGCAGGAGCTGGCGTTGGTGACTCGCCGCAACACGAAACAGAACAAGGGCGACTCGGTGCTACCGAAATACACACTCCAGACCTTGGGTCGAGACACCCCAGACTCCAGCCCTAACAGCTCCGACGACAATAACCATAAAAAGAGCAGCAAACCCAAGAAAGCCGTCTCCTGGAACGACGACCGCCTCGTGGAGTTCGAGGGCGAGTCGAGTGACGACGAACTCGCGACAGCAACGACCACGACGGCAAAGCCCGCACCGAAAAAAAGGGCAGCCAGTAGCCGCACTTCTCAGTCGCAAACATCGCTTAAGACTGGTGGTGAGAAGGATGCAGCTGCAGCCACTACTGCATCTCCTAGTGCAGTGCCTCGGGGCCGACGTGTGCGGCGGTTGGGACCACCCAAACCACTCACCACCACAATTGGCTCGCACGACGCAACCTCATCGCCGCTGTCACCCACCACTGGAAGCCCCATTGCGAAGCGAAAGAAGCTAACGCCCAAATCGCCGAAAACATCTGCGACCAGGACGCCGTCGAAGGTTCCTACTCCTGTCAGGAGCAGCACCAGTAACGACGAGGTGCCCTCGTTGCTGAGTGGAGGCCGTTCGGTGAAAACGAATCTGCTCAAGGTCAACGCGGGTTCGACACCGATGCCGAGACGAGTTCGGCGAGCTTAGCCTATTTTTTATTTGAAATATCTCTCTACTTGATGTTTGCGTGGACCGCTGCACATGGTTCTTGTTTGTACATACGGAGCACAGGAGGGGTTGATTGGACGGCGCCGGCTGTATGATTTCGGAGTTTCATTGGGATCATTTCTTTGTCGGGTTCTTATTTCTTTATTTCATATGATACCAATCGCTAGGTTATCGACTTTATTCACTCGCTAATTGAGATCCGAGAATTGTTTGGTTTTCTTTTCGTAGCACATTTCTGTATAATCCGAGTCCACCAAACACGCACGCGAGCTCCCGACAGCGACAGCGCACGGATCTCCCACCTGAGGAAGTACATCTATCTACCTAGATAATCTTGGACATGGTGTAATTCATTATCCCGGCCAGGTATACAAGAGCACTTAAGATCTGCAGGGACGGCCAAACCAGAGGCCGCGCTGGCTGCTCAGACGGCCAAGGATGGACGGTTTCAAAAACGAGGTTATTCACTAGTAAGTTTTATTTCTGCTTGTTTTTTCCTTGAAGCCCAGGGAATTGGAGTTTGAATGGAGGATTCCCTGATAGCCCTCCGGCCTTCCCTGCTAGCCCGCGGAAATGGCAACGAACTAACTTCTTACACCACCTCCAACAAACCAAACCGGCTCAGGAAAATCAGATTCTTTCAGATTCCTTGACTTGATTCGCAGATATCGGTCTCCCATTAAACTAAACAGCTGCACCTAATCAAACCGAAAATTGGCCTCCCTCATGGCACTGACAGTGACAGCCAACTGCCAACGGGATGATCCGGAATGTGATAAACGAACCCCCCGCAAAAGCCACAATCAAATGCTGGTGCCATGTTCCGCATCGTTAATCCCGGCTGTGGCTTGAGGCTAACAAGTCACTAATCCTGGAAGGTGTTCTGCCTATTTCTCACCCTGGCGATGATCGACCCGGACACTCGTGGAGGCGGGGGTGAGACTGAGGGTGAGAGTGAGAGCGGGCTGTGGCTGTAAGCATCACACAGCAGAAATCTTGTCCTGTATTTGGGCAATCTCTGACCATGAATGGATGTAGTATGCCGTCGTCAGTTCGTCGTCCGTGCATTATTCTCCAACACCCTCCCCAAGAGTCAGTGCTCAGCATTTACAAACTTTACACCACGCTACTGGTCAGGATTGACTCGGAAGAGTTTACCCAACCCGAGCGGCCATGCCGCTAACTTGAAAGACAAATGCACAATGATATCAGAATCTCGGGTAGGAGGTTGAAGTTGGGTGGGTTGTATCTAATGCATGGTTTTCCAGATTCTGAGCCGGTGTGTAGGTAGTAGCAGTCACTATGGAGCAATCTCCATTCTACAGACCCATATCTAAGTACATCATATGCATGCATGAAAACATTATTGTTCCATTACTGCGAGTCTACGGCGGACTTGACGTGCTGGTTGTTATTTCATTTGCGGCTGCAACCGCAGAGGGCCACGACGATCTTTCCATGATCGACGAGTCCTTGATAGTACGAAGTCGAGTAGTACGTACTATATCCCACGGTGATATGGAGCCAATTCGACAGGGAAGTTGGGAGACGAGGTCGAAAAGGAAGGTTTGCCTGCTACCGGGATAGAAAAGCGAGATGTGATTGAACCAGCTATGTCTTGTCCTCAGCTTTTGCCGAGGGTGCGTTCTTGTGGTTAACCGACTGGTGACAGTTGGAGTAAGTAGAGGCGTTCCTGGTTAATCTAAATCCTGCCAGGCATAACTTAATTCATGGCCTGAACAGTGCACTGCACTCTGCATGCTTTACAGTTTACTAGTTGTCCTCTGACAATCCATGGACACATGCAATCCAAGACAACATCGTAGTACGTACTCGCTCAACTTACTCCATAAGTCCACGGTCCATACAATTCCAATTATTATTACATCTAATCAGAAATCTCTCCACCCACATCCAACACCACGGAGTAGTCTACACCGTACCTGAACCATCAAAGCCCCCTTTTCTATTATATATCCCTCACCCGATGCACAACACTGGATACAAGTTCCAACTTCGCCTTAGTCGCCCCACCATCCTGATACAGACGCTGGCGGCACAGCCCTTAGCCACGCAGCCAACAACAACAGTCACCAGTCACCACCAGTGGATGAAAGGCCGGCCCGGGACTCGAGGACGTCTCACAGGGGCACTCCGTCCGATCTAGGGCTTTTCGCATACCCCACCAGCAAGCCCAGTGCCGTCCCAAAGCAGTCTAGCCTGTTCTCTATTCGCCCACCGGTGCATCGTGGTTCCGTGTTTTTCCGAGCACCGCTGAAGATTCACGAAGGCGGCCGGCGGGATGACGTCATGGTATGCGCGCGGCCCCTCTCGTCGCCCCAGGAGAGGGAGGGTTAGGACTGAGGAGGCTGGAGGACTGTCCTCCGTAACGGATAACGGTTGACATGAGGGTATCCACGGGCTGGTGCGAGCGGGAGAGGTGATTAGCTCGTTGGCTGGTTCCTGGTGTGAGGTCGTATTCGAGATGGGTTGGGCAGTGGCCAATTACTGGTTTGGTTTTGGCGATTGCGGCTTGAGGTTTTTTTTCGTTTGTCGACTGTTGAGCAGTAAAGTATCTTAGTACGGTGCTACCTTCCCTTCCTGCTAAGAACGAGACTAGTATTTCATGTTACGGGGTTACAAGGAACAAGTTGTTTGTAAATGAGATACGCAATTTGATTCTAATGGTAATTTCGTTCTATCCCAAGCTTTCTTTATTTCGTGTTCCTGGCGTCGCCCGGCTCACATGTTCTCCTGCTCCTTCGATGCTTCGGCTGTACCGAGGACAAGGACAGGAACAGGGACAGGGGAGCCGTGAGCTATGACCTGCATAACAAAACGAGTCGCTACCAAAATATACCTACCATCCATCCGAACATATATAGATCAAGAGACATCCAACACTCTCTAAGCAGAGAGGTTCTTGGCAGTCTCCTCAGGCCACACGTCGTAGCCAAAGGTGTCCTTCATGTTGACGAAGCGGAAGTGACGGCCCTCAGCAACCTTGTTGACAGCGGCATAGTCGGCGTCGGAGAGCTCGATGCTCTTGTAGTTGGACTCAATGCGCGCGGGGTTGGAGCTCTTGGGGAGCACGACGTAGCCGCGGCGCAGACCCCAGGCAATCAGGACCTGGGCGAGGGTGTTGCCGCCCTTCTTCGCGATGTCGTTGAGGGTAGCGTTCTCGCTGACGCGCTCGCCGGTGGTGGGGACCTGGTTCTGGGATCCCAGAGGAGAGTAGGCCTCGGGCATGATGTTGTTCTTGAAGCAGTACTGCACCAGCTCCTCGTTGGGCAGGAAGGGGTGGATTTCAATCTGGTTGAGGTGAGGCTTGACCTTGGCATACTTGAGGAGCTTCTCCAGGCCTTCGATGGTCCAGTTCGAAACACCGATGGCGCGGGCCTTCTTATCTTCGTACAGCTTCTCCATCGCCTCCCATGTGGGCTTGGGGTCTTCGGTCAGGTCCTTTAGGATAACGTACTGCACTCTCGTTAGTATCATATGACGTTTTGTTGTTGCGGGGCAGATATTTGGAGAGGGGGGTAATACCTTTCCATCGGGGCCAATCTTGGGCTTCTCCTGGCCATCCTTCTCGGCAGCAATGGGCCAGTGGACGAGGAAGAGATCGACGTAGTCAGTCTTGAGCCTCTTCAGAGAGTCGTCGATCGACCAGCGGACGTCTTCAGGGCGGTGCAGGTGGTTCCAGACCTTGGTGCAGATGAAGATGTCGGAGCGCTTGACGGAGGGGTTCGCCTTGAGGAAGTCCTGGAGAGCATCACCAACCTCGCCCTCGTTGAGGTAGTACCAGGCACAGTCCAGGTGTCTGTATCCGACCTCAAGGGCCTTGGTGACAGCGCGGTAGGTCTCGCCCTCAGCACCCTCGCTGGCGAAGGTACCGAACCCCACACCGGGGATGGTGACACCATTGCTGAGCTGGAAGGTCTTTCCGTTCGACATTGTGAAGTGAATTTGAGTGCAATTGAAACGCGATGGAGCAATTGAAGTTGGGGAGATGTGGAGGGGGGGAAGAAGGGAGGGAGGAAGAAAGAAATGAAGTCGCAGTCGAGCAGTTGAAGTGCAATGACGACGGAAGAAGGAGCTGGTGGGGTCCGGTGGAAGCGGGCAGACGACCTTGAGACGGAGGGGTTGCCAGCTGTCGCGGGGTTCTGGTGCTGCCACTATCCGGATGCAGTCGACTCAGCTTCCAAGTTGGGAGTGCAGCAATTAATTATTTACCTGCACAATGTCCAGGCCTGTCCTGTGTACATGATCTGTTTGTAGCTGTCAGCCCAACAAAGAGCACGGCAACGGCCGGCTACAGCTCAAACAACCATTGCCCCGCCATGATCTATACATGAGGCCATCGTTGGCAGTTTTTTGTAACGGTAATTCAATGACATCATAGTCGGCCGCTGCTGGATCAATCGTCATGGCTCCATCGATCTGTGGCTGGCCCAAGGGTGGAATCCCTCTCGGACCAATGACTGTCTTTATCCGTCTCCGCTGCATTCGGTCCTCACCAATCACATCACCTGCTGCATCCATGCGGGCCCAGAGGATCATGTCTTGAGTTCGTCGCGGAAACAGTGCTGTATTTTTTAAAAGAAGCTGAAAGGCAGACTGAGAATTTCACGCTGCGATATGATAAGAGCTGGTGCATCCAGGAAACAAAGGAGACAGATAAAGACACAAACGAGCTCAAACCAACAAACAGAGGTGCTGCTAAGTCAGTGCTCTGTCCTGGAGATATGCTCTGACTGCCTTATCTGAACGCTAAGGTAATATTTAAAAGAAAGAAAGCAAAGTCAAAACATCCAAGTAATATCAGCGTAAATTACCTATCCACTGGAACCGGCTTCCCTCCAGCCTGTGGATAAGCAGCTAATGATGATGGCGAGAATCCCTTGGAATGAGATGATGATACAAGGCCCTTTGGGTGGAGCCGCTGCGAATAATTACTGCACGCAGGGAAAAGACACCATTCGAGGTGCCATCCATACCATTCGCCCGCCACTGCGACTTGTCGCCGCCGTATATTTATTAACGGCAGCCTCCCTCTGTTTGTCCTTTTTTTATCGAGCTAACTTTTTCTTTATATACTCTCCTCCCGCCCTTCACTTCTACATCCCCTCTCCTCTTCATTCCACCTTCTTGGAGCAGCACCATTGCCGTCTCTGCTTCCTCTCTCCATCTCTACAGCTCTATCAATAACTTCTCCCTTCACAATGCCTCGCTTCGACGACTCTGACCTGGGCGTGGACCCCAATTCCACTATCCCTCCCCCCCGCAGCACTGCCCCCGACACTCGCTCCCCCAGAGACCGGGGCAGCTTGGCTGGCTCACTGCCAATCCCCAACGACGCTGGAAACACCGTTGAGGTCCCTGCTACCAGAAGCTCTATCAGCGATGCCGCTGCTTTCATGCACAACCTGAGCCTGTCCCCCTCCACCCGGGACCGCCGTGGCTCTCGCAACTCCTTTGGCACTTCTCTCCCCATTCCCCGCTCTCCCCGTGTCTCCCGCCTGTCCTCCGCCGTCACTGCTGATGCCGCTGGCGTTTCCCGCGACATCCTGGCCTCTCAGGTCCAGGACATGTCCAAGGAGAAGGTTGCCGCTGCGAAGAACATGGCGTTCGCCTTTGACATTGATGGTGTCTTGGCTCACGGTAACGAGGCCATCCCAGAAGCTAAGGAGGCTCTCCGCATGCTCAACGGTGACAACGAGCTCGGCATCAAGATTCCCTACATCCTCTTGACCAACGGTGGTGGTAAGACCGAGGCTGCCCGTTGCGCGCAGCTCAGTGAGGTTCTCGAATCCCCCATTTCCACCGACCAGTTCATCCAGTCCCACACCCCCATGCAGGCCTTGTCTGAATACTACGACACTGTTCTGGTTTGTGGTGGTGAGGGCCAGAAAATCCGCGAGGTCGCTGAGAACTACGGCTTCAAGAACGTTGTCCACCCCAAGGATATCCTCGCTTGGGACCCTACCGTCTCTCCCTGGGCTGTCTTCACCGAGCAGGACCGTGCTGAGGCCAAGCCCCGCGACTTCTCCAAGATCAAGTTCGACGCCGTCCTTGTCTTCGCCGACTCTCGCGACTACCAGACCGATTTCCAGCTGATCATCGATCTGCTGCTCGCCGACGACGGCAAGATGCTTACTCGTTCCGAGGACCCCGTCGCCAACCGCATCCCTATCTACTTCTCCCAGGGTGACTTGGTCTTCCCCACCGACCACAAGGGTCCCACCCGTCTTACCCAGGGTGCCTTCCGTATCTCCGTTGAGGCCCAGTACAAGGCCCTGACCGGTCAGGAGCTTGAGCGTGTTGTCTACGGAAAGCCCGAAAAGGCCACCTACACCTACGCCGACGAGGTCCTCCGCTCCTGGATGGAACAAATCCACAACCAAAACCACCTTCCCGAGAACATCTACATGGTCGGTGACAACCCTGCCTCCGATATCTGCGGTGGAAACATGCACGGCTGGAACACCTGCCTTGTCCGCACTGGTGTTTTCCAGGGCGGCGACAACGACGAGAACAACCCCGCCAATTTCGGTGTCTTCCCCAACGTCCTTGAAGCTGTCAAGGCCGCCGTCCGCAAGGAGCTTGGCCAGGAGTTCAAGATGAAGTGGAACCCCAAGGTCAACCCCGTCCTCCACGGCGACAACACCTCCTCCGCTGTTGAATAAACGGGACAAACTTGGATGACAAGATGAAAAAGATAAAACAATTGGCGTTTGGTCCTTGCAATCATATCCTATCATACCTTGGTGGTTCTTACGTTAGACGGATAAGCATACAGTGCTTTTTTTATGTTCTTGGGTTTTCCTTTTTTTTTTTTTTTTTCTCTCTTTCCAGGCTGGGCTACTGATACCAATGATGTTCCCCAATGCGCGCGGGCTACATGACACCCCAGCCAAGGCGGACTCTCCACGTTTTTGACTTTTATACTGTGATGTGGTGATGACGATACAAAGAATCGGACACTATTCTTTCTTACTTCCTCTCACTCTTCCACTTAGCTGCGGATTCCATTCCTCCATCAATCATGTCCTTACAATGAAACGACGCAAACGAACACCATATAGATTTCTTGCTTTTTTTTACTAGACTACTATCAAAAATCAAAATCAACCAGAATTTCAAACTCAAAAAAAAAAAAAAAAAAAAAAAAAAAAACTCAAACCCCACTATCGGTAAACCTTGTAGAGCAAGTAAATAAAAAGTCATGACGCCATCCTGATGCCAACATATGGGTCCGCGGCCAGGTTTCTCGCTTCCATCCCACGGAATCCACCTCTCGGCTGCCCAGCGTGGAAACCCAAGCTAATTCCCTAAAGCGGGCAACTGGAGCAGGTAAGGTACGTATTACATACTAGCAGGGCGTGCTAAGATGAACCAGTAATAGATGTGCAAAAGTAACTCGGAATCCTTAACCCACTATTCGGGACCCCGAGGGTTACGGCACTCCGACTCGTGGCTTTTTCTCGGGAAGTATGTTGGGAAACTCTGCAGGATTTCGGCGCACGCCGGTGACGTCCACGTTTTTTGACCAGGGTTCTCAACTGGGTTGGGCTGTTTTGCTTTGTTACAGAAGGCTGGTGCCCAGGCTTAGTATTTTTAGCGAGCTTTACGGGCTTTTGGGACGTAGAGGTTGTTATGCCACGGAACTAGACTGTGCTCCTTATCAGATTTATCCTCTGCATAGTATATGTATGGGGAACTCTAACGTTGGATCCGGACAGGTCTATATACATGCTTAGGGCCATGTAGTCAATAGCCAGCCTCATAGGCCAATAATTCCTCGATGGTCTAACGGTCATGATTTCCGCTTGTCACTCTTACGAGAACAAGCGCGGGAGACCTGGGTTCGACTCCCAGTCGGGGAGTATTTTTGCTTTTTGAATTACTACTACTACTCCCAATAAATAATTCATTAGACATTGCAATGGTAACCACGTTAAGGCTATACATTCTTAAAACGGTCGTTAAGCTTCTGTTGGATAGCTAAAAGCATGATAGCCGCTTAAAACCTTAGCTTAGGAATATCTAGGCAAAGCTGCTTATAAATAACCAATAATTCCTCGATGGTCTAACGGTAATGATTTCCGCTTGTCACTCTTACGAGAACAAGCGCGGGAGACCTGGGTTCGACTCCCAGTCGGGGAGTAATTTTTTTTTTTGTTTTGAATTACTACTACTCTCAATAAATAAGTTCATTGGATATTGTAATGGTATGTTTTAACATCCCTAAAGCAGTTGTTAAGCTTCTGCCAGACAGTTAAAAGCATGATAGCTGCTTAAAACCCTAGCTTAGGAATATGTAAGTAAAGCTGCTTATAAATAAATAATAATTCCTCGATGGTCTAACGGTAATGATTTCCGCTTGTCACTCCCAAAAGGAACAAGCGCGGGAGACCTGGGTTCGACTCCCAGTCGGGGAGATCTTTTTTATATATATCTTTTCTTTTTTCTCGCTAGGAGTTAGTTAGGTCTACCAATACGTCATTGCTAGAACCGCTGGTTTGGCTGCCTTCGTGCTATGGGCATCACACTAATGTGCACTGTGTGGTTTATTGAAGGGTGGAAATAAAAGATGGTATACCGTAGTATAGCCCTCAAGTGCGGTTCTATATAAGATCGTGGCTTCAAGGAATATCGGAACGAACTTCTCAACCTCAGTACATCCCCCTGTAATGGCAAAATACGAGCCGCTATCCCTGATGCTCTTTCCAAACTACTCTAGTACACCGCTGGAGCCGGCGGCCGTCGGGCCCAAGGAACGGTTAAAGCCCTACATGACGACTCCAACACAATGACCCGGAAACTACAAACCGGCTCATGTCCAGATATTCACAGCACCGTCAATAAATGGCGGTGGAGCTAGAGACAACAGTGATATGACAATATTCATACACGGCAGTGGCACCTCCTAAGCACGGATCGTAAGTCTGGGGTGCCGCTTGGCCCAGAGCACATACCATTTGCTCCACTAGAAGGCTATGTTACTGCGGAGTTGTGGGCGCTGGATGTCGCTTCCCTCAGACAGCTTTATTCGTTGCTCCAGTGAGCGGGCTCTGGGTGCGCAAATATCATCTGTGGGGCTACTCCGGGGTTAAAGGATAGGCAGTCATAAGCGCGTGCTTACACTTGTCTACTGTGTTATACCGCCGGTAGCTCCCAGTGACGAGGGAGGTTTGGGGTATTTGAGGAAAATACGGATGTTACAACAAGTGATATGTGCTCCTTGAATGCTTATTCCCCGGTTCCGCTTCACCCTCGGGTTGGGAAGCTGAAGAAGGTTACGTTGTATCAGGTCTCTGGCAAATACAGCGAGGAATAGATACGGAGTTGGTGCTGAGGATACTGGGGATGATGTATATGCCTTCATACTATAATAGCTATCTTGTCCTTTCATTATGCTTTTAACATATCAGTTAGTGCTTCAAAGGCCGGGTCGCAAGTGTTTATGGGGACGTGTTCGAGGCTGCGGAATGGCTGGATGAGTAATTTAGTTGCATACGCATGGAATATATGTAGACAAAGTATGGTACCTGCTGTCAATATGCAAAAAAGGAAGTCTTGGTTATCAACCAGCAGAAAAAGGACGACAACTACAAGATCAAAAAAAAATTATCTCCCCGACTGGGAGTCGAACCCAGGTCTCCCGCGCTTGTTCTCGTAAGAGTGACAAGCGGAAATCATGACCGTTAGACCATCGAGGAATTGTTAATATTTCTCGGCATATTTTGACTACATATTCCTACGCTAGAAATAGTGATCGTGCGCTGGTATCATGCCCACCCGCCCACTCTCCCAAAGCTCAAGGAAGGCCTCGCCCCAATAGGCTCCAAGGAGGTATGATGCAGGATCAAGCTGTAATACTATCCTAAACACAGCAGCAATGCAGGGGGGGGTCGTAAGGTCAGAACTGACACAAGGCCAGTCTGCTCTGGACCTGCCTAGGGCATGCATAGCTTATAGTTAGAGAACATAATTCATGATGTTAATGCCAACGAGGACTTTGGTGGTTGCAATCTGTATTCTCTGATTCATTGATACTGCTCAGTAATTGCTAAACCCTTGGCCCCATCGTGTGTCTTAGTACGCTCTCTGCTTTACCGGTACCGTTATACGCATGCTCGTATACGTTGTCCAGCTGGGCTGTGTCGGGGACGAATTCATTCACTTCGGAGGCCATCTACGATACACAGGCACTACCCGAGAAGAGAAAGGGGGTATGGGATGGAGAAGCAGCATGAATATCGTCTAAAAGGTGCCGAGAAGGTTTCCCTTCCAGTGTAATTTCAAAAAGCAAAAAATCTCCCCGACTGGGAGTCGAACCCAGGTCTCCCGCGCTCGTTCCTTTTGGGAGTGACAAGCGGAAATCATGACCGTTAGACCATCGAGGATGATTGATTGGTGTTTTGGAGAATTCTGACATCTTCAGTGGAGCCCTATTCTGGCCGCATTGGGTGGGAAGGTCACATGCCTCTGGAAACCCTACTTGGATCTCCCATTGATGAGTATACGTGAATTTTAATGCTAGCTTTCAAAACAATAGTATGGTATACTATACAGTGTCGTCTTGGCCTTGGTACATAGAGAATAAACCGCGAAGTGCAGAACCGCCTCGTGTATTTTGAGGATGTGGCGATATATATTATCTTGATCGAATCCAGTTGAGCGGTAAACTCTTATCTATCTCCAAAGGTCTACTAATCCCGTATAATTGTAATTAGATCGAGTAGATTTAGCTTCAGCTCGTTTTAATTATCAGACTTCCAAGTCCAACGATCTTGGCTCTCTGCCCAGAGCTCCTGCCTAACGCACGTTCCGGAACGCCTGCATCAAACATCCAGCGCTGTAAGGACAATGGACGGGGTGTTATTTTCCGCAGGTTATCCTGAGTCCTTGAATATCTTCGATATTGTCCATAAAAGAAAGGTGCGTAGGATTGCAGGTCAGTTCGTGGCAGAGAACAACTCGGCTGTCAATATCTGTTCCCGGCCTCTGGAGGTAGGTCATTTGGCCTTATTTTGGCTTGAGAATTTATTCCAACGGAAAGGTAGTGTAAAATTGTCTAATTTATCTTACCTTACCATATTAATGCTTGCTCACCAAGGCAACCGGGTCATAGCTGTTCCTATTTCCTTCGTAGCTAGCGATTTCCAATACCATTCATTTATACCACATATGAATCCCGTGGAAGGCCTAAATATAGCCAATATTTCGACGCCGACTTCCTTTTCTTCAACTTTCCATCGAGATTCCTCATACTGCAGGCAAGTGTAAATGTATAAAATTTAGTTCAGCCCTAACCACAACGCTTATGAATGGATCCACTTAATCTGACACCAAACAAGATCTCAATATAGGTAAAAATTTCGACATCCACTTCCTCGATGGTCTAACGGTCTATGATTTCCGCTTGTCAATCCTTACCAGGAACAAGCGCGGGAGACCTGGGTTCGACTCCCAGTCGGGGAGGCATTACTTTTTGTTTTTGGGATATATGAAGTTTTTTTTTGGGGGGCTGTGGGAAGGGTGGAGTTGGCTATCGCGTGCCTAGAACGTACGGACTACGGAGATACCAAATTATGGCTCGCTGTTGGGGCGAGGTGGTGGTAGAAAAGAATATGAAAACGTAAAAAATGGCTGCATTCAATCGATATATCTTCGTAACCGGGAAATTTAAGAAGACTTTTTCCTCTATCCCCCTTCTATACTATTCCAACCCAAACCCAATGCGTAGAGAGATTACCCATACTTATTATAAGTCAAGTATACCGCTTTTACTCCATCTCAATAGTACCCGGGGGCTTGCTCGTATAATCGTAGCACACACGGCACACACCAGAGACCTCGTTGACGATGCGCGTCGACACCTTGGACAGGAACTCGTATGAGAAGGGGTACGGCGTGGCGGTCATGAAGTCCTTTGTAGAGATTGCGCGGAGTAGGATGATGTTGGCGTACACGCGCTTGTCGCCCATGACGCCGACGGCACGCGATGGGTCGAGAGCGGCATACGCCTGGCCGATTTCGTCGTAGATACCGGCTTCGCGGATCATGGAGACGAAGATGTGGTCGGCCTTGCGGGCCATTTCGACCTTTTCTTTGGTGACTTCGCCGAGGACACGGATGGCGATTCCGGGGCCTGGTAAGTTTATTTATTAGTTTAGCAGATCATTGATGGAAAATGGTCCCTGGCTTACCGGGGAAGGGGTGGCGGCCGACGAGTTCTGAGGAGATGCCGAGCTGGCGTCCGAGCTCACGGACTTCGTCTTTGAAGAGTTCGCGGAGAGGCTCGATGAGCTTGAGGCCATGGCCACGCATCAAGCGCTCGGCGATACCGCCAACGTTGTGGTGGGTCTTGATGGTTTGAGAGGGGCCCTTGAAGGAAATACTCTCGATAACATCTTGGCCTTATTAGCTGCGGCGTAGAAAATTGGGGGTTTTCAGAACTTACCGGGATAGAGGGTACCCTGAAGGAACCACTCAACCTTTCCAGAGCTCTTGGCCTCGATCTTTTTCGCCTCATCCTCGAAGACGTCAATGAATTTTCCTCCAATGAACTTGCGCTTCTTCTCAGGGTCGTCAACACCCTTGAGACCCGCAAGGAACTCATCGCCAGCATCGACGACAGTCAAGTTGATGCCGAGCTGCGCCTGGAGAACCTCTTGGACCTTCTCGCACTCGTTCAACCGCATGCAGCCATTGTCCACAAGGACGGCGTGGAATCTATCTCCAATGGCTTCCGTCATCATCTTAGCGGCAACAGTAGAATCGACACCACCACTGACAGCACCCAGCACCTGGCCATCAGGACCAACCAGGGAGCGAATTCGTGCGATTTCCTGCCCGATGAATTCCGCCATTGTCCACTTCTGCTCGGCACCGCAAATACCCACAGCGAAGTTCTTCAGAAGCTGTCCACCTTGGGGTGTATCTAAATGTGGTCAATCAGCAGCTGTATGGAAAAGCCTACCAAAAGAGGGGCTACTCACGAGTAACCTCAGGATGGAACTGAATCCCATAAACCGGATCCGACTTGTGCGCAATAGCCGCGAATTCCGAGTTCCCTGTGGTTCCGATGGTGTGGAAGCCCTCAGGCAGGTTACGGAGTTTGTCACCGTGAGACATCCAAACAGTCATATCGCCCTCAATGTCCTCAAACAGCTTATCAACGTGGCCTCCAAACCGAGTAGCCTTCAGGTCGGCATGGCCGTATTCCCTAGCGGTGCCTGCAACGACATTGTCGGCGTGCAGGCGGTGGGCGAGTTCCTGGAGCCCGTAGCAGATACCGAGGATAGGGACACCGAGGTCGAAGAAGGCAGGGTCGGCGTGGGGTGCATCATTCTCATAGACGGAGTATGGGCCACCGGAGAGAATGATACCCTTGGGCTTCCATCCCAGATCAGCGAGCTTCTGGGTGCAGGGAAGCATCTCGGAGTAGACATTGATTTCGCGTAGACGGCGGGTGATGAGGTGGGTGCTGGTGAGATGGACATTAGTCTAAGTTCTCTCCGGTTCTTAGGATGGTCTTCCCGGTAGACATACTATTGGGACCCAAAGTCCAACACGAGAATCGTGTCGAACGAGTTGTGAGGGATTGTGTCTGCCATGGTGGGGTTGAGAGATGGCTCAATTCGAGGACTTTCAGGAGTGTGTTGGTCAATGGCGAACCGGAGTCTGTAGGTATATGGAAGCGTATATGGTGAACAGACTGGACCGTTTCCTGAAAGCAAGAGCGGTTCGGGAAATCAAGTCCAGAGGGTCGACTGATAAGAAGACGGCAGAGGAAGAAAAAAAAGATGACTCCTCCATTCTGCCATTCGGATAAAAAATTATTGGCGGGGTTACTCACCGCTCACATGATACTATGAGGGGCTGTCGATCTTATCAGATAAGATCGGAGCCACTATTCCTGAAATGACTGATTTTGACACTTTAGGTTCATAGTCAATCAGGCAAGCCTTGATTATTGTCAAGGCATCATCACCTTCGCGGAAGCTTAAATGAGCGCCATGTTCTAGAAGTACCCGCACTGCGTCTGCTTTGCAGCTTTTGGCAGCATAGAAAAGAGCTGTTTGGGAATGATAGTCTGTTACATCTATTGGATGACCTCTTCTCAGGAGATATTCAATTGCCGGCACATTCCCACTACTCGCCGCGTGATGTAGTAGCGTTTGGCCCATTTTGTCTTTGCCTGCGATGTTCAGGTATGGAAAGTCGTGCATAGTATGGAATATCTTATCCATGCCCAATGCACGATTGATATTGATGTGCAAGGACTCGTCGAGGTACATGCGGTCCAGGTACTCACCAGTCTCGCTGTCGCAACATGAAAATCTTCATTCGCACGGTCCCACCCACCGGCCGCTGGCTCCCAGAGGGAAGCTATGGTCTTGTCTTCCCATGATATGGTGATACCCTGGCTTTTGACGAATTCAAAGGTCTCCCTTCCTCAAATGGCAGCAAAAATGCAACGAAGTCCACTTGGTGCTTTTTAAAGAGTCCATATAGCTCCACCAATGCTGTTGGTTTGACGCTCGATCGAGATCTGCTCCTTTATCCAGCAGCCACCGAGCGGCCGCCATATGGTCTCGTGCCAGAGCCACATGAATGGGGTAAGTAGGCTGCTTTCAGGGAACGAGTCCACAATCGCGCCTTGTGAGACCAGAATTTCCATGGTCTATGTACGGTTCTTAAAAGCGGCATTATGAAGGGCTGTCGGGAGGCAGTGATAAGTAAGACTTTCTCAGGTTTTGTCTTCGGGATCTTGGTCCGTGGATTTTCTCTGTGCCAGTTTGGCCTTCTCTGCTAACACATCTATCCCAGAACGGTGCGCGCTTATATGACGCTCGATTGACTGGATTTTATTGACGTCTGCTCCTAGTCGAATTAGTGCTGACGCCCAATCCACATCACCCTTCCTGGCTGCCAGACAAAGGAATTTCTCTCTGTGTTCATCGAGAGTAGACAGGGTAGAAAGACTTGGAACCATCAAGCGGAGGTAATCGAGGCGCTGACACTCAGCTGCCAGGCTGAGTGGTGTTGTTCCGTTCTCATTTTTGCAAGTAATATCAGCCTCATATTGAAGCAGAAGCTGCTCTATTTCAATTCTTTGTTCCTTGCCCGGCAGTCCAACGGCATAATGAAGCACCGTCGACCCTCGCGGACACTTTACCGTCGTACTGGCTCCGTGAGACAGGAGCATCTCGACAGCCCATGGATGGCCCTTGTAGACAGCGCACATCAGCGGTGTTAGCCCAAATTCAGTATTACTTTCAAGATCAAACCCGTGATTGAGAAGTATTGCAATGGTTGGCTCAACCTTTGCAGGGATTGCACCTGCACTCAGTTCTGAACCTGTCAATTGCAACGTACGTAGATCGAGCGCACACGTTACGACACTTGAATCTGAGGCTGAGATTATTTCCGCAATATCAGGGTCCTGTTTATTCAAGAGGACATCCACAACTTCCGCATGTGTATTGTCCGCTGCCGTGCGCAGAGTTCCAGCTTTATCCCTAACAGAAACCCCATGGTCAAGAAGTAGCTGTGCTATCCGTGTATTTCCATTCTTAGCAGCCAGGTTCAGAGACTCCGATAAATCCAGATCTGCAGCATCTCCGTATTTGCCAAATGTCGATAATAAATAAGTGATCACAGATTCGTGGCTTCCCTTTGCTGCGTTTCGTATCGCACGTTGCATGTTGAGACGGTCGAAGTCAAGCTTATATTCATCGGTTAACTTCTGTAAAAGAGCCAGATCACCTGTTAATGCTGCATGGTAAAGGATTTCATCCTTGCCATCGGGCGTGGCAGTTCCTAGCTTCCATAGTTCTGGGTTCAAACGGTGGTGTAATTGCTTGCATGTTCTGGCTAGATTGTTGATATGCCGTGGGTAGAGGCTTTGGCAAAGATAAAGGTGTAAATCCTCGGACAGGTCAAGGATACCTGTAGAGGCACCACTGGTAGTAGACATCATGGCAGATTGTGGACTTTTCGGAAGGAAAGAGTAGTCGGCGTTGCTCGGTCGTAATACTTCAAACTGAGTCTTCTGGCTAGCCGTTGTAGTGAATGAGACTTTCATTTCAATGCCATTTCAACTCCACCATAATTACAGTGAATACCCCAATAACATTATAAACAAAGCCTCTATTCATCTGTTACCTGATTTATTATGGTGCAGTCTTACTGCAAGATGTGTCATAATAGGACTCGGTGCTGGCCTTCCCATGATACCGCAATTTACATTTCTTCTTGTACAGGCTGCCATTTATAATATATAAACTACTACCAGTGAGTTAGGACCGGTTATGCAGGTGGACGATATTGTGGAAAAGTCTCTACAGATTCAACGTGAAAAGAATGCATGATTTCGTATTATAAGCGAGGTTTTCCTATGTAACCTTGTGGTGAATATTTCGTTTACTGTGCAAACGCTGAATGTCGACTTTGCCACCCGTGTATTGAAGTAGGAGGTGAAGAACATCTCTTTCACCGGGGTCGTCAATGCCGACAGATATTTGTTTTGATAGTTGACCGCTAGGATCATTGGCTCGACAGAGATATGCAATTCAAATAACCTTTCGGAAGTTATATATCAAGCAATCAATCCTTCATCGATGTCCTCTGTTTTAGGCATGTCTCGTATTCGCTATAAGCGCTAGAGCAGGAAAGGTAAGCATGCAACAAGGCGAACAAACACCAGTGCAACATAAAAGACCCCTCAGTCTGTTTGCAAGCTTCCTCACCCAGACGTTGAAGAAGGGGGAAAAATAAAAACAGATTATCATCACTACTCTGCAGTATATCTACAATATCATATCTACACCTACCATAACTCTAAACATGGCTACAAAAACACCCCAAAACAACATAACCACACACATCCCCTACGACCCCGCCGCCTACGAACAAATCTCACATCGACCCCAGAAAGAAATCGAGATCGTTTCGCCCGACCCCACCTGGACCACATCCTTCTCCATCCTCGAAGAACGCATAAAAACCGCCTTTGCGCAATCCCAGTCCCCATCGAGCCTCCTCTACATCCAGCACGTCGGCAGCACGAGCGTCCCGGGTCTCCCCGCAAAGGCAGTCATCGACCTGGACATCGTCGTCGCCGACCCAACTGCAGAAGAAAGTTATGTCCCCGTGCTTGAAAGCGCAGGGCTACAGTTTGTTCTCCGCGAGCCGCTGTGGCACCAGCATCGGCTTTTTGGGTGCGTGGAGCCTTATGCGAATGTCCATGTCTTTGGGCCTGATAGTCCTGAGGTTGTGAGGCATCGGCTGTTTAGGGATTGGTTGAGAGATCCAAAGAATGAGGGGGATAGGGAGTTGTACGCAAGTGCGAAAAGGAAGGCTGCGGGGGAGAGTCGGGAGAGGGGCGAGTCGGTGCAGCAGTATAATGATCGGAAGGAGCCGGTTATTAGGGAGATCTTGAAGAGGGTTTACGAGGCGCATGGGTTGTTGGGAGATAGTACGAAGGATTCCTGAGTCTGAATGAGTTTGGACTACGAGTATCCTCTCCCATCACGCAGGCTACATCTATACATCTGTACGAGGCAGTAAACACCAAGGCGCACAAATCTAGACCGTATCCAAGCTATACTTGCCTAGAACCAAAACTGGCAAGGACGATACAATTCCATGTTATCTCATATTTTACATACCCCAGAATCGAGCCTTGGAACCTCGGTAGTCCATCTTCATCTGGACGGTCTATTGAGAAGGGATACTCAAGGGCCGCCTTGGCATCCGCGTAGTTTGTTCTTGGCTTTTTCAAGCAAGGAATTCGACATACCTCAGGGGCTCGGGCAAAGTTTGGAATGTTGTCGTTCATCAGGTGGTAGATGCCAAGACACAGCTGAGACTTGCCAAAATATTCGGACTCCAATCATTGGGCAACCCACACGGCGCTTGGGTTGAAATGCAGTGGATCTAGTTAGCAAAGCAACTCCTTCCTTCGCCAACGCAGAACCGAGTAAAAGGAGATGCGGGGATCGGCAGTCTTGGGGAATAACCTAATGAGGACCTCAAGGTGAGTTCATGCGCGGCTATGTAAGGTCTCATTCCCGGATCAAGCATTTCCGATATTCCCGGGGGTGAACTATGTGAGGGGGAGCAATGGCAAGCGAGGAGACTCCTCACTTGGTCGACTTGAAGTGTAGAAGACATAATCCTTGTCTTATGAAAGATCAATATGGCGTGATGAATTGGGCCACTTCTGACACGGATGGCGTGGGTTGTCCTGCTACCTCGAGATGGGGGTTGCGTTGACAAACAAAGACTCATGCCCAGGCCAATGAGCCGAGACCACGATGGCGTCTCTGTGGCCGATATTAATTAAACGGGATATGATTTGAGACCAAGGTTAGTTAATAGTCTGTCTGTGATTGTTAATAGTGTTTCGGCCGACGCTCCATAGCGAGGAGACCAAGTGGTGAGATGCGCAGAACCAAGAACCTGGGATAATGATTTGCCTTGGCACATAGCTGGTGCGTTGGCCGCATGTCTCCAACCATTTAATATAGACTGCAGGAGTTTTCCACGGAAAATGCATCGAAGCACCCCCTGTGACGTCGAATCGAAAGAGGACCTTCGGTGGCCGTCCCGACTCCCGAGTGGGATTTGAGCGGGAGCTGGGGGTTCTGGAAGATCTGGACCCAGTCAGACAGGGAAGCAGCTCCATGTGCGCTGGAGAAAAGCGACAGGGCCGCCGATCATGCACCCCGGGGAAGGTGGACGAGACGAATCCGAAGCTGGAACCGTGCAGAGGAGGACGGCGGACGATGACGAGCAGTGAGACTCGGACCACTCACCTCCTTCCTCCGCAAGGTCACGGGACCCCGCCCAGCTCAAATGGCGGGCCGGAAAGTAGTAACTGTTAGCTAAGGAATTCGCCTCTGGTTCCTGCCGGTACTTAGTCCGTATTGATGAACGGCGGGATCGAGAGGCGAGATGGGGGAAAACCGCGGAGAAGAAGCGATATAAAGGTTGAATATGGCAGAGATCATGCTCCTAAGTGTCGCGCAACCCCCAGCGAGAATTGACTCTCGAGCAGCAACAGGAATCCTGTTCCACGAAGCCAAAGTTTCAGTACAGGGTTGTATCGGAGTGTACCGCCAAGGAAGGTACTCTGACAGCTTTCCAGTCGGTGACAGTCACGGGGACTGCGGAAGTGGTTTTCCATTATGTCATAGAATGCAGGCGGGCGATCCTCAGCATCACCAGCAGGTGTGCACTTGACCAGGCCGACTTGTTGTCCAGTGCCATCCATCATCTGACTGAGGAGAGTTGGGGAAATTCGACGGCATCCAGCGAATGAGCGTGGTCAGTCGAGAGAGATCAAATTAGAACAGTACCGGAATAAGCAAAGAATCGCCTTGCCGACCGGGGGTCAAATCACCGTTGCGAATAAAGGCGCTAGTCTTGATGCTTGAATAAGGAACTACTCCAGAAGGTGCTGCGGTGCCATGTTGGACAAGTCGGACAATTAGCATCGAAGTATATGGCATCCACGGCTCTCGAGGCCGGGCGCTGCTTGAGTCAGAGAGTAAACAGTGCCACCAGGCTCGACAGTCTTTCTGTTCGCCGCATTCATTCATCCGTGCTCTTTCTCTTTCTTCAGTTTTTCGCCTCCGTAAAGAAAGTTGCCATCTGATCCCTGCAGCTGTAACAGCTCGATCTCTAATAAATAATCTGTCGCATCCATTCCACGGCTCTGAGGGAATCTCTGACAAGTTACTTTCGGGCCCTCGTCTTGTTCTGGTCCACCACCAGCATTTCACTTACTTCATAGAAACCTCACCACCATAACTCTCGGAGCCCAGCCCTCCCACTTCACCGTCCGCACACCCCCCTCGCGTCCGCTCCCGCCCTGCCAGTACTGCTGCTCGCTGGCCATATTTTCGAATCTCCGACCTGCTTCCCCGTCAGCTTGTTTGTCCCTCTTCGGTTACGCGGGTCCATCCCTTCCAATAGCGCCGCCCACTCGGAGCGAGACCTTGTTCCAGTGCTCTAATTCTGTGACTAACAGCTTTTGCTGGTCTCCTCACGCGGCGCTGCCTTGGCCACTCTCGTCGCTGCAACCTTCAAATTCTTCGGTGGGAATCTGGGGAAAGAAAAGCTTTTTCAACCCCTGTGCTGAAGGCTCCATTATTCACAATTTTGCTTTTTTTTCTTTGTGGTGCCTCACCTTTGACCTGCCTTTTTGAGAGAGGGGGAGCATTCGCCTATATAGAGCCCAGGGCTCCAGCGACTCTCCACCATGTCTGCCGCTACCACCTCTCCGTCCATCGCAATCCGCAAGGCCTCTTTCTCGACTGGCCCTCCGAGGAACGCCTCTCCCACTACTGAATCGCGCAACTCTTCCCGCAACTCCTCATGCTCCTCGCCTAATCGATCAAAAAATAGCAGCCGTCGCGAGTCGTTCGGCTCAATCAAAGAAGATATTGACGGTACGATTTCCCCTCCGCCTTGACCTGCTTGGGTTCGCTTCGACACAATGCCAGGTGTAGGTCAATACCCGTTACCTTGACTTGAATCTCTAACATTGGCTCATAGGAATTGCGCAATCCTTCGTGGACACTCACGTTGAACATTCTGCCAGAGAGCCTCCCAAGCTGGACAACCACGACATGCAACATGGCCCGGAGTTCTGCTGCCCCTGCGGAGGATTCTTGGGCTGGAAACAGATTCGTTTGGGTGGAAAGAGCCTCAGCAGGAGCTACAGTGACCTCCGGGGCCTTGGGAACATGACTGCCCGCGGCTGGGCCTGGGAAGAGACTCCAACCATCGCTACTCCGACTACCAAGACACCGGAGGTGAAAGAGCAGAAGCCAGAACCCGGGTCAGAGCCCGGGCCAGAGCCGGGAACATCTGTGCTGGAGAAATTGCCCCCGGAGATTCTTGGTAAGACACACCCGTATCAAGTTTCCCCCCCCGACTTTGATCGTCGTTCTGACTAGGTTCTAGACCAAATAATATCACACCTTGCTTTGGACGTCCCTCCAAACGGCTATACACCACGAAATGTCGACTTGATTTCGTGCCTGCTCACTTCGAGGACCTTGCATGCGGCAACCCTAAGTGTGCTGTACAGGAACATGACGTTCCCACACTCCATTATCTTCTCCAAAGCCCTCAACCACATGTCACAGTACCCGGCCTTGGGAACCCTAGTTCGCCGCCTCGACTTTTCTCACTTTACCTCCGTTGGTCTTGGCCGCACCAAGCAGATGAACTCTGAGATCCAAAACTTGACGTCCACGACGCTCCTCAAATTCCTAGAGCTGCTTCCAAACCTAAAGGAATGCTTGCTCCAGGAGCACCTCGAAGGCGATATCAGCGTGGAAGTTCTGACCAAGCTGTTCACTGGGCTTCCCAATTTGACTGGTCTTGATTTTTGTGGTAGCTCCTCGTCGGCCTTCTCGGCTATCTTCCACCAGTCTTTGCACGCTGGACGTGGCCTTCCGCTGACCCTGCCGAATTTACGGCGAATTTCCTTCCACGAATGCAGCGGCATTCCTTCTTCGTCCTACGAAATTTTGTTCCCTAAGCTGGTTAATCTGACCCATCTCGATCTCACCCACACCCAGGTCAGCGAGGATGCATTATTCGCAATCCCAGAGACTGCCCGGATCACTCATCTGAGTCTTTCGCGGTGCATTCGACTAGGAGGACCGCGAGTGGTGGAATTTTTGACAACGCACCCAGCTGTGAAGGACTCCTTGGTATTCCTTAACGTCATGACGGACGCTTCCCGATACCGGCTCCTGGAGGAAGACGACGTACGGAAGCTGCTTCCCAAGCTCCCGACCTCGCTTCGTTCGCTCAACCTTGGGGGTGCTAGAATCACCTCAGACCACACTGAGGCTTTGATTCCCTTGACCAAGCACTTGGAGGAGCTGGGCCTCAGCTCGGCAGATCTGTCAGCCCAGGATCTCAGCCGCTTTTTTGCGCCTCCTCAACCCAAAGTCGAAACCGAGACCGAGACCGAGACCGAGACCGAGACCACATCAGGCTCGAAAGTGGCACCCTGGGAGCCATCTACCCTTTGCTACCTTGACCTTACCAAGGTGCCTCGCATGACGGTGGGCACGGTTTTCAACACTAATACTTGCCTGTTGCTTGCGAAGCAAAGCTACCCTCTTCAAGTGATTGAGTTCAACGACAAACTCATAACGCCACTGCGCGAGAAACCAAAGAATACCAAGAGCTCTCCCGACTGGACAGTCCGTGAATTAGGCCGTCGCGGATGGTATGTCCGTGACCCTGCCTCGATGCCTGACACTCCGATCGATGATGGCTCTCGTTCTTGGAAGATGGGAGCTCGGTGGTGGGGAATGAGGAAAATCCCCGTTGCTGTTGGCGACGTTGGGGGCCTCTATGGACACTACATGTTCAAGAGATGAAGTTTGCCCGCAAAAAACAAAAACATTATTGATTTTGATGGGGAAAGATTCGTTTTGAGGTTATATACCCTGATTATTACTTTTCTTGCATGTCCTACTTATCTTTTTGGCGTTCGTGTTTAGTTCTGGGTGGGATTCTCTCCTCCAATTTCAGTTTCCGGAGCACAAAAGTGAGCGGCTCTCTTTTCATTTTTATGATTGAGCGTGGGCTTTGTTTTGGCTGCATAGCGGAATCAAATATTCGTTTGTTATATTCTCGGCGTACGGATACCTCTATTGATTTTCACTATTTTCACTTTGATATGAGTTTGATATGATTATGGAAACTGCTAGAGAATTATTCTTGAATTTATCTAAACGCAAAATAAAGCCTTGTCCATTTAAAGTTATTGTAATACTTAGTATGTAGTTCTGAGTGTGACCCGATGAGTTGTTGAGGCTCTTCCAAAGTCTGGCCCAATCACGTGCCACCGTATTTCAGCAGCTCCAGTCCCAGACTTCCAAACTTCATTTTCACTTACTCGGCATCATCCAGGCGCACCTCTAATCCCGAAGGCATTTGACCTTCTGCACCCCTCACCCAGCTCGTCCACTGGGGTTTTCTTCCCTCCCGATGGGTGGATCGCTCTCCGCCGCCCAGGACAGTGGACGCTGTCGAGTTCGACCACGATGGCACCTCCGAGCGGGTCGGCAGCGTACAAGAAGAAAGATGGCACCCTGACGATGTCGTCCGACCGCCAGTCGGTGTCTTGGATTCCGGCGGCGAGCGGCGCATCCGGGTCGATCACGCTCTCTGTGTCTCAAATCACTAGTGCGTTGTGTTTGCCTTGAGTGTTTTTTTTATTATGCAAGCGGATCGTCGGAGAAACGAAGGTCTAACAAATGCAGATTTACAGCAGACACCCGCTAGCAGCCCGAAAGTTATGCTGAAGATTTTTGTCCTCCCCCCGAACGGCGCCTCCCCAAACCCTGAACAATACATCTTTTCGTTTACCGCGGGCGCGACGGCGCGAGCAGAAGCGGATGCTATTAAAGATGCTCTTAGTGCGGCGATCCAAGTAACAAAGTCTACTGCGGCGACTCCGGCAGCGACTCCAGCCGCTTCGACAGGTGAAGGAGGAGGAGGAGCAGGAGCGATGTCAGCGGCCATGGCGATGGCAAGCGCGGTATCATCACCAGGCACAGGGAAGCACTGGTGGGATGATGATAAGCGACTTAGGTCAGATGTGGAACTACAGCAGTCTCTGCTGAAGGTAGACGCGAACTTACAAAAGATGTTTATGGAGTCGCTGCATACCAAACCGGAGACATTGTCGGCGAGCCAGTTCATGTCGCAGTTCTGGTCTACGCGACTGCACCTCCTACGGGCACATGCTATTGAGCGGTCCCAGAGTAGGGGTTCTTATAACGTGCTGTCGACGCTGAAGCCACGGACGGAAGATAATGTGACGAAGCTGAATATCAGCAAGGAGCAAATCCAATTGATTTTCGGCCAGCATCCACTCGTGAAACGGGTGTATGATGAGAATGTGCCGAAACTGAGTGAGTCGCAGTTCTGGTCGCGGTTTTTCCAGAGTCGGCTATTTAAGAAGCTGCGTGGAGAACGTATCTCGGAAGCTGATGCGACGGATGCTGTTCTGGATAAGTATCTGAAGGCAGATGAGTCCGGAAATCTCCCGCGTGAGGTCCAAGTGCCGCATTTCCTTGATTTGGAAGGAAACGAAGGGAACAACAGTCAGCGTCGGGGAAATCGACCAGATATCGACATGAGACCGTCGGCTGTAGAGAAAGTACCCATTATTCGCACACTGAACAACCTGAGTGAGAAAATCATGGCAAATGTCGCGCCTGCCGATCGAGCACCCTCAGCACCCGTGGGAACCATGGATGACGGAACATACGATGAACTACAACTGCGTGATTTGCGCGGCGACGAGCAGGCAAATCGCGTTCCACTGAACATACGGGACCAAAGCCGGTTCTTTTCAGCGGCCAAATTCGCTGAGGATGAACGCAACCGTCTTCTTGCACAACAAGATCCAGAGCAGATATTACAGGACTTGCGCACCGCTATCGAACGGAATTTCCGCAACGATGGGGCAGCACCCTTGGGCAAATTGGTCGACCCTGATGAGGGTGAAGACGATGAGGATTCACAATCTGGCTCACGGCACCAGCGGTATCTCGCATCTACACAGATTCTCGACGTGATCAAGGATCGACGTGCCCAGTCCCAGATTTCGGCGAACTCAGACACATACGGATTGACATCTGCTCTGTACGATCGTCTAACACTCACACACGCAACTACCACGGAATTCCTCCATCAATTCTGGCAAGCATTTCTATCGGGAAATCCAGACCGTGCAGGTGAGGTATCATCGCTGGTGGAGTCACTCAACCGCGCCCTTGAACGGATCAACGCCGTTGCGACGGATGCAGAGGCAGAGCGCCAGGTGGAGGTGGATAAGGTGAAGCGGCATGCTCGCGAGGTGCTGCAGGCGACAGGCAAAAGGCTACGGATTAACCTAGAGAGTATCCCAGGCGGAGAACAAGCAGTGAGGCGCTTATTAGGGCCGACGATCCGGGCATTGGAAACGGGCTTGACGCGGTATAAGGAAGCCTTGGCTGAGGAGACCAAGAATATAGATTCGAGTAATACGTAATTACGTACCAAAATGCAATTTCAATAATATTCCAGAACATACTGCTATTTATCGGGTGCAATAAACGCGGATGTATTCGGCATGCCGAGGCTCTCCGGATCAACCCCCCATCTTCTTTAGTGAAATGACCGCCCTCATCCAACTCCGCAACTGCCAACGTGTCTTAAACCTTAACATCAACGTCGCAAACACCACGAAACGGAAAATATCCCACACTAAATCCTCAGGAGAAGCCTAGCTCGAATGCCATCAGCATGCAAACAAGCGGTTTATCAAATACACCCCTCACAAAAGCGCTCCTAATCTACACAATCGCCGCCTCCATCGCCCTCTCCATCTTCGACATTAAACACCTCCCCGCCATCCATGTCTCCCCGCACCTCTTCCCCTACGGCCAGTTCTGGCGCTGCCTGATTTGGCAGGTCGCTGGGTTCGCGAATTCCACGGAGGCACTTTTCGCTGCACTGCTGGTTTACCATGTTCGAGTTGTTGAGCGCGGATGGGGGAGTCGGAAAGTTGCTGTATGTTCCTCTCCTTTTATATGCAACAATTAAACCAGTTGGGAAAATTATGGAGAAATGCTGCTAATCTGCACCTCTCTCTCTTTATAGACATTCATCCTCAGCACACTTCCCTACACGACACTCCTCGCACCCCTCCTCCTAACCCTCGTCGTGAGACCGCTCACCTTCGGGAAAATAAACTACCTCCCCTCGGGCCCAACCGGCACAGTTTTCGCGCTGCTTGCGCAGTATCACGCCTCTATACCCTCGACGTATAGGTATACCATTTCGACTTCATCGTCACCCCCATCCCCATCTACACCTACAGCTTCAACCCCAACAACTACAACACCCGCATCACAACCAAGCGACGCTACCGAATCCCCGCAAAAGACTCTCTCAATCTCTTTAACAGATAAGTCAACTACGTACTTAATAGCGGCGCAGCTTGCGCTCTCACAGTTCCCGTACATGCTTCTGCCATCAGCGCTAGGGTGGATTGTTGGCGTGGCCTGGCGCGCGGACGTTCTCCCTTGTGTTGCTGGGAGTGGGAGTTCGGGCTGGAGGGTTCCGGCGTGGGCTGTTGGGGAGGAAGGTGCGACGTTCTCTGCACGGAGCGGTGGTGGGAATGGAGGTGGCCAGGAGGCTAGGTTTGAGGGGTTGAGGAGAAGGTTGGAGAGTGAGGCTGCGGCTGCGGCGAGTGGGAGTTCGAACTCGAATCCGGATGCTTCGGGGTCTGGGGCTGGATCTAGTAGGCTGAGAGCTGGGAGGGGGTGATTGTGTGTCCTTGCCTATCTACTTTATGTTACTGCATATACCACATCTTGTTTTGGTAGGCAACTTAGATTATATTGAAAGAATGTTATTAAGATTGAACATTTAGTCAGCTTCCAATAATCGCTATGTCTATATTGTCGAAATAATAGTTTATGTCTAAACCAGACGGAGACACTGCTTCGTGGGCTATCTACCGCCCATTGCGACTTCGCCGCATATTTTCCTTGCACTCGTTACAGTACCATTTAACTGTCAATCGTTAGCAGATGAGAAATAGAGGGAGCTCTTGCTTTCTAGATAGGGAAAAATCACCATTTCGTCCAGGAGGCTTTGTAAGTCCAACACAGGATAGATGGAACCATTCGCGGGGACAAGCGTCATTGTCACACGCAACCATCTCGCCGAAACTTATCTCGTTACAGTAGCAGTATCGCGGCTCGCCTTCTTCGTCCTCGTCATCGCCTTCGTGAAGTGATTCCTCGGGATCCGATACTGGCGGCGGTGGCGCCACAGTCGCGGTGCTGCCATTCTTCTTGTGAGTACGTTTCGGCGTCGGGTCTGTACTTCGCGTTGGTCGCGTGCGCGGCTGTACCGGCTCTGCGGAAGCAAGTACCGGAGTTGCGGTTTTGGAAGTCCTTCCTTTAGCAGCATTGTTTGAGGTGGGTGCTGAGATTTCTGCGGACTCGATTGACTCGGCAGGTTTGGTGTCCATATCCTCTCGTTGGTTTCCGGGTGGTGCTGAAGACTTGGACATATCGGTGGGTTCGGGCATATGGCGGAGGGTATCTGGAAGAGGAACCATTTCTGTCCTAGAGGGTGCCTCCTTCGATGGTAGTTTGGGTTCGGAAGTTTTACCTAACAACATTAGCAATGCTTGCGATAGTATAGACAGAAACCATACCGGAGTTAGGAATACGGTTAGATGCAGAAGATGACGGTCTTTGTCGAGAGTTTGGCTGCGTTGAATTTTGCTGTGCTCTGGAGGACTGTGGTCGCGACGAGCCAGGTCCAGGGCTAGCTGCGCTGCGTGGAATAGTCGCAGCAGCCGCAGTCCCGATCAGCGGAGACGGAGGAATAAGAGGAGAGTCGGCCGCGGTGGCCCCAGTGTTGTTTCTATGGACAATTAGTCAAGCCATACTAGAATAAAACAAAGCAGACGAACCTTTTGCGAGAAGTTGCATTAGCATTTGGTGCGCGTGAGCGCTTTTTGGTCGCATCGGCAGCATCTTTCGATACCGCCCGCCCAGAGGCCCCGGCGCCGCTAGCAGACCGTTCCATAGCCGCGCCAGCCTCTACAGCAACAGGCCGTTCTACCTTGCGGCGTTTGGGCTGGCCCGATGAGCCAGTTGCACCAGATTGGTTATGCCCCGAAGAGGTGTGGTCACCCCCGGCGAGACGGCTCTTGCTGCTCTGTCCCTTCCGAGACCCAGCAGCACGAACGTCATCCATGTCCGAGTCCGCATGCGCCCGACGTTGTCTGCGCGCTAACACTGCCTCACGTCTTGCCTCACTGCGAGATGCAGCTTCAGCCTCCTGAAGAGCATGTACAAGATCCTTATTCGATGCAACCTCTCGTCGAGGACGCTCGTTGGAGGTGGTCTTGGGGGCATTCCGATTCGAGTAAGCCCAGTGACTGAGACTTCCCAGACGAGCCTCATCACTAATCTCACCCGCAATGAATGGGAATATAGAATCTAATCGCATTATTTGGCGGTCGAGTTCATCGTTTGCGTTAGAGATCACATGGTTTTTTTCATCAGCCGTCATCATGAGGTCGGAGAGAGTATGTCGGACATGATCGAAAAGGACGCGGCGATTCTTGCTTTCAGGAGATTCGGATTCGCGTGAAGCATCCTAAAAGCATCCAAATAATCAGTACGCATGTAATTGGGCATTTGCGCTAGACTTGACCCTGACTTACCGTGGGCAGGAGGTCATCTCGGACAACGCCGCCGATAACAGGCGCAGGGTTAGCCGGATAAGGAGCCGCCGGCGACTCAGACGAAGCATTCAGAAGCTGTAGTAGATTATCTTCAAGCGCCCACGCCTTAGCGTCAACCTCCTTGAGCAACGAGTTGTGACGTCGGAATTCCCGTGGGAGGGCGGTTATGGCGTCCGTGAAATGGGTGAGGGCAGGATAGAATCCATGGGGCACAGGCGACGATGAGGGGTCTACCATTGACCCATGTCCGTAGGCAAAGGATGAGCGTCCAAGAGTCTTGGATGTGCGCGAGGGGTTCGTTCTCGTCTGGCGCGCTGACTGACGGGCACTGTGACCCTGAGCGCTGAGGGCCGACGGAGCGACGGCCGACATTCTCTCGAAGAGACGGGATGCGAGGGTTCTATCAATCAGTGTATGACAAGCAGGTTGCAATAGTAAACGACTAGCAAATCCGCAGCAAACATTCGCCAATGAGAGCAAAAGACGGGCTGGCGACGAGGTTGGAAACAAAAGCAGAAACGAGACGACGGGCAGTGCGGAGAAAGATTGATTACGGACAAAGGCACCAGGCCTGATTAACGCCTGAATAAACAGGCAGAAAGCTGACTCAGCGGATATTCGGAATTCACTGAGCTATGACGTCTACGTCCAGTGAATTTTTAAAAATATGTTGAGCAACAATTTGACAGCTAGGTAGATAGAACGAGATAGAATTGATATTATACCAAACGTGTACTTATTTTACATATGCGCAAAAAGACACATTCTAGGTATACAGGCCAGCCCAGGATATAATTATCAGGGTCAACCCCAGATACCAATGCCCAGCGCAACCAGGACAGATGCAAAACAAACGGAAAGCCACGGACAAAGGAAATCAGTCATACAATAGAAACCAAAATGAGTAGACGCTGAGCCCGCTCCTTTCTGAAATAAATCACCTAGAATGAAAACATAAACACCTCTATTGCGAGAATCTACTCGCCCTTCAGGCGCTCCTGGTGGACGGAGAAGGCATCTTCGAGGAATTCTTGCTCCTCCTTCAAGTGAACAGACTTCAGACCGCTGGCCACGGAGGCACTTGGTGGGCGACCGGCGTACAAAACGTGGCGGCGGTTGTGGTGCTCAGTAGCGTTCAGCAGGGTCTCAATACGGGGTTGGACGTAGCTCCATGAACCGGCGTTGAGGGGTTCCTCCTGAGCCCAGACGACGTTGCGGGCGTTGGGGTAGCTGTCGAGGTTCTCCTTCAGTTGGGCCCAAGGGAAGGGGTGCAGCTGTTCAACACGGGTGATGGCAGTGTTACGGATGTTGTTGGCCTCACGGTGTTTCGTAAGGGCAGCATACACCTGACCAGAGCAGACAATAACACGCTCAATCTTCTCAGGCTCATCGATAGCAGTTCCGTGGGCAGGGTCAGGAATGATCCATTGGAAGTGAGAGTCACCAGTGAACTCATCCAAAGAGGAACGAGCGATAGGATGACGGAGAAGAGACTTGGAGAAGAAGATAACGAGAGCTAGGAACCAGTTAGCTAGATATATTAATGAAAAGCGAAGAAAAACATACGCTTGCGGAATTGACGGTGGATCTGGCGACGCAGCATGTGGAACAGGTTGGCAGGGTTGGTCATGTAGACGATCTGCATGTTGCAGTCCTGGTGCTGGCGGTCGAGCTTGTCCTGAGAGGGGTAGACGCGGGGCTCCTCGTTACAGAGTTGGAGGTAACGCTCCATACGGCCAGAGGAGTGCTCGGGACCCTGACCGTCGTAACCGTGAGGAAGAGACAGGATCAGACCAGAGCGCTGCAGCCACTTCGACTCTCCAGATGCAATGAACTGGTCAACAATACATTGAGCGTTGTTGGCGAAGTCACCGAACTGAGCTTCCCACATAACGAGGGCGTTGGGAGAGGTCAAGGAGTAACCGTATTCGAAGCCAAGACTATAAAACAGGTTAGATATTTCTTTACGCAAAAAGGGGATATTCTAAACTTACGCTCCGAACTCACTGAGAGACGAGTTGGAGATAACGAAGCTACCTTGGTCCTTGCTGATGTGCTGAAGAGGAGTGTAGGTAGACTCGGTCTCCTGGTCGTGGAGCACAGCGTGACGCTGAGAGAAGGTACCACGCTCAACATCCTGACCGGACACACGGACGTGGTAGCCCTCGTTAACAAGAGAGCCAAAGGCAAGAGCTTCAGCAGTAGCCCAGTCAATGTTCTTGCCCTCCTCAACAGACTTCTTACGGTTGGACAAGATACGCTTGAGGTTGCGGTGAAGAGTGAACCCTTCGGGGACACCAGCACCACTGGTCTTGTCGGCAACTTGCTCCAGGATAGAGGGCTCGACGGCAGTGGGAAGGTGAGGCAGAACCTCGGTAGCAAGCTCCTTGGGAGTCTTGAAACCGTTCCAGGCGGACGTCAGCCATTCCTTGCCGGTAGGCTGGTAGTCCTTGCTTCGGTCGAAGCTGTCGTTGAGCATACCCCAGACCCACTTCTTGTGCTCATCAATGTCCTCCTTGGTGAATGTACCCTCGGAAATGAGCTTCTCGACGTACATATCGAGCTGGAGCTTCTTCTCGGCAACACGCTTGTACATGAGGGGCTGGGTGAAAGAGGGCTGGTCGGTCTCGTTGTGACCCTGCTTACGGTAGCAGACAATGTCAATGACAACGTCACGCTTGAATTCGGCGCGCCAGTCAGCAGCGACCTGGCACACGTAGTTGACAGCCTCAACATCATCGGCGTTCACGTGGAAGACAGGAGCATCAATCGACTTGGCAATGTCCGAGCAGTAAGGGGTGGAACGAGCAAAGCGAGGATCAGTGGTGAAACCAATTTGGTTGTTCACGACAATGTGGATGGTTCCGCCAGTGGAGTATGCGGGCAGGGAGTGGAAACCCATGGTTTCGTAGACAACACCCTGGGCGGCAAAGGCAGCGTCACCGTGGAGCAGAACGCCCATGGCAGTGTCGAAGTTCTTCTCATCGTTGTTGTAGTGCTGGATAGCGCGGGCCTTGCCCAAGACAACAGGGTCCTCGGCTTCAAGATGGGACGGGTTTGCGACAAGAGAGAGCTGCACGCGCTTACCGGAGGGAGTGGGGCGCTCAAAGTTCATACCCAAGTGGTACTTGACATCACCGGAGCCCTCATCGGAGGGCTCGGTCGAACCGGCGAATTCACTGAAAATGGACTCGTTGGGCTTCCTGACAACATTGGACAGAACATTGAGACGACCACGGTGAGGCATACCGATGACAATGTCCTTGATGCCGTAGTCGACGCTACGGTCGATCAAAGCCTTCATACCGGGAACAAGGGTCTCGCAACCCTCAAGACCGAAACGCTTGTCATTCGGGAACTTGGTAGCGAGGAAAGTCTCGAAGCTGGAACTCCAGATCAGACGGTCAAGAATGCGGCGCTTGTCATCCACGGAGTACTTGTAGGCCTCGGGAACTTCAAAGCGATCACGAATCCAGTCGCAAGGCTTGCGGTCGGGAATGTGAATATATTCCACACCATATGAGCCACAGTAGATCTTCTCGCAAGCACCAATGATCTCACGGAGAGACATCTTCTTGCGGTCTCCGCTGGCGAAACGGGGCAGGATACCAGGGCCAAGATCGAACTCTTCATCCAAATCGCGCTCAGTGAAGCCGTAGTGGTCCAGCTCAAGCTCCTTGGGTTTGCTGTAACCGAAGGCCTCAGCCTCGCCACGGATACCCAGAGGATCAATCTTGGCCTTGTGGTGACCGCGAGCCTGGTAAGCGCGAACGAGCAACTGGACCTTCAAGTGTTTCGTGACGTCGGTACCGGCGGAGAGGCCGATACCAGCACCAGGCATCTGCTGGTGAACGCCACCAGTGGGTGTAGGGACAAGGGTAGGAGGGGGCTGGAAGGCCTGGGAGATGGGCATCTTGCCCTCCTCCATGTTGCGGAAATACGTCTGCCACGAGATGTGGACGCTGGAAGGGTCGTTCTTCCATGCGACGTACATCTCATCGATATAGTTCGCGGTGTTACCCTGAAGGAAGGAGTCGCTGGCGGCCTATGGGCGATGAAACAATATAAATTAGCCAGGTATCAATACTAATTTACAAAAGGTATAGTCTTACCACGCCAGAATCCTCAGCGGAGGAGGCATAATACCTCCTGCCAACAAGGGCGAGAGGTCGTCGGGTGGCCAAGCTGAATTTTGAGCTCGAGTCGGCACGTCTAACAGTAGAAGCGAAAGACATTGACCGTCTACATGAAGAGCAGGCAGAGCCGCGCAGCATGTTGCCGCCGGTCGCCTTCATCGCGGTAGAACGAAACATTGCGGGATTTTTTTCAGTGCTCGAAGAGCTCTCACCAAACCGGGTAAGAAGCTAGGAACTTTTATGACGTGTGTCGAGTCGCGTAAGATGCAACGTGTAGAAAACGAGAAAGGGCAGTATATAATAGAGAATAGTGACAGTCGAGATCTATGAAGTCACTTGAAAACGCAGGTCAGCAGGTTGGTAACATTCGCATGAGGCATATTTTGGCACGGATAAAGGGAAAAAAGCACGGGAGAGACGGACAACTTGACCAGTTAAAACAGGTGTCGACTAAAATTGCCGCAGCACCTGTGTAGAAACGTTACTCATCAGAGAGAGCTGAACACTCTCTGACAACAACTGAACAGGTTTGGAGGGGAGATATCAGGGGAAAAGAAGATCGCAACCAAGAAAGAGAGGAAGCAGAGGCAAAGATGGAAATACCGGGAGTTGAGACGGTCAACCGGCTAAGGGAGTGGAAGGCTGTTCTAGTAACAAATACTACCAAATCACTGGCTGAGATGGATCGGTACGCCCCAGATGACTCAGCATGAGGTAGCAGCCAAACAGTCATTTACGGCCCGAACGTTCCCGCCGTACCGGTTGGTAGGGACAAGGTCATATCCGATCTTCCGCATGGCACTTTATGTCAAAGTTGAAGGGAATTGTTAGAACCGTTACTACTCGTAGTACTCCATGGTGTAGCGTCTAGATCTGATATCCCATATCCCATGCCCTCGTACTAAACAAAACATAACAGGATTATATCCCATAAACCCATCTCCTTTTCTATCGCCCCCCGACTTGGTCTGGCTATGCCTCGGGTATAGCAGATCTAGACCACGGCCAGTTGGGGGGAAGGACCATTTTATGGCCCCAGGACAAATCAGCAAATAAAACGAATCGGTCCTTCTTCTTGCGACCAAGACTTTATAGCTTGTCAAGGTAATGCAAAGCACTAGTACTACTGAGACACATCTGGTAGGATAGTAACCCATGGGAAGTAAGGATTATGATTATATGGTTCATAAGTAAAGATAGATTACACAATCCAAAATGCCAACAGATCCCAGCCAAATTCTCTCAAGACGTCGAGTCATATACAAAACGCTAATCTTCAAAAAAAGGTAAACAAGATGGATATATACGAGCAAATAGATATCAAAAACGGGTGGTGGTTAACTCTGCTCGCCTTCTGCGGTCGTCGGTCATTCCATTCGTTGTGGAGGGAAAGGGTATGACCATGGTCCTTTGTCGGATTCGCGGATAGGGGAGTCCATAGGAACCCCGAGGAAGTCTGGAGGAAATGTATGGACAGTCGGGCTCACGTCAGATAAGGCAAAACTGGCCCGATTTGACGCGGAAGGTTGTTGAGGAGGAGGGCTGGCGCTGCGGCTGCGGAGGCTACCATTGCTTCCGCCCCAGGCATCACGTCGGAGTTTCATAAGTGCGCTTAACGACATCTCATCTTCAAGGCTGTTCAGGTCGACTAACTGAGCAAGCCCAGGACTTGATACGGATTGGTTAGAGTGGGCAACTCCATGAGCATTGACTGAGATGATCGAATTGCGAGTACTCCATTCGCTACGCTCCGTGATGGGCGTTAGGCTGGGTTCGCGGAACTTTCCACGGCCACTGTGGGTGCGAGAGATGCCTTCAGTACCCCGGGGCCCAAAATATCCCCCGTTCGTAAGTTCTGAGCCATTTGCATAGGCTTGTGCGTAGAAACCAAACTCATGCCCGTAAAAGCCCTCGTCATCATTCTCTAGGGCTTCGGCGTTGGCAGCCGCGATTATCGGATCATCGTAGAGCAAGTCATCGTTGTCATCGTAATTAAAGTCTTCGAATACTTCATCAAAGGACACGGGGTCCATTGCTTGGCTGATGCGGCTCTCATCTGATACGAGTCCTGGCTGGGAGTCCACGGTCTGGGCACTCTCTTGGGCCATGGATCGTTCGCTGACGCTCGTGGTATGCCCGAGTCGGCCTTTTGCAGCAGATTGATTTGCCGCATCTGCTAGTGCATTATGGAAGGCCTCCAGATTATGTTCAGACAAAACGCCACTACGAGAGTTCACAAGTTCCTGGTTTGGCATGTTGCCGGCGACGCTACCATATCTCCTAGGGGCGAATCCTTGATGATACTCGCTCGCTGTGCTCGGAGCATGTTTCAAGCTATATCCCTGGTCTGGGTTCGCTTCAGAATCATCAGTGTGAGGCTGGACAGGTGCTGTAGGCTGTTTCCGATCATATAAATGGCTTGTCGGGTCATCGAAGACGGACTCATCGAATTTCTCCCCGGAAGCTTTGACGTCCAGTTCACCGAATTCTCCATCATCAAAATACAGGTCATCATCTTCCTCATCCGGTATTGGCTGCAGCGGGGCCCCTGATAAATCCGTGGATGTAGGTTGTTTTCGATCATATAGATGGCTGGTTGGGTCATCAAATACAGACTCATCAAATTTATCCCCAGCGGCTTCGGCATCCAGTTCACCAAATTCACCATCGTCAAAATATAGATCATCATCATCCTCGTCAGGTACGGATTGCAAGGGGACACCAGACATGTCCGTCGACTCCCGTAGAAACGTCTTGGACTGCAACGGGGCACTGGACATGTCTATGGACTCGCGTAGAAAGGTCTTTGAAGAGTCAGAGATATCATCAGCTGTTGTAGAATCATTTGGTGTAGAGTCCTCCGGTGGAGGTGGTTCCTTTGAATCGCCAGGCTCGTCCTGTTTGACACCCGGGATCCGAACATCCTCATGGGTGGGCATCTCCGGTTGAACAGGGCTAGCAACGACCGGAGACAGATTAGGAGCAAGCCAGGACTTGTTCCATATATTCCCTGGAGCTGAGAAGTCTTTGAATTCGTCGCCTTCGTCGGCGTCCACATTTACGCCAGGGATTCCCTCCTCAAGGCCGTCCAAGTCATCAAACATCTCGTTATCAAAATCATCCTCAACGTCGCTAAATTCCCCGTTCAACCGCGCTTCGGCTTTTCGTGCGGCTTCTTTTTCCTTATGTTTCTCTTCTAATAGTTTCTCCTGAGTGGAGGAGCCAACACCATTCATATCAAAACTAAATCGGGAAGCATTGCTCTTAAAGTGCTTTGGTAGTCCAGAAATCTGTTGTGGTAGGTCGACCTCGAAAGTATCTGAGTCTTCAACATTGTTCATGCCGTCGTCATTCCGCGATTTCACCTCAGGGATTGGTTGTGACCGCTCATCGGGTGGTTTATCATGACCTGTGATAGACGAGGGTAGTTTTCTGGCGAAGACGGGTATTGAATGTGGATCGCGATCTCGGTTCGAGGTATCCGTCAATAGAGATGACTGTAGATAGGCTTTGTTTTCAACCTGCAGTGCCCTTTTGTCTTCCTCAAAATGCTCCTTGAACACAGGTGAGTGGTCACTGTGCCTCTTCATATGGTCTGATAAAGGAGAGTAGGGGCTCTTTGGTTCGCTTGACCGCACCCTTGCATCATCCCCGGTATACTCATATTGAGTCACACCAGGGGCACCTTGTGGACTAACTTGTTCTTGCTTGGGGGCAGGTGCAGTGGATAGTTGACGTCGAGGGCGAGGTGCGGAAAAATCATGGACGATGTTTCCTCGAATGCGCGGATCAAAGTCATCCGGGATCGCGGGTACAATGCTTTTAGAGCCTTTATTATGATCTTCCACGCGCAACCCAGCCACCTGATGTGAGCGTCTCTTGGCCAGAAGTGACATAGGATTCAAGAGATGTAGCATGGTCTTGCCGGACTTTGGCGGAATGTGTTCCACTGGTTGCACATCACGATCAACTGGCCGGCGACTCGTCCGCGCTTCAAACCGGTGTTCTTTCTGCGATGTCGGCACCTTATCTCCTGGAGACTCATCAGGGGAGGTTCGAAAGCGGCGATGGCCCGATGGCGCCATTCCGGGTGAAGTCGAGCGCTTCGATTGACTGTCGACGGCCTGGGTATTCAACGGTCCTCTTCCAAAGGATGACTGAAAAGGTGAATCGGGCTTAGAGGAGACCCCGTGGGGTTGGTCTGGGGTTTCCGGGGGTAGCGAGGGTTGCGAGTGATTCGATTGAAAAGTGAGAGTTGGCGGCTCTCTATCACGGTCTTCGGGGCTCGATCCCGGTCTTGTATGGTCCTCGGAGGATGGTACGGCTGCGGGCGAGGCGGTCGAGAATGACGGCGCATCAATTATAGATGTAGAGACTGTTGCCTTTTCTCCATCCAAGTTCAGAAAGGAATCAGCAATGAGCGGTAGTTGGGGAGGACCGCTGGTCGCAGGTACTTTTGTGGGCTGTGGCGTGTGAACAGGTGAGAGATTCGACCGGCGACGCGACCAGTACGAGAAGACCATGGCCAGCTGTTATTCAGATCACTTGCATCCTATGGCTCAGGTAGGGTATTCGCTCAGGAGATGCAGAAGCATCGCATTATGCTCGAACAGTCGCTGGTCTGTTTGGTTCCAGGCTTCCAGCTCTCTGCGGCGGAGAAATCAACCTCTAAAAGGACGTGGGGCAACACAGCCAGTCAGAACGGGGAGGCATTGACAACGCCTAAAATTAGGATCTATAGGTACAGATGAATTCAAACCTTCAAGTCAAAACAAGGATCTCAGGGGCCAGAATTCCAGAGCAGGTGAGGAGGATTGATAACGACGTCAAAGCGCAAGGCAAATATTTGTGAGGAATTTGAGAGGGAGTTGTTTAAATGATGTCCGAAAACGGGCAACGCGTACACAACCTTGGAACCCTCAAGCATCCTCGACTAATGATATTTCAGGCTGCACAAACAATGGAGATTCAAGGATACAATGTTTCGTGCGGAAATGTATTCCCTGGAATTTTCAGCATTCCGTCCCTTTTTCTGGACACTACCCACTGCAATGCTCATGGCCGAAAATTCCCAACGTATATATAATAAGCGGGCGAATCCCTCACAGAGTTCTAGTCAAGTATCAAACAAGAGAAGTAGCTAAATCCAACGAATTGATCATCATAATGTACAGAAATTCAGTTATAGCTATTTTACAAAAAAATTAAAACCGAACGCTGAATGCTTGATGCTCCCAACCAATATGCGCTAAAAGACCCCGAAACACCGGAACAAATATAAGCAAATGACAAGAAAAAGGACAAATTAAACAATGCTCTGCCTCCAGCGGTCGATAACAGCTCGTTGCCCTGGATTAGCCGGCTGTTGTACGGTGTTGGGATGCATGTTCGATGGCATGGCATAACTTAGATTTCCGTTGCCCAAAATCGCGTCGCTGTAGAAAGTATTTGGGTGTGCCATTTGGTAGCCATATGGACCCGCCAGACTGGCTGCTTGGTGTTGCGAGAACCCTGCTGAGGTCTTTGGCGGCCCTGGCGGAAACTGTTGCATGGACATTCGATTATCGAAAGACCGCTGGTGATTAAGTCCTTGGGGACCAGAGACCTCCCGTAGCAAAGACTGTTGGCCGGCAGTTGACGGACGTGGTGCAGGAAATATATCAGCCATGCTCTTTCTATACCGGGGGATTTTTAGCCCTGAGTTCCGCTTTTCAAGCGCCTCCTTTTTGAGGCGAGCTCGCCTTTCTGCTAGAGTTTCGTCCTCCTGAGAAGGTTCATTCTCGTTGTCCTTGCTTTCATCCTTCTTCAGGTGGTCGAACTCTGCTAATAACTCAGTGGTGAAGTCAGTATCAGCCTTGGATACGTTGCGTTCATGGCCCTTAAGCCGTCGCATCCGCTGACCGAGAGTTTCCCCCTCTTCACCACTATCATCTTCTTGGTTCAGAGCGAGCGCACTTTGGGCAGTTTGCGAGTACATAGTCATAGGACGTCGGTCGGGAATTTGAGGCAGTGGCTCGCCTCTTAATCGCGCGCGCCGCCTGCTCAGAGGCTCACCTTCTTCCATTTCTTTCTTTTCCATAAGTCCTAATGGTCGTGCCTCGTCGGCGGCCTGAGATTTGTTGGGGAAAAGCATGCCAAGAGGGACATCTTCGTCCTCATCTTCATCGTTATGATGAGCAGCCTCCGGGGTTTCCCAAGCGAGGGCAATGCGCTTCTGCCGTCTATGCTCGCTCTGTTTGGCCGCCACGGCATCAAGCTCGAGAAGGGTAGACTGCATGCCGACCACGTTCGCTGCGGTTCGGCGCCTTTGTTTGAGATCATGCTTTCGTTTCTCTAATTCAGCAAGTAAGGTAGCTGGCTGTCCTACAAATTGAAGGTGCTCGTCATGGTCGCCGTCGGTGTCTTCTTCGCTGCTCTCCGAGCTCTCCTCGGAACTCTCGGAGCTACCAGAGTCTGACTCGCTGCTGTGTCTGCGTAGGGAGCTACGCTCATGTGTCTCTGCGGCTTCCGCCTCTGTGCTGGGATATAGGTTATGTGTTGCGGGTGAACCTGACCGCAAATCCGATCCCGAGGGTTGATGTACCAAGTCAAGGGCACTCTTACGCCTCAGTTTATTCCGTTCTCTCGGTGGGTCTTTCGGCACGTTTTTAGGGAGTTTGCCATGCTTTGCGCTGCTATACATTTCTGGGCGCAAGGGCCCCGCGAAGGGATGGTCCGTAAACGCAGTAACAGGGGCTGTTGTCGATGCATCAAGAATGCTATCAAGAGTTGCAACAGCAGAGGTCTGGGTATGATCGATGTCAAGTGATGCACTAGGGGCCTCGAAGAAGACGCTGGCACGAAGATGTTGGGGTAAATCGGATAACTGTTTGGTCTGTCTGCGGTCGTTCCCTTCAGCCTGGCCTTGCTCGGACAGCCATGGAGCCGATTTCCTGTTATCAGTCGCAACCGCATCGAGAAGTTGCGTGCGTCGCTTCTCTCGTTCTGTTTGATCTGGACGTTGGGAAAGCTTAGGTGGTAGATTAAGCATCATCGGTACAGGTGCTGGGTAGAAGACCATATCCTTCCCTCCTTGTGGCTGTTTGTACGACTCCGCCCCGGCGGCGTGAGGGGGCCTGGTCAATGACAACTGGCGTGCAAGTTCCAAGCCCTTATCAAGAGGAACATAGTGAACACCGTCAAAGTCATTGAACAAAACCCTGGCTTGACGGTATGTATCACCTGATGCAGCTGAAGAGGGTCGGTCCATCTGCATCTGGCTCGCCTCTGCGTGGTAATCCGCGTTTTGGTTGATATCGATCGTGGTCAATGGGACCGGGTCAGGGAGCGGAGGAAGGAAAGAGTGGGCGAGGGGTTGAGCTATTCGGTTTTCAGGGAATTCCTCCAGGGCATGTTGTTCTGAGAGTTGAGCAAGACGAGTTCCCGATTGGATCGAGTCGCGATGAGAGAGTCCATCCTGAGAAGTATAAAGGGAGGCCGACCCAGCACTTGAGCGCCTTCTTTGTTCGAGATCCATCCTGCGAATCTCGCTCCCGATATCTGCGGAGCTCAAGCTTAAACGTTCGGCCGTTTTCTCCAGTCTCTCCACATTATGGAGGTATGCTCCCTGCAGTGACTGAAGTCCGGGGGTCGGATGACTGAGAGGAACAGAGTGCTCGGTGGTCGGTGTTCGTAGCTCCGCGCGGTCCTCGGTCGGGGGTGTATCAGGTGCATGAGGGCCAGGGGGGCTAACGTTTGGGCTATTGGGACTATTGAAGCCCGGCCCTGATGCAGGATCGGCTACTACCTCGTAATCATCGTCCTCCACCACATCGTAACTTGGAGCTCTCATCAAGCGAATCATGGAGCCGAGGGATTGAACGTTGTCTTCGGATTCCGCAGGCTGCATATGGCTTGCGCCATCGATATGATCCGCGTTTCGCTCGAATGGGACAGAATGGGCATGCGCTTGCGGCGACAGACCCCTGGAGTCGTCAGAGTCGGAAGGCAGGTCATGGTCGGCCTGGGAAACGGCATTGTACGCCATTTTCGAAAGACGTTGGGGATGCAGATGGACAAGCTGCGGCCATCCAAGACGAATCAAATCTGTTGTCGTGTGACCGGATTTCGCAGCAGGGGCAAATCCATGCAATGAAGGGAAAGAAAATAAACGGCGACGATCAAAGCCCGCCCGACAGATAAGGCGCCCACAGACCCGGGCTGGCCTTGGTGCTGTCAATGGAGGGTTGGGAGGAAATGGAAGGTGAACGAGGGACAAGAAGGGGAAAAGAAAAAGATTAGATGCCTCAGTTGAGGGCACGATAGAACGTCTATAATAAAAACTCCATTATCGGCCCAGGGAATACTCTGTCCTTGGAAGAGAGCTCAAAAACCTGGAAGAGTCGAGTCGACGGGCTGTCGACCGTTGCAGGTGGTGGTGGGCCGTGGTCCCAGCCGGTTCCAGATCGACTGGCAAGGGAAGACGACGGATTTCTAATTTTACCACTTGAGGGGCAAGACTCCTCCCAATGTTCCAGCTTCTCTCCAAGACCGATAACCCGACTTGTCTCGGCTCTGAATGGACGGGGAAAATCACCCGTCTCATTCACTTGTGATTGATCGTTGATATGCTCACTTTGCTTCTGTCAGGCGAAACACAAGATGCTGGGACAACTTTCGAGCTCAGAGTCTGCACGTCGATCTTCAAGAGTCGGAGATCCACGGCCTTGATCCAGAACCCACGAACATACGACGATCACCGGCTAGAGCCTCGCGTAGAAGAAATGAAAACAATTGCCTGTATTGTGCTTTGGATGCTGCGCACACGAACCCCGATAATCTAGTTCGTCAGAATAAATGTAGCCGAAACCGCCAGCTGAACAGCTCTCTACCCCAGAGCACTCAGGAGTCCGAGTTCAGGAACCAGACTGGAAAATTGGAAACAATGGGTGTCATGGACCAGTTTCCAAAATGCTCGGGGCCGAGCGCCCTGACCCGACGGATCTTACGGATCTTGGCCTGGTCGACTCTCAGTCTCAGGCACAGGCACAGTCACAGGTGTGCTCCTCCTGGGAAAATTCTAAACCCCTTCCTCTTCTCTTTACATAAAATAATATTTATTTCCCTGTTTGGTTTACGACAATAAAAACAGCGATTCTCTACACGTAAAATCAATCGGGGCTTTGAGTGCAGTTTATGACGTGCCACCCCAATTCTCTTCATTTTCTAGATATTCTCGTCGTCTCGCCAAAGCCTGAGTGATGGTCCCCGAATACCGAGTTGATCGGATGCTGGCTTAGTGAGGTCACAGACTTCGATGAATACGTACTCCGTAAGCATTCACAGTTCGGCGCCTAATACAAGCAGAACGGCCTTACCACTAGTCCATAGTAGAGATGAGCGAGTCAGGCTGTCTCTTAAGGGGAACGGGGATAGTGGAGGTTCGACAGTGTGGACATTGTTTGATAAGTGGTTTTCGAACCAATGCAACTTAGGCCCAGGAGGGCCTTGTGCTTGGCCTTGACGGCTGGGGGTTGGTGAAAGTCACCGATATCTGCAATGGGAACGTGCTTGTTAAACTGGATGTGTTCAGTGGCAAGGATTCCGGGAGTGATGCCGTTGCACTCAGACTTGCGTCGGTCCTAACACACCACCATCTTCAGAAATTTGATGCCCTTCTCGATGCTTACCTTCCTGAACAGCCAGAAAGATCAGGAGCCGCTTATCCTTGAGACGGGGTGCCTTTTGTTGGCTGTACACTGAAAGAGGCCGATGTTGCTTGATAGAGTTTGATTAGTTGTTTATAGGTGATGTCGTTGCTCCGCAACCGCCCCGCCGTACAATATAGGATGGATAGAGGAATATATCTCCGAGCTTAGAGAAGAAATAATGGTGCATTCTTGAATATATCATCCCATGTTGACGAGTGCCCATCTATCCCCGAGCCAGAAGTTTCCGTCCACAGACGCTCGAGAAATAACGCAGCATCTCGCATGTTGTGAGTCCCGAGGGCGGCTGTCATTTCGTACAGCTTGGCACAGATATACTCGAAATCTTTTCGATGGTGCTTTGCCACAACGCTTTGGACACCTGCGATTGCCAGCGGCCAGAAGATGAATTTCCAGTAGGCCTTCCCACTTTGTGTTTTGTCTTTTAGCTCAAATAAGATTCGCAGCGCGGTCATCAAGGAGTTGTACGCGGAGTCTCGGATAGTGTTTGCGACCTCATTTAGACTGTTATTGGAAATGGGCATATATGCCTCTGTGGCGTAAATTATGACTGCAGACTGATAGGAGCCCGCAAATAGAACATCGTCAGATGTTTGGAAATTTGTTCCGTCATAGTTTGCTGGGCTTCCACCAAGCCTTTCAACGGTGTTTTTAATCTCAAGCGAGATGCCTAGCTCCGCCAATACCTCGGAGAAAGTAAAGCTTGGGTTGTCTAGCTCGCCTGTAGGTTGGTGCGACTTGATTCTGGCGATGTTGATCATGGTGACCGCTTTAAGTACATTACGTGGAATCGGTGTTGGTGTCCGAACTAAATCGTGATCCATACGAAGTAGAATGCCCAAATACGCCGAGTGCCACCTCAGTGTGTCCGGCGACATGGAGTGTACTGGAGTGGTGGTGTTCGACATTACATCGATGATCAGCGCATTTGCGAGCATGATACTAGCAGGGATGTCCTTTTTTAAGAGATGTTCGCATCCACCGTAAAAGTCAATGAGCTTCTTGAATCCATCTAGGTGGATTCGCCATTGTCCATAGGCGGCTTGTTGTAACTGCCAATGGTTAGGCCTGTAGACATCGCCAGGGAAAGACGAACCTGAGAGTACAGTATTAGCATAACTCCACCTAGAATATCGACATTCGGCGGGCTTTTTGTTGCTTTAGACAATGCTTCGTTGAGGCCTTTCAGGGCTGACGCGTGATAGTGGTAGAGTGCTGCCTCGTCTGGGTCTGTTAGTGAAGGATTTAACTTGGTCGAAACTGCCAGTTCTGTCGATTGAGAGCCGCACTTATGCAGATCGCCGTAGTGGCGTTGAATTATGCGATGACAGGCACTGATGGAAGCATAGATATATTTTAAGTATGTGGGAATTTGAGCTGATAACCTCAGTGGATACCGAAACGGATTGGACGAAGAGTCCATCACGACCAAGTCGGGGGCAACTCGCTCATTAACTATAGCACGTTAGATCCCATTGTTTGACCGAAAGACTGCATAACAAACAATATAAAATCTCATGCTCAACTGGTAAACTCTTAGGAGATAACACCACAGGACAAACGTTGGTCAGGGATCCTAAATAAGATCCGGATGATCAGCGACCATTTCAAGAGCTGGTGGACTCTTTTTACGAGGCCTGATACCTTCTCCTATCTGCCCTTTTCTAAATTCGCGGGGGTTCTTTGGCTTTCTCCAACGCAACGGTCTTGTACGGCCATATCCCGGACAGTCAAGCCCCTTAGCTGCACACTTCAAGCAACCTGGAACCTCCGAGCCACATCGCACACGTCTTTCACGACAGGACCAGCACTGAGGCCCAAGAGTCAGATGTCGGGCCACATTTGTTGGTGTCATCCTACCGGTTGACATGAGGTGAGCTTCACCGCAGGCAATAATGAAATAAAACAGTCGCTTGCGTCATGTGACTGCCTCTAACCATGGTCAGGCTTGGAAGTTACCTCGTATTTGGTTTGAGGGTAGTTATATATCTCTGCCAATGGGGTTTAATGGAGTTGCCTAGAGAGCATCATCGGCTGTGGCTGTGGTGCCCATCGTCGTGAGCTGAAACCCGAAGTACTGGTCTCTGCGATATAACTTAAGATACCTACCAGTATGTAAACCTTGGGTTCTCGATTAGTTTGCCCTGGGGCTAAACGGTGATTTTATTCCACCATCAGCATCCAGAAATACGAGTAGTAGTGTCTGGTAGATAGGTTTCTCAATCGGAAGCTGAACAATGAAGGTTTGTAAATATGCAATGTGATTGGCTGGGAGGGCCAGTAAAGTAGAATCACGTGATACCGCGTTATGTGGGACGCGATCTGGAGGGACCGTCACCGTGATCTCTTCATTTCTCAAACTGCAGTTTACTCTTCTCAGAGGACCAACATGTCTTACTATGACGTTGACTCAATATTGACAGACGCTCAAGTATGGCTGGAACCAACCCACTGACCGCGAAATTTACTGCCTACTAAATCAAAGCTTCTATCCAGAAATTGCCATGCACTTTTGAACTCGATGTGCCAGGGCTTGGCATCTTAGAAGGCAACCCAGGAGAGAACGTAAGTTTATTGTCTGCCCACGAGTGAAAACGTATATGACTGAGTATGGATGAACAGATTAAAGCTGGAACCCGGATTGATCTACCATTATGGCTGGGTGAGATGCTTTCTATCGGGTAATTGCCTCAACCCCGCATTAGCAAACAAGCGAGTATTCGACTTGTCAGGATGGTCATGTCTGATTTCCAAAAGTGCGCGACTAGGGACTTCCCGACTGGTTACACTTGATATACCGTCTGCGCTCTCAGAGCGAGTAACGAACGCTTTGAAGGCGGAACCAAGGACCGTTGACCTACGCTCGTTGGCACCAAACTATTACCGCCTGAGTGAACGAGTCCTAGAGCTTTTCGAAGAGGAGGAGATGGTTGACATTTTGAGCACTGTACGTGGAACCTGTTCTCCGCAGCGTGGATACTTTGGGGAAGGTGCCTTGGCTAACTTTCGTTGGATAGACTTTCAAAAAGCGCGCTGCTGAGATTGCTGACCATGCACATAACCCGAAAGGTGCTCTTGGAGATGGTGTGGAGTTCTTACAAGGCTTGGATGAGACAGAACGACGGTGTATGTCCTGTATTTGACGTTCTAATTTATTATTGAAGACTTGCTAACTACAAATTAGTATTCCGTGTCGCTCATGATAGTGCCAAAGAGACGCGCATTTGGGCGGGAGAGGCCAAAAAGAGATGAGGGGCAAGACTTCATTAAGTGAACATTAACAAAGAGCTCAGTTCCGTTCGCTCTATGAGAAACGACTGCATGAAAAAAGACCGATTATTGCTGCATGATGATATTAGTGTTACGAGACTTGGAATGGATATTCTGGATATCATGCCATGTCCGAGCCCACCATCAGGAAAATGTGCCAATGAAAAACTGTCCAGAAGTTCAGACAGCTCACGTATAACCGGGTAGGCAATCCACATCAACTCAATTTTAGACAGGACCGAAGGCTTCAATGATCCATGCCGGCTGAGAATGCAGCATGCTGGAGCCTATCCAATCAGGATAGAGTTAAAACAAACATCTCGCACTCAAATAAACAAATAACATCGAAAACTCGCCTTGCTTGAGAGACAGCATTTACTTGACTCATGATATAACTGATCCAAATATAGGAAAGTGTATATATAATAAAAGTACGAGGTAGTATCATTATTGGAATACAGGGTATGTCTTAACTGCGTGTGGTTTCCACGAGCTGAGGCGTGGAATTCTTTCCCGTGCGGACAACAGGGCTGTTTCGCACGAGCTGAGCATGCATGGCTCATGGGCCATGGCCCATGGGTAAGACTGAGATCTCCCAAAGGGGCCGCTACTGAACCATGGATGGTGCGGGGCCGAGGGCCGGGGTTGAAAATTGGAAACGATCATATCAACAGAACCACAGGGTCAACTTCACGAAATCCCAGGTAAATTGCAGCGAACTCGAGGACTCCAACCACCATAATTACTGTCGGTTTTCCCGAGATTGGCTGACAAAGGCCGTATTGTGGGGAGCTGAGGTCAAAGGGTGTGCTCAATTTATCAGGTGGCAGGAAGGAAAAGACCCCAAGGGATGAGATCACGAAAGTCCGGCCAGGGACACGCAATTCCGATTGGGCGCACTGGCCAAAAAGAACCCGTGGACAGGACTGCCATCCCGGTCGTCACAAACTAAGCGGACGTTCCTGACTTTAGCGGCCCCGCTAGCACTGAACGGCCTGGGCTCTAGTCTAGCCCCTGGGACGCTTCCCCTCTCCAATTTGGTCTCGATCTATTGCTCATTCTCGGCGCTGGAATGGAGTTTCTGTGTGAACGGCGACCAGGAGATAGTGGAATGCAGCCTACCAGTTACCAGCAACACTTTGCATTCACAACCTTGCCCTGGTAACGACAACTGTGAATCTGGTGTTCATGCGGAGTGAGTTCATGCAGTGCGGGCATCAGGTTTCAAGTTTCAATTCCCTTTTCTCTTCGCTACCCACCAAGATCCATCGATCGACTAGTCACAAATTCACACTTGAACTTCCTCGTCATATTGCCTCCCTCCTCTTTAGTCTTTTCCGTCTCCTCACGCTCCGGCTCTCAAAAAAGAGACCTTATCGCATCACCTCCTGCATCTCTCCACGTCCACGAGGCGCTCTCCTTCCATCGATCCTCCCCGCCACTCCAAGAGACTAATCAAACGGGCTGGCCCTTCTTTGTGACCCATTTTCACTCAGAACCTCCTCGCATCATTCGCATCCTTGCGCGATTCTTTCATCTGGGTTTTTCGTCCTTGCGTATGAGGGCTGCGGCTGTGGATACCTGTCCCTGTCGCACGGCTGCAGTCAAACAGCAATCGTGCATCTCGCCATTAATTCGTATCAGCTAGATGTCGTCAGCAAAAATGGAAGGAAACGCACAACGGCGGCGCTCCGGCTCAGGACAAATTTCCACTCCGTCTTCCTTGCGGAACTGCTTATATCCTCCCTCGCCGGCCGCAACAATTGAGAGAGGGAGCAAGTCTCTGAGACATAGTTCCAAATCAAAAAGTTTGTCCCACCCTGGGGCGGCGAGGCTGCGAGGCTGCGACTCTTATCCCTAGCTGAGAAAACACAAATGAAAACTAACTTAATTGACCTTCCTGCAGATAAATCCGAACCCCCCAGGCCTCCTCCTGCATTTAACCGAGTCAAGGGCAGAATCAACATGGAATCTCCAACAAAGATGGGCAGTGGTGCGGACTTATATATCCGGCGCAGAAGTGAACACAGTGTTGATGCGTCTACAGAGGTGCCGTGGCTTCAGGATACAAGCCCCACGAACAGAACCCCCCGGACGCCTCTCAGATCAAGATCTCGTAAGTTTCTCTCTGAAGTGACAGGCAGGGATAATGGCACCAAGGAGAGCAGAATGCTGATTTGAATGGAATGATACAGACACACCAGACCCGAACGCTTCATTCGTGAACCCATCATCCGCCCTACTTCAGGATTTGCTAAAGGAACAACGTGCGAGCCGAGGAGCCCGGTCAGGTGGGTTGGAGGAGCTGGAAAATAGTCCACAGCGTACGCCGGAGTGGTGCCAATCTCAATCTCTATCCAACTCGCAGGACGAGGTCGGCTCCGAGAAACAGAAAGCGAACAAGATGTCATTGAATGGCAGTGTTAGACGACCCCCAGAAATGGGAGTGAGAGAAACAGACCAGGTTAGTGTTTTTGAAGCCGCCGACGTTTCCCTGGATACCCTGCTAACATATTTGTAGTATATCTCGAAAATCAGCAAGCAGAATTTCGACCTGAAACTGGAGATCTTTTATCGTGTGCAGCAACTATCGACGTTAGAAAAGAAGTTGGAACGGATGGATGAACTGGAGGAGGAGGTCCAACGCATGCGTGGGCTAGAAGATGAGGTGCAGGAGCTTAGGGCGGCTCAGGCAGATAACCAGAGACTCCTAGAAACCAACGAACAGCTAGAGCAGGAGATTGACAAGCGAGATCAGGCTGTTACTGAAGCTGTGGACTTGATATGTCAACTCGAGGCGAGAATGGAGGAGCTTGGCATAGACCTGGATGTTTCAAGACCTTCAGCTACATATCCTTCATATGGCGGTGACTCTGGTGTTGCTACACCCAGGAACGCCTCCACTGTTGACATTCCAGAAAGAACGTCCTCCAGGGGCGGCGTTAGACGGTCTGAACGTCGCCAATTCTCCTCGGGTTCCCGGTATCTTCAACGTGCGCCGTCTTTCCTACTCGAAGAAAGCAAAAGTACGGCAGCTCTACGCAGTCTTTATGTTGAGATGGATGATAATCCTCTCCCTGAACCGGCTGCCATCACGAAATCTGAGAGTATGAACTCTATGGGCGAGACTACAGAACCGGAGTCACCGAGGTTGAGTGCTTTGAGTGAGTGCAGCGAACTGAATATCCACGATAGTCCAATCGTTGAAGATGGATTTGACCAAATTGATATTCCTGTACGGCGAAACGAGATATGTGCTCAAGATGCGAACCTTTCCTCGTCCACGATAGTAAAGTCCTCTCGCGATTTGGCCCGTATGGACAGATGGAACCCGATGGAAGCAGACAATTCCTTCAACTGGATCGGTACACAACAGAGGACTCGACGCCTATCGGACGTCTTCAAAGAGCCTGAGACATCGAGTCCCAACAGTTCATTCAATGGCTCCAGCAAATCCAAGATGGAGAGTATTTTTGGAAGTGCGCGCCTTCCTCCAACACCTGACACTATGGTTACAGGATACCCAGGGTGGGCGAATAGCTCATCCAACAGTACCATCGCAGACAAGGGCCAGTCAGACCCAAAGCAACTCCTTCCCCGGCCTCGCTCGGTGGGTGAATTAACAGCTAAACGGAGCTCAATCAACGGTGAGCCTAGAGAAAGCTTGGACACGAACATGAGCAAGGTTACGCTGCCACGGTCCAACCTTGACGAACGGGAGGAAGACCCTGCCATCCTCCCCCTGAACAGCATCCAGGTTCCGTACGGCTATACTGAGAATCACGGAATCCTCCCCGGAGACTTCGATAGGGTCCTCGAGCGAATGAACAAGGAGTACTACTCCCCATCTAGGAAAACCTCTCGCGACGAAACGGCCAGCTTGACAGCCGATGACTGGATCGAGGCGGGCCGTCCCGGAACCCAGAACCGAACAGCCCTCCCAATTGACTCTCGAGTCGTCCGTACACGTGCGCCCAGCCAATGCTCCTTCCTAGGTCGTCGACACAGCATTGATTCTGCAGTCCGGGAACCCACCCTACCCATCATCCAAACTCTCAACCCGCGCGCTCTGGAGGAGGATGGTGATGATGAACCAGCACATACACCTCAGACCGCGGGCCCCGAGCCCGAGCAGCGCCGTAGAATCAGCCTCCTCCCACAATTCTTCAGTCGCTCCGGCAACTCTCGCCGGCTCCAACCCTCTCCGATGCCTGAGCCCATCGACAAGGACGATGGTGCACCTTCTCCTGTCATCCGTAAGACAAGGAATCAACCATCTAAGGCTCCCCGTCCATTATCCGGGCAAGCTTACGACTTCAGCGCTTCCGGGCCAACATACGCCGAAGAGAGCATGCCCCGTTCCTTCACGGAAGCAAATCTCGGCAGCTCCTACAACTCCACAACAAGCAGACCCTCAACGTCTAATGGCGGGAAAGACCACAAACGCCGCGGCTCACTCGGTTTATTCGGCTGGATGAAGGGTGCCAGCGCAGGACTGGGCTCCTCGCTCAAGAAATCGGATGCGGCATCTTTCAACCCGCCAACATCTACTAAATCTGACTGCCCAATAACGCCAGCAACAACTTCCGCTGCAGCAAGCACTCGCGCCTCCTCCCGCATCGCTACACACGACAATGTCACATTTACGCCAGGCCAGGAGCCCACCAAGCCCGTCGGTGCCGAACCGGCAGTGGAAGAGTTTGCAACTCGAACCAGACACCCTAATCGCTCAGAGGAGCCGGCCGACGAGCATGGCCGGCGTCCGCGATACATGGAGCGCCGGTCGAGGCGGACTTGACGAACACTTACAATCGCTTATCTACCATCTCGAATTCTGTTCCTTCCTCTTTTCATTCATCTATCAACCTTACCAATCTACGACAGTCTACGATCAACCTCCACGAGGGACGATTTAGATGCCACTGATCTACTTTTTGATCCTTGATCTATTTAATGAGCCACGATACCCAATGAGTACGAGTACAAACAAGTACATTCTGCTTTGTTTTGTTTTTATTATTATTATTTATTTATTTTCTTTGCTTTGGTTCGGCTGGACGAAGGATCGTTCGTCCACAGCGCGCCTCGTTTGGATTCCATTTCATTTCTATTTCGCTTTTTCCCCCTCTTTTTTGTATAACAATCGGATGTATACTACAGCACCAAAACCTTGATGGCGCTCAAAGGTCTCCAATCGATTTCTTCGGCAGTTAATTAGCATAGGTGTTCCTTTATCTTAACGCCTTCGCTCGAGTGAGGAAGGGTAATTTTACGATCAATCGAGCAAGTCCCTTTGTTCTCGCATAGTTTATATCAAGATATCCATTCTTTTTCTCTAAGCCTGCGATGAAGCCATCAAAATTATTAAAGGATTTGCTGTCCCCACAAACGCCAGATCCCCTCCTCCAATACCATATCCTACGCCATGTAAAACAAAGATAGATTGACACCCTGGACCCCAAAGGCAAGATAGAGGTTGGGTAGATCAATACCAACTAGTACCCTCCTCTCCAAGTCTCTTCCCCGTTGGATTCATGGAGATAATCCTTTGTCCCGGAATTGTATCATCTGTGAATGCTGATTCAAAAATCCCGGATATTGCTCGTTTCCCCAACACTTTGAAAGAGTCATACCCTTGCAACTCCCCGTTACAAGCCGCCCACTCCTTCGATAACCGCGGACTGGTCCCGTCGCCAAGATCACACCAGCGCGTAATGACAATAGCATGTTTAAATCGTGATTTCACGCCTGCTTCGCGCTGCTCGGTGAGTTTAACCTCAATCAAGTACTCCGATGGACAGTCGGGGCAGCGCCGCATGGGGCGGCAGTGGCTGCATAGAGTGGCGATAGCATTCGGGTCGTGCGTGTGGCTATGGTACATGTCCTTCGCACGGTGTTCGAGGCCTTGGAGACCCCCTGTGCGGCGGGAAACTGGGATGTGCTTGAGGGCGCATTTTGTGGCAGACATGAGGTCTCCATCGCGCCAGTGGGCGCAAGCGGAGAAGTAAGGCCAGTAGTCATCGCGGGAGTAGAGAAGGAGCCGTTGCGAAGAGGGCGGGAGTCCTGGTTCCGCGAACGTGGACGACGTCACCCGCATGAGGAGGCGGCCGTGGTCAACAAGGAAGCGGGATTGGTGAGACCAGCCGTCGCGGCGCCATCGGCGACTAAGGGATGTAGGGTCCGAGAGGCCGTAGGTGGGGGATTTGAAGCGAACTGGTCGAGTAGCTAGCTGGACGAAGGCGAAAGGGATATTGCGGCCATGGGTAATGCGGTGGCGCGGAGGAGGACGGAGGTTGTTGCGGGCATTGGGGCAGTCGAAGAGCGGGTTTAGGACGTTCGCCGGCTGTAGAGTCTCGTGGCCTTCTTGGGTCCGACGGTGAAATTGGCCGCAGGGGAAGCAGAGGAGATGGTGGGGGTAGAACTTGTCCTGGGAGACAAGGAAGTCGGCGCGGTCATCGGTATGCTCGGGCTGGCTCAGAGTGCGCCAGGGATACGGGCCGAGACGGTTATAGAGAGTTCTACTAGCAAAGGCGAGCTGGGCGGCGTCCGTAGGAGAGAGGTACTCGGAGATTAAAACCCATAGGTCTTCGGCCAGGCTCGCGATGAGGGGTTCGCCAGGTGGCCGGTTGTCGCGAACGAAGAGGGCATCCCCATCGCTGTCGGTGTCGAAATTCTGTACGCCAATGGCATGGATGATGGCTGTATGATCGTGCGCCTCGCCTAATTGGGTATCCTGCTGGGCGTGTACTTGGCGGTATTTGACATTATGGGCCGCAAGAGGCGCCAACGAGGGAACAGGAGGGACATCGTTGTCTTTGGTCAAGGTGGTGGTGGTGGTGGTGGAGAGGTTGGTCGACGAGGCGCTAAAGCTCTTTTTGCGCAGCACTTGGCGGGATTTCTTGGGCCGGAGAGCTTGTGATAAAAAGCTGCGGAACCCCTGCTTTTCTTCAGGCATGATTTGGCATTGAAATGAAGAAAGCCACAATCCCCACGGGCGAGATGAAAAAGATGGAAAGGCAAGACGGCTTGTGACCAAAAAAACTGAAGTAAGGACCGCGATGACGTGGAATCGCACGGCAACACTGCAATCAACAGGACTGCCCCGAGAAGCGTCAGATGCTTGTTAAATGCAGGATAATGCAGGAATGCAGTTCCCAGCGTCCATACTTTATTTTATTCTTAACCAGAAGCGGCTGACCTGGGCCGTTGTAGACTCCGACGGTTCCGGATATCAGAGCCAATTCAAACCACGGATAGACACATCTATGACTCGGGTTATGATCTCAAGATTAAAGGCACATTGAGCATTTATTTGTTTTTGTATTAATCTCGAATCTAGCTGACTCTAGGGGAAATTTCCAGGCTAGGCCACATGCCAGCAGCTACTTGCTACAAGCGCATTATACATAGGAAGGCTAAAGGAGCGTGTCGATATTCAGTACATTGGCAAGTCTACATGTCAGATGGAGGCTTTTATATCCAATAAATCAACAACATGCACACAGGATTTACGAGAAACGCTTCTCCACGTTCTTCCAGTTGATCACTTCCCAGATAGCCTTGAAGTATTCGGCCTTGCGGTTCTGGTATTGGAGGCTGCATACGGGTTAGCGAAGATAACAACTCAAGAGAACGGAAGAGACTTACTAGTAGGCGTGCTCCCAAGCATCAATACCGAGGAGGGGCTTGAATTGACCAACAACGGGGTCCTGGTTCTGTAATTCCGGATCAATTAGTTACCGCTTTCCAGTACCTTTACGCAGATGAAGGGCTTACCGCGTATGTCTTGATGGCGATGTTGCCGGTCTGCTTGTCCTGCACCAACCAGGCCCAACCGCTTCCTTGGATGCCTGCAAGGGCGGTGTTCATCTGACCCTGGAAGTTCTCGAGGCTGCCAAAGCTCTCGTTGATAGCCTTGGAAAGGGCACCGGAAGGAGGCTCACCACCGCCAGCATTCTTCGGAGCCAGGTTCTCCCAGAAAAGGGTGTGGTTGATGTGTCCACCACCGTGGAAGTTGATCAAAGGCTTGAGGGCAATCTGAGCGGAGATGTCGTTCTTAGCCTGAGCCTCCTGGAGCTGCTCGAGGGCAGTGTTGTAGCTGTTGACATAGGTCTGGTGGTGGTTCTTGTGGTGCAGCTCCATGATCTTGCCGGAGACAGCGGGCTCCAGAGCTCCATAGTCATCTAGTCATTGGGAAACAATCAATCAATGCGACCAAAATGGGAAGGGGTGCAGCTGAAACCACGTACAGGCGAGATCGGGCAGAGTAGCTTTGCCGCGGGTGAAGGTCAAGGAGGGCGCAGCCGAGGAAGAGCTGGCACGCAGGCCAGTGCGCAGAGAGGTGCGGATGAGAGAAGCCATTTTTACAGATTTCTTTAAATAATAATATTACAGGACAGAGGAGAGAGATGTCAATTAGAGGGGATCCTGAGTGGGAAAAAAAAAGAAGAGGGAGAGAGGACGAGGAACCGGATGGGACGCAAGACGTCATTCTATTTAGCTGCTCCCGTCATGCCCCGTCCGACCGTCGGAACCGTGTTTTGCCGCCCCGAGCTTTTTTGATCTAGAATCTACAGTTCTCGGCATCTCAGAGCTTCAAGCAGCGCGAGTGCACTGCCTGCTTCTTTGCCGCCGCATCTCTACCGGCTCCGTCTCGCTTCAGAGGGCCCATCATGGACTCTCCGGCCCAAAAACGAAAATATGCCGACGTGAGCTCCGACGACGAATCCGACTCCCCTCCTCGCGCATCCTTTCGCTCTTTCAACCGAGCCGCATCGCGTTCTGAATCTCCCCCGGCGGGCGGTTTTGGTCTAGGGATGGGTCGCGGTCGAGGCCGAGGCTTAGGAATGGGACAAAACACCTGGAATCAAAATGCGACCAAGTCGGCCTCCAGTAATGGCCCCGCGGCAAATTCCTTCGGTGCCCGCATGCTGGCGAAGATGGGTCACGTTAAAGGCCAGGGTCTTGGATCGAGCGGGCAAGGTATCGTGAACCCCATCGAAGCCCAGGCGCGGCCTCAGGGTGTTGGCCTGGGTGCAGTCCGTGAGAAGAGCAAAACGGCTCGTACGGAAGAAAAGCGTGCCGCGGCCTTGCGAGGCGAATCTCTCGAGGAAAGCTCCGACGAAGAATTCAAGAGAAAGAAAAAGAGACCACAGAAGAAGGATGGAGGTCGAACGGAAAGCGAAGGCCGTCCTGCAGCGAAGAAAAAACCTCAGTTCCGTACTGCTCGCGAAATCGAGGCCGATATGACAGGCCTGGAGGTGCCTAACGTGCTGAAGTCCCTGATAGATGCGACAGGCAAGGAACAGAAAGTTCTAACCTCTACGGCTGGGCTAATGGCGCCTCTCGAATTTATTAACACCGAACAAAGCGAGGCTTACAAGATCGAACGTCGAGCTCGCCAAGACCTAGAAGCCTTTGCTGATGAGTGGAAGGGCCTGACTGAGAGGAAACAATACATCGAGCAGGACGAAGCTCAAATTGTGGACCAGCTCGACACGAATCAGCGCCAGATAGACCAGTTGACGACTTTAGTCGCCGCATTTGGGGCTCTCGATTCTATCCCCGAGGAGAGTAAAGACAGCTCGCAGGCGAAACTCGACCATGTGACCGACCAACTAGAGTCACTGGAGATTCAATATCGGGCGGAGATTGATGAATATCGGCTTTGGGAGACTGCGGTTGCTGCTATCCATCCCATTTTCCGAGAGGCCATGGAAGAATGGGAGCCCCTCAAAGCTCCAACTTTCCTTGTATCCAATTTACGCCGACTTCAACCCCTCCTGTCTCGCAAATCCAATGGTGGGCAATCTACAATACGCCAATCAACATCACCCTACGAAACCATGATATATACTCTCTGGCTCCCTCGCGTTCGGTCCGCTCTCCTCAACGACTGGGATGTTTTTAACCCTTCGCCCGCTACCACACTCATCGTATCATGGAAAGAACTCCTCCCCTCCTTTGTCTATGCCAACGTCCTCGACCAGCTCGTGGTCCCTAAACTCACAAGTGGCCTCAAATCCTGGAAACCCAGACGCTCGGCATCTTCCTCATCCTCACAATCCCAACAGAACTCTAAAGTTCCCTGGTGGCTCTTTACATGGCTTCAATATCTTGACGAACGACACACCAACCCGAAACAGGCCACAGGCCTCCTCTCCGATGCCAAGCGCAAATTCCGTACCGTTCTTGACACCTGGGATCTCAGTGCTGGGCCGATTCGCGGTCTCGACCTGTGGCGCGATGCCCTGTCCTCCGAGTTCGACACCTGCCTGCGTAACCACCTTCTTCCCCGTCTCGCCGCTCATCTCCGCAATGACTTTGACGTCAATCCTCAAGATCAAGACCTCACACCGTTCGAAAACATCCTCAAATGGAAGGACTGGTTCCAACCAAATGTTCTCGGCCTTCTTTTTGTAGCCGAATTCTTCCCTAAATTTCACCAAATTCTCTACATCTGGCTCACCAACGACCCTAACTATGAAGAGGTCGCGGAGTGGTTCACATGGTGGCGGTCTCAATTCCCTCCAGAACTCAACGATCTTGAAATCGTTGACGAAGAATGGAACAAGGCTCTTCGCACGATGGACCTAGCCGCTCAACTGGGTGACCGTGCCGCAGCAGAATTACCCGCTCCGTCATCAACATCTGCTAAGCCAGCAAATCAAACCAAACCCACTGCCTCACAGCTACCACCGACCACTGCAGAGGAACCTCAAGTGTCCCGCAAACAGAAAATCGTCGAGGAAGTTGCATTCAAGGACGTCCTCGAATCCTGGTGTGCAGACGAAGGCCTTATCATGCTGCCGCTACGAGAAGCGCATCCACAAAATGGGCAGCCTCTATTCCGGATCACCGCCAGTGCAACAGGAAAGGGTGGCGTCGTGGCGTTCATCCAGGGTGATGTCGTCTGGGTCCAAAATAAGAAGGCGAAGGAGGTCTGGGAACCGATGGGACTGGAGGAACGACTTGTGGAACGAGCGGAGAGTCGATAACAAGAGCGAGCAACCATTGTATGACTTTAAATTTTCTTGGAGCATTTTTTTTAACTGTGTTGGCTTTGATATTTGTCGCCCATAGATACCTACTGCTGCCACCTACATGATACACATGATACCACTTCGGGGATATTTTGAGATACCCCGGCCATTCGCAAAACAGTGACAGGGTCGCGCCTTCCTCCCACTCATACGTAAAGTAGCTTCCCTTTCCAACTCTTAACTCGCGAGGAAAGAGCAAAGCACGTTGGTGTTTACCGTATCTTGTTCATGACGGGTCGCGCTTTCCCAACATGGATTAACCATTGATAACATATTGGTCCCTTCCTTCCGGTTTACAGGAGGCTAGCCATCGCACCTTCCTCCCCTACAAAATTTGTAGTTTCCTTTTCAACCTACCGACCTACGAGGAAGGAGCAACCGCCGCGGAGGATGGTGCTTGCCGCATTTGGTTTATGACAGGTCGCGCCTTTCCTACAAGTCTCGACCATTTGTGGTTATGGATGGGAAGAGCAATGACTACAGACTACTAAGTAGTGTCAAGGAAAACTAGTTCTAACCACCTAGGGTGCCATATGACAACACAGATATAGATGTGAACATACCATTAAACCAATATAAAAAAGTAATGAGCGCCAAAGCAATGTCGTATGTATGTACATGCGATATTAAAAGCATACAACAAGTCAAAAACGCAAGAAAGGAATTATGTACTTGGCTTAAGGTGAAGCAAGTATAACTGAAGTAGGGCAAAAAAAAAACAAACAAAAGGCCGTCGTCATTCATGTCATTTGGATGCACTGGAATCTTCGCGCTCATCTTTTTCTTTCACAATAGGTACCCAAGCATAACGTCATTACGGCGGCATCATTTCATACCCTGTTGTTGTATTTCTCGTTGAATGCATTGACAGCTGGATAGAGTTATGTTAGCCAGTTGCCTTAGTCAGGCATGATAAAAATGGGCAAATCACTTACCAATCGCGATCTGCCTATACAACCAGTTTCTTGCACTTTCGTCTTGCACAGGGATAAATGGTCCGTTAGCGCCACCCTTGAGCATGATGCTCATACCAGTGCGCTCTTTAGAGATTGTTTGTATGTCCGTCAACCGGATGTCCCAGGAGGTCTCAAGCTTCTTGCTGCGCACAAGCATTATCCGATCATACGTCAACATAATAAGCATGTCGCGTCCCGGAAGCTCAAGATGGGCGATGTAGTCCTCGGTGAAGTACTTTCCGTCGTCGGCTGTCTTGAGCCAAAGCTGGCCGAGGGCTTCCCGCTGAGAGTATGGTCGAACAATACCATCCATACCAACGAAGCGAGTTAGGCGGACACGGTCAAGACCCTCTTGATCAAATACGGTTGTTGTGTTTCGTACACCCTCGGCAAGATCTATTTAATTGTTAGTGACTTGATTTTCCCTTTCCAAAAATAATGAGTACGGAAAAACTTACTTGAAGCAAGATCAAACGCGCCAATAGCTGGCTTAGTAGCCAATCCGAGGAAACCCTTTCCTACTCCCTTGAAAAATCCTTGGATTCCTTCTGTCTCGGCGCCTTGAAGTGGATGGCGGGCAATACCCTCGATGCCACTTACAATGCTGTTTCCAAACGCTCTGCCACCAGCCGTAATGCCGTACAAAGCGTGCTTCGGCCGATTACGGGTCTTCGACATGCGTCGCTGGTCCTGGAATTCCTTGTCGAGAGTTGCAGCTGCCAGTCCCTTTGACATGCTACCTGTGAGCTTCGATATACTATCCGAAAACCCGAAGACGGTATTCTTTGCGAAACTCCCAAATCCTTTAGCAATGCCGTAGCCAAGATCTTGGGGTCGGTCAGTCATAACGAAACCTTGGTAGGGCTCATAAAAGATCGCGGCCACGCCAGAGCTAACATTGTTGAACAAACCCACAGGATTTCCCAGGAAGTCCGCAGATCCGAGGACAACATGGATCTGGCGAATGAATTCCTGGGTGTAGTGTCTCTGAATGTTGCTGGCAAGGACAGGGAAAGAAACACGGGCATTCTCGATCATTAGAGCATTCAATTTAATAGGCGCATCGTTAACATTGCCCATTGACATCGTCATAACATCGACGACAAACATCAACGGATTGGACGGCTGCAGAGTGTCCTCCACGTTTACACGTTCGGTACGCATCAACGAGATATCGAGTTGCATCGGTTGCAGATGCAAGAATTCAAAGTATACATCTTGGGCAGCAGCTTCATTCTGCGGTTCCGGGATGTTCAGCTCTTCCTCGCAGAGCTTGTCGTCATGCTTCTCGGACCAAGCGGCCCCAGACGCCTTCGTGAAATCGAGCATAGCAAAGATAAAGTCCTCGTCGAGTTCAAGCGTCATCTGCTGGAGGAGCAATGTGGCATACTTTATGTAAAGTACACCGTACGAGTCATCCTTAACGCGGGTTATCATAGTATGGAAAATAGGATGGGCCTCCATTTCCTTGCCGGTCTTTGGCACAACACTGGGATACAATAGCATCGGGAAGATTCCACCATAAAGTTGATTGTCGATCTGGATCCATTTTATGGTGGTGTTTAGGGTCTGGTACGCCTTGGACTCCTTGAATTTAACCTCAATATCGCGGAATGTCATATAGAGCAACTCCTTCATCTTCTGGTTAATCAAAGAGACGCCAATACCTCCGAGATGAAGCTGTGCTTTGAAGTTGACATCCGAGTCGAATTCCTTCACTTCAAACCCAGTGCTGAGGCTTGATTGCGAGGTCTGTGATTTTTGCTGTCGGTACATACTCTTCGACGCCTTGAAGTTCGACAAAACCAGAGTCTGTGTAGGGCCATCGGCGACAATGTTGATGTCAATGACCCTTTGATGCTCCCCGGGCTGGGTTGGAGGAATTCTCATGGGAATCAAATTTCCGATCTCGGCCAGCCTGATTCGTCTCTCTTTACTCTTGCACGCCAACACGAGAGATTTGTTCTTCGTCGCAGGATAATCCCAAGCATAAGGCATGATGCTGCGAGGGGGTAGACGGTAGCGGATCGGTCGCCAGGTATTCGAGCGGTCTTCCTCGTCGTCTTCTAGGTTTGGATTTGCCTGATAAAACATGAAATCCACATCACTCTCATTGCGCATCGAGAAAGGCCAGTTCCGGGGCTCTAGGCTGAGGTGAACAAATAGGGTGGCATTTTCCATGATAACATCAATCTTAATCAGCCGTTGTCGTTGGTTTTGTCTAGCCAGTTTGACATGTACCGTTCCAATATCTGCGATATTGAACGGAGAAGACCATTGGTTGTTCACACCAGGGAAACAGAGGCAAAGCTGTTTCTCACCAGCCTGGCGTAGGAAATGAAGTGGTACCAGGTTGCCCCCCTTGATATTCGTGACATTCGAGGAGCCTGGTTCCCTGACCAGGATGTCCTCCTCGAGTTTATTTTTCAACACGAAACGAGGCGCGATTGTGACAATCTTGGTCAACTTGTATTTGCCTTCACCTTCAGAGACCGACACTCCTGAGTGATACTCCGATCTGCCATCTCTATCAGGAAGGATAACTTCAAAGGTGCTTCCAATCGCCTCGAAACTCTGCGGCTTGCTCCAAGAAGATTCGCCTATCCTTAACATCGACCGGTTTTTCTGATCCTCTGTCGGATATGAGTACATATACGGAAGAGCGCGTCCTCTTTGTGTCGAGTCAGCTTCAGCCATTAGACCCTGTCCCGCTGCCGAACGGGCTGATTGCAGGAAGGCCTTGCTCTGGACCTCCATTGTAAGCCCTGTCCTATTCAGAATGAGGTACGGACTGTACACCGACACCCTGAATGCGCCTCCACTGTCAGGTACATTGAAGAAATGCAGTTTCAGTTTCAACTGAAGGCCTCGGGCATCCTTCAAAGATAGGGTATGTTCCCTCCTGAAATCTTGTGCGTTTCCATTGATAATAGAAAAGTCACTTTGTTTGAATACCGTGTCCTCGAGGTCGACGCTGAGCAGCAGTAGGTGGGCCAATTCAACGACATGGACCGGGCTAACACCACCTTTGCGTAAGAAATTCGTCCAGTCCTTCCTGGTGTTCTTGTCATATATGCGGTATTTGAAGTCGTAGGGTAGAAGATTTTGAATCTCTACGGGCGCAAAAATCCGAATCCGCATGTATGGATAAACCTTCGTAAGCGGGTCTCTTGCATTGAAGGTAGCGTTGGTCTGGAAGTAAAATGGGGGAGCTTGCTGTCCACTTTCACTCAAGCATTTGATAGTGCGAGTTGGGCGACGCATAAGGTCTTTCCAATACAATTGATCATGGGACCAATCGTACCCGAAGCCTTGATCAGGTCGTATGACTATGGAATGCATAAATGCGGCCCCCACAGGTGCGGGCCGGGCGTCCCCAGGAAGAATCTTCTCAATCTTAAGGAGATGGCCATCCTGCGGGTTGAAGACACCGAGTTCGACGGGTATTTGTGTGTTGTTCTCAACAAGAAGTGGCGAGCGGATTGTGATGTATTTCACGTTGTCTGGGCCCAAATTTACCTCGACTAGGAGCCGGTGAAGTACGGCGTCCTTTTTAGGCTTCAGGTTGTACAACATCTCCCCTTCGCGGACAACGGGAATGCGAGTTACGCTATCAAAACCACTACCCTCCAGTTTGACACCGACAAGGCCGGCTTGACCTTCGGGCGCGAGTGTCTCACGCATAGACGTCGAGTCTTCGAACCGCCAAGGATATTCTTCACCGTCAGCCAGCTTAGCAGCCGGTCCTTCTTCTCCTTCAGCAACATCGGCCCAGACATGGAGGTCAAAACCAGTATGGTTGCGGATTCGATAAGGTGCATCGGCTCCTCTTGGTTTTGAGAGTACGTCTTCATCGGTAGAGAAAAACTTGAACGACTTGGAGGCCAGGTCTATTGTAGCAGATGTAACTGTAAGCTCCATCGTCTTGTGGGAGTAGACGTCAACAGAGAAGACCTCTGGATGGACTTCCTTCGCCATATGGAAGCCCAGTTGCCAGGGCTCTATTAGGGGTTCCCAGGCCGACTTGGAGAAGTTGTACACGTTGAGGAATGTGTCGAAACTAGTATCCGCTGTGAGAGTAGACGACCAGTCGCGAGCATCGACGTTGAACTTCTTGACACTCCAATCCAGCAGAGGTAGATCGTGAAGATCACCGATGAGGATAACCCTTACACCGTCGATCTGAGCCTTAAGCTCCTCTCGTTTTAGGATCACGGAGCGCTGGTGTACGGGTTTGCGGTCAATAGTATCCACGGCACCGCTGGGCTGTCGGTGAGATTTCTTTGCAGGTGCTGTCGACGTTTGTTTACCGACCGATGACTTCCTTCTCGACTTCGAGCTTGATGCGCCTCTATTGTCTGATATTGCCTTAACTTCACCTGTTTCGGCAGGAAGATCTCTTTCAGACCGCATTTCAGAGGCCTTGTTGACAATCTGTATCGCCATCAAGATATCGCGAAGCGAAAGGCGTAGGACAAGAGGTTCAACGTGGATATCAATAGAAGTTAACGACGCGCCTCTGTCCTGTGGGCGGCTGTCCATCGACAATTCAAGGGTGAAATCGTCCAGAATCCGAAGTCTGCTCGTCTCAAACTTGTCCATGCGGCAAAGGAACATGCCCACTTTATCTACATGCAAGGTTGAAACATTCTGTTGCGAGAAAAGGACCTCCTTCGCGCCAAGGACTATCGCCTCAGTATGTGGGATAGCTGGATTGGCGATAGTAATAATTTGAGCGTCGACTAGGCTCACTCTGAATGATACAGTCATCTGACCTGTTGCAGCTGGTGTCGACTCTTCTTCTGGCGACGGAGAAAGTAAGGATCCGTTCGTACTCTCTGCCATGCTAGATCTGGGCTCGTCTTCTTCAGGGGATTCTTCGACTTCTTCCTCCTCTGGCTCTTTTGCTGCGAAGACTGAGTTCGCAAAATATTGAAGGGCAGACAGGTAGTCTAGCGCCAATATAATTCGCGGACTGTCGATAGTCAACATGGCGATGAGGTGCTTGTCAGGGCCTGGTGATATAGAGACGCTGGCCATAAATTGCTGCTTCACGTCATTGTTGATCAGCGACATGATCTTTCTGAACTTGTTCGTTTCCTGTTTCCGACTATCACGGATAGAAAACGAATGGATCAAAAGCTCCGACTCCAATGAGCCGTCTGTTAGCATCCTTAATTTGACTCGCGTGTCATTGAGCGAGAACTTGGACAGACTAGAATCATCGAGGCTGCCAATAGGCGCGTCATCTTTTCCAAGAATAAGCTCGAGACCAACGCTATCAGCCTTGAAGATCATGTCTAGTCGCACCCACGTATCCTGTTTACCGTCGGAATCCGCAGGTGTTACGTCTTGCTGGCCTGTGCTTTGGATGGCATTAGATTGTGCTTCTCTTCCAGTCTCGGTGAGAGATGGAAGTGCTTCCATTGCCTCTAACTCCTGCTGCTCAGAATCGGTCACAAAGGCATTCGGTGCTGTCTTGGAGATATCAAGAAGGAATTTAAGTTGCTTCTGTGAGACCCTAAGGTTAATAGGGGACATTGTTCCTTCAATTTCCATGTCAGGGCGCGGGTTGTCCGGTTGATGCTCAAGATAGCATATGCTAAAGTCAAGGTTGACCTTTTGGATCATCTCAAGCTCTTCCACTGCGTCACCCGCATAATGGAACTTGGAAGTCAGGCGAATATTGCGAATTCCAGAGGATATCACATTCACCGCGGGACTGCCTGCATCCTCTTCAAGAGGGACGAAAGTGTTTTTGGCGTATATCTCACCAAGATGAGCCGTCACGGTATCATAAGGACGGTCCTCACCCATAGCCCCTGGGAACACCAGAATCGGCGTCATAACCACAATATCGAAGCGCATCCTAGATGCATTCTCCTGAAGCTGATTAGCTTGGTTGGCTGCGGCTCGTCGGGCAGCGTTGAAAATAGCCTGCATCTTGCCAAATTTGACCAAGAAGTTGATGATCTTCCGATATGGTTCTTCGAGGAAATTGATCTTAATCGAGCCCGATCTTAGGAAGACCTCCGAGTCATATCCTGGATAATTCGGGCCCTCGGGATCGAACGTCTCATATTTGAAGTCGGCAAAATTGTCGCCCTCGATCGTAAGGAGCCTTCGTAGATCTGAGCTTTCTCGCGCACCAGTATTGACATCATCTATCAAGGTCAAGCTCCCAATACGAGACTGTATGAGCATGGACCTGCCAACAAGGAAAATCCCCACATCGGCTGTATTAAGACTAAGTGTGGCAAGTCTAACCCCGTCATTGTTTAGGATCAATGCTATACTCTTCATGTCCGCCTTGATGCGGATCTTTCCTGCTTGCTGTGGTTCCTGTCCGGCAGCAATGGTATCCTCAATGGCTTGTTGTGTCTGGGTGTCTTGACTGTCGGGTTGTTGCGGATTCGTAAATGTTAGAAGGATAAAGTCAAGTAGCGTAAGGAGCGTTTTTCTAGTAACGACAAGGTTGATGGTGGAGACAGAGATATCGAGATTCATCGCCACGCCTTCATACGTCGAGTGAAATTCGGGAGATTCGGGCTTCACTTTGACAAACTTGAGATAGAAAAGGTCCTTGTTGTCATCTGCATCGAAGCCCGTCGATGAGATAATCTTCTTAAATTCTGGGACCGGGTTTTCCTCTATATAGTCGTCCACACTGAGAGACTTCAGAATCACTTCAGCCACCATGTCAAAGGGCCGCATGTAGAAGTCTAGCGCAAATCCTTCAGCAACCAGTTCAGCCAACAGCTGTTCGCGTAGCGGATCGGTTGAATCGGAGCGGAACAAGGAACCACGGAGGCGGCCGACGGTAAATTTGAACTCGAAATCTCGGCGATGAATGTCAGGCATCTTGTCCACACTTTTACTCATTTCACCGTTGTCTTCGGCGTCCGATTCGTCGTCAACAACGGGAAGCTCTCTCAAGCCTATAGGATTGAAGGAAGATGACCGAGCACGATTGCTCCCCATCACCGTTTCTTGTGTATCATTGGTGGGTTTTGTCTGCTGCGCTTCATCGTCGAATCGTGGAATGGCGATATCAATAAGCTTCATTAAACCTTTGTATTTCGTGTCCGACATTGACGCGTGGAGCTCAGGAAGATGACCTGATATGCGCGTTCGAGTAAGCTCTGTGAGTTTTGGAACAATGCACATTTCCAAGACAAAATCGACATTGATGCGGTCGATTATATGTAAATTCTTCGACTCAACATTGGGACCAAGCTGAGACTTCGTGGCTTCGATTCCAGGACCTATGACGACCTGGGTAGAGTCTAGCTTTATCAGGAACCTATCATAAAGCAGATGCTCCAGCTCTTTATAATCGCCAGTGTCATATTGTCGCTTTTGCTTTGCCTGAATGTCTCTCATAGTCTGCCTGTCGACCAGCTCACTATTGACGCTAGCGTGACCAGCGTCGAGAATCAAGCACAGCGAGCTTTCGTGAGTGATGCTTTCCGGTACAATAATTAAAGGCGCATGAATATCGAACTGCGCATCAACCTTCTTGTGCTCCTGCAAAGCAAACTCCAAGCCTGCTCGGGTTTGCTGCCGGATCCCTGCCACTGTGGCACCGGCAGAGTCAAGGATAGCACCTATGGATTCCATGTGTCGGTCAGGTGGCTTGAAGAACCTCGCGATTTCCACGATAAATTTAGGGTTGTATATGACCTCGATACTCTTCAGCTTAACCTTAACAACCGAGTCGGCATCGCTCTCGAGAGGATTCTTTTCAAGTTGTAGATGGAACAAGCTATCCTCATCTTCTATATCTTCAGCTCCCTCCTCCTTGTCGAATTCCCCGCTGCTAGATATCCGTGACAGGCGGTTCTTTGGTTCTGGCAGTGAGTCCTTGACTTTGACAATCTGCGGGTATAAGCTACCCTCAGTTGTCCCATCGTAAACTCTCAAACCTCCAAGGTCAAGGTCCACAAAAAAAGAATCTGGACGCTGCATTGCTTTGGCACGGAAGTTGTCAAACACAAACTTCATGACTTCATTTCCAGCTCCATGAGGACTGCGTACTAAAGCCAAACTTCCAGCTTTAAGCCCAGCGTTAACTTGAAGCTTAACCCATTCTCTGGGTACGTCGACGCTTTCTGTGATTGTTTTCTTTTCATCCCAGTCGATGGCGCTATATAACTCTTGCCGTTGTTCTTCAGTCATGGCTACCTCCGCGTCATCCTCTTTCTTAGCGCCCCATATCCACTCTGACCAAGTTTGCTGTCGAGCAGGCTTCACGCCTACATTCTCTTTTCGTAGTTGGTTTCTCGCAAGTGAACGCCAGAATCGGATATCTTCGTAACTTAGCTTTCTTTCCAGTCGGTTGAACTCTTCCATGTCCTCCGGTGGCAGTGTTTCTTCGCGTTTCTTCTTTTTGAAAAGATCAATATATGCAATCCGGTCGTCTCTACGCTCTTTCACGTAGTCCCAAGTCCATCGCCTGTTTCGGTCGTGGATCTTGCTTAGTACTGCTTCCCCAGCATACCTGAACCAGGCCCTAGGGTCTTCCTTCGGTCGGGATTTCGGTTGAAGTTTCTTATACTCTTGTTGGCGGATGAAACAATGGAAGAGGTCAACAAGCATCAAACCATCTCGATACTGCTCGTCATCCAAAACGAACCCAATCTCATCAAAGAGGAGTCGTGCATTTACCGCTGGTCGTTCATGCTTTCCGGTCTTATCCATCTCCAAGCCCGCACGTCCACTGACGGGGCGTAGAATAAACTGATTACCATCTTCATTCTCGATGCCGGATCTCAGCCTTTCCAGTAGCTCCGCATGAGGAATACCCTGCGCTTCTGCGCCCACGTCGGAACCCCGACCTGTTCCCAGGAGTTCCGCATCCGTGTTCCAGTATACGGAAAGCGCCCCTAAAATGGCCAACTTGTGCGTCGTGCCGGAGGTTGACTGTATAAATGTGGGTTTCCAATCGGAGTCAGTACTGACAGCACTCAACTCCTTCAGGGTAAACCCAACAGCGAAAGGGTGTCCTGGGGAAGCCAGCGAGTCCTCATAACGGATGTGCACATTTTTGATGGATATTTGGAGGTTATCAATCACGGCGGTGACGAGACTCTGTGTAAAACTCTGGTTGCGACGTTGCTCCTCCTGGCTCATCCCTTCCGAGTTGCGCTCTCTGAGAATCTCTGCGCTATCAATCTTGTCCATCTTGATTGCATTGGCGCGCCTTTCCTCTTCCTCTGGATCGTAATCCACATCCTCTTTCGGTGCAGCAAGCAAGAATACATCTTCGATATCGACTTTAACAGGCTTTCCTCGCAGGTTCGACCAGGGTATCGACAGTGTAAGTTCACCAACATGGCCTTCGACAACATTGAGAGGAAGGCGCAATTGATCGAGTGCCTCCCGCCGTAGCTCGAGGTTGCGAAGTTTCACATCTCCGGACCAAATACCAATATTAAGCTGCGTGGCGTCGAAGTTTTTGACGTATATACCCAGAAACCGGTTGAGCAGGTTAGCGACCAAGCCTTCCAACATGGTGGCGGGCTGCGGCCGTGTCCCAGGCCGGAGGGTTCACTTTAGGACGGCGATCACGAGCTAATCCACGGGGGAAAGGTTTATAACACGAAATAATGATCTGGTTATGTACAACGGCAGGTGTCAGTTTAAATTTGGCTTATCAACGGAAGGGGCCTAGTCAGGTCTGGACAGGCGAGGAGGGGTAACGAATAAGATGGGGAGGCCGGAGAGATATACCTAGACGCGCATGGATGAGGTCTAATTGCACTCGCAAATGATTAGGGGAACCATTCACGAAGCCAGGATACGCATGTACTACCAAGGCGGCTTGACAAGGTGATGTTCCACCAGCCGCAGGTCGGACGCTAGAACGGGCGAGAAGGAGATGACGTTGCTATTCAACACGGGGTATCTAATTACCACATAAAAAGAGGGAGTGGCAGAAGGAAATAAACAGAAAAAAAGGTGAATGTCAAATTAGTACTCCGCAGTGAAAATGCAATTGTTTTTTGAGAGCTCAAAGTACGGCGATGATGAATTGTTGGCTGTGCCTGGTAAACTCGTGACTGGTTGGACAAAAAGGGGTGCCAATGACGTCGATGCTGCTTCACCCGCTTCCCTCGATTGCTGCCTGCGTTTCTAGGCCGGTAAGCCAGGGCCCCGATGCGGTTAGAACTCTAGGGTTCAGACCTGCGCTGCTGAGTCAGTCATGTGGGCCGTGCCTTCCCGAAAGCTGGGCAGAGCGCTGCCTGAATTTTCCGACGGCAGCTGGCCTTGAACGCCTTATAGCCTGGGGCATCGGGACCAGATCTGCGGAATTGGCCCTTTTCGTCTCCCCGAACCGGTCATTACCGCACCTCTGCATAATATCACCTCGTTCATTTGTTGTCTCGAAGGATAGATTGCCTCCAACGTCTCAAATCTCCGCTCTTCCGAGTTAATTCCCATCAGCTTAAAGGTAAGTACATATATTACCACTACTATAGATTGACTGCTTTTTCTCCCCGCTCAATTGGTGCGAGGAATCCCCCTCTTGAGCTTTATCCGGTCTTTCCATCTCCGTTGCTAACGCAAGACTGGTGAAAAATTAGCTGCCAGACGACAATGCTGTACCGACAAACCGCTGCTCGCTCTGTCCTCAGGGCCATCTCGAGCTCCAATTACTCCGTGGCCCGCTCGTCGCTGGTGAACAATGTGTTCAAGGCTCAGCTGACATCTTCCGCTCGTTCTCCCGCCCGCCCGAGTGTGTCGTCAAGCCTAGCTCTAGCTACTCGCAAGCCTGTCAGCACTTCTCTCGTCCGCTACGCCTCTACTTCTCCTAACAAGGTGAGAGAACTACTGCTCGGCAGTCTAATTATGTGGACAATTGCTGATCAAGGCTGCGTTTTAGAGCGATGAGGATGTTGATGTCATGGCTGGTATCAAGGGTGATGCTGTACGTATTCGCTCGCATATGCCTCATTTTGAACAGCTTCAAGCGTCTGGCTGTTCTCTCGGCGCTCAGTATCATCAACTAACGTTGGTTGTGTTGTGTAGAAAGTTATCAAGCAGACCTTCAGCCTTGGGGACGTCCCCAAGGATGCCCTTTACCTCGGCATCGCTGGTGTCGTCCCATACCTCGCTACCTCACTAGAGACAGTCTATCTTGCGTATGAGATTAACCACGCCAATGCCACCGGCGATGGCCTTATCTTCTCTGGCCAGAGTGCTGAGCTTGCGCTTCACATGCTTGAGACCGTCCAAGTTGGATACGGCGCAGTGGTGAGTACGACCAAGGAGTTCCGGCTTCAATGTTCAGGCCAAAGCGCGTAGGTGCCAGAAGCAAAATGCTGATTGATATCTATACAGATCCTTTCTTTCCTTGGAGCGGTCCACTGGGGTCTTGAGTGGGCTGGTTACGGTGGTCGCACTGGCTACAGACGCTATGCCGCTGGTGTCATTGCCCCCGCCGTTGCCTGGCCTACTCTGCTGCTCCCCATTGAGCATGCCCTGATCACCCAGTTCCTAGCCTTCACTTTCCTCTACTACAACGACGCCAGGGCTTCCGTCAAGGGCCTTGCTCCTCACTGGTACAGCATGTACCGCTTCGTCCTGACCTTTATTGTCGGTGCCAGCATCGTTGCCACCCTCGTTGGCCGTGAGCAGATCTCTGGTATCGTCTCCAGTGGCCACAACATCTCCGATAAGATCAACGCCCTTCTCTTCCTCCAGAAGAAGGAGAAGGAGGAGGCCGCTGCTGCCCTCAAGGCTGCCGCCGAGGAGGAGGAGTCTGAGTAAATGCATTACCGTATATGGTATAGAAGCGGTTTGTGACGGATTAAATTCTCGGTAGATTGCGGGGGTGTGGCTGTTGATACCAGCAGCAATGTGTGACAGTATAAAGATGTCTCTATTTCCTTTTTTTTTGTCATACTCAAATTTCTTGTAGATTACGTGCGGAATCAACAATCCAGTTAACCCTGGTGTTTTCTTTTGTCAACTCGTCCGGTAATTTTAATTTCAACGGCTTTGGGGTTTGGGATTTGTAGGGAAAAAAATGTGGAGGTGATGGCAAGATTTAAAGCTATCTATGGATATATATTTGCATGAATACTATTGCCGAGTACCGCGTTAAACCAACCATAAAACCCCAATTCCTCACCGAGTTTGGTCCCTCAGATCACCAAAAACAACAAACCCACCAATAAATCCCAAAAGAAAATCCCTGAAACTCGGTAATCGTAAAGCATGGCCATGAAGTAAGTTCTTTGAAGCGGTTGAATACAATGTTTCGGGAGTTCCGTGCCGGGAACTCCAATCTCTCTTGGCGGGGACTGGGCTGGCGCTCAATGCCCAATTTCGGTTCAGCGATTGATAAGATCCGATCATTCTCACATCATCCTCCTCCACAATTCCGAAACTCTGGCAATGATTATTAAAATCTGCCCACCTTCTCCAACACCGAATTTGATTACCCCCTGTGTCGACTGCTGCACGGATTGAATTCAGCGAAGGTATATAAAACAAAATTACACCTCCTGGGGGGTTTTGGAAGTAGAGACGGATTGGACGTGACTTTATAATTATAATTATAATATACCCCCGATACATACGGTCAGGATGCAATCGTTCATCAGCCGCGGTGTATCGCTCTTCACCCCCTCCCCCTCCCCCTCGCAGTCGAAGCCCTCCACGCCGAATCCCGAAACGAAACGAACAGTACGCAGCGCCGACGATTTCATCAAGGCGCCGCTTCCTGAAGCGCTCTTCAACAAGACGGACCCGGCTACGGACGGCGAGGAATGCGAACACGATTGCGCGACATGTACGATACGGTACCCTGCAAAGTTTGAAGTGGACCAGGAAGATGAGGTATACGGGAATGTAAATGGGTGGGCTACGCATTTGCTTGTTGCGACAGGGAAGACAGACTGGGTGAGGGATGTCGCAGATGAAGAGGGAAGTGTGATGGAGGCCGTGGAAAAGGGTGGAGTTTTACCGGGGAATGGAGTGAGTTGTTCTAGTTCTGTTTCTGTTCCTTCCTCCATGCCATGTTTGCTCTACGCTCGAGCGACGTAGTACGGCGTCGTTGTTGAATGGTCTTGCTAATGACGCATTTGGGCGACTGGGTAGAAATTGAAATTGTCCGCAAGTAACATGCCTGTTCCGGATGAATATCATGCCCATGAGAAAGGTCAGCAACCGACCACAGTACTCCTCCTGCCAAATTTTACGATCATCGACCATGTTACGCCGCAACTCGTGCCCGACATGATTCGGAACTTCGTCGATCCTGCTCCAACGACGACAACGCCATTGGATGGGCCACCACCAGGGCAGGCCAGCACGGAGGATAAAGAGACTGAAACGGCGACCGAGGAGCAAATTATCACGTCCCTCCGGTCACGACCTTGCCCTCATGCAGCGGTGATTCTGCTTTGCTCGCATAGGACACGAGACGCAAGGTGTGGTCAGTCTGCGCCGCTTCTGAGACGGGAATTTGACCGACACCTGCGTCCGCTAGGCCTGCATCGGGACTTGGATGATGAGCGGCCCGGGGGCGTTGGTATCTACTTTATCAATCATGTCGGAGGACACAAATATGCGGCGAACGTGATTGTGTACCGGAGACGAGACTTCGACTGGTACAAGGCAACGGAAGCTCAAGTTGCTGAGGCCTCTTCTATAGATACCGCGGATGAGGGCGCTTCCCAGTGCATTTGGCTGGCGCGGGTGAGGCCAGAAGATTGTGAGAATATTGTCCGGTACACAGTCCTGCAGGGGAAGGTCGTGAAGCCAGGGACACAGCTTCGAGGAGGGTTCGACCGAGAAAGAGGTTTGATCAGCTGGTAGACAGACACAAAAAAGCCATCTAAAACTAGATATAGAACGACGTAACTGTCGGATTTTGAAAATGCATCGGGTTAGCATATCACCTAACCTTGAGTCATCTCGAACTGTCTTGACGTGGTTGTACCATCCTCAGCCTATCCGCTCAGCTGTCTCCAATGGTCCATGTAGTCATCGTTAACCCAGATCCAGCTCGGTTATTGACGGACAAAGACGCGTCCTCCTTCCTGATCTCCAGCTCTCACAAACCAATCCGATAGATGAAGCTAAAGGAAGAAGCTGCCAACAAGTCAGCCTCAATTCTCCGTGAAAGTCTAATTTACCGCGCCCTCCCTCTCTTCCCGCTTGCATCATCAATCACGAATATTTCAGCTTTTCAGACGAAGCAGGTGTAGCTCGGTTTCTCAAGAGCAACCCGTGTGACTCCGCATAAGGTCACTTGGCCCGCCATCCACCATGGCTTAGTTGCTGGACAACACTTTCGCCGTTTCATATTCCGACCAGGATCTTGAGTGTGCTGAAATGGAAGGTTATCCCTTCATGGGTATTCTCGGCCAAGTTGTCTCGTGCAATGATGCGACGGTTTCGCCGAAGGATCATCGCCGTTGAAGTGTGGAGTCCACAAAGACATTCATCATAAGCTCTTTCGTCCATACATTCCCGTTCCATTCCTCGATAAACCAGCAAACTGCCTCAGATGGTGAGTAATCTTCCGAAATAAGAAGGACACACCGAGCAATTCTGGGCGAGTATGTAATCTCTTCTGGTCGAGTCTGGCTTGGGTGGTTGGCAAGTTGTGTCCAAAGTGTCGAAGTGGGTTGTGGGGCATAGGCAACGGAGCAGAGTCGAAGAAAGCGCCGTGGACCTTCCCAAGAGCCAGTTTACCACGCAGTGCAGGGCATTGCACATGCTCCGCGGAGAAACAGAAAACCTGAAATATGACGACTGGGGCGCTCGTCGGCTAGCATAGATTTTAGTTGACGATCGCGCACACTGGGTGGGTGAGAGAGCCGAGAGAGTTTCGACGGCGCCACAGTCACACCAAAATGTACGAGTACCTTGAAGTTAAGCTCTGCTGTCACTACCAGGCTGTCACAGAGGGGGACAACAGATTCAGACGCCACGCGCGGGGCGTGGTTTGGAACTTGAGCTGAGGAGAGGCAGCTTGGGAGAGACGACGGGCGATAGCCGACAGCCAATTGGAAGAGAGCGCCCAGTGCCGCAATCGGGCATGGCCTGGAGTATGACAGTCGGAGACTTCCAGCGAGTGAGCTGGAGTGAGTGCGTGAATGTTTGGCGGATCTTTGGTTTTGTGCGACAAAAGCAACTAGCTACTAGCCGGAGAAAGTGAAAGAGAGGAAGCCAAGGATTGCCCGCGGGTGACCCAAGGGAAAGGCGACGGGGACGGGAAGCATAGACCTGAATTCTATTGTTGGAACGGTATGGTCAGAGTGGAAGAGAGTTTTGGCGACCTGCGCGATGTAGCATCCATCACCTTGTCTGGTTCCATGAGTGTTATTGCCCAACTTTGGAGAAGCCGAGGTCCTCTGCTTTCCACTCTCACTCTCCATCCCCATTCTCCCTCGCACAGTTATCGGGACCAGAAACTCAGGCCACTATACTTGAACTAGTATGTAGTAGTTGTCTTTTATAATTTACTTGGTGTCTGCCTCGGCTTCGTTGAGCTTTCCCTTCCAAGCTCCAGTGGACTCGGTGAAATGATTTGATAATCGGCATAGGAGAGTTCCTGTCAGTCGCTTGTCACTTGTCACTTGTCAGTACGGAGTTAACTAGCCACAGTTGCTAATTTCCCAGCCCCACGAGCACCTCAGATCCCATCGTCCGATCTTCTCCATAACAGGGTATCGAAATAACAGCAATTTGCAGTAACTCGTTCAAGGTACGAGTTACGCGGCGCTTACCCTGGAAATTGTACCGAGTACCTTCATTATTACGCCAGGCGAAGTACGTAGTCCAGACGATCGGAATCACCCAGTCGTTGTCAAGGAAATCGGGATCAGCTACCAAGCGATGCGGGGACCCAAGTCAACGTGGCCCGGAAGATTGATCCCATGAGGAGCTGCCAATTGAAACTCAAAACAGAATGACCGCAGTTCCTGTACCTTTGCGGCGAAGTCTGTCTGATAGCAATCCGACCACTAGTGTGTCTGGACTCTGCTTTCCAGAGAAAGGACGTACCAGATGTTCAAGCAAGGCGCATCTGAATTCCAAGGTCTGTTCTGTCTCCTTGTCTGTCTGCCGTCTGCCTCGCGTCGTCGTCTGTAAGGTATGCCCCCTTGCGGTGTATACCCTGTCATGAAACACCCCCAGAAACGCTCTCCTTCCATGTACAAACGGGTACTTTAGGCTTCCTATATCTCGATCAGGAGGTCCGAGAGCCACTCCAACCCCGCATAACACATCTGATTCAAACCGTCCCTGATCCCTGAGAGAATCGGGGCTCCTAGAACGTCCCCCCACCTGGAGGACCGGATTAAAATCCTCAAGTCTGGATACTGACAGTAGGCTTCCCCTCCCCTCCCAAAATATGCAGGAGGCAAGTGGCGCCGAGAATCGAGACAAGCACTTGAGTTCTGAATACGAAGATAGATGCCCATCCTCATTCCTCGTCCTCGGAAGCGAAGTTCCACCACGTATAAACCGCTCTAGGCAGGAGTAATTTCATTGAAATTCAAGCCAGACATGGAAAGTAGCCTCCAGCTGTGGAATTGCGACAAGGTTCCCGGGTTCCCTGTCATTTGACGCAGCGGGCTGGCCTTAGCAAAGTTAAAGCTTGGATAGCGGCTGCTAGATCCCGCAACTTATCCCCGATAGGTGATCGAAAGCGAGATTCCAGACAAGACTCTTGCCATGACGGGAGTGGTGTCGATTTGTAGATATACATCGTATCCACTGCCAAAATGAGGACGTACCCGAGGTATAAACTGTATAAACCTACAAATCTTCTCAACGCCGGAGTATCCTGCGTGGTGATGTAAATCCGGTTAGCTGTGGGGGATGAAACTTGGGCATCTAGACTTTTAAATTTGCAAGGGGGCGATCCGGAGTATGGAGAATGGGATCTGAATTCCTGGGAGTGGTCTGTCACAACGTGAGAACGATGTACGAATGGCGGGACTCGAAGGAGTTCTGGAAGAGAGCTTAAGCTTCACCGGGAAAAAATACCCAGCCACTAATCACTATGGATTGTACCTTCTCTCAATTCCATCAACTCGATCATCTCTCTGACTCGAATAGTAGACTCGCTCACCAAGTTCCCAGCCTGGAGCAAACAGATCAGCCACTTGTTCGCATAGCTGACTTCCAACAGGGATAAACCTAGTACGTATCGCATCTCAACCTGAGTCAGGGAGAACGGAATGAAGTCCTTTGTCTGAACCGTGCTCATCCCGAAGTCGGGTCCGAGCTGTCCTGCCCTGGGCGCGCCCCACAGCCAAGAGAGGAACCTCATAATCAGATACGTTCCCAATAGGTTACGAATGTCTTGGCCGTTGTCCCTGCCTTGATTTTGGAATGCATCCTGAATCCTGAGAAACAGACAGATATACACCGTAGAGATCACGCAGATGGGCGCGACTGCTCGAGGCAAAGCGACCCACAGAGGCGGATATCATTGACGCCCAAGGCCAAATGGAATTGGCCGAGACTCGTAGCCTCGTACAAAAGGTAGCCGGAGTCGTAGCCTCGTCGCCTCGCAGGAGGGCCAGTTCAGACCGTCATCGACGATCGCTACCCAGATAGCCCAACCTTGTATGTGCGCTGAGCGTTCCCAATACTCCGTCCTTTTCCACACAGCCACGCTCTATTGTGAGTGGCTGATGCTTTTCCGGAATCTTTATCCATAGACGCGCTGATTGAAGAAACTGCAGAGCTTCTCGACCTGCTTGCTTCCATCCTGCTGGCTCCTGTTGGCTCCTGCTGGCTCCTCGCCTGTCCCCCTTCAACCAACCAGCGCTTGATCACTGCCTTACCAACATGCGCACTGCGCATTCCTGTTGGACCGCAGTCATCTTGCATATGTTGACGCCTTACTGATATCGGGATTCAATCGCAAGGTGTTTGTTCTTGTCCACATGGAGTATGGAGGCACGGCCGATCGCACGCCACATTCGTAAGGATGCTGCGCTGCTGAATCTACCAGACTTCACGTACATATTTGTACGTCGGATGGGGGACGGGGCATCCGGCACATTGTTGACTGTAGAGGAGGGTAAGTTTACTTGGGTAGTATGTTTTGGGAAGGAGGCAGCGCTCCGGAACGAGCTGTCTCCAGCTACTTTGAAAGTTGCTACGTCCGAGGTTTCTCCAGGCCGGCTGTTTTATTTCCCGAAATAGGTCCTGGTTCTCTCTCTCTCCCTCCCAGTGTTCCAGATTCAACAATAATGTCTCGTTTCTCCGGGGTTTGGTGTGGAAATAATAGTTAATAATGCGGCCCTCCAGTCACTTCAGGAGAAGTGGAGCTCCCCAAACTGTTCCCACAGCTTGTCGATCTTAGAATGACGTCATACACGAGGATGGTAATTTGTATTAAATTTAGCGTCGTGTGGCTATTCTGGGATTATTATGTTTCCATTATTAAATGGGTTAAAATATGGAGAAAAGGATACCGGGCTCCTTGTTATTGGCATGATCGGCGTTCGTTCCATAAGTACATACTGTTGTCAGTAAATTGGTACCTTATGGTTTACTGGATTGGCTGGGTAATATGGGATTTGAAGGTGCCTGGTGTGAGATTGGCATTGGCTGTCTCCGGCTCAGGATGCGGTGGATCGCCGTCTGTGCTTGATATAGCCGCGCGCCGTGTTGACTATACCAAATGCGCTAACGACCCTCACCTTCACTTTAGATACATTCCTATTCGGTTTTGGCCGAAGGTGGTAGGTAGAGCGGTGGTAGGTAGAGCAGAGTATGTGTATTATCCAAAAGTGGGACAAAATTGAGTTAACTGTAAAAAAAAAAAATATATGGTATCAAACGTTGTGACAAAACGCCTCTCCACTGCCTTTAAGCACAAACCATCCAATTAGCGCAAACAGATAAAACAAGACAAGTGATATCGAGAGGCTCGGATTATAAACAACTGGCGGCTTAGAAAAGACAGGTATAGTCAGAAGAAAGAAATAAACAATTCGGCAGCTTCATGCTGGTAGCAAAGATTCGTGACAGCGTAGCACGTAGTACTGATCCGTAGCTCCAAGTAACTTAAGAGCTCCTCCTCCCCAACGCTAGCCTGGTTCCGGTAGAGTGGGCGATCCAGCCCCGTCTAACAACCTGTTCCAAGGAAAGCAAAATCCGTTCCCTCTGGTTGATCCAACAATCTCATAACAGGAGTTTTACATTCGAGAGAAGATGCGTATGGAGGAATATATGGGTGGCTCTCCACCGTCGGCGACGTGAAAACAGGCTGCTGGTATTCAACTGGTACAAATCCCATACGGTGTGGGTCATATCCCTGGTGTTGCTGCTGTTGCTGCCGCTGTTGGTGGTGGTGGTGATGATGATGATGCTGCTGCTGCTGCTGCTGCTGCTGTTGCTGGATCATGTGCATGAATTGCTGCGCGTGATGCACCTCAACAGACGAGGTTACCGGGATGCTATGTGTCACAATGGGCGGCTGTTCTTGCATCGTCACAGGGCGCATCGGTAAATTCTGGTGGGTATAGAATTCGTGGGTAGGTGTGGAGGCGTTGGGGTAGTAAGCCTGTTGAGTAAGAAGATACTGTTCATTTGGGTGCGAGCTCGTAACAGGGGTGGGGTATGAGTGCTCGGAAATCGCGTCTTCCGACGGCGTTCGAGCCAGTGACCCAGGTGGGTGGGAACGGTGCTGGTGCTTTGTGAGAGTGGTTTTGCGACAGAAGCTTCGCCATCTAGGTTAGCGAGTGTATTTTGCTCGGTAGAAATGCCAATCTTACCTTCGTTCGCATGCTGGTTCCTGGCATATATAAGGACGTTTCCCCGTATGGATCCTGCGATGGCGGGCTAGACTCGAGGACTGAAAAAAATTCAGCAATGGCCTTCTGAGATAGTCGGAATGTAGGGGTCATACATCGGAAAAGGCCTTGTGGCACCCCTCATGGTCGCAAACATGAGGTTTCTCTCCCGTATGTGTTCGGGAATGCACAGTCAGCGCACTTCTTTGGATGAAACTCTTATGGCAGTCTCTGAAGTTACACTGGTACGGTCGCTCATTGGTATGTATTCGATAGTGCCTGCAGAGGTCTGACTTGCGATTGAAAGACTTGGACTCTGTTAATAAAAGGGATGCAAATAGAGCGGAAGGATGGAGAATTCCATTACCTTTCCACAATGCTCCCAGGAACAGTTGAAATCGCGTCCGCTGCCGGGTGCCATCGCGGGAACGATAAGAGACAGCGGGAGGAGCGAAGATCGGGAAGTTCAAAAGTGTGGGGATGGCGCTCAGACAGCGACGATAGGATGTTCCGAATGGAGGAAGCGAAGACGATGGCCCGGATTATGAGACACAATAATCGCAATAATTCAAGATGGGTAGAGCAGGTGGCAGAAATAAAACAAGAGAGGCAAAAAGTTATTTGGAGGGGTGGGAGCATTCGAGTAGCCCAGTCAATGGGCGGCGATAGAGGGAGACAAGAGAGAGAAATAGAGAGGGTCAGATGGGCGTTGGGATGGGGAAGTGACGGAAGGTCGAGAGGAGAGAGAAAAGAGGGAAAGCCACAGGAAAAAGGAATCACAAAAAAGGATCGGGAAAGGTGACAAGGACAAGGTTATCAAAGGAAACTTAAGCCCAGGATGCGGCGTTTGGAGGGTCTGGACAGAGAGACGAAATGACCAGCAGAACTTGAGGAATGATGGATCGACGGGGGGTCAAGTCACGGTGCTGGTGCTGACTTTGAGGCTGGAGCATAATATATCAAGCCGGCCGGGACTAGCGAGCAGACAAAAGTCTATAGGGATGGGTAATAAGAGAATAACAGGGAGGATAATACAGGGTAATATATCTAGTAAGCTGCGAAAAGTTGCAACTCGAGCGCGGTGATACGACAGAGCAAAGGACGGATTGGGGTGGGGGGAGGAGCCCAGGAGATGAGGGCAACAGTATAAATAGAGGCGAGAGGACGATCAGCGTGAGGGAAAAAATGCGGAGGGAATGACTCTCTGGAGAGTGCTGCGGGAGCTCTCTCTCGGTCTTTGCTTCTGAAGGGAAGAAAACATATGCCGTGTATTTTCAGGCAGCACAGAAGGGGAAGTCCCTCAGTATCCTCGCGCTTTAAGTAGCTGGCAGGCAGGCAGGGGAGAGTTGCGACTTTTACTTGCGACTTGGGGATAGGATCCTCAGGCCAGAACAATGGCCCCAGCTGGTTGGCCCTGGATGGCCTTGGGATAATCTCGTCCCTAGGCTACTCCAGAGTCCAGAGTTGAGTGGGGAAAGCAGCGAAAAAGAAACGAGACCAGAGAAGAGTTGAACTTGAAGCTTCGGAAGCTAGGACGGTATCATCGAGCGACGTATTTTACCGAGTAATGGAGTAATACTTAGTACAGTGGGAAGAGCAAAAACAACGAAGGCGAAATACATTTATTAATAATTGTTGGGCAACGAGGATGACTTATTATTATTTGAAGGAAAGTTTGAAACTCCTGAGCAGGCTAGTCTGCGCGAGAGAGGGGGCACGCCGAGTGGCCACTCACTCCCACCAGAAAAAGCGACGGATGTTATTAGCCAGGCCGGACGATTAGCGCTGGCAGGCAGACGCTAGGTACAGATTGACCCATATTGGAACCGGGAGACTAAACAACGCTATCTCTCAAACTGACAGCTGGGCCTGGGTTCCAGGTTGGTTCCAGTGGGACGTGCCCGGGGTAGACGGAAAGTCTAAGGGAGAGGCCGAGAGCTGTACCACCAGGCTCTCCTCTCGGTCTCCCAAGCAAGACTAGCACGGCGAGCATTATTGAGAGCGGTCCCGCCTTCCACCAGTCACTGCCCGCGACTGCGCCAGGAGGGGGTCGCCAAATCCCCACCCTCCTGCAGTGCCTGGCCAAACTTCACTGAGCCTGCTTGTCTTGTCCCGCCCAATCAGCTGCGGCCGAACCCGAAGCTGGAGGCCTGGCGCTGTTGGACACCCTGGGCAAAAGTCTGGGACAGTTTAGCCTCGACCGCCGTGGCACTACTGCGCCGGCTTGGTTGGAAACTGGTAGAGACAGCCCTCCGGCCTGGCAGCAAACCCGTCAGTGTATTTGCGACTCAGCAAAATTACGCGCAGATGGTGTGTGTTTTGTTGTGTTTTATCGAGATTCGAGACGCCCGCCTCCCATCGAGCCATTCCCAGGATGAGAGGATAGTGTGACAGCCGATGGCCAGATTAGAGTTTCATGACAGGAGTATCGCAGACGGGGTCTGGCTATGGACGATCATCGACACCGCCGAGATGGTTCAAAACAACAAAGGCAACGACTCCACACAATGGGAATGAAAGAAAGGGGACAAAAACAGAAAAAGAAAGTAGTCAAACTTTCCAAATCCCCGGGAGAGGAGGATGCATCCTGAGTGATACACAAGAGGCAAACAAACGTCAGGACTCGTCGCGCTCATGCAACTCCCACATTTTGGCCTTTCTGGAATGCAACTCTCGAGCAACAGTCAAACGAGTTGCCTCCTCCTTCGCTCCGGGCATTTGCCTTCCTTGGGGACCTTTCCGTGTGCCGCCCGACGATGACTGGCTGCCCATTGTTGGTTCAGAAATAAGGGTCCTGTAACCCTGCCAGCCATCAAGGCCTTCCGCTCCCCTTATAGGCCAGGAACCAAACGTCTCGAAAGAACAGGGATCCCCAAGCCATCAAGTCTCAGAGGTCGAGAGCCATATGGGTGCCCGTCACCGTTAGAGTTGCTGAACTCCTGCCTTGATAACCGGAATTAACGACAGTGTAATTTGTTGTGACTGATAAGCTGTGCGATTCCGAAGCAGCCACGGCCGTTCTCTCCGACCTTCTATTCTTGGTACTGAGGACAGCCGCAGTATCAATACGGGAGGTTGATAACTGAACATTATTCTCTTGCAGGTTTCAACTGAGGCTGCCGAGCACGATACATCAGACGCAAGCCCCGAAATACACGGTATGTGAACCATCTGCGGACAATAGCCCCCGCCGTCTCGATGCGATTGTTGCAAGTGGACTCCGAGGTAGAATTCAGACTTCCAACTCGTCTCTCGAGACTCAAAAATGAAAGACCAGGCCCAGCCCCATGTTCGACAGAATGACAGTGGAAGACGGCCCCAAGGGATCAATCCCCACGTGGCTGTGTTTCGAATCGCATCTGCTACTGAGTTTCAATGCTGGTGCGGTCTCTCGTCAGACACCTCGATCGCCACGCAATCTCGGGATCCTCCTCCATCAGCTGGGTGCACTAGATACTTAATAATACGATTATCGTAATCATCTGGAACAAGCTCACACTGATCACCGGTTCAAGTCTCAGCCACCTGGACCCAGAACCCCGATAATCCATATTATCACGCATCCATCACTCAGAAGGATCATCGTCAGCGCGGCATGCTGCCTACAGAATCCTGCGAGCCAACTGTGAAGTGCGTCGCTCAAGTCTCAACGTCTTTGAAGTCGTCCAATTCCTGTCACTCACCGGGGATGCAATCCCGTCGATCTCAATATTTCTTGGCGGTGAACGAAAAATACAGGAATGAAAGCCGCACTCATCGGCGATCGGCCAAAATACCTCCCATTCAGTGTATTATTCCGGGCCTCACCAATTTAGTCCTGATTTCGCTGTGGTGTCCTGGAGGGAGACTTATCGATGGAGTCTGTGGGACAGCGGGTATATCCGCCGGCCATTCAGAGCGTGACCATTGCAGACCTTCACACTCTCGCCTTGTTGTTTTATGGAGCCTTGACCCAACTCACGAAATTCGCCTCAGATAAGGGCGGATAGTTCGGATTCTGATAGATCGCGGACCCAGAAGTGAGAAACCAGAACCCCAGAAATCTACTCTTGCCGAGTACGAGACAACAAATCGGCCAAGCATTGATCCTCGCTCAGCCATGTGATGGACTTCCCTCGACCATTATCCGCTTGATCTGATTTGTGGCTGCGAGATGGGAGATCCAGCTCCGGGGGATCAATGAAGAAACATCTCCAGGTATCTGCAGCGCGGCAGTACGTATTAAGTTCTATGTGGAGATCTCCGCATAGGATCTGTTGGGAAGGAGACTATTCGATGCACGAATAGGAGGCAACAGACGAAAAAGACTCGATCATCATCTTCCGAAGTCCTGAACTTGATTCCTGTTCAGGACCTTGTTGCGAGAACGGGGAACATCGTTGATGAGGAGTTAGTATCCATTATTCGTCACCATACTTCCAACCCCGTCTGACACCCTCCTCGTCCTCCATTTCTATTGCGCTTGGTGGAGAGGCTGAAGGATAATGATCAGCAGACACATAAGAAAATAGGCGCTGGCAAAACAGGAAACGCAGAACTCTCTTGATCAGCCCCTTCGATGTTCGCTGGGCGGCGGAGGGGTCATTTGCACTTTTGCCAACGTGGGTGCTTCAGCCCTTCGAAGTCACGAACTTCATCCCAACTTCTCATTGCCACATGGAAGGCGTCGGATGAAAGGGGCTCATGGGCCAGTGGCGATCGGTGGTGAGATTTTTTAGCTCGAATTCAGAATGCTGCCGTTTTTCTACAGCTATCCAACGTATCGTATAGCACTAAGTTCACACTCAACGCAAGTTAACCGCAGACAGCCGAGTAGTAGTAAGTCATGGTATATTTTTTTCAACAAATATTTACAAATATCGCGCGATTTTAAAAGCAAAAAGACAGATTACTGGTTAATTCCGGTGTAGCTCCAGCGCCACCAACAATAACAGCGCCCGTTCTATAGAAGAAGGGCGGAAATCCGGACTCTCTCGCCCTGTACCACACCATCTGCATCGCCATTGGCATACGCGTCTATTTGAAACTCTTGGGGGTGCTGGACTTTCCATTGGCGAATGGGCGGTCGTTGTTACGGTTGGACAAGTCTGTCTATTTTGCGCGGTCGATGCCACGAATTGCCGGTCTCGTTAGGTATCTGATCTGATCTTCGCGGTGTGAAGCTATACAGAAGTACTTTCGCAATGGCCAGCCAAGTACCTACACGTACCCCTGTATGTTCCATATATGGTAATCCATCCGTGCTTCAATCCATTTACCCCGAGGTTCATCCGAAGAAGAAACAATGCTTTCCTGGAACCAAGGAGTAAACAAACGAAGATCCATGAGGGCCGTGAGCTAATGATGTGATATGACTTCAGCTGAGATGCAGTGGTCCACGATTAAGTTCATTCAATGTGATGGACTCGATCCCAGCTACCTGGTCATTGGCCCTGTCGTGAACCTCTTCAGTGGGAAATCCAAGGCCTCCAGGGCTGAAAGAATCATGCGCCAACTCTAATTGGCAATGTCGTTCGTATTCCTCGTCCCCTTCCAAGTCCTTGCGAGGTCATCTCTCTCCTTCGCTTGGGGTGGATGACGGCAGGTGCTGAAGAGACACGTCTGTTAGGAATCCTTCGATGCGGCATTCCTCCATCGCTTCGTGTCATCTTGTCGCATTATCAGAAATATTACACGCGACCTGCGTCATTCGCGAGTTCAATGGGACATTCCAAATCTCCAAGGCGCCGCTGAGAATTCCAGCTTCTTGGCCGATCAATGACTTTAAGCTAGTCATGGGCTCATCGGGACTAGCGATGGTGACAGCGGGCGCTGGGTGAACCAATAAACCTGCTGCCTTCAATCTATCTCATGATTCTCATCGCTCATCGTCCATCGAGATCAGTTAAGGTATCAACTTCTGCCCCCTTGTAATAGTGATCCCGAGTTCTAGCACACGCTGAAAGATATCTGCCATTTTGTGAAGCGCGTTGTCAATCGCTGGGCTGGAAAACCGAAGTCATCCGTTTCTGCCGGCCCTCCCACTCCTTCCCTGGTCATCACACATGCTGCAATTGAGAGCGTTATTGGCTTCTCTGTACTGATAGTACCTTTGTACCCCGCATTTTTTATTGTCCCATCCTGTCCAGGCTCGGAGCGACATGTCTCATCGTCGAGTTTTCGGCTCTTAGCCTTTGCGGCCAGACTGGTGGTCGGTCGAAGTCCTGCCGCCGCTAAACCACGGAAACCATTTCTTTTCCGCCCTCCAAGGCTGTGCGATGGCATTAGTGCTGACCAAATGACTCGCAGCAGACTCTTCTAGTCGACGCGGGAGCTGATCGGGCGGTTATCGCCTGTCTCACACCCATCCCAGTTGGCAATCCATCGAGCCAGTGAGTCCACCGCAGATCGCTCATGGGACCAGTGGGCAAAAAGAAAAAAGGGAAACCAGCATTGAAGACAGTGTGGATATTGCAGACGTGCAGTCGCCAGTCGGCCTCGCAAAAAAAAACGACTTTTCGAGCAGGTCTTTCGATCTTTTTTACTCACTCTCTTATCTCCGCAAGTTGGGAATAGAGTGGCCAAGTGTGGGGGCCATCCGACCTGGGCAAGGCACTGTCCCATGGCATTTGGATCGGAATGCTGTGGACTTGGAACCTGGAAGTGAGTAACCGTCCTTATTATTACTCCATATTTGCAACGGGATCCATGACCGATCTCCAGGGAAGCCAATCAATAATCTTGAGAATTTAGATCAAACACAACCGTTGGGATTTTGAATATACCAGACCCGCTCTCCGGAGTCGACAACTACCTTGCCCACTTGGTTCTCACAACAACGGGGCAATAATTGCGTGAGAAGACCTCCTCTCATGACTAACTTGAGAATCTGTGCCCAATGCCAATGATTACTATACTGGATTGTCGGTGAGCTCCGCTCTCTCAGTCGCAGATGGGAGAAGGACCCAACTTGAAACTGGGCCTCTGATGATCATGTTGAACTCGCTTGTTCTTGCCAACAAAGGGAATCCTTCTCGCCGAGGAACAGCGACTCGACCCCTTGCAGCCTTGCGGGCATCATCAGTATGCCCAAAAGATTACAAAAGGGATGGCATTTATTGGTCCGTTGGCCATACCTAGTTTGTCAAAACCCGCTACAGAATCTAGAGTTTTTCGAGTGTGAATACCTGAAAGATTTTTACTATCACTTTCTGCCACCCAGCCTCCGTTTTTGATCTCTCGGGTCCGAGTTGACGATCTTTAGGGGCCTTGTGATGGAAGCACACAGCGCTGCATGACGCGCTTTGAAAATGAGGCGACCAAGACAGGTCGTTAAAGGATTCGCCGATAAAATTGTGATGCGCTGGCCGAAGCCTCGTCTGAGAATCGCGCATTCTCTCAATCCATCCTTCCAAAATTTCGGTGTACTCTGCGGACTACGGAGAATTTTCTATGCCGGGTGCTCCTGTGACTTCCGGAAAAGACCACGAACAGTCAAGGGTCGGTCCGCTGTGGAGCGTGTGTATCCACGTCGTCTCTGCAGCCTGCACAAAGTTCACAGACGGGTGGGAAATGTAGTGTTCGGGTTTCCTGCCTTCTATGCTCCCACTCAAAGGACTTCGCATCTCAGATATGATAATGAACATGTCTCTGCATGCATGGGCATCTCTCGAAATTACTACAGCATCGGTACATCTTGTTACCAGCTTACCGTACACAGCCCTTACCCTTACCACTGCTGAGGGCACCTGTTTCGTCATTTCAGAAAAAAATTGCCCAGGTTTTATTAAATATATGTTTCTTTGCTATTAAACAGCTTTAGCTCAAGCCGCCTGTTTCCGGCCGTGCTTCCGCATTTCGACTCCCCATATTCCGGGGCTCCGGTGCAAGGCAGTGCGGAGAAGGCCAACGCCAACCCTCACCTTGCGCTTGGTGAGCTCTTCGCAGGAGCTCTTCGCAGGACCATATGGCGATGGAAAATATACTTGACATGGGTGGCTGGTGGCAATCAGCCGTCTTTCTGCATGGCCGTATAACCCCTCGCAGGTTGATCCCTTTAGGATTGGCGAGCATTGTAAACATTGTTTTCCCCAACATCAAGACGCCATTTCAATGGCCTCTCTGGGCTTTTCAGTTCCTTGGGAACAATAATTAAGCGATGGCACCCGTCTAGAATAGGTCAGACCACTAAACCAAACAGACAGTTAGCCGATCTGGTGACCCAATACAACTACTGAGCCCTGTAAAGATTAATATATTATAAGTGTCAGCACGAGGGGTTCCGCGGAATCGCTTATTTACTTCTGGACCTCAACCCCAGTCAGCACAAAGTCTAGACAGCTCGAATACGAGGTAATCGATGGGCAACCCCGCCTCCTGACTGCATCCCTGCTTGTCCTCCAATGCGCCCATCCTGGTATATAATCTACCCCAGATATTGTCGGTGTGGGGGATGATCGGCTAGTGCAAGGCAAACTCAGTCTTCGTCGTCTCTGCAAGCCTGACATCACAACATATCAAATGACGCGGGATGGTGATTGTGATGATGAGACCGTTCTGGCTCGATGGATGCACTAGCTTTTAGCACCTGGCAGAGACGAATAAGCCCACTTGGATCCCACTTCCTTGACACAGAACCGGCTCGCGAGACTTCGAGTTTCTGACAAACCGAAACTGAAGTTACCTGGTGGTGTGTACCAATCCGGGAGAGCCGGTGAGTGAGCGTCAAAGAAAAAAAAAATCTGGCTGTTGTACGATGGACAGGGTACAGAAGAGAGGGTGATCATCAGTGATCAAAAGCCAGTTCGGCCTGAGGCATAATTTGATTATGTCATCCGATGCGCCAATCAACCCCAGTTTCCATAGTGCCGAGTTCAAGGATCGCGGGTAGTCGGTATCTCGATCTTCAAACCACTTTGAACCACCATGCCCGCGAGTGGGGTTGCGGACGTCGAGGACCGGGTCTTTGTGCTTGTGACGGGCGCCAACAGGTACAGTGTGCCCCCTCCCCTTGCTCGCCCGCTTCGTTCGTCCGTGGTCCATTGTTCCCTGACTGGTGTCCCCTGGATGTTTTCACCTCCGCAGTGGGCTAGGATTCTCAACATGTTGTCGTCTGGCTGATGAATTTCTGGCCTCTCGTCAGAACGACCACCGGTCATTGACGGTCATTTTCACTACACGCAGCACTAGAAAGGGCAGCGACACCCTCCGCAGTCTGCAAACTCACCTTCGCGAATCTGTCAACGAGCCCTCCGCCGCGGGTCGAGTGACCTTCGTTCCTGAAAATGCCGACTTGTGCAACCTTCTCTCCGTCCGCGCGTTGTCGCGCCGCCTGAACAAGACGCTTCCGAAGCTCGATGCAATCGTGCTCAATGCTGGTATAGGAGGCTGGACGGGACTCAATTGGCCTTTAGCCATTTGGTCCGTTCTCACGGACCTCGTTCATGCGGTATCATGGCCGTCGTACAAGGTCGCGCAGACCGGCGTGCTAGCAGACAACCAGACTACTACTCTCACGGATAAAGAGCCTCGCCTGGGGAATGTTTTCTGCGCCAACGTCTTCGGTCACTATATGCTAGCGCACAACGCCATGCCTCTCCTCCACCGATCCGGCTCTCCCAATGGCCCCGGTCGCGTTATATGGGTTTCCAGCTTGGAGGCAGCCACCCATCTGCTCGATGCTGATGATATACAGGGACTCCGAAGTAGTGCCCCCTACGAGGTGTCAAAGTCTCTAACCGACGTTCTGTCTCTCACCTCGGACCTCCCTAGTACAGCCCCCTGGGTGAAGAGCTTCTATTCCACCCCCGACGCTTCCGACACCGAACAAACCAACTCCCCCAATTGTCCAACCACATACGTCTCCCACCCCGGAGTCTGCAGCACAAGTATCCTCCCCCTCCCCGCAATCCTCATCTACGCCATGACCGCAGTCACCTGGATAGCCCGTATGCTCGGATCCCCATGGCACACCCTATCCACCTACCTCGGGGCCTGCGCACCCGTCTGGCTCGCCCTCTCTTCACAATCAGACCTCGACGCCGCCGAGGCACCGTATCGCATTCACGGTGGTGGCAGAGCAAAATGGGGCTCCTCGACTGTGCGAACAGGCGCATGTTTCCCCGCATCCACTGAGGTCGAGGGCTGGGGATACGGCGGCGTTGTCGGCCCCGCCATTGTAGACGAGGATCGATCTCGTCGAAGAAAGCGCGGTGCCACGGATCTTACCTCCGAGCAGAAAGAGCTATTCGAGGATCTAGGGAGGAGGTGCTGGCAGCAGATGGAGGAATTGAGAAGGGAATGGGATGAGCTGCTTGACCTGGAGGAGAAACAGACCCGTGTTCAGGAGTAAGGCGCGTTCCAAATACTGCTCTTGCGAACTCGTTTGAACTTTCGGGTATATCGAATCTTTCTGCATCTTTTCTTCGTTTCCTCCTTTTAACAATTAGGACTTTATAATACGAGGAACGATCCCTGTACATTACTACATAGAAGAGAGTACATCAATAAGTACTTAATAGACAATTACATTGATCAAGGACGTGGATCAGGAGTTCAATATCTTATTTCGATTCCCAGTTCTCATTTTCCATATTTACATTTCTCGTCCACGTACATCATTAAAACGGTAAGTAGGAGCCCAGTTACCCGACCCATACATCTTCCGAGCCAGGAACTGAAGCAGACAATAAAGGGGGAAATTTCGAGACGAGAAATGAAAGATGGCGTAAAAGTAATAGCTCATGCCCTTGTATCAGTCACGTAAAAAAGAAAGATCAGGGAATGAAACAAGACAGTGGGAAGCAGATTATGTATGTATAAACCATGACTCGAGAAAAAAAATCAGACCGGGCCAAATGGTGGATTCAAGGAAATGTAAAGTCTGAGTCCAAAAAATATATCGAGAAATCGATTACTAAGGCTGTAGGGAACAGAATTATGGAGCTCGATCCCAAGCACGTATTGGTTCCACCGTCAAGGTGTTTGGAGGTGCGAATCGAGCACCAGGGGAAGGTTAGAGAGTTGGGAAGAAGAGGTAAACGTCGACGGGGAGGATTTGAATACTTGAAATCGACTGTTGTGAAGGCGCAAATCGACTCCGGTTCTATGCAGCTGAGGTGTTTCGGCGTAGGCGTGTGTAGGTGGTGTGATGAGGGTTGGGGGGAGGGGGTTATGACAAGTCAGAAACGGCGTTTACATGATGATAGCAGGAACTAGATAGGAGTCAGTATCTAAGAGGATTTCAATTTTGCAGCGGGCGAACTTACCATCAACGTTCTGTTTGATGCTCTTGTGCGGCAGGATAGAGCCGCCGTTGACGTAGACCTCATCGGCAATCGTCACATCATCACCGAGCACAGTCACATTCTCCAGGCGTGCCCATCGGCCGACGGAGCTGTTCCATCCAACGATGGTAGACTTGATCCAACAATGGTCCTTAGCCTTGCTGTTCTCCATCAGGACGCAGCGCTGTAGACGAACACCGTCGCCAATCACAACATTGGGGCCAATGACAACATTAGGTCCAATACGGCAGTTCTTCCCAATCTTTGCAGACGGATCAACCATGACATTTCCGCCGTACACGTAAGGCTCCGAACTGGGAGCCAGCATTTTCGAGTTCCGCTTCGTGAGAGAGGTGAGATATAGGCAGGTACCAGTAAGGAAATCCTTTGGCTGACCAACGTCCATCCAGAATCCTTCCAAATCAAATGAGTGAAGTTGGCCATCCCGGACGATGGCGGGGAAGGTCTCTTGCTCGATGGAGGTAGGACGCAGCTCAATGCGCTTCAGTACACTCGGGTTCAAGATGTACATACCGGCATTGATGCGGTTGCCGACGAACTCGACCGGTTTCTCGACGAATCGGTCGATGCGAGAGGGGTGGTTGGGCTTGTGGACGACAACACCATACTTTGATGGTTCGTCCACTTTGGTGACAACAATGGTTCCTTCATCACCGTGGGCCTTGTGAAAGTCTGCTAGTTGCTGGAATGGGTAGTCACAGATGACATCGGAGTTCAGGACGAAAAAGGGAGAGTCGTCTTTTCCAAGAATACTTTCCGCTAGTTTCAGGGGACCAGCGGTGCCGAGGGGTTCTGTCTCAACGGAGAACTCGATCTTGACGTTGTATTGCTCTTCGTACTATTTTGCCGCCACAAAGGTAAGCATATGCGGGTGGTTTGTATTGAATTGGGTCCATGTACCTTCTTGAGCGCAGAAACCATAACATCTGGGCGGTAGTTGACAGCTAGTACGATATCGGTCACACCAGCAGCAGCTAAGCTCTCAACTTGGTGCAGGATCATAGGACGGTTGCCAAACTCGACAAGCGGCTTGGGGAGGGTAAGGGTCTAGCGACAAGTCGAACTGGTTAGCTCTCGGTCCATTGAGTGGCTCAGGTTTATTGAGCGTTGGTGGCATCGAGGGGTTGCTCACAAGAGGCCGCAAGCGGGTACCGAAACCACCGACGAGAATGAGTGCTGTCAAGGAAAGAAAGTCAGCTAGGGAATTCTTCTTTTTTTTTACTCTATCGGTTGTCTGGGGGGTATGTACCCTTCATTGTTGCGGTAGAACGAGGTTAACTCTGCGACCTATTGTTCTCTCCGTGATCGAGTGACGGAGACGGAGCTTCAATGCGGGCGGGGATGCAGTTGGAGAGGAAAGACAACACACGGCCACACGAAGCGCTGGAGGAGGATAAAAGAAAAGGATCTATAAGCTGTATTCAATTGAAGCGATTGACCACGGGAGAAGGTCAGGGTATAATCCCGAAGAAGAGAAAAGGAAGATGAACGGCCGCCGCGGTATAAAAAGCCGGGAGAACACGTTGAGCGTTGAAGGTCGAAGAAACCTGATTGTATTGAAAGGTACCACCAGGTCCCAGACTGCAACCTTCTGTTTGCGGACAACCGCCACAGGGGCGAGTCCCGGTGACATTATTGGCCAGATAGATTACCAGTACCCGGATGGTACAGGATCAGGCGTAGCGTTTCCGATCAGGTGGCCGTCGTGGGGCTCAAACTGCCCCTGGATTTAATCGCTCGATAGCCTTGACATTCACAATTTCACCCAGCATCAAAAGCATCAGCACTCAGCAGCATGGTGAAGGTTGACTGGTCTTGCTTCTGAAGGTTGACTGAGCAATTCCGAGACCCTGCTTGTGTCAGTCCACTGGCACGGGCGTACAGTTAGTACAGCTACAGCTCGTGACCTTGTCAACAGGCAAGTCATGCAATTCATGGAACAAAGAACGATCACCCGCATATGATTAAGGGGTTCCATACTCCGTGGTTACAGAGATGGAAGGGCGATCGAGTGAGAGCCAAAAGCCAAGCAGCAAATAGTACATCATATTCCCCATGGTGACAGTAACATCATTCATTCGTTTACGGTACTCCTCCGATCCAACCAACTGTTCTTCCGCACTCCTACCCACGGCTCCATGACATGCCCAAGGGCCCAAGACACAAGAGCGAGACAATCTTGTTTCTAATTATAACGTCCCCTACTGTGAATCAGGAGGTAAAGTCTCAGCTCTGCGCGTCTTCCTACCACCGCCTGCTAGATCCGGAACAAATCGTCTGATCCACTCGTGTACTTTGCGCACCTTCACCAGCGGCAGATCATCATGCTTGACCGCGTGGTTCAGGATGTCCCGCAGTTTGTAAATCCCGCCTGTGTCAGTTGCGTCCACTTGTTGTCGGTGCAGCAGGTCGATCTTGGTAAACCCCCTCCGCAGACTCTGCCCATGTACCCGGTCCCGAAAACAGCTCAGTCCCACTGTGCGTAACAGAACAATGTCTCGTGGTCGAAGTAGCATCAGCGACTTTCGAAGGTGCTCCCCGGCTACATCGCCGCATTCGCGAGTGTCTGCCTTGTCGTCCGACGGAGGAAGCCAGAACGTAACCCCAAACCCAGATTTCGTCTCATCTCCTACCACTACCTCAACCAGTTCTAGATCCCTCTTCCACTGCCTTGTCACAATACGACGAGGGGGCCGGATAGCAATGATTGCAACAATCAGGTTCACCGACATGGTTTGCGGCACGATGGAATTTAAATACTCTGCATTAGGTATATCTTGCAAATTTGTGACGCCGCCTTGGATATGTGGCCGCACTGCCGAGACTTCCCCCTCGTCGTTGGTTGCAATCGAAGTATCTATGCTTTCAGTCCATAGACCGCTGTCTAGGGTGGAGTCTCCCGAGAGAGCGCCTGGTGCAAAAATCTCAGAGGTTTCATGAATTGTGAAGGAGCGGTCGTAGAATTGGGATAGTCTCGAATCCTCAGGTCCAGTTGCTTGCGGGCCTAGTGACATTGCAAGGTCATGGACCGTAAAAAATTTAGCTCCCTCAGTCAGTCCCAGCGGGTTCACGTTGAGAGGGGTATCTGGAGCTGCAAATCCATGCAACATCCTCCATTTCACTGGGTTGATATCCGAATACAGCTGAGATGTCTCGTTGCGTGTGTTGGGGCCTTCAAACGGATAGACAGGTTCCTTAAACAGGTCATTTTCATCCCACTGTAAGCTCGAAAATGTGGGTGCGCCCACGAGGAAAATGGTCCTTGAGGGCATTATCGCATCACTATCAAATCCCAGCCATGGGAATTCGGGTGTGTATGTAGTACTTTGCTCCCTTATTTAGGGATATATATAACCACGCGGGCAACTGCAAATGGATTGACACCATATATGTATATCGCCAGTGGAACAGCAGTAGTTGGAGAAGATATCTCACAAACCATCCATTTCTGGTATCGAGCAAGAATTCACCACTGGCCTGCAGTCTGTCATATCGTACTCGCCGGAGTCCAATCAATACACCTTAGTCTGGCAGTGGCCTAAACTATGCAAGGCCAATCAGATCACAAGTAGAGAGGCAGTTGAATAGACAGCCAAGATAGAACCGACTTATTAAAAGTAAATGGGTAAAACAGAGACCATTTCTCTTGAAGATAGCTCTGTAGATTGGTTTTTGAGGGCAGGATCTTCGTCTTTGAGGCAAAAGACACGATGAGGAAGGAACAATATCCGCACGTGATCCTCGATAAGACTACTGCAGAGCATTCACTCCACAATGGCAAAGCTTGGCAAACTCAACAATTGGCTTTCGCCGCCGCCTCCGACAAGACAGTCATCCATCAGACTCTCTCGTCGCATCGTGTCATCTGCGTTCACTCGGGGATGGTGTTTGCGATGTTTTACTGATAGCCTATATTATTACCCTATCTAACCTGTGCCCTTAATCTCGACCTTGCGAGGGGTTTCTTCCTGTGCTCTCGCGGCCCAGCGCCGCTTACTCCGAATATGGCCTTCCAACTTCCAATTCTCAGGCCGGTAAGGCTGATTTTCCTAAATTCATGAGCGCAGTTTATCTGACCTGTTATTTTTGATTAGAGCATTTCGGCAGTGACGTCGAACTCCTGGCCATCGATGAATATATTGAAGGCTCCCTTGAATCGCATCGGACAGACCTCCGCAGTTCCCGGAATTACAAGCAAAGATTCAACACGGCGTATACATACGGAGGTTAGACTTTCAAACCCAAATGTGTTCACACGGTGTGATATTCCTGGACGAGTACTGATGCTATGTCAGCGCTCTGCGTGCATTTCATTGCCCGACTTCTTCGCCTCGATGCCGTCTAAGACCTTCGCCACCGGAGTTTTCAGATCACGACCTTTGTTCAACGGTAAGCCTTTATATCTGTTTGGAATTATAGGTCGAACGCGTGTTGACAAGCGTGGATTTTTTTCAGGCAGTACACCATGGATGCCAGCGTCCCTCAACAGCCGATATTCCTCCTCACTGTCTGCTCGAACCTATTCGACACTGGCCTCGCCTCTCGGTCTTAACCGTCCCACGCATAATTTCAATAGTTTAAGAAGATTCGAACAGCATCGTTCTCTATTTGGAGGTCCGTCTCATGGTTTGCTAGCGCAGAAAGAGAAGACCGCAAACAACAATCCCAACAGCGTCAGCGCCCAGAATGCTTTCTATCAAGCCCTCCTTCGAGCAAATATGCCAGCCATCGTGATTGAGCGGTACAGAAGCGGCCATTTCACGAGTAATGCACTTTCGGAATCTATCTATTTGAAGGCTCTGGAGCGCGTCGGCGGGGCAGCAGCAGCACCCGCAGCGAACGCCACTCAAGGTCTCAGCCCGGATAAGGTTCAAGCTGTTGGACAAGCTATTGCGGCCCAGAATTATGGCGGACAAATAGGAGTTTCCTCGAAGCAGGGAGGAACCGGTGCCAAGGAGGCTCCTTTGTATGTGGTCGTCGAAGAGTCACTCGGAAGCGCGGTGTTCCGTTGGGTGAAATTCTTCTTTTTCTTTGCTTTCTTCGCCTATGTCTCCATGATTATAATTTCGATTCTCATCGAAACGACCGGCGTTTTGAAGAATATAAAAGGGTCTCAAAACAACGAAGCCCAGCCCCAGCACCAAACTGTCCGTTTCAGCGACGTCCATGGGTGTGACGAAGCTAAGGATGAGCTTCAGGAACTCGTTGAGTTCTTGTTAAACCCAGAACGGTTCTCATCTCTTGGCGGTAAATTGCCGAAGGGTGTCCTCCTTGTTGGACCTCCTGGAACCGGAAAAACTCTACTCGCTCGTGCCGTTGCTGGGGAAGCTGGTGTGCCGTTTTTCTACATGTCTGGATCTGAATTCGATGAAGTGTATGTAGGTGTTGGTGCCAAGCGTGTCCGTGAACTTTTCACACAAGCTCGAGGCAAATCACCTGCCATCATTTTCATTGATGAACTTGACGCCATTGGTGCGAAAAGAAACGAAAGGGACGCCGCCTATGTGAAACAGACCCTGAACCAGCTCCTGACGGAACTTGACGGATTCTCACAATCTACCGGTGTCATAATTCTTGCCGCCACGAACTACCCCGAACTGCTTGATAAGGCTCTGACCCGCCCTGGTCGATTTGACAGGAAGGTGGTCGTCGACCTTCCTGACGTTAGGGGACGGATGGAGATTCTGAAGCACCACTTGAAGAACATCCAAATTGGCACTGATGTTGATATTGCAGTGGTTGCCCGTGGCACTCCTGGATTCTCTGGTGCCGATTTGGAGAATCTAGTCAACCAAGCCGCCATTTATGCTAGCAGGAATAAGCAGCCCAAGGTCACGCCAAAGGATCTCGACTACGCCAAGGATAAGATTATGATGGGCGCCGAGGCTCGCAGCAGGATTATCCAGGACAAGGACAAGGTTTTGACCGCTTATCACGAAGCTGGTCATGCTCTGGTTGCGTACTTCTCGCCGTCGTCTATGCCTCTCTACAAAATCACGATTGTCCCTCGAGGAATGGCTCTAGGTGTGACGCATTTCCTACCCGAAATGGATATGGTATCGAAGAATTACACCCAATACTTGAGCGACATTGATGTTTCCATGGGTGGTAGAGCAGCTGAGGAGCTTATCTTTGGAGAGGACCAAGTCACAAGTGGTATTACAGCGGTATGTTCTTGCCCGTGATAGACTCTAGATGGTTTAAGGCTAGTTGCTAATGATATACAGGATCTGCGGAGCGCCACCGAAACCGCGTTTACGCTCGTCACGCGGTTCGGATACTCTAAGAAACTTGGAAACGTCGATCTGTCAACGAACTACAACAGCTTGTCTTCTGAAACCAAGCAGGAGATTGAAGCTGAAGTTCGACGCTTGGTCGAGGAAGCCCGACAACGGGCTACCAAGATCTTGACGGAAAAGAGACATGAATTGGAGTTGCTCACTAAAGCGTTGATCGAGTACGAAACGCTAACAAAAGAGGAAATGGAGAAGGTTCTGAAGGGCGAGAAGCTTGACAAACTCGTTCTGCCGCCAGAGACGCCATTGAAGCTGCCCGATGTTCTTCAGACTGCGAGTCTGGGTCCATCACCAACTCCACCTAGGGTAAAAGGCCCTGAATCTCATACGTCTGCGGAGTAGTGCTTTGAGCGGTGTTCTTTCCCATACCTTTTAGCTTTACTTTTCCTTTTGTTGTTTTATATTTTCTGTTTGTTCGATATGGAATCGAAACCATCCAGGCCCATACATAGCTAGGTAGCATGTTGGTTGGAGAGAAGAAAGCAGGCGGCTCTCTACTATTGTAACTGTATAACTAAGCATACATACGAGAACTTTTGCATAGCTACCGACGGAGTTGTACAAGTGTCCACCGTAGGAGTCAGGCCCGGCGGAGTATCCAGAACCCAGAAACGGAATCCGGAGACGGCCTGGATGGAGCCGCCGCATGACCATGTGACTGACTTAGCCCGGGAGTGGGTAAATAATGGCCATGATAGATTGAGATTGCCTAATTTGGGGGACGGGATAACTCATGCAAAGTCCGATAATAGGAAGAACTAAAATGTCAGACCCAAGAGCCAACTGGAAGACCCAAGAGTCTCAGCACGCACAGGAGGGGGTGCCAAGGCTGAGCCGAGAGGATTGAGTTATGCGGAGGGACGAATTGTGAGACTTGGGACTTGAGACTGGCGAGGCTTGAGCTCAAGACAAAGAGGAGAGAGATGAAGCAAGCAAGGGGAGCAGACAATCGCATAGAATTTCTCCGTGAATCAGAGGGCCCGGAGGGGCTGGGCAGTCTAGAATTCGAAATTCCAGAAGCAGGAAAATTAGAGACTGTCAGGTGCACAGACGATCCATTGAGCCCAAGGCTCGAGGTCGATAGTGCAGCCCACCCATTGCACCGGGTGACCGGGAGAAGGGAGGCGGAAACGGGTCCAGGGGCCCCTGGACTATTCATAGCTCTGGAATCTGAAATCTGATCTGGGAATGGGGCAGGGACTTGCAGGGAGAGCTGTATGGCGAGCGATAGTCTTCTGCAGAGCAAAGCGAGAGAACAGTCATGTGAGGGACAGGTGAGGGCCGAGACCGTCAAGATCGTGGGAGCTGGGACAGGACTCACAGGAGCTGGACCGAAGCTTGACCGTCGCTGGCCACGACACAGCAAGATGCGGAAGGCGAGCCGGGGGCTGACCTTCCGCAATCGGGACGCCCTATAAAAAGAGGCGCTGGCAGCACCCGCGCGGGCTTGTCGCGGATTCGTAACTGAAGCCAGGGGAAAGAACTCGTGGACAGCAAAGATGTCGAGCTCGCATGGAGAAGATGGTCGTCTGATCAGAAAAAAAGAGGGAAAAGAAGAGCCTGGAACTGAAGCGCAAATAATAATGGAGAGATCGCAGGCCTGCTTCCCCACGCCCCCACCCTTCTCCGTCATGGGCATGCCTTGATTGCTATCCAGATTATTCCAGAGACGCGAGGTCGCTGCCCGGGAAAGAGCCCGGCGAACGGTCGAGGCAGGTACGTGTCTGGATGGCAGAACCGCTTGGGGTCGATCCCTGATTGTCTCTGATTGTCTGGAAATGCCTTCCACTGCCCACCCGCGGCCTGCTACTAAAGAGGCCCTCTCCCCCCTCTGCCCCTCTCGCCAGCCGGTTTTTCTCAGCGGTTCCCTCGATGATCTCAGTTGTTGTCAGTAAGAACAGTAATACTTAATTCCCTGCCGGCTGCCCTGCTCCTGGTTCTGTTGGCCCGTTGTCTGTTGTCATCATTGATCCTCGCCACTCTCTGCCTCTTGTCCTCGCCAGCGTCCATCGGCTGGGACTCTCCACACTTCTCCCCTCGGCCTTGCTCGCTGTCTACGTCACCATCCATTACGTCCACCTTGGCCTCTCTTTTCCTTTCCCTGGCTCCCTCTTCACTCGTCTTGTTGCCGTTACCATCTCAACTCCTTTCCTCACACTGTATCTCCCACAGTCGCCGTAGCTCAATTCCTCACCCACACCCACCTACTTTCTGCTCTGCTGTAACTGTTGATCCGGGGACGTAATTGTTTTTACCTGCCTGTTTTTGTCGCCCCCTCCGACTCGTTTCCTCGTTCTCATTGACAACAAACACACCACACAGCCACCATGCGCAAGAACCCTTTTGACATGTCCGAGCTCGACGCCGAGATCGAGGCGCAGGAAGAGCAGCAACCCCAAGTCGAAATTCACGCCCGCCAGTCAATTGACGGTGATCGGTCCTTGCTACAGGACGAAGATCGCCGCAATGATGACCTGAAGGACCGTTTTATTGGTGCCATTGACCAGGGTACTACGAGTACACGCTTCATTATCTTCGACTGCACGGGGAACCCTATTGCGAAATACCAGGCGGAATACCGCCAACTTCACGAGTTTTCAGGGTAAGAGCCATACCCCGCGGACTCTTTTTGGTGTTCTGCCGAGTTTTGCCGCTGACGTATTTACCATCGTTTAGATGGCATGAACAAGATCCCTATGAAATGGTAGATTCCGTCTATACCTGCATTGAGGAGGCTATGAAAACCTTCCTTGCCCTCGGCCATTCCAAGTCAGACATTGAAGCAATTGGTATCACCAGTCAACGTGAGACGACGCTCTGCTGGGACTGGGAGACAGGTGAACCGTTGTGCCCCTCACTGGCTTGGCCCGATACTCGAACAAAGGCCCTTGTTCGAGAGCTGAGGGCCAAGGAGGGCTCCGAAGACCTGAAGAATATCTGCGGGCTGCCGCTCTCCACATATCCTTCGTCTGTATCATTAGTGTGGTTGATCCGCAACAATGAGGCTGTCAAGCAGGCGTACGAAGAAGGCCGACTCGCATTTGGTACCGTCGACTCATGGCTCATTTATAACTTGAACGGTGGCGTTGAGGGCAACCACCATGTAACGGATGTGACCAACGCTTCGAGAACCATGTTCATGAACCTGGAGACGCTTGACTATGACGATAAGCTACTCAATTTCTTCGAGATAGATCGGAAGAAGATCCGGCTGCCGAAGATTCTTCCATCTTCTGACCCAGATGGATTTGGCTATATCCGCTCGGGGCCACTGGAAGGAGTTCCAATTGCTAGTGACCTTGGAGATCAATCTGCGGCCCTGGTTGGCCACTGTTCTTTCACGCCAGGCACTGCGAAAAACACGTACGGTACTGGTTGCTTCCTACTATATAACGTTGGCGAGAAACCAGTTGTATCGAAGCACGGCCTACTTGGTACCGTCGGCTTCCAGCTAGGAAAGAAGCGGAAGCCCGTCTATGCACTTGAGGGAAGTGTTGCTGTTGCTGGAAGTGGTGTTTCGTTCCTGATGAACAACATGGGTTTTTTCCGAGACTCGCGTAAAGTGAGTGATTTGGCGGCGATGGTCCCTGACAATGGAGGATGCATCTTCGTCACAGCCTTTTCTGGTCTCTTTGCGCCGTACTGGATTGATGACGCCAAGGGAACCATTTGTGAGTGAATTCCGTTGTATTAACTCGTCAATGACGACACTAACCAGCTGTTCAGTCGGAATTACACAACACACCCAGCGTGGTCATATTGCCCGTGCCACGATGGAGGCCGCGTGCTTCCAAACCAAGGCCATTCTTGACGCCATGGAGATGGACAGTGGGCATAAACTATCCGAGTTGGCTGTCGACGGAGGAATGAGCAACTCGGACATCTGCATGCAGGTGAGTGTCTCAAATCCTACCAACAACCTAATTGCAAAAGCAAAGCCAGAAGCTAATTCTCCCCACTTCAGACCCAAGCAGACATCATCCAAATACCAGTCGAACGACCGGCCATGCACGAGACAACGGCGCTGGGCGCCGCCATTGCCGCCGGATTCGCCATCGATATCTGGAAGGATTTCAGCGAACTCAAGAACATGAACCGCGCCAACCGAACCTCTTTCTCCCCCGCGATCTCCCTCGAAAAAAGTGGCAGGATGTACAAACAATGGACAAAGGCCGTTGAAATGTCTCGCGGTTGGGTTGACTCGTCTGAAATGGAAGGCGAAGAGTAAACAAATCATGTATACCTTCTACTCTTCTGCCTCCTCCATCTCAATAAGTGGGGTTTCTTTTTATCTGGTCCCTGTCTACTCTCCAGGCTCGCTCCTTCCTTTCAACCTTCAGTATCGAAGTCGAGCCGAGATGAGGCGGCAACCTTTATTTCTCTGTATATTCGCATGTTTCTTACGATTGAGCGTTGTTTCCTTTTCATTTTCAGTGTTTTTATTCGGTTAGATCATGGGTTCCGGGGGATACCTGCTTTTTAGCTTGGCTTTTCGGTAGATGAATGGTCTATTCGTGATGACGATATATTGGATAGGTACATAAAGCATAAGAATTATAATTTAAATATCAACTATATACTCCCAAGTGTCTTCTAGGATATAATCTGGTTCGATTACTAGACCTAGCTTCCCAACTTGCCGATGAAGATGATTACGATACAGAGAAGGGACAAGAAAAAAAAAAAAACAAAAACAAAAACAATTGACTTGCGAAACGGGGTATACGGTATACACAAAACGCTGGCTAAATATAGAACGAACGTACGCAAGGTCGGGGGAGACGAAGAGCCTCACTCGCTACGTGCCGTCCTGTCTCCCGATAACATACGGCAAACCCGAAACACTCTCCGTCCGCACATCAGCCAGCCGAATCACACTCCCCCCAGATCCCGACCGGGATGCCGAACTTAAACTCGCGCCGCTTCTCGACCCCGCCCTGGACACATTCGACCGGACCGGCCGCAGCGAACGTGTTGAAGGTGAAGGGGTCCGAGGCCATTGACTCCGGGCCTGTAATTGCGATGGTGATGATGATTGTATTTCACCCATTCTTCCCTTTGTAGACTCGGGTCTAGCGGCAGCGGCAGCGCTGGTTCGAGTTTCTGTCCCGTCTAGATATCCTGACCGGGTTGGGGTCGTGTACTGATCAGGCCCATATCTTGTATGGGCACGGCTGCGCGGAGAATTCACAGAACCAAGGGTGTCAGTCTCAGTCTCGCCCTCTTCATCCGACGGCCCAATAACAGATTCCGTCCGCGATCCGAAGAGCGAATGCGTATCTCGCATCGAATGTCCATCTGTCTGCGTATGCATATCTAGAAGATGGTGGTTGGGGGAGCGCATCCCGCGCAAAAGATCGGCGAAGACACCCATCAATGCGCGGAATTCACCTTCGTAGAGGTCTCTCCCTGAGAACCGGGCGCGCTCGTAGAGGGCTAGGAATTCAATTCCTGTTTCGGGTGGGTTGAGGATCGATAACTCGGTTAGGTGATGGATATAGCTGCGTAGGGACATTGTTGGCGGGCGCCGCAGGATGGCGACGATGCGGGTGTCTGGGATTTCTTGTCCTTCTTCGGAGCCAGCCCAATCCCCTGCACCTTCTTCTGCAGGGTTCGTGGAGCGGAGCCTGAAGACAGGATCAGGAGGTGCAAGGGATACGGCTTTTGCTTCGATAAGATGCGGCAGTTCACGGACGACAGTGCGGTAACATAAGCCCGGCAATGGCTGGGCGTCTCCAGTCGTTATAGTCGGTGCAGACGCAGACAGCGAGGATTCCGGCGCCGACCACCCAGGATGCTCGATAACCCCCCAAGGTGGATTCGCGGGGTCGACATCAAAGTCGAATCCTCTGAGCAGGCCCTTCCTCTCTTCATCGTCATGCCCACCAGCATCTGGATCAGCTAGAGCATGTGTTTGTTGTGCGTGACTCCTCGCCTTCACCTCCCTCGGCCTAGCCCCCCACGCGATGAGCGCACTCCTTCCTAGCCCCTCTACAACAAGCCTCCTAACGCTCTTCCCGACATCCTCTTTTTCCACCGGGATCCAGGCCTTAGGGATTCCACCTAACACGCTCCGATTCGTGTATATGCGGGTTGCGTAGATAAGAACTGCGAGGAGAAAGGTGACGACGTACCCGCCCGTGATGATGAAGATGTTTGTGAGGCGTTTTGTGACATAACATTGATAGATTGCATCAGCGGGTGTGAGAAGGATGAGGCAGAGGAGTATCGTAGAGAGTAGAGTGAAGACGGTGTAGTTTAGGAGGCGGATTATGGTGGAATTGCGGTTGCGGCGGGCGCGGTTGGATTTGGGTATTGCGGGTGAGGGTGGCATTTCGGCTTTGGTTTAAGGTTGGGTGGTGTCGTGATACTAGAAATTCGGGATCGCATTGTGATTTTCCGCCATTATTTCTCTCTCTTTTCTGTTGCGCTTGCCGGGGGCGGGATTTTAGGGAATTACGTACGTAGAAACTTGTGAAGTTGGGGGATGATGATAAGACGGGGGCTTGCGGAGATGACTTTTCACGTGACTTATAGTTCCAGCACGAATTGATAGGGGCGAAACTAAAATCAATGGCAATAATGAAAGGATTAAAATAGTCTAAATGCTAGAAATATGCATATGTATCGTCTAATCGTCCTGGATAGCCTCCTCATCCTGAGCCGTAGGCTCGTAGTGCTCTCCCCGCGCACGGCGAATAACTCGCTCAATACCGTCAAGACCCATCTTTAAAACGTCCATCTTCGGCCCGTAACTTAAGCGCACAAAGTGGTGGCAAGGACTGTCGAACAAGTCACGTCTCTTAGCCGGGTTCAAGTCGAAGAAGATACCGGGCACGACAATGACCTTCTCGGTCAGAAGCGCATTGAAGAAGTTCAGTCCATCGGAGATGTTAGCTTCCTTGGGAAGGGGTGGGTCGAGCGAAGTCAAGTCAAGCCAGATGTAGAATGTTGCTTGCGGGACGTCCTGGACGCGGAAACCGATTTCGTGAAGACGCTGGAGAACGAAGTCTCGCTTCTCGCGGAAGTGGCCTTGTAGCGCCTTCATTTCGGTGTGTACGAGCGAGGGCTCAAGCATGGGGATAGCGGCTTCTTGGAAGGGAGCGTTGGCGCCACCGTCGAGGTAGGACCCTGCAGAGCCGAGGGCATCTATGAATTCCTTGGGGCCGACAACCCAGGCAATACGCCAACCCGGCAGACGGAAGCGCTTTGTGAGACCGTCGATCAGAAGAACGTCTATTCCCGTTAGCGTTTTTTCGTATACTTACGAGGTGAGTAACATACCATCCTTGTTTACATCGATGACATTTGCAGCACCACTGATGGTCGTGCCATCACAGTCGGTGGTATAGTTGTAGCCACCGTAGAACTCATCGAGGATGAGAGTAGCACGATCACGGCAGATATCCTGGATGTTGGACAACTCATCGCCAGAAATAAAGTGTCCGGTCGGGTTACGAGGGTTGGAGGTCAGGATGACCGATGTACCACGAGCAATTTCCTCGGCGATCTTATCGGGATGGATGTGGTAGTGATCTTCCTGAGCAAGAGGCATTGGGATAGGAGCAATGTTCTTGAACAAACTCAACATCTCCGAGTACGCAGAGTAATCGGGAATGGGGAAGGATAGATATGAGTTGCCTAGAATGGCTGCAATTCGGATCAATCCGGCACGACCACCGGGGACAATGCACACATTCTCCCAAGTATACTGACTCGCCTTGCCCTGGCGGTAGTGTTCGTTGTATAGGCGGGCGACTGCGGCACGGAGGGGCTTGATTCCGGCAGTCGGGCCATATTCTCGAGTGGCGGAGGTGATGGGGATAGATTCAGGACGGGGGAAGCTGCCCTCGATTTCGTCGTCGGCTTCAGGGGCACCCTGGCCAAGGTTGGCCCAGCCGGTGGGATCTTCTAGATAGCCGTGTTCTGAGGCACGCTCGGTACACCAGACAACACCGGTGGAAGCACGGGAGGCATCGAGACCAGCATGGGGACGGTGACCTTCGTGGGCAGTTCGGAACTGACGATGGGTTTCGGATTGAAGTTCTTATCGATCGTCGTCGTTAGTTTGGAGGGGAGGCAAAATGGAGTATTTCTCCGGGAAAAGCAAAGAAGCCAAGAGACGCACCGTTGGTTGACAGTTCCTTGCCCACTGAGAAGCGTCGATTGGAAGGACGCAGGATGCTCACGCGACGCCCGGAGAAAGACATGGTGGTTAGATACTAGTTATACGGAGCAGAGTTGGTTGCGGGTTTATGTGAAGGTCTGGAAAGATGGGGGAGGAGAGGAGAGTTGGAATAATGTCGAGAAGAGAGCAGAAGTGGGTATCCAGAGGAGAGACCGATTTATATAAGGCGACAAACTTTTAGCACCTCAGGACAACGACTCAGAGCATGGAAGGCGATCTTCTTGCTCTAATCGCGCACTGAGTCTTGCACCCTTGGGCTGGCCAGTCGCTGACCCCGTTGGGCGTCAGCTCAAAGGGAAAAATGCCTCATTGAACGAAGCCTTGACTACTGCCGCTATCCAGGCCTTCGATATTGCTTCCATGAACCATGTCTGGATCCTCCCGATCGGCTGGGTCCGTCGGAATCAGTCCGAGTCGGCTTCCAACAGATGCCGATGTCAGGACGAATTTCGACAGCACAATCGTGTCTATACAGTGCGGTTGTGAAAACACTGTTGCACACCGTCCCGTGCACAGAAGCGGTATATTGTTGGAGGCGATTCCAGCCACGTTTTTGCTTCTTTAAGCCGTGCGCAACATCGAATCAGAAAGCGCCTTTGCCTCCTGAAAAACAAAATCAAATACCGTGGGCGCGAAATTTCCCCCCCGCTCTCCACCGCTTCGTCGCCGGGCCAGCCTCTCTATGCAACGTCACTCGCACTACGCGCAGCGTCCAGGTAACAGCGCTATCTGCAACTTTTTCCCATTATTATCTCTGCAGCTCAACCTCTCATATGCAATAATATGTAAGTCTAGTTCGTAATGGGAAATAAAAAGCAATATCGTCCGCAGTCTTAGCCCGCCAGACAACAACAAGTTCCAGCCCTAACAATGCGAGAACAACTATACATCGCCTCATTCGGGGAAAACCTGCGGGAGAACGTGCAGCGTTATACATACATCATGCAATCATAGTCCGTAGACAGGGGAATTGGGGAAAGTAGACAAAGACGGATAGATGGGAAATAGATGAAACAAGATGAAACAAACATCATCATAAGCATAATTTCCTCAGAAAGGAAATGATCGGACATGAAAGCCAAAACACAGGTCCATCAAATGTTCGTTAAAAAAAGGTGCATTCAGGTGTTCAGGCCCGCTCAGATGTTTCTCTTCCGATCATTTTGAGGGTCGAAGGCGCAGCTTCGGACCTTCTCAAACCAATCCAGTTGGGAGTAATGAACGGCGGATATGTTAAGCCAGGAGACAACTTAACATGGTCTCTCACGCAAATTCGCCGTCTCATCAAGGTAGTTTCGGAAGACAAACCTAATGGCTGCTGAAACAATGTGTTGGAGAATTAGAGTGAGGGAATTGACTGTCTGATCTAATTCTCAATGGCTTGACAGTAGAGTTGGATCTCGCCTACCGCCTGGCCTCTTGAAAGCATTTCGCGATGCTGCTCCCGCCATTCCACAAATGCTTCCTGAACGGCCTCGTCGCTGTCAATCGTTACATAATCACCATCCTCATCACGATAACGCAAGCGAACTGTCTTATTGCCAATGGAGCGATCGGTAAACCTGGCGAGTTTGGCGTCAACTCGATCGGTGAGCGTACGGAACATTATATTGCTGGAAATCACCAATGTCACGTAATTCTCGTCGAAGTTGACTTTCGCCTTTAGCTGAGTCGGCATAAACGGCTCCTCCTCAGGTTCATGGCTTAATGGAGACGTTGGTTGATCTGACGGAGTTGCGCTCGGACGCCCTTCGGAGTATTGTGGCTCATTAAAGGCATGCGGATGGTGATGATTGGTGGTCCGAATTGGAAGGTTGTGATTTGTCGGCGAATTATTCTGGCTACGACTAACCGGCGCCTTCATGTTGGCCATGTGTGCAGGAATGGGAGGGACAGGCACATTGTCAACGGTTTGCATAGTATGGGCTCCCATATACCGACGGGTTTCAGGATTGTGGTTATGGATATCGGGGCTGCTGGCGGAACGCATTCTCTGCGACGCGCCATTCGATGCGTGGTTATTAGCGGACATCGGGGGAAGGGACGGGCGTTGAGTGCTCCGCCCGTTTGGTGGTCCACCGTTGAAATAAGGGTTTGCGTTCGAGCCGTCTCTGGACGTCGCACGCGACAATGCGGGAGCGGTGTATCGGTTATGGTCTTCACTCCAGGTTGTGGCTGGTGTTAGCTGGCGATTATAGGGATACCCGGCTGACTGAGAGCTCGACCTGGTGGAGTTAGGTTCAGTGACGGGGGAGAAGTAAGAGCTGGCATTTCGTTCCGCGGGCGACATACTCCCCGGAGGAAATTGTGTGTGTACTGATAAAGTCGAGTCGGGCATTGCTGGATAGCGGGGCCGGCCATTAGTGGAAGGTGGAGGGCCAGAGCTGCCGCTCCCTCCCGTCAATGATCGATTTCGGAGGCTTGTGCTAGAAGGATTCCGACTCATGGGGAATTCGGAAAAGAAGCCTGCTTCTTTTGTAGCCTGTTCTTCGGTATCATACTCTAGGTAGGGATTCTGAAGGTTGGTTACGTTGTTTGTGAAGTACATGAACTCGGAATCGGATGTGCCCGTGTTGCGGGCGCTGCGTTGCTCCGTCTGAATTTCGCGTTGGGCGTTGATATCTTTGTACCATTTCCGCATAATGTCCTCATTCGAATAGCGAATAACAAAGTTATCCACTACTCCAGGGTCCCCCTTCCAGAAGATCTGAATCCGATAAGAGCCTACCAGAAGTCAATACAATAAAGAAGGGTTGTTAGTAAGGGTGGTCTGGCATACCTGGTTTCTGAAGCCAGACGATATCGGTCACATTCGCCATATATATGCGGCCCTTGAGTTGAAGTCGTGGCTTACCCTTCCCGGCATGCGGTTTATCTTTGCTGCCACCGACCAATCTCGACTTCTGTTTATTCGGGTTTATATCCTTGCAGCAAAGGAGGATTCGCTCGAAAAGATATATGTGATACTATAGTTGTGGAAACGGGAGGTTAGCACCTTTGTAAAATTTGGTCGTATGTGGCGATAATCAGGACATGAGGCACATCCTAGCAACCAGTGTACAGTTTCCAATTGCAAGGGTAAAGTGTATGAACAAGACTTGCGGATCCAAGCTTTTCAAAACAACGTGTGATCCAAGTTGTACTAACCTCTCTTTCCGAATCCTTACCACTGTCTCCTTTTATGACTGTGAATGTACCGAAACGAAGTAGATCGCCGAATGAGTCGATTTTCAGTGCCTTCCAGTCATCAACGCGTTCGTCCAGTTCTCTAAAGGCGGAGGCTAGTTGTTCTTTGTCGATTGCATCGTTGGCAGCATCCAGCACAGTCTGAAGAGACTCGATGGCGCGTGAAATATCGGCTTGAAGATCTGGATCCTCAATTTGCTTGCGCAATTCCTATTCGACAGACTATCAACAACTGAGGCCAGAATAATAGTATGGGACATCTTAAGATTAGTAAGTACTTACCAAGAGCATTAGAGGATACTTCGTCAAGCGTTGAAACGGCTTAACAAAGAAACCGTTGAGTGTGGCTGGTTGCGCAACCATCTGTTGTAAATCGATAGAGCGCGGAGCTGCTCGGATCTTATCCCACTCCTTATGGCAGGTCTGATCACATCGCATTTGGTTCGCAATAAACGGTTCGTACTGACGGAAAGCTTCTTCATGCTGAATGAACAACTCACCCCAGTTCTGCTTCTCCTCTGGTCGAGCGTAGTGTTGTTCGAGCCGAATTAGGAACCGCTGCGCAAAATCAAGCAGATTATTCAGGTTCAAGAAGATTTGATGACTAGCATCGCCAGTGAGAGCTCCGGTATCCTCCAACTCCTTTTTGAGTGCCTGTAAATTTTGAAGGTGGTGGACATAGTCGCGCTCTGTTTCTAGCAACTCCTTTAAAATGTGTTCTCGTTTGGTGAGTTTCCTTCCTGCCGCTGGGGCGGCTGTGCCGGTACCAGATGGCCGTTTTAACTGGCCTTGAATCTCCAGGATGTCTAAGACCCGATTGACCATCTTTATCACTTTGGTGAACCCGATTGTGTTATCGCCGTACAAGTCCGTGATAAGGAAACATTCTTGCTGTGGGAATGCCATCTCCTGTATAGCGGCTTGGAGAAATTTAAAGGTAGCTGCCTTGGGACGTCTAGCTTCAGGAACTTTTGTGGTATCGACTTCGAGTTGTGCGCCTGGGTCGGAGGCATTGTAGATGGCCAACAGGGGGTATCCATGTCGCAGGAAACTCCAAAGCGAGGCGACGGGGTCGGAGTTTCCCTGTAGCCTATCTTCTTCGTCCATCTCCTGCAGATAAGGCTCGAAATTGGGGACTTCTGCGAGTCGCCTCTTGAGATTAACACAGCTCTGATAGATGCCCTCATTGCCACGGCGATTGATGATGTTGTCCTCGGCGACGGGGCCGCCGTTCAGGCCAGCGGTGTCGGCCATTGCGACTTCCACCGACTGGGCCCGTGTTGGGGGAGCGGGAGAAGGATGATCGACTAGCGACAGGGGATGGGAGGTTCAAATCTGCACAGCAGACGAAGAAAGGAAGACGAGAGAGACAGTGATGGCGACCAGCGGAGGTTGTACGGAGGTTGTCGTCCAGTCAAGCATGGATCACTGAAGAACGCAGCCAGTGGACCGATGCGGGACAGATGGCGCAAGCGAGCAACTAAGGAAGGGTGTGGAGATAGCGGTGCGGTTGCAGTGGTGGTGGTGGTGTTGGTCACTGCTCTGGTAGTTAACCGCTGTGATTAGCAAATGATAGTCAGTTTGGAGGGGGTTGGAGTTACCTCGGAATCTGGAATCAATCGACACGGTCGCAGTTTTGTCTCACCCTTGCTGGCCAGCCCAAGATTGGGAGAAATTATTGAGAGCGATCCAGAATTAGGGAAGGGTAAGTAGTGTGGGGTTTGCCTGCAGCCAGCCCGGAACCCTGAGGGAGATCAGGAGAGGAGGCCACTACGGGATAAATAGCTGAGAAAAGGGCGATAGAAGATGCACGGGACATTAAATCATTATAGATTGGGCGACGCGAAGACGAAGGGACAGAGGAGGAAAAGGGAAGAGATGGAGAAGCGACAGCCAGGGAGGTGAATTGACCCCGAAGGAGGACAGGGTTGCAAACCTGAAATTCCAGGCAGCCCGGGATGTGGTTCTGCTGCCAAATCGGGACCGGCTTCACGTTGGACAGAGATTAATAGTATTAATTTGATATTATTATGGGTTTCCGGGCGCTGTATATATGCATTCAATGCCCAGGAGATTGGGCAACAGCCACGAGACTGATTGCTGCAGCACACGCCTCTCACACACAAAGTGTTTGAGGTTTTGACTAGTTCTCCCTCCTCTGCGACGCTGATCCTGAAGGAGTATACCCACGGACTCAGCGAGTTCGACCAGAATCGCACCCTTCAAAATGTCAGTCTCTGAATCCCTGTCGGCGACAATAACACAGTTACAGCCCACTTTCTGATGCTGACAACCCCTTATGCTCTTAAATTCCCGGGCGGTTCGCGAAGCCAGGCAGTGATCTCAAACTTGCCGAGTCAACGGCTGCAAGTAGGAACACTGGAGAAACTTTAAGCTCATGCAGGAATGTACTTCAGAATAAATGGCTAGACAAAGCAAATTGGCCAGTCCAGCAGTTTCGAGACCAACTCGTGCCGCCATCTGATCATTCATCTTTAATGGTACTGGAAGATAGACAGTCCGACTCGACCACCACCACCACGAGCCCGAGTATATCCGTCGTACAAGACATTTAACGCCGGGGGAGGATGCGAACAGGGCGGGTCTGACCACTATATTATAACCGCTAGAACCCTCTAGTTGCGATTCACAGACACCCCCGCCAACTCTCCAATCAATGGGGCTGCTCGGAGGTATAAGCAGTTACGTGGTCTAACTAACACACCAAGAAAATGGACTCGTGTCGGAGCGGTGTTACTTGGATGACGAGCAATGAGAATCCAAGTAGTTTAGCGTGAAATTTGTGCTCAAGTTGCGTCTGAAGAGAAAGAGTTTGTTTTGGTAGATAGACTAAGAGTAGACCCATGTTTTCCCCCAAGCCATCAACTCGTCATCCGTTGCATCCACTCCCCCCCCAACCGGAGCTCTTCGCCTTTGTCTGTTTCATGTGGCTCTCAAGCACAGCCATCACCCTTGAATCTCCGAGAACATTACCATCCGAATATTCCTCCGTGCCTTCTAGACTCAGAAACGGACGAGGGGTCTACGACATCATCCCACCGCCTTGGGCAGAAGCCGCCAAATCTGCGTCTCTTGGCGGAGGCTCTGGAAGAGTCAGACTGGGGACGCTCCACGGACGACGAGACAAACGCGGAGAAACTGAAGGTTATTTGGTCGTCGAGTTTCTTTGATGACAGGAACCCCCATGGAGAGCGAAACTGATGCGTCGGAAGCCTCGATTCCTCTCCGTCTCTTCCCTTCCGACCTCACCGCCCCCTCTCTCTCCGCTCCCTTTAAGGTGGACGAAGGCTACTCTGATGATACACGAAGCCAGCCAGACAAAGAGCTTTCGCGTCCTACTTCAGACGATGTAATGTCTATCCCCGATTGGGTTCTTGCTCATAGCGAAGTTGAGAGAGCTGGTGAGTCGTCCTTCCCCCGCCGGCCGCGTGCTCCGATATAAATACTCACTACTAACTTACTGCTCTGTCTCAAGAAATCGCTTATAACCTCTTGAGCACCTTGCGAACCTCGACTCTCGCCGCAGTGGTGGAACGACTGTCCCCGCTATTGCATATGGACCCTGTTCTCAGGCTTCCCCCCGAAATCACATCGGAAATCTTTTCCTACCTTGACCCCCAGACTTTGTTGACAGCATCATTAGCCTCCCATGCTTGGCGGAATCGTGTATTTGACTCCCGTCTCTGGAAGGAGCTTTACATTGATGAAGGATGGCGAGTAGATATCGACGCGATCCACGCTTTTGAGCAGGATCACTCGGGGTTCCCGTCTCCCCAGTCTCGAAAGTCGCGGTCAAGGTACGCGGATACAGACTTGGGGGAACCAAAGCAGAAGAAGCGTGTACCTCCTGGATGGTTGGACTCGCGTGTTGATGGGCCGGGCGAGAACGATTCAAATGCTTCGGAACTTGGACAACAAGGATGCGCAAAACCAGATACGGAAGGTGACCACCTGATGCGTGACGCAGCGGATGATAGGAGCTCGTTATTTTCTAGTGGACAAGAACCTGGAATTAGACTTGGACCTGCTCAGGAAACATCAACTCTGAAATCGATTGAAAGAGTACGAGCTAAATCTACCAAATCGCCTCTTCTCCTTCGAATGCCAAGTGGCTCTGCTAAAATCAATTGGCCTCATCTCTACCGACAGCGCCGGCGCTTGGAAGACAATTGGGCCAAAGGGCGGTTCACGAATTTCCAGCTCCCGCACCCCGCGCATATGGAAGAGGCCCACCGGGAGTGTGTGTATGCCATCCAGTTCATCGGGAAATGGCTCGTCAGCGGAAGCCGAGACAGGACAGTCCGAGTTTGGGACCTAGATACAAAGAGACTCTGGCACCGACCCCTTCTTGGGCACATGAAATCGGTATTGTGTCTTCAATTTGATCCCCGACCTTCTGAAGACATTATTGTATCTGGCAGCAGCGATAGAACGGTCATCGTATGGCGATTTTCCACAGGGGAGAAGATTCACGAAATTTCTCCTGCGCACGATGACTCCGTTTTGAACCTCCGATTTGATCATCGGTATCTTATTACCTGTTCAAAGGACAAGACTATAAAAATTTGGAATCGACAGAATTTGTCAGCGGCCGACGAGGACTATCCTAAAATTCACCTGGGGTCGGGGGTGACATATCCGTCGTATATTATCGACACACGTGAAATGCCTTCCCCTATTTTAGAGGCTGAGATTGCCAAGGGCCATATCCGTACCTTGGCTCCCTTTTCTCTTCTGATGACGCTGGCAGGACACACCGCTGCCGTCAATGCCATCCAAGTAAATGGTGATGAAATTGTCTCTGCCTCGGGCGACCGGTTAATCAAGATTTGGAATGTCCGCAATGGCGCCTGTAAGAAAACGCTTATGGGCCACGAGAAGGGCATAGCATGTGTTCAATTCGATAACCAGCGAATTGTCAGCGGAAGCAACGATAATACAGTTCGCATTTTTGATCATACCTCCGGCGCAGAGGTCGCTTGTCTACATGGGCATGTCAACTTGGTCAGAACTGTCCAAGCCGGCTTTGGTGACCCTCCAGGCTCAGAAGAAGCCCTAAGGCTTGAGGCTCTAGCAGTTGACAGGGAATTTTGGAACGCTCAGCGCTCTGGCGAAGCCGTTGATCTGGGCCCCGCTGCGCTTAGACGAGCTGGCCACCAGCAGAATACAGCTGGATCAAGGAACCCCCGAGACATCAAAGCATTGGGTGCGCACATTCCGCCTGGGGGAGGTGGAAGCAAATGGGGGAGAATTGTTTCTGGTTCGTACGACGAGTCTATCATTCTTTGGAAAAAGGATACAGAGGGAAAGTGGGTTGTTGGCCAGAGACTGCGACATGCTGATGCCGCTGCACGCGCCTCTTACTCACGCCCTTGTGCTCCTGGTGGCAATGCCTTTGCGGCGCAGGGTCTTGTTGGGACGTCACAGCCGTCGTCTTCTGCTCTTACGCCTGGCGTACCCCCAAATCAACAAGGGGACTCAAACTCAGATGCGATAGCCGAGCCATCCACGGTAGCCCAGGAAACCCCAAGCCGACCAAACCCTCCTCGAGGACCGCCTATTACTAGCCTTCTCGCCGCTGCAAGCTTTTACAATACTCACCCCCGTGTCCTGCCTGCTGCTCCGGCCTCCACTCCAACATCCAGGATATTCAAAATTCAATTCGATGCTCGCAAGATCATCTGCGGCAGCCAAGATCCTCGCATCGTGGGATGGGATTTCGTCTGTGATGACGAGGAACTCGAAGAAGCTTGTCAGTTCTTCACCGGCTTATAACCCGCCAACTGTTTCTTTCCACCTCTACCTTGCTTGTTTCTATGATGTTCTAATAATAATAACCCTCTTACCTCCCTACTCCTGTACCACTCGCAAGCCCTCAGTTTTTCCTTTTCTTCTTCTTTTTCTTTCTTACTGCTGCGACTTTCACGATTATGCCATATTTTATCACTGTCAGTCATGACGCTGCATACTGCATACAAAGCAAGCAAAGCAAACTGTCATCCATGGGTTTACGGCCTGACGCGCGAGTGGTTGTTCACTCCACCCTGCAATTGTTAATACCTAGCATCTCCTGCATACATTCTTGTTTAGTTTCGAGGATATCTGCTTAATGAGGTTTCTTTCTGGGAGCTGTATGTGTGCTTGCTGTTTTCTTTCCCTTCTTTTGCCGTTCGTCTCATAATTGATGCATGGATATTGGCGTCATAGCATCCGCTCACTTAGCACTTCCCTTCCTTGTATTAGCGTACGAGAGACGAATTCCATCTATTTATCTATTCATAGGTACTTTGGAGTAAATTGGTATCTGATAAATCAGTAGAGGAATCATGGCTTTATTGAAGATAGGTGGTTAGTTACAGCAATGAAGTGACTATGAGGAAAACACCCAGTCCTCACCCAATATTCTATAAGTCCAAAGGTTCTCTTCAATGGCGCCCATTAGCTAAACATGGATCTTGGGATATAAGCGTAGGTAAGGATAAAATGTCCCGAATCTCAAAATGATGTATGCCAGTTGCGCATACCCACAAGCTTCATGGTCTAGATTGGTTTCCAGGAACAGGGACTATTTGAGTCCGAGCCTGTGGAGTCTCATTCGAGATATTATCACGCGCGGTTACATACGTGTCTTGAGTAGTCGTGTTCGTCGTGTGTGGGTTGAGAGCATCTGCTGAATCACCGGTTTCTGATGCACCTCGTTCCGAGTCCCAGCAACAGCAAAATATAGATCTCCCTTGCTTTACGAGCATCTCCCAGTGGCCTAGTAGATTCGAGAATTTGCTATAGCTGTTTCTTTCAGGCGTCCCAGGGTCTTGTGGACTGGTTGGTGCGGCAGACTGTGTTGGCGCCAGATGGCATTGCTCAGTGAGATTCGAGTGACCCGGCATAGCGACCCGCAATGGAGAGTGGGAATCGTATACTCGAGATACACAAGTATAGTACGATTCAGGTCTCTTGCCACCGTGATCTGAGGCAAGCAACATCGAATTCGGTGCAGTTGTAGGTTGTGTCTGCAACGGAGGTAGATTCGCACTCAACGAATTCAAAGTATCTTCGGCAGCGGCAGAATAAGGAGATTGGCCTTCAGACGCGGCGTCATTGTCCCGTATACTTGCACCGTCGGACTGAGCCAAAGGTAGATTCCCCTGGTGGAATGGATTGTCGTTTGTTTTACTCAATACATTGGAACCGTGGCCACTTTGTCGTTGGGGGAAGCTACCTAGGACAGCAGTCCCATCCTCCGCAACTAACTGCTGAGTACGTGGCTGTCGGCTACCCTCAGATGGTGAACGACCCGGGGAACGGCTTCTAAAAAGTTGGCGAAAGTGGGACACGTTACGATTCTCGATCGGGCGCCGGGCCCCAATTCGAAAGTCGTATGATCTGGCTTCCTCAGTGCCAAAAGATGGAAGGCCTGGAGGCGTGGGTGATCGGACAGGTGGTGGATATTCCGGCAGAGCAGGACTGACTGGTGATTTGATATTTCTCAGCCATCTTGCAAATCGTGAAGGGTCAATGCCTGAACTACCCTGGACATTGCTGGAGACATCTCCACTTGCTGTACTGAGTTCCAGCTCTTCGTGGAAAGCCGATAATCCGCCTGGCAAGGACCATGCCGTTATTTCTCCAGCCGAAGACGTCCGGAGCTTATCGGCCAGGTGAGCAGCAGGAGGTTTATGAGGATCCGGTAATGAACCACCAGGTGACCTACTAAATAACTGGCCTGGTGCACGATCTGTTTCATCAGAGTAAAGCATGGCAATATTGGCTGGATCCATATCTCCAAGCGTGTTATTTTCGGGTTGGTTCTCTGATAGTGCCTCGTTGCCATCATTGCCGGTTGCTATGTGAGCGTTGTATATCGAACCTCCATCGCTCGATTCTAAGCCTGTCGAGGCCGAGTGTCCGCGCTGCGAATCATCCTTTATGAATGGCGGCAGGAAAGTGTGGTGTTCCTGATCATCTTCGACTGGATCCAAACCGCGTTCGTGGGCAGCCATGCTGGTATTAATCAAAAACTAAAAATGCACACTGCGGGCATCCGCAGAGAAATAACGCACTCTTTGGATTAATCCTGGAGATAGAAGAGAAGGACGGTGGTGTTGTTATTCCCTGGTGGTAGCTGGCAGTAGATAACGGGATTTCACCCATCGCGCCTTCCTGTTCGTGTTGGCAACTAAGAGCAGGCACACCTAGGTGCAGTTTAATAATAATATGTTGTAAGTTATTCATTTGGACGCTGATGGTCGTGACAAGTCGAATCTTATGATACATATTTCTCAAGCGTGATATGTGCAAGTCCCGACAAAGATAGGCACCGAGATGAAAATACCTCCAAGCCCTAAGGCGAGGCAAATTAAGAAACAAACATTAATATATACGAAGAAGGGTACAGATATATTCAAAGTGGTCCCTCATCCAAAAAGCGGCTTTACCAGATGGCTTTGACCCGATGTCACCTGTCCATGAGCTGGCTTGTTTTGCTATCTCCATCGCTCATGGCTATGTTGGTAGTTGTCGTTGCTGGGAACAAGGTAGTTGCCAGCGATTCCCCGGAGGCGACCGACAAGCCCTCGACAAGGCTGAAAAGATGGTGATAGAGGGAGAAAAAAAAGGTTGTGGGAAGAAAGGCGTAAAAATGAAAATGTTAAGGGGGAATGTGTTCATCATAATGCCGTTGCTGTTTGGCTGAGGTTCGATTTGCCGCTCAGGTTCGCTTGCTCCTTTTTCAAATCCCGTAATATGGCTTCCAGTTTCTTGCGTTCTTCTTGTTCCGCCTGTTCTCAAGTTAGCGCTGTCTTAAAGTGGCATGTCATTGAGGAAAAAAAATGGCCCACCTTGAGTATCTTCATGTTTTCGGCGCGGGTATCACGCATCATCTTCTTGAATTCGTTCTTCAGCACCATTGTGGACGTTGTCTCGTAAGGGCCGTCTCGTCCCATGGATGAAGCACTGTTGTTGGAGCCCATCCAGCTAATCCGTTCCTCATTGAGTTGGGTCTCTAGCTGCTCACAACGATCACGAAGGCTATCAATGATGCCCTCGAACCTCTCGCGCTCCTTCTCGAACTCAATGCTTGCCTTGGTCATGGCCTCGTAATCATCAACAGTCTCGCGGAGTTCCTTTTCGAGCGTTTCAACCCGAGTTTGAGCATCGCCACTTCCAGGCTTCCCGGCTTTGAGACCAGCAAGCTCTTCAGCCATTTCGAAATTTCTGGCCTTTAACTCATCGAGCTCTTGGAAAAGTGCAGGGTCGGCGGCAGCTTCAGCAGCCCGTTGCGCACGTGTTCCATAGGCACCATCAAGCTCCGCTTTGACCATAGTGAGTTCTGTTTGGGCCCTTACAACCTCACCCTCTAGGTCGGTCAGTTCTTTTTGCAGGCGGGTCGATTTCTCTTCTGCCTCGCCGCGTGCTTCTGTTGCTTCTCTCAATTGAGACTCTAGTTGCTCACGTAGCTCATTCATTGACTCTTCCAGTCGGGTAATTTCCGCATCGGCTTGCGCCCGCGTATCGGTTGCTTCCTTGACTCGAATATCTGCATCATGACGAATTTGGCGGATGGTCTCCTCCATGTGCGAGACTTGTTGCTCAGCACTCTCGCGCGACTCTGTTGAGTCCTGAAGCTGGCCCACCACCCCCTGTAAGCGAGCGACCTCTCCCTCCACACGAACTCGGGCTTCATGATGCTCATCTTTCTCGTGTTGGATCTCCTGGATAATATTTTGAAGGCGTGTGACTTCGGCTTCCGCATATTCAAGAGATTCATTCCCAGCATTGTGGAGTCCCCTGCTGTTTTGGGTGCCCTCAGATTCCGATAAACCCCCTCGCACATTTTCTAGTTCTCTCATTGTCAAGTCGTAGTCTTCCTTTGATTTCTGGCCTTGATGCTCAGCAGCCTCAAGTTCTTTGCGGACAGCGGCTAACTGTTCAATTAGGTCGGAGATTTTGGCGTCCCTTTCTGCATCAGACTTGGAGTTGAGCTCGCGCTGCTGCTGAATCTGGGTTGTCAGGATGCCCTTTTGCTCAAGTAACTTGTCAACTCTGCTCTCCAGCCCGTTAATCCCGACACTAAGATATGTAAGGTGTTCGGCAAGATCGGCCCCTGAGGAATCAGGCGCCGGTGGTAGTGTTTGAGCACGAGGCAGCCCAGGGTTTTCCATGATGGTAATCAACTGTGTCTCCATCTCCACCAACTGCTGTTCGCTGACGCGATCCAGGTCATGACTGGGCATATCGGCTTTGGGCTTGGAGCCGAGAATACCAAGTCCACTTTCAATGTAGTGAAGATGGGCATCCACTATTGCTGAGAGATCAACTGAGCCGTCGCTACTTGAGGTCTGTGGAATTTGAGGGTGTTCACTGTTCGGATCCGATTGCAGTAACATATTTCGTAATCGGCCACTCAGGGACTCTAGTTTTCTTTCGGTTTCCTGAATGATATCATGCGACAAACCGTCAGGTTGTGCTGCTCTCGCTCCATAGTTGCCAGGTCCATCCACATGGTCTGAGGATTTATACAAGCTCCGATCATCGAAATCGTCCACCGTGTTGTTGCTGGAGAGGCTCTCCGGAGTGTGTGGGATGCCGTTCTTCAGATTCTTCTTCAAGCCCTTGTGTGTTAACTGTAAAACTCCAGCAGTGTGCTCGAGTAATCTCTTCTGTATCTCTTGCACTTTGCGTTCGGAGTACCAAATTTCCATAGACAGCTCCTCACACTTTCGATTGCTGGCTGCGAGTTCCTCACTCGTTTTGTTCGTATCTGTCTCATTATGCCCTGGTCCGTCGGAATTGTAATCGCCATGGCCTTGATTGTGTAGTCGGCTTAGCGACATGGCCGCGTCGCGAAGTTTTAATTCCAGCGTCAATTTTCGTTTCGTAGCGTTCGTACGGCTGGACAAGACCCGAAGCTCCTTCTTTAGCCCCTCAACTTCCTCCACCGACAAAATTTCGTAATTCATGCTATCTCCCATGGCAGTTTCGGTAAGTAGATACATGGCGACCGGATCATTGGCGCTAAGTGGAATGGAGCGGCGGGGATGTGAGGTCGAGTTCATCTTGAGAGCGGAAGCCTGGGATCAGCTGCTCTGTGGTGGTTAAAAATGACAATGCAGAACTACATACCGGATCATATGGTGACTTCTCGGCATTTTGGGGCCCCAGAACATCACGATAGCCGTCCAGGAGAACCTTGGTTGGCGGCGGTTGGGGCGCGCCGTATGAGGCGGCTGAGAAATGCCTTGGGTCGCCATATGACGATTGGCTGGACCGAAAATCGAGGCCTTTCATGATAGCGACGGATGCAAATAGCAGTAGGGATATTGTTCGGTATCAAAAGAAGCGTGACAGATCTAATAGGCAGTAGCCATTCTCGGAAACCTGTGGTCTACCGCCAGGGGAACGGGGTCGGACTCGTGGGTCGTCGAACGACGATAAATAGAAGAGCACTGCAATAATAAACAAGAAAAGAAGAGGAGATTTGACAGCAGAAAAAAAAGGAAGCGTGAATAAGAGAACTAAGGGTAGAAATGCAGTGTCGGGTTGCGAGAGACGACAGGAATTGGGAGATCAGATTGGCGCCAGTCACGAGAGGATCTGCAGTGTCCAAAAGGCGGCTGGCCAAGGCTGGTGAACACCAGGAACAAAGAGATCCATCAGAATTGCGGAGGCATTGTTTCTCTGCAGTTCGCGCCTGTTCCTCAAAAATTTCACCGACTGTGGAACAGCTATCCGATGCATAACATACTGTAATAAGCATCGGCAGGATGCATGACTGGTAAATGTTGTGGGCTGTGGTAACCGCCTTGCCCCTGAACGGTCAACACCAAAGCGTGCAGGACCAGAGCCCTTGCTGCGGAATATTTTTGTACATACAATTTAACTCTAGATATACAATTACAAGCTTCCATCCCCACAAGAACAGGATTCTTAAGCTGGAGAATTTAGATTTAAGGGTGGAATGCGAGTGCGGAGAGACCCATCAATGAACATATGACACTGTTAATAAGTGAAACGCGACGAACCTCGGACCCTTCCTGCACTCTGGAATTGGTCTCATGGCGAAACCTGGCAGACCCTGGCCTAGTTCTTATCGCTTAACAGGCCTAAAAATGATATATCATTGATCGAACCCCGTCGCAGGGACGGTTTGGTCCACGTTGAATTTCTCCGTATCCTCCCATATCACATCGTCCCGGCCAACCCCTCACAATGGCCTCCGATGCGCATGACACCAGCACCGCAGGCCTGCCCCCATCAGGACCAGTCTATAAGGTCTACAAGCGGCGGTTCTGGGGGTTAGCACAGCTGGTATTGCTGAATATTATGGTTAGCTGGGATGTACGATTTTCGTTGTGGCTTTCGACTTAGAAATTTGTATAGACCTCGCGCTGACCCTCGCAGTGGTTGACGTTTTCCGCCATTTCAACCACCGCTGCGGAATATTACGATGTCTCCGAGAGCGCCATTAATTGGATGAGTACTGGTTATCTATTTGCCTTCTGTGTTTCGAGTCCGTAAGTACCCTCCTCGCCATTCTCATTACTGCAAGTGCGCTAAAGACATGTTTCCCAATCTAGCGCTGTTATATACACACTCAACAAAGGTGGCCCCAGACCCGCCATTATTGTTACTTCTTCTCTTCTCCTTGCTGGAAACTGGATCCGCTATGCCGGAGCCAAGGCACAGGGGGGTATTTTCGGTGTTTCCATGTTCGGGCAGATCCTGATCGGCCTGGCACAACCGTTCTGCCTCAGTGCTCCAACTAGATATAGCGATCTCTGGTTCTCAGATCGGGGGAGAACCAGTGCAACCGCCGTGGCCACTTTAGCAAACCCGCTGGGCGCTGCGCTCGGGCAATTAATCAACTCATTTTGGGCGACTAAACCTGGTGAGGTTCCGGACATGGTTCTATGGATCTCGGTCATGGTGAGAACACAAAACATATTGAACGAAAGAGAATGGCATCTAACTCAATTGACAGGCAACAGTTGCATCGCTTCCCTCATTTTTCATCCCAGCGCAACCACCAACACCACCCAGCGCATCATCCGCCGCGGATAGAACACCTCTCCTCCCGGCCATCTCGCAAATGCTGCGGACGCTCGAATTCTGGCTCATTTTAATCCCCTTCGGTGTCTATGTCGGTTTCTTCAACAGCGTATCCTCGCTCCTAAACCAAATCCTTTCCCCCTATGACTTCACCGAAACCGATGCCGGCATCGCAGGCGGCATCCTTATCGTTGTTGGGCTCATCTCCTCCGCCATCCTCTCCCCCATCACAGATCGCTACAAGCACTACCTCGGCCTGATCCGCACCCTCGTCCCCATAATCGCAATCTCCTACATCGCACTCATCTTCGCACCCCCAAGTCCCGCAGGCATCGCTCCCTCCTATGTCATAATGGCCATCCTAGGCGCGTCCTCCTTCGGCCTCCTCCCTGTCGCCCTCGAATACCTTGTCGAAATCACTTACCCTTTCTCTCCAGAGATCGGGAGCACGATATGCTGGACTGCCGGCCAATTGCTCGGTGCGATTTTCATCCTCGTCCAGGATGCGCTCAAGGCTGGACCTAGCGGCGACCCGCCGCTGAATATGCGTAATGCACTGATCTTTTCCGCAGTGGTGGCTTCTGTGGCTGCGCCGTTCCCGATATGCATTGGGTTGTTTGGACGCGATGTCAGAAGGCGTCGTTTGGAATTTGACAGGGGGGTGAATTTGGATCAGGCGCAGGCGCAGGCGGAACATATCGAAAGCGTCCGTAGCGGTGGTGGTGGTGAAGGCGACAATGGCGGTGATGTCCGAGTTGCAGATGCAGACATTGAAACCAGGAAGTCGAGATTCGACCTCGGTGTGAAGCTCCCCTGGGCAAAGAACTGATACCATTTGATGCCTGCGGATATTTAGTATTGTTTTTTAGTCGTTTTCTTATTGGTATAGCAATGGGTGTAAATATCCACTATGTGTACAGGGCCGTATAGTATGTTCTCAGTTCCTCACTGGCACTGTCCAAAGTCACCGTCTTGCGTACGACCGTTGTTCGTAAGTAGCGTAGGGTAACGCAGGTAGCTGGTAGATGCTTGAATTCGATGATGGCAAGACGCTAAATTATGGATTCCAAAGTACGAAGATACTAGGTACATAAATAAATAGGCCCTCGCACTGACAATGTACGTGCCTGGGGCTTGCATGAAATGAGTCTGGCATCTGTGGCTCTCTAGGTGCGTTATGATTAGGACTACGCAGACATAAATAAGTCTAGAGAGAAGTAGCATTCATCTAAAAACACACAAGTTGATATAAAAAGGCGGAGACCAGCTATCTGTACATACACATTAAAGGACAATATTCGTGTCATCCTTCAACCTCTAAGCGCAAAAATCAACAAGCAATGATACAGTATCCCAATCCTAGGTGCAGTAAAGTTACTGCTGTTTTTTTATAGTTGAATGCATTCCGGATGGTCTCGTTGGTTGGCAGGGTCTCGTTAATCCGGCAGTGGAACCGAGGTCGGGGATCGTTTCAGCGTTGTCTCCTTTATTTGAGAGCCTTCCAGAGCTTGGGAGCAGCGCAGGCGTTGGCGCAGTGAACGAGGTGGAAGACTGTTGATGGAAACATGAGGTTAGTCGCGATTGAAACAGCAAATCGTATAAGAATTGTGAGAATCTAATTCTCTGGATAATATCGAACTGACATTCTTCGACACAGTCCTCCTTAGGACCCTGGTAGTCCTCGTCCTCCTGCTGCGAGGTTACGCGCTCGACGCACTCGTCGTAGTGGTGCTTGTAGGGGCCACATTGAGCGGAGTTGGCACATTCTATGAGAAGAAAGTATCAGCGAATGATCAGTTTTAGAAGGATTTTCGAGGACTGAAATAGGTATTCCGATGCCGATAGCCCATAAAACGCGATTATATGTATGGCTGAGTCAAGCGGTAACCCGGAACCCCAAGAGGGCGCGACATAAGGAGACCAAGCGACGGAATAATTCAATAATTCAATTGGTACTTACCTTCCTCCAACTTAGGCTTGATATCCTCAGGCTCCTCTTCTTCTTCTTCCTCCTCCTCTTCCTCTTCCTCTCCCTCTTCCTCTTCCTCTCCCTTTTCCTCTTCCTCGGCGTCTTCGCCCTTCTCCTCGGAGCTCTCCTCAGGGGTGTCCTCAGCATCGGCGGATTCCTCGCTGGCGGGTTCGTCGGCCTTCACATCGGACTCAGCCTCGGGGGCGCTGGACTCCTCAGTGGTTTCGGCGGGAGCCTCAGCCTGGGCCTCGGGGAAGCCCCAGGAGGACATCACATCGGAGAAAAAGTCGGTGAAACCCATCTTGAACCGTCTTGGGGTGTCAATTGATGAGACTGGAAGGTCTGGGGTCCAGAGGGTGACGGGTGGGCGGTGGGTGCACGGTAACGAGCGAGGTTGATGAGGTTTGGTGGTTTTCACGAAGCTTTGGTGTCCGTCTCCCGTCCAGGGAAAATCGGAACACCCCGGCCACTGGCGACTGGGCAATTATTATCGCCCTGCCACGTGATTGGTCGACGCTTTTGGTCACTGCGAGCAACACCGAGACGTCCCTAGATCTTGGATTTAATTAAATAATTGTATTCTCAAAAGTTATTATCATTTCTATAAATCTGTACAGTTTGAGTTTGTCCCGTGGGCTGAAAATAAATCAAAAGAGGCGCGCATTTTGCCGCTAAATCTGCTTTACAAAGTGAAGGGGTTAAGGGAAATGAAAAACAGGAATCGTTTAGATCGAGGACTATGGAGACAAAACCTCCATGCCTTTGCTGCCGCCTCCCAAGTCTCAGCTTGCCCGGCGTAATCTCTCTTCCAGTTCATTGGCGACGCTCTGTTGCTGCACTTCTTCGTAATCCGGTGGCGGCTCCTGAGGTTCGGCGCTGGCTTCTGAAGGGCTCTGGCGAAGTTCTCGTCGGTTGGCATCTTCGTCGTTAACGGTCAAGCCACCCTGGGGGGCAGAATACGCGGGTAGTTCTTCTAGATGGACACCAGACATGTTGACATTGCTAGCTCCTCGGCCACTTTCATGGGAGATTTCAACCGCTTGCTGGAGGCGCTCTTTGATCGTCTCAAACTGGCCGTGGAAATCGAATGCCCCTCCTTCTTTGAATGTAACTTTCAAATGCACAGCTACTAGCGACGGGGAAATCCCGCCGCCTGGCACCGGCTGAACAACTGCATTCCATGCATTGGGTCCAAAGAATGGAGACGAAACATGCGTGTCGTGTAAATTGAGAAGAGGCGCTGAGAACGACTCCAGCTCATCTGATTGTTGAGCTGGAATATAGACAACCTGGATAGCTGTTGTTAATAGAGAACTTTCAAGGAAGCAGAGCAAGGGTCAAGGAAAGACGAAGAGAATTACTCGTTGATTTGTAAGGTAGACTATGCCAGCACTGCTCTGTAGTGAAAAAGAGTCTTTGCCGGTATAGGATGGAGGCGGTTGTAAGGCGAAGCTTGTGCGAGGAGGAGATGTGTATAGCAACTTCTCATTCGGTAGGTGGACAAAGCCTTTACGCTCGTCGAGCATCACCCAACTGTTTCTTCAGTTAGAATATGTTATGCATTTAGTGAACACCATATAAAATGATGGAAAGGCTGAATTAACTGTTGTCTCCAGTCTAGATCATCCCATCAGCAGCTTAATTGTAACCGAAACGAGCCAGTTACAGCGCGGGGCCAAAATGTGATCAAGGAACGAGGCAATTTGGAGGTCTAGGTAGAGAAGGGGAGTGGGGCCCATCCACATACTTGATCGACATCTTTCTGTAGAAATTATGACAGCTGACACTGGATATAACCAGAAAGTGAGACTCTGGAAGTCCGGGATATCAAAGTAGTATGGGAGACGCTAAGCGGGGAGTGTGATTATCGAGAAATGAGCGGGCTAATGAAGATGCGGTACGTAACGGTCTGGAACGGGCCGGCAGTCACAGTTTGTGGATTAGATTTCGAGGATTCGAGGGTCCAGCGCTTAGGTTTTTTCTTCTTCGTCTGTTTTGTGCTCCGAACGTGCTTCGAGATGGGGATAACAAGATTTCTCTGTGAACACTTCAAACCAAGATCGTGATAATCTTCTCTGCGGTACTTCAGGCGCCGCTTTAAATTACGGCATACGTAATAACGATACTGTATTCCGGCCAGTTGCCTGAGGCAAGCACGTCAGGGACTGTTGTTGGATCCCACTCATGGATCGATATTTATGATTCTTACGAGATAATGTTGCTAGTACTTAACTAACATTTCATCGCCTGACTAAGACCATGCAGCTGTTGAATCACTATCACAGGACACCATGGAGGGATCTTCGCTGTCTAGCATTCGTGAACCAACAGCCTCAAGGCAGGCGATAACATTGAAGTGATTTGACATGGCCTGCACCCTGGTAAGGGTAATCATAAAACGCATGAGTGCTACCTATGGACGACATATGCCCTAAATAAGAGAGGGGCTGCATGCCTCAGCCAAAAGAGATATCTGCCAGTGCGCCGCCATTTCTCAAGCGACATTGGTGCAGGCGGTAATATCTTAGCGGGTTCATGGATTCCCTGCGGCCACAATAATGTTCGTTCTATTACGAGCGAGCTTTCTCTTCAACCTTGGAATCGTCATAACAGCTGATCTTTGAGAGCGACCAGGCCTGCGCTGTGCATGGAGACGCTCCTTGGTACTACTGATGGCGAGAGTTTATTTTGCGAGGTCGAATCCACAAGTGTCCCCTAACAGAGTTAACATCAATGGATTCTGGTAGATTCTCTACGGTTCGACGAGGATGACATTGACCCCCTACGGTCGTAAAGTACATCCTGAAAGCTGATTTACCCGTCTCGGAGTATTATGGAATCATCATGACTGCGGATACTTACCAACAGGGTTATATGAAATTCGTAAAATATTTAGTTATATCTCTTGGAGACGACATGAGGAAAAAGAAATGGTGTGATCGTGGCTGAGAAAACCGTTGAAGTTGGGTGCAACGTTGCCGGCTATCTATCAGTTCCTGATCTGGCTGATATGTACTGGTATTACCACCAACGTTTACCCCACCACTGAAAAAATTACCGCCTTCCGTCGCATCCAGACTCGAGGAATCCCAACCTTAGCACCGTCACGTCACATGCGCTCCTGTCCTCCAGGATCTGTTGAGGCCAACTGCTGTTCGTCTTTTGTCCATACGAGACATAGCTCTTTTGATGCCTGAAACGCTTCCCAAGCTTCCTCGATCTTCACTACACAGCTTTAGCTGAGCTGTTTACAGGGGCAGGATATGCGGTCTCAGCCTTCTTTGTTCACGCGTGCTTCTTACGGAAACTGGAACTGAATCCCGTTAAACCTGGTCGACGTCGCTGGTAGATAAGGAGCTTCGGAAGACCTAGCCTCCCGCGTCTCCTATATAATACTCGATTTTACACTGCGCCTGTCTTGAGAATTGTTAAAGCAATTCCCTTGACGTCATGGCGAGGAAGCCATACATCCCGCCCTTGGTTGGGTGGTTATACGATCTCGTGCTATGGACGTTCTCAGTGCTCGTTGACCTCTTCTTCCGGGAGGTCCATCCGCGTGGCTCATGGAAGATTCCTCGACGGGGCCCAATGATCATTGTCGCAGCCCCTCATGCTAATCAGGTACAGTATACCTAGTATAACAAAGCTTCATGATATTGTACTTACAATGGCTGTACTGTTATAGTTCGTCGATTCCTTGATTCTTATGCGTGTTCTGCGCACTGAGGCGCACCGTCGAATCTCGTTCCTGATTGCAGAGAAATCGTTTCGCCGCAAGTTCATCGGGCTTTTGGCGAGGGGCATAGGAACTGTGCCCGTGTCTCGAGCAATGGACATGATGAAACCTGGACAGGGTACCGTATATCTCCCAGACCCGGTCAACCAACCTACTCTGTTGCGTGGCGTCGGAACAAATTTCGAAGGTCCAGGCTTCGAGAAGGACGGGACGATTGCACTCCCAACCATCAATGGAACTTCGCATAACACGAACATCGCCGAGATTCGCGGCCCAGAGGAACTGATTCTCAAGAAACCATTCACCCACAAGGATGCGCTGTTCCAGTTGACGGGTCGGAATGATATTACAGATGATGGAAAGTTCTCTGGAGATGTATCCGACAAAGACCGCGCCGATTTCAATGGGTCCAAGTTCAAGGCGGCGCCCCATGTGGATCAAAGTGCAGTGTATGATGCAGTGTTTGGAAGGCTCCTTGGGGGTGGTTGTATCGGTATTTTCCCAGAGGGAGGTAGCCACGATCGCTCCGATTTACTTCCCTTGAAGCGTAATTTCCCCCCATCTCCATACAAAATAGAGCGGTAGCTGACACCCGATTGTAGCTGGTGTGGCCCTCATGGCTCTCGGTACATTAGCGGAGAACCCTGACTGTGGGTTGAAGATTGTGCCGTGCGGAATGAACTATTTTCACGCTCACAAATTTCGGTCGAGGGCGGTGATTGAATTCGGAACCCCTCTCGAGGTTCCCAGGGAGTTAGTACAAATGTATAAGAACGGTGACAGAAGAGGTGCTGTGGGTCCTTTATTGGATATTATATACCAGGGTCTCGTGTCAGTGACCGTAACCAGTCCCGATTACGAGACACTGATGGTTAGTTTAGTCCCTTTAATTATAGTCGAAACTAGGGCTAATCAAGCTTTCAGGTCATCCAAGCCGCACGTCGTCTGTACAACATCAAAGGCAAGAAATTGCCCCTTCCAATGGTTGTTGAACTCAACCGTCGTCTCGTCAAAGGCTACTCGCATTTCAAAGATGACCCGCGGATTATAAGTCTTAAAAAGTCGATCGCGGACTATAACAAAGAATTGCGTCTATTGGGAATCCGTGACCACCAGGTTGATTATGCGAAGTTCTCATCCATCAAGGTGATTGCGACATTGATATATCGCCTGGGTAAATTAGTTCTTCTCACTATTGGGACCTTACCTGGGCTTCTTCTCTTTACCCCAGTTTTTATCACGACCAAGTTGATCTCAAACAAGAAATCGAAAGAAGCACTGGCTGCTTCAACGGTCAAGCTTCAAGGCCGCGACGTAATGGCAACTTGGAAACTCCTCGTTGCTCTGGCATTTGCCCCGGCTCTTTACGCCTTTTATACCGTGACCTTTACCTATTGGGCCTATCGTAACCGCATTAACGGTTACGTTCCTGAATCCGTACCTCTGTGGACATTTATACCTATCGGCATGATCCTCTTTCCGACCATTACGTTCGCCGCACTGCGCATTGGGGAGATTGGCATGGATATTGTCAAATCATTGCGCCCATTGTTGTTGTCGCTTAATCCATCGTCGGCCAACTCGTTGGTCAAACTCCGCTTACGACGCGCTGCGCTCGCTAAACAGGTCACCGACACCATCAACACGCTTGGCCCTGAATTATTCCCAGACTTTGACGCTGCAAGGATCGTGACGGACCCTTTCCGCGAGCTCAACCGACAAACCTCAACTCTAGAAAACGGACAACCACCAAACGTGGAGATCAGCAGGGCGAGCACAACAAACTTCGACGAAGGCTCAGCTTCCCAAGAACCACTTCCTCGAAACGAATCCTTCCACAACCTCGCGAACTTTGGCTTTTTCTCGACCCGACCCTCGAGCCGGAATCGTAGCCGCAGCAACAGTCGTAGTAGCTCGTTTGGTGGGTTACCGGGCACATCAGGCCAGCAGCTGAAACCTCTCAGCCAACTCTCAGCCAAAGATGGACTTGATGAGGTGAGTTTCAAGATTCGTGATGCAATGCGCGAACGGGGAGAGCGACGTCGGCGAAGTGAGGATAATAGCAGTTGGGACATGGCCAGCTCTGGGCCCGGAACGCCGCACAGCGAAGAGAATCGGAAGGATATGTAACAGACTGTTCATGCTATAAAATGAGGCCCTTGGGAGGGCCATACTGCCTGTAATGACAGCGGCGGAGTTGGGCGTTTTTCCTATATTCCTGTACTTCCATTTTGTACTTCGCACCTAGTATGGATTTCCGTAGCAAATGAGACCGTTTTAACGGCGGACCTTGTTTTCACGGGCGGCAATATGAATAATGAATATACATAAACCTGAATCGAATCCTTGACGATCCCCTCCTCCCCGCATTATCTGATGTTGAAGGATCGAGGTTGAGCGGAAGATGAAAGCCTCGGACCGCAAGCTGGGGAGGCAAGCCTTACACGTGGGCCAGATTTTGACCCACAACCGGCTGCTGTCTGGAACGACCGACGCAATCATGAATCGATTCAATAATCTGATGCCCTCACTGTCATCATAGGCCAGTTCGTTTTCTGCAGGTGTTGAAGTGAAGCCGTCAGCTCGGCGTGTCTCCAGATCCGCTTTCATTCGTTTCTCTCATTTTCAGGTATGCATCACCGCCTCCACGCCCTCTCCTTTTGCGTCAGATCTGCGAAAGACAAGAAAAACGGTGTCGCCTGATGGCCACGACTGCGCCCAGTGAACTTCAACTTCTCGCTCGCTGACTCTTTTGGCCACCTGTTATCAGTTGCATTATACCCTCGAGCTTGATTCTTGTTTCTAAACCGTCGTGGCAGCTCTTTAATTCTTGCATCGCTTGCCTTTCGCTTTCTCTCGTCGCACACGGCTGTCTGTCGCTTCAATCTATTCACCCCCGACCTCAACCGCCTAATACAATATCGGGACTAGATATATTTTATTTTATTATCGACGCTGTCCTACGAAAAGACCTCAAATATGGCGACGTCAATGCACCTCTCGAAGCTCCGGAATTGGTTCCTTGCATCACCCCCCATCGAATTTGCGATCTCCAAGCTCCGAGACCTGCTGGTTGGAGCAATCAGGCAAGGGCCAGTTCCACAACATATCGCTTTTATAATGGATGGGAATCGGAGATTTGCCCGAACACATGGGATCGAAACAGTGGAGGGGCATAATTTGGGTTTTGAGGCGCTGGCACGGGTGAGTCTTATGTCAATATTTGGACTCGAGAGGTCTATTCCTTGCCTCTTCTGTCTTCTTTTTTCTCCGAATCCCATATTTGCTCTCGGGTGTGAATATACTAATGCTAATACTTTGTGCTACAGATTCTTGAGGTATGCTACCGGAGCGGAGTAAAAGTCGTAACCATCTACGCCTTCAGCATCGAAAACTTTAAGCGGTCAAAATTCGAGGTGGACGCCCTAATGGAAATGGCCAGAGTCAAATTATCGCAGATGGCCCAACACGGTGAAATTCTAGATCGCTATGGAGCGAAAGTCCGGATACTAGGTCGATTGGAATTGCTTCGCCCTGACGTGCTTGCTGCAGTCGATCGTGCAGTTGATATGACAAAGAACAACGGGGACTGTGTTCTTAATATTTGCTTTCCCTACACATCGCGTGACGAGATTACCAGCGCCATTCGGGATACAGTAGCCGAGTACAGCCAGCCACTACGATCCGCTCATTCGTCGCCGCCTCTCACGCGGACCCCATTTTCTGAAGATCACATCGCACAAAATATTCGATCTCGAACCGTTAACGGGAAACTGGATGATTCTAGTACAGAGGGTGATTCTGTGTCAGAATCATCCACACTCGGGGACGATGATGCTCAAAAGCCAGACGAACAGAACAAGCTTTACCAGTCCGAATCTGCTCTTTCATCCGCTGCCACCCTCCACCTTCCTGACCGACCCACGAAAGGCCGGACGACAGCGTCCTCTGGGTCTGAACCCCCGGTCTTTAAATCACCAGAGACTATCACACGCCAAACCCTGGCCGAACACCTCCTTACCCACGACAACCCTCCACTTGACCTACTAGTTCGCACATCCGGGGTGGAGCGTCTCAGTGACTTCATGCTCTGGCAATGCCACGAGAATACAGAAATCGCTTTCCTAGACATCCTGTGGCCTGAGTTCGACCTATGGCAGTTCTTACCTGTTTTATTAAGGTGGCAGCGGAGAGTCTCCAAGGCGAGGAAAAACCCAGATGCCGAGGGAAATTATGACGGTGAGCTCCAGGAGTCGTCAGACGACAGCAGAGAAGAGCTCGTGGTCAGTTCAAGTCCCAAAGCGAAGAGTTTATAGTTTATTCTTTGATACACTTATATATCTATAGTCTAGCAATTGGGTATAGCATTATTAGAATACTGGGAGTTTACGGCCTTTCCATGCACTCATGCTCGGGGTTAGCACCACTGACAGGAAGATATCGCATTTTTTCTGGTGTTGTACATAATAAAACTGACATGAACATATAGTCTACAACGAATCCTCGTTGCTCCGCATATCATGACAAAGTAATAATTAGACTAAGGTGGAAATACAGCTATAGAGTACCAGGCGCTGTACGTGCTTTTCTATTAGAAATGTCGGAAAATTTGGAGTAACTCCGATACCGCATTGTAGGGAAGCTCACGTAATCATCCACACAGCGGGGTGAATGCCTTGAGAACAGTATCCCTCCAGTGACTCACTTCATCGATCAAATATATCCATTATCTCACTCCAATCGTCATAATGGCTAAGCAAGTTGCTGGTTCCAAGGTCCTCCTTCTGGGCTCAGGCTTCGGTATGTCATCTCCGCTCGTTCCCATAGTCGAGACAGAACCCCGCATTGACTTTTAAATGCGAATATGACTGACCGGTATTTTGTTACATAGTTACCAAGCCTACCGTTGAGGTTCTTAGCAAGGCGGGTGTCGAAGTCACCGTCGGTATGTCCTCTAATCGCGATCAAACGCCCAATTGGTCATTTCTGAGAGACTAACGATGGCCCTCTCTATAATACAGCTTGCAGAACCCTCGAGAGTGCGAAGAAGCTTTGCGAAGGGTTCAGCAACACCAAGGCTATCTCCCTTGATGTCAGCGATGACAAGGCTCTTGATGAGGCCGCTAACCAGGTGGATCTGCTCATTTCGCTCATCCCCTACACCTTCCACGCCCAGGTGATCAAGTCCGCTATTCGAACCAAGAAGCACGTCGTTACTACATCCTACGTCTCCCCGGCCATGTTGGAGCTTGATCAGCAGTGCAAGGACGCCGGAATTACTGTTATGAACGAGATTGGTCTGGACCCGGTAAGTGTCTACACGAAGAAGTTCTTGAGGTTATACTGACTTTCATCCCTTCCTTAGGGTATCGATCACCTTTACGCCGTCAAGACTATTCACGAGGCATGATACTCCTCTCTTCTAGCTTTTCACCTAAAAACAACTAATGGGTTACTTTTGCTGCAACAATAGGTTCACGCCGCCGGTGGTAAGATCACTGACTTCCTCTCTTACTGTGGTGGCCTTCCCGCTCCCGAGTGCTCCAACAACCCTCTGGGCTACAAGTTCTCCTGGTCCAGCCGTGGTGTCCTGCTTGCCCTCCGCAACGCCGCCAAGCTCTACCAGGGTGGTGAGGAGGTCAGCATTGCTGGTCCTGACCTCATGGCCACCGCTAAGCCGTACTACATCTACCCTGGCTTCGCCTTCGTCGCATACCCTAACCGTGACTCAACCCCCTTCCGTGAGCGTTACGATATCCCTGAGGCCCAGACCCTCGTCCGTGGTACCCTCCGTTACCAGGGCTTCCCCGAATTTATCAAGGTCCTTGTTGACATCGGCTTCCTGAGCGATGAAGCTCGCGACTACCTCAGCTCCCCTATCAGCTGGAAGGAGGCCACCCAGAAGATCCTCGGTGCCGCTTCTTCCTCTGAGAAGGACCTCGAGTCGGCTATCTCCTCCAAGACTGCCTTCCCCAACAACGATGAGCGTGACCGCATTCTCTCCGGTCTGCGCTGGATTGGCGTCTTCTCCGACGAGAAGATTACCCCTCGCGGCAACCCTCTCGACACTCTCTGCGCCAGCCTCGAGCAGAAGATGCAGTACGGCCCCGACGAGCGTGACCTGGTCATGCTCCAGCACAAGTTCGGCATCGAGCACAAGGACGGCTCCAAGGAGGTCCGCACCAGCACTCTCTGCGAGTACGGTGTTCCCGGTGGTTACTCCGCCATGGCTAAGCTCGTCGGTATTCCCTGCGGTGTTGCCGTGAAGTTGGTTCTTGATGGTACTATCAGCCAGAAGGTAAGTCTCCCTATATCGTATATTTTCAACCGCATTCCTTTCTCGGTTGTTCCCAGCCGCTAACTTTCTTACTTCTAGGGTGTCCTTGCCCCCATGAGCTGGGATATTTGCGAGCCTATCCAGAAGACCCTCAAGGCCGACTACGGCATTGAGATGATTGAGAAGACCCTGTAAATGGCTTGAATCACCTTTCTGGAATCTATTACGACGATTTAAAAAATGACCATTGATATAAAATAAAAGGATAGAATAGGAAAATTCTACAGAATATGATAAATGAATCCATAGACGTGCTAGTAGTTCATTTATCCTCTTGATGCACGGGTCCGAACGCGCTGTGATTAAGGAGCCGTTCCATGGGATAACCATGCCATCCGTTGTGGGTGATATTGATATCTATCTACCGATTCTATTTACCTATCAACTACCCACGGTCTTTGTATCAACACATGTAGTACACGAAACTCACACGCCTGGCCAGTGGTACCTAGGCTGAGGTGCTCATGGGCGAGGAGTTTTCTTCCTCTCCAGTACATTCGACAACTTCAACGAGGCCCTATGTAAATCAGCCTGAGTTGCCCCGAAGATCAGGAATGGGATTTGTCCTACCATACTCCAAGCTGGCCCAGTTCCGTCCATCGGCCAGGTCACATACTTTAGATTCGGGTTGCCAGCCCTTACTTCAGGGTCAATCGTTGCCAGTATCGTAGACATGTTGAAGATATCCGTTGACTCTAGTCGCTTCACGATCTCCCTCTTTTCCTCTACGGAGGATCTAACGTACTCCATATATGGCTTGTTACCAGAAAAGGTGGAGTTGTCGACTACAATAACTGTCCCAGGGGAGACCATTTTCAGCTCCTCGAAGAGCTTAAGACTCGGTGTGCATGCTAGATTGTCATAGCCAACCAACATGAAATCCACCTTTTCGAAGCCTAGGGACAAGAGGTTGCGAATGGAAGCATCGGTAGGACCGGTCATCACTTCGACAAAGTTGGAGAGGCCAGCCAGATCAATCAAGAACTTTGCAACCTCCCCGTACCTATGATTCGGCTCCAGGCTAAAGATGCACCCATTGTCAATGCCTTGTTTGAAAAATACTTCGCCAAACAGGATAGCGGAGTAGCCAACATAGCCTCCCATCTCAATCTAAAACAAAGTCAGAACAAGAGCAAGAAGGCTTCTTCTCGTTGCTTTTTGGCTCATATATGTCGGTTTTCACAAGGGCAATCATAGATGTTGACTTACCATTACCGTCGGTCTTCGATGTGCCACTAGATCCCCGATAATCCGGGCTTTATGGTTACTTGGTTGCAACGGACAATTCCTTGTTCTTTTGAACTCGTCAATGAGACTAAGAATTCCCTGTGGCGTGCCTCTAAATCTTTCTAAGTTCGGGTGTGAGAGTATAAAATCCTTCAGATCGAGTTCGTGGACATCATGGCCTGCATATTCTAACTGCTCTTGCAACGGTGTATACTCCTCGACCATCCTTTCCTCGATATTGTTATTTGTAGGGCGATTGACGAAGCTAATTATGGATAATATTAGAATTTGTATTGAAAATGAATGAGAATATGCTCGGACGATGGTAGTCAAGAGCTGACTGGAATATAATATCACTCCTTGATGTGGCCGCTATCTGGGAAGCTGCGTCCCAGCCTGAAGCCCCAATCATGACAGCTTCATTCCGCAACTATCCTGACTGGTGCGAACAAGACACTAACCAGGGTTTAACAGTGGGAATCTAGGGCTTTTATGCCCTCGTGAAGAAGAGCGCGAGGGGAGAGATGATGAAGAAGTCGGGTGTTGACAATCCGATCTCACTAGTCAACACAGACCTTAATATTGCATGACGGTTGTTAGGAGAGGCGGTTGCGACCAACAATGGCTGAAATAATTACTACTTGGGATGATTCGGATTATTGACAATGCTTTGGTATCTTATCTTCATTCGTTATCCGGTTCATCTTTACATACTCCAGCGTTCTAATCATGGGAAATTCTATCGTGTAATCGTGCAAGACGTGCCCTCACCAGGGACGCGAGACGGAGACCGTCAGAAAAAGTGGCGAGCACTGCTGTGACGGCATAACAGCTTATCACCGGTTTCAAAAGGCATTTGTAGCGGGTTGTTTCCTTCCCATACCACAGAGAATCTAATTCTATATCACGAACTTGTCCAATATGTCCGTAGGTGATCAGAGAATAGTGCCAAACCTATACCAAGAAGAAAAACAAACATTGTAATCAGCAACTGTCCCCAGGCAAATGAGCGAGATCTGGAGGGAGATGGTAAGGAAGCAATTGGTTGTAATACGAGGCAGGGATCAACATACCCGAAAGTCTGCTTGATGCTTCGCACGTAGTAAAGCTCCCAGTTCTGTTTGGTGACATCCTCCTGGCCAGCAGGAACGCCGGTCCATGACACACGCATTTGAGTGACACCATCAACGTCGTTCTGATCAAAGTTGATCTCGAGAGTACTGAAATGACCCGCAGGCCACTGAGCCAAGCGCCATTTCTGAACCAGCAGTTTGGGCGAGTCGAGCTTCACAAATTCACCGGTGACATTTCCATCGAAAATCGAGAACTTGCCACCAACTTGAGCACCATCAAATTGGCGTGGTGCGCCACGAGTGAAAGCTGTAAGACGCTCAGGTTCGGTGAAGGTCTTGAAGAGCTCCTCAGCCGTTGTACGGAATTCATCTGAAGCAGTCACCGTAACGGTGTTGACAGAAACCTTAGCGGCAGTAGTTGTAGTCTCGGTCTTTGGAGCGGAGACTTCCTTCTTGGTAGATTGAGGGTAGGATGTCGCCTTCGTAAATCCGCTGGAGGGATTCACACCGGGGGCGTGCTGGAGATCTTTCCCATGTTCAGCGACCAGGGCAGGGGCAAGCTTAGCCAGTTCTGTCCTGAGCTGTGGGACTAGCTTCGAGCGCACAAGATCCTTCACGGGCTGCTTGGAGGAAGAATCTGAGTAGTTTTCGATCTCGAACTATACGCGCGGGCATCCAGTAAGCTCAAAAGGCCCGTAATTGGGATTTGGGGGTATTTTAGGTAACATACGACATACTCATCTTCCTCTGTGTCGTGGGCTACCTCGGGAATCGTGATAGTCCCACTCACAGCCTCCTCTTCCTTAGTCTTACCTATGGGAACGGCTTAGTGATTACTCGGAAGATATTCGATTACAGCTAAATGCGTACCTTCATATTCCAACTGCAGCTTCACATCGAACAAGGTGATGACCTTGCCCTTTCTTTGGCTGACATCTACGTCGCCATCCATCGTCAGTACATTCGACACCTTCGCGGTGACTCCATCTCCCTCGGCTGAAACCGCACGGAGTTTCTCGTTTAGATAATTCTTGGCCCATCCGGAAGCATCCTTGTTGACCCAATGCCAGTTGTTGGGGTTGTGAAGAACCATGGTGGTGGATATTTGGGTATTAAGTTATACGTTTAATCGTGGAGAGAGAGAAAAAAAAAAAAAGGAAAAGTCTCTGCTGCCAGACTGAGATACCGAGATGGAATCAGGGTGTGGCTTGGCTTTTATATCTTCAACGCTAGAAGTTCTGCTAACAAGCATCCAAATTAGCAATTGTTTTCTCCACAGGTGAGGTGAAAATAGTGCTAGATGGATGCAACAAAATTCAGGATCTGGGTAGCGTTCCCGGATCAGGAAGCTAATCAGCATTAAGAAGGATACGAATATCCAACTTGCTCTGACTGGTGCCAGCTAGTTGTCTCATCATGTGAAGCAAGCGGGGGGCTATTGTGGGCGAGAAAGAAAATTTCGGAGCGACTTACAGCTTCGACAGCAAAGTCCAGATCCAAGGACACTGTAGTAGAGGTAGATCAATCAAGTCCACTCGGCAACAATTGGGAGATTTCAGAGAGAAATACCGCCGAGGAGAGGAAAGGGGGTTAAATAATACGGATTGCCTGCTCGGGACTTGTTGAAGTTGAACCGAAAGATTCAGAAGGAAAGCTCTAGAAGTTAAGAAGCGCCCACGTGATATTAGTCATTGAGTCCTATCTCAATCCGGGTTAGCACGGGTATGTTGGGCTCCTGCCTCATTCGGCCAAGGAACAAAGAAACGAGGAAGGTGCGAAGGAGCACTGGCATGAATCGGTCAACTTCATTACAACGAGGCAACTACTTCACTTATCAAGTTTAACTATGAGGAAATGCGGTTGACATGAAGACTGGAGTGCACAAACAATCATCACAACATCCCAACTGCTCCTACACCAGCTGCAACCAGGCCACCAATAGCTCCCCAGGCTGGAGTCCCCAATCCACTAGCTTGATCATAACTGCCATACTTCTCGCACATCCATTCTCCATCCACCTTTGTACAGCTTCCCCTATCCAGTGTACAGTAAACTACAAGGCACTGTTAGTGGTGGCCAGCATATAGGTCACTTAGGGATCCCTACCCCCATCGCCACAACAAGAAGCAAGCTGCGGTGCGCAACCATCACCACAACATTTCTCGCCAGTGTCACAGCTTCCGCCATCAGAGCAACATTCGCCTCCTATAGGAGTGCAAGATTTTCCATCACAGCATTTAGTCAAACTTTCGCAACAACCGTCTAAAGGCAGCACAGTGAGTTGATTGCTTGTCAGGGGAGCATGCTGACCGTTTACCTGAGCATTCTGTCTCTGTTCTGCCGCATGATTGACGGCTGAACAAATCACGCGCAGCAATCGTGACGTCTCCGATCTGGGGCTTGGATTTGATGGCGGGAGTGAGGCTTCTACCGTTCTTCTCGACGGGAAGGTCAGGGCTAGCTAACGTAGACAAAATGAGGAGTGGAAGGACTCCAACGGCATGAAGTATAGAACGCATGATACAAAGTTTTAAATCGACAGATGCTTGCGCTCAATATGGATCAATGCTTCAGTCACAAAGGGTCATACCAGACGAACATGGACAGGGAAAGAAAGATGGGCAAACATGCTCCTTAAATAAATACAGAAGTGAATGCGGCGCAGCATCTTCCGCAGTCAAAGAAGACCAGCGATGCCAGCTCCTGTGTCCCAGCGGCTCTCGTCCTGTACTTGGAGGGTGGAATACGAGGTTCGATGAAACGCTGTTCAATAAGCGACGACTCCCAAGACCTGGCACTCGTAGGCCACCCACACCATAGACTCATTTCAGTTGGCCGTTTTTAAGATCGGCATCAAATTAAGGATTTATCCATGTCAGTGAGATGTCTTATTACTTTACTTTTGTAATCAGAGCCTCATCGAGAAGAATAAAGCACAACAATGAGCCAAAATCCGCAGATTTTACGTGCAACGCATGCGCTATCCACACCATAGGATTTTCGGATCATGTCATTTTTGAATTACAGTCTAGCGACGGACTTCATCTATATCAGTGGGAAATACTGTTTCCCGACCTTTTTTTTCTGTAGTTTGCAGCGTCTTGTTAAGGGTATCCCGCCTCGAAGTTTGAAATCGCCCAGACGCCGAGACGCCTATCATTTAGGGCAAATCAGCCTCGGATTGGGGGGTGTTGCCCATCACCCCCAGTGGCCAACGCAAATGCGCCAAGCGGTTGAATGAATCGCGGGCTTTTTGATTCGTGCTGATTGGTATGATGAATAATGCCCCTTCGTTTGATTTCCTCTTGCTGCAAGCAGGAGGTCCGGAGGGTTGCAGCCTGCGGGAGAGAAGAGGCTCAACAGTCAACACAGGTCAGCAAGCCCCGCCCTTGGCAATGAAAGGTCTGTGAGACCAACCGAGAGGTATCATTCGAAGATGAGGCTCAAAATTTTGTAAAGGTCGGTCTAAAGTTGGCCCAACCTGAGATGTGGCGCTTTCTGCGTTTGGACTTTATAGCAATACTGGGCTACATACACCATGGTAATATCAATGAGGACAATCCAAAATATCAAATGTACAGAGTAGCGAACGAATGAGGGTATCTCTCGGTAAGTAGAGCAACAAGAATAATAGCAATGGCAAGAAAACAGACATCTTGAGATCATGTTCACATTAAGCCTGCTCCAAGGATTCCAGATCCTCCCACCCATCCTCCCTCTCCAGCTGTTCCCGGACTCGTTGTCTCAGTCCCTGGATCTGACTCCCCAGGGCCTCGGTCCACTGCCCCTCCACGGTGGCAACCTTGTCCTTCAAGTCATTCGTGAGCGATCGCTCCTCGCCCGCCCGCGACTGATCCATCTCCGCACTAACAGTCTCCTCAGCCTCCCCGTGTCGGATCCGCTCAGTCTCCATGAGTTTACTGTTTGCGCGCATCACCGCAGACTTGACTTCATGTAGCAGACAAAGTAGATTAGTCTGAGACTCAATGTACTGGTAGCTTGATTTCTCTGCATGCGAAACAAGAGTATACAGATACTGCAGTGGATGTCGCAAGTAACTTGGGTTCTCATCATACTCGTTAGCCGGTATCTGGACCTGGAAGCCGGCCAAGTTATCAGGGAGCGACTGGACGAGGGTCAGGAGAGATGGACCAATATCCCAGAAGGCAGAAAGTTGCATTTCAACTCCGCGAACGACATTCTCCTCGATGACTTCCTGAAAAGTTTCGAGGCGGGAAAGCGCGGCGCTTTCGTAATGGCTACGGCGATCGAGGGCATCGCGGGTAAAGAACGCGGTCGTGCTGCGTAGCTTGTCTTCGTTTTTGGTCTGCTTGTAAGGAAGAATGACGAGGGCTTTGTACTTTTCGTCACGGGCCGTAACGAGGTCGTACATTTCACGGTGAAGTTGTTCACGGGCTTCGAAGAGCCATTTGAGCTGCGTGAGCTTCTCGAGGAGCTCGGGTTTCTCATCGCCTTCTTCCTGGGTTTGATCTGGGGATTCGTGCTGGGCATCGTCGAAGAGCTTGCTGCGGAGTTCGTCGATGCAGACTGTTGCGCGGTCGATGCGGTCGGTTAGGATTGCTTGCATCGGCTTGAGTACGGTGTCTTGGTAGCTGTCGAGGAGCTTTTTTGTGAGGGCGCGCTCGCGCTGGTTTTCGTCTTCGATGAGGGCCGCTTCGGCTTCAGCTGCTTCCGCGAAGGAGATGCTGCCGTCTTGAATTTGGTTTTGGATATTGCTTTTGAACTGGCGGCGGCTTTCTTTGATACGTTCGTTGTGCGTGGCCCAGAGGACGTCGGAGTCAGAGGCGTGCCGTTGAATGGTGGATTTTATTTCGGAGTGATCGCTGATTGAGCGGACGACTGTTCGGTAGGCGACGAGTTCCGGGTGGCTGTTGTTAACGGCGGGATAGTGACGTGGGTAGGGTGGTGGGAGGGTGATGAGCCTCGAGACGTCCATTTTCTGAGGCTCTGTGGATGTGCTGTAGCTGCTCAAGCTTGGGGTTGGATATTCTGGATGAGGTTGGTCCTCGTGCAATCCAACCTTTTCAGGCGGATACTCGTCTGGGCCATATGGGGCATATTGGTTGAACTGATCATCAAACGTATGCTCGGCATCTCCGTTGCTTCGAAGCCCAAGTGGCAGCCCCATGTACTTGGATTCACGCTTTGAGCGTCGAACTCTACGTTCACCCCCCTCGCTGTCCGATCCGGTCTTAGATTCCCACCAGCGACTGGGTGCACGCCCTCTAGAGCTCATCTCATCATTGCTAATGCCGAGACTCGCTATTGGCGAGAGGCATGGCTTGTAGTTGTTCCAGGACGACTCCCCACGGGGGATGTCCAGTTTGGGGCCTCGAATAGGCCGTCGAGCAACCGGTTCTGGAGCCAGTTTTGGTGGTAGCTGGAAAAGTTTCTGATGCAACTGTTCCAAATTGAAGGAACCAGAATCAAATACCTTGGCGTATCGCTCACGCCGAATCTGCGTTTCTGCAATGATAAACTCGGTGAACAACCGTAGGGCTTCTGTCTCATCGGCAGCACAGGCTTCCTTCTCGATAAACTCTTTATGCCTCTTTGTGGCCCCCTGGATAAGTTCTACATCCTGGTTTACAACAGAATCCAGCGACTGTCCGCGATTGAGTGACGGTCGCCGGGGCTGCAGAGTTGGAGAACTAACTGTGTCATTGGGCAAGTGAAGGATATGCGAGATCGGGCGGTCTTCCCTGCGACTGAGTCCTGAAGACGGCCGGGAATCTTGTCCAGACTGCAGCGGAGGAGTTGGGAGGGCTTTTGGAGGAAGTATCTGGGATGAGGATTTCTGGAAAGAGGAAGACTGATCCGCACTCGGTGAGAAGGGTGGCGTCTGCGCATATCTTTGTGACGGTGGGCTGAGAGGGCTGGACTCCCCCCGGGGCGTTGATAAAGGAGACCGGTTAGAGGAGAACAAGCTTGTCCCAGACCCCCGAGATTGAGCTGTAGGCATATCGCTGTGGTTGCTGCGCGGCGTATATCTTGTAGACCCATCAGACCGGATATTTTCAGCCCTCTGCTGCTCACTGAGGACGAGGTTTGATGGTTTTAATTGATCGAGCGCGTCGGCCCAGGGGTTGGTGTTGGTCGTTGAGACTGCACTATAATCTTCAAAAACCTGGCTCTGCCTATTCCTGCGTTCAGTCCTCCTTTCACGAATTCCTTTGGCGCTCGTGTCTCGGACAGCTGGGCTACGGAACAGTCCACTGTTGGAGTTTCGAGAGGGGTGGGCACTGGATCCCGAACCGCTAGTATCGTGGGTGATCGCTTGGCTTGAAGTGTCAATATTAAGTGGCGTCCTGTCCTGTTGCGACGCAGATTTGGTATAGCTCTCATCCACCCACCCTGCAGGCGTTGGTGGGACACTACCCAAACCGGTTCCTAAGGATGGAGGTTGACGTGTTGTGCGCGTTGGAGCCTGCGAGCTGCGCAAAGACGATGCATCGGGCCTTCCACTTACACTCTGCGACCTCGTAGCTGGCGGGGGACCGGGAGGTGGTGGTGGAAGCGGCATTCCTGGTTCCCAACCCGGGTTCTGTGGGGATTGGCTCCTCGATTGGCTTGTAGCTCTCGACGTACTTGCACTTCCTACAGTTGGCCCGGCAGAGACTGCTCGTCTAGAAGTCGGAGGCCGGCTCGAACCATCATGTTGAACAGCAGCGTTTGGATAACCATACGCGTTTGATTGAGACGATTGCAAGTTGTTGTCCGAAACCATAATATACGGTCGGGAACCGTTATTGAAAGAGGGTTGCTCCTGGTATACTTCAGTGCGGTTGTGAGAGGACGACCTGGAAGATGGCATCCCCTGCGGCAAAGGTGGGGGAGGCGGGAGCGAAACCTGTCTACTATGACTTGCATCCGCTCGGACATTAGAATCGGGACGAGTACGAGCTATTGATGGTTGCCGACTCGAGCCCGTAAACGGAGACCCAGCATTAGGAGAGGCAGTGGCATGGATTACAGGGTCCACCTGTTGGTGCTGCTGCTGCTGGCTTGGAGGAGAATACGGTGGAGGCGGCGGTGACAACTCTATACATATCGAGATTAGCCCTACTCAGGAACATGAAGCGACATCATCTCCAATTTTCCGCAGAGACAAAAAAAGACCTCGGTCGCCACCAATGATCAAAGAAAATAGGACTGACCAGGCTCCGGGGCGGCATATCGGTGCTGTGGGACGACTCGAAGCATGTTGCCCGACTGTGCATATGGCGACTGGCCAGTATTCATCGGAGCATTTTGGACGGGACCCCAGTCCTGAGGGTTATAAGGGGCATTGTACTGTCTGGACGCCATTGGGGAAGATCCGAGAGGCCCCCCGGCGGAATTCACAGCGGGAGAATGGATGAACGGGCTGGATAGGGAGGTTGTAGAAAGAGGAGTTGCTAGGTAGCCCGCGCCGAGTCCGACACCAAGTCCCTGTCCCTGGGACTGGGGGTTATTAAAAGAAGTGGTCAAAGGAGGCGGCTGCATGGCATATTCGCGACGGCCAGGAGAACGTTGACTCTGGGGCGTCGGCCAGCCGTTGTTGGCTGTATATGGGCTGGACGACGGGTCGTCGCCAGTGTGACTTGGGGACCGCCAGCTATGAACAGCCTCAAGTCAGCCTCGGGAGCTCTTGAGATAAGAACAGAGAACGAGGGGAGGGATGGAGAGGGGCCAGCGCGCACCTATTCATACTGGCGCAGTCAGGAACCAACCAGATATGGTGACATGGTTATTATCCGCGCGGTGGAAGGGGTGAAGGAAGCGACAGGTCCCCTGGGAAGAGAGGCGAACGCGATACAAAGAGCGAAGGGCTCCAGCGGGATAATTCTCAGGCCAACCAGGTGTGGAGGCTGCTTGCCGTCCTGTTGGAAGATGGATGCAGGAAGATAAAAATAACACAGGCCTGGTCGGGATCGGTCAGCATGGCTGCAGAACCTG